GACGATCACAGAGTTGGGCTCAACTCGCTGAAGCACCCCTTGAAACCAGCTCTCGAAGCAGCTGGCATTCATTTCGTCACGGTAATCACCTCCTTTCTTAGAGACGAAAATCAAGTCACACTCTTCTAAAAAGCCACTATCGCTACCAATATGAGTTACGATCAATCTTTGACATTTCCCTGACGGTCCACCAAGACCTGTTGACAAACCTTCAATGCTTGCTTGTCGGTTACTCACTACGTTTTTGTCTATCCAGGTTTTTTAACTGTGTGACCTGCATTTACCCATGTCTCGTCCAAATAATAGATTTTTCTGCTTTGTCGCCTATATTAAATCATTTCGCGTAGGTATTTTCGACGCCAGGCGACTATTTCAGGTCTCTCTATCAATACTGACTTCCGATTACGCGTTTCGTAACGAAAATTAATTTCGTGCAGGGATTTCCTCATTACCTCGACGCTCATTTGGGGTATAATTTCATTTTCCTTGATCGCTACATGTACAGCCTTAAGGGTTGGTATCTCATTCCTAAAGAAGAATGAATGTACGGTTCGCCTTAACGCCATTTTGCTATCGTAATCCAATTTAACGGCCTTTCGTCCCTTCAAATTAAACTTTGGATCAGTAGTAGCTCCAGTTTTCTTCTTTTCATGCACCACTCTGCGAATGGTCCACTCTGGAATGCCTGTCATACTTTCACAACGCGCGAGTGCATCTCCCTGCGACATAGTTCTGTTCAGATAATTGAACACGTTGAGCACGATTTCTTTCGCGTCCCTCTTCAGTGCTTTACGAAGCCGTCTACTTGTTCCCTGGCTTTCAGTACTTCCACTCGTGCCATTTGTACTCTCCATGGTTAAGTATAACCAAAACAGTAACCACAGAAACCACAACAATAACAATCACACAACAATTCTTATAAAAATACACAATATGCGATCGCTCAACGAAACACGTTCCAATGCGTTGCCGACGCCTATGAGTCTGCCGGTCGAGGCGCGTCTTTGATTTCATTGGTTCTACCGGCGGAGAACAATCAGCCATTATTTCCATCTCTGTCTGTGCTGTTGACCACCGCAAAGCCACAGAAACGACATATGTCGTACGCTATACGGCTGTACTGGAAGGAAGCCGGGATCGAGCTCTGATCACGTGTTGATCACGCGTATGAGTCATTACAGTTTTAAATAGTTGTAGTATAGCACGTGCACGTAAAACAATTGAACTAAATGTTTCGTGATGTGGTAAGTGCCTGTTCGGAAATCGGTGTGTATACAATCGAGAAGCCGCTCGCGAATTTTGTCCTGCTTCTTCCGAACGGTAAAACAATGTCCACTAACTCCTCATTAGTGTACATATGTGCCATCTTTATCAATAAATAACTGAAAACATAAACTCGCAAAATACCTTCTTATTTAACTTCACGAAAATCGACAGTTCTCCATTCAGATCACCCACGATACAGACTAAACCTTATTTACACGTTCTTATCAATATGAAAAAGCAAAAAATTCCCGGTATTTTGTTTTCATCAGTTGTTTGGTACAATATTTGCTACAATAAATTATTAATGCGTGTTCTAATATCACGACGATGAACGCAAAATACAGATATTTATTTTTCATTTTATTATTGAAACTCAGATTTATAACTCAATTTCTGTAGGGCTTTTATTACATTTTTTTTTTTTTGAGAAATCGGCTTTCGTAGCAGTGCATATGTGGTTAAAATTTGTCGAATATGTTGTAAAACTTCCTGTAAATGAAAGACTTCTCAAAATTGTCAAACGGACCACCCTGTATATTTTGTTACTTTCAGATTCTCCTTCCACAGGCTTTTTTCTGAAATACGATTCATCGGGGTTCGTACAACTGTTTTTTTGAGTTACTAAAAACACAGGACACCTCCTTGATTCTCCAATTTTATTGCATAGGGTTAGGTACATTTAATTCATAATGAAAATACACAAAACTTTACCCATCTGCTATAACTAACAGAAAGCTATTTTTATTTTTAAAGGTATTGTAATGTTTTTTATTTATCTTGATATCCAATTAACTGTAACTCAAAAACTATTCTTGCAAACTTCCAGAATCTTATGTAGAAAAAAAGTTTGAGAGATCATACGTTTTGCGTTCTTGACCACTCTGTATCGAAAAAACTGAAACAGTAAGTGGATAGAGAGAAAATTTTGATCAACAATTCTTCTGACGAAAAATTGAGTAGTCTAGCAGTGTTTAACAGTTGCGAAGGTTGTTTTTTTTTCGATAGATTGTCTCAAAGATTTAAAAGAAAATCCTACAGTATGTTACATAAAATTGTATGTTTGGGTCACCCTGTAGGACTAAAAATATTTTTCAAGTAAGGAGCATTCTGTTGGCTACAACTTTTGTAATAAACCATATGTAATAAGTTGAAAGCTCACCCTGTATATAGTGTATGCAAAAGAATTTTGTCCATTTATAAATGCAAATTAAATAAATATGGAATTCAATGTCATACTCAGATTTCTTCAAACTTCTCTGAAAATAATCAGGAGCCTCCGAAGCGTCAAAAAAACGAAGCTTTCTCGTCTCTCGTAATCGTCTGCAAAACTTTGATCAAAATTCGAGCGGGACTTCCAAGTTATAGACAAGCTAAGGATTAGCGAACAGGCAGACGAGTATACCATAATAGCTCATTTCTGATTTTTTTCTCGTTTGCAATACTTCCTCGTCAGGTGGCGTGGGAAGTAGAAATGCGATTTAAAAATATTCACATCCAATGTTGCAAAATGATCAGTCATCATTTTCACTAAATTCCGATCCCTGGTTTAAGAACTCCATGGAGGTAAAGGAGATACATCAAATCGAAATAAGACCGCAAAGCGCCATCTATTACCAAAAACGACCACTGCCAGAGTGTATAGCAGCTAACAGTTGGAATTGTAAGGATCTCGTTCACGTTTGATAGCCCAGTCAAGACTGTGACCGCCAGAGGCTTACAATTCTGGCGGTGCAGTAGATGTACAAGGTCTGTCGCAAAGAAAACAGGACAAATAAAAAAATGAACACGCATTTTTTTGTTTTGGAAAATCGAATTTATTTTATTCAGAGTTAATACAGCAATTTGCAAGGACCAAAAGATTTTCCTTTGATGATTTTAGCTCATTGACCGAAATGTCCAAAATAGTCGTCGACGCCTTTTTAATGGTCTCAACGTCGGCATACCGCTGTCCCTCCATGGCCAACTTTAGTTTACAGAACAGAAAATAGTCACACGTAGAAACAAATCACGAATGTATACTAAGTGACATATAAATCTGAACACCCAGTTTAAATGGTTTTATTTTAATAAAATTTTGTATAAGTACTTAATGAAGCATAATAAGTAAATGATAAAACTTTCAAAATGACTGCACTGCTTTAAAGCCCTTTGACCTTTAATAATGTGTGGATGCACCCTGATGTGCTACGCATTCTCCAACGCGCTTAGGCATGCTTCTGATCAGGTGGTCAATGTCCTCCTGTGGTATCTCATTCCAGGCAACCACCAACTTTTTTCGAAGTGCTTCTAGAGTCTGAGGAGGACGTTGCAAATTGAGCAATCTCCTACCCATCATATCCCACACGTGCTCAATTGGGGATAAGTCGGGAGAGCTTGGTGGCCATGGTAACAATGTGACATCATTATGTTGAAAGAAGTCTATTGTGACTCTTGCAACATGTGGTCGGGCATTATCCTGTTGGAAAGTTGGATCTACCAGGGTGTCAAGATAGGGTAAAAGATGGGGTTCTAGAACTTCGTGGATATAACGCTGCGCGTTCATGTTACCTCTGATGAAGATTAAAGGTGACCTGGAACCATAGCTCCAACAGTGTGATGAACATGTCTTTCAACAAAAAACTGTGGATTCCTCCTTTCACCACGTCGATTTCTAACCCTGGCACGACCATCGTGCATGCCTAAACAAAATCGAGACTCGTCACTAAAGACAATACTGTTCCATTCCTGATCCCAGAGTGACCGTTGTCTGCACCACTCAAGGCGATTACGTCGGTGTTCTCGAGTTAAAGGGAGGACCCAGTGTCGCCGATATGAAAACAAGCCAAAACTTCTCATTCGTCGGTAAACACTTCGCATGCCAATAGGTCTTCCGTGTTCTGCAAACCATTCATTTGCAATGAACCTGATAGTGGAGAAACGGTCCCTTAAGGCCAATAATCTTAGGCGGCGATCTTCACGGTCTGTTGTTCTACGGCGGCGTCCAGTGCCCCTTGCTCTTTGCGTACGGCCTTCTCGAAGCCATGCCGGACAACACCTAACCACAGTGTCTACACTTCTTTGCACTCTAACTGCAATTGCCCGAAAAGAAAGTCCAGCTTCCCGAAGTCCCACTATACGGCCCCTATCAAACTCACTAAGTTGACAAAATCGTACAGGTCTCCGTACTCTAGGCATCGTAACCGATCGTAAAGGATGTCAAGAACCAAAATCCGCCAACGTTGATTCTTTACTGCGGCTGAAATATTCATTTTTAGAGCGTTAGTGAATTAAAAAAAGCAGTATAAAAACCGGAATGTCCAACTGATAAGGCTGAAAATTTTTTCACTTGTTATTTACAGTAAGATAAATACATTCACCAACTTTTATTAAAATAAAACCATTTAAACTGGGTGTTCGGATTTATATGTCACTTAGTATATTTACTTTGGACTTTTCCAAACGGATTTTTTTCCGAAATTGGCTGCCTAGGGTGCTCCCATTCGGAACTTGGTTTCGGGATCGTATTGAAAACACCACGTTTCATCAGCAGTCACTATGTTGTACAGAAAGGTTTTGCCTTTCTTCTTTTCTCATGCCCGATAATAGATGGCGCTACTTGTATGGAGTACCTTTCAAAACTCCTATTTACTTTGCGACAGTCCTTGTAGTTTACTCGCCATTGGAGTAACAACTTTACATACATCGATTGTATGACGTCATTTTACTCTTCTCTATTTTTTACATTTCTTTTTTAGCCGAAGCAGTTCAGGTGTTGTATCCCAAAATGCCAGACAAGATCTACCATAGACAATTTCCTCAATTTTCCTCTGGATTACCAGCTTAGGCAGCTTTGGATTTCATCTATACCCAACTTTGATGACGTAGTGGACCATGAGACCCTTATATGTACCAAACATTTCGATAAAAGTTTGCTGAGACTGTACGTACCAATCTTGCATATTGAAAGGCTGCCTTCCGATATATCTTAGGCTGAGGCCGCACCATACGAGCCCCTTCCCACTTCAGTTGGCCCAACTATTGAAATCTTAGTTTTTTTCTTATCAAACACAAATAATAAAAATGTAGCAGGGTGAAAAAGGTTTAAAATATTAACAATGAATAAATATTTTGATAATATATAGTAGAAAACACCAACTTTATCACTCCCTAATCAAATTTACAGCATAAAAATAACACATGTTGCAATTACAGCATATCAACCTATTTTCATTTCAATGCAAAATAAGTCTATAACGCATAGGTGGTTGTGAAAAATAAAAGCCATGACAATTGTTTGTATTAATCACAACTGTCAGAATACGTTTAAAATAGTTTTGGGTAGTTAAGGTTTTCAAAATGGGTAGAGGAAAGGTTATTAGTGAGAAAATTCGGTTACTGATAATTAAATTTTTTAATTCTGGGAAATCAAACTCAGAAATTGCAACTTTGTTAGAATTATCGCGGTACAGTGTGAGAAATATTGTTAGAAGATATAACGTAACTGGTTCGGTTAATATTAAGCCACGATATGTGAAAAAAGTAATATCACAAATGCCGACCGAAGAGCATTAAGAAGATAATCGTGAAAAACAGGCGTGCCAATTATCTCCAATTAAGTGCTCTGTGGAGTGACGCTCTTGGAAGGAGAATTTCGAGGTCCACAACTCATAGAGAGGCCCACAAACTGGGATTTAGCACCTGCAAGGTAAGTTTTCTTATAAAAAAAAGTGAAGTAAAAACCCTAAAGTTGCACAACTTGTTTATAGGCCAAAGAAAAGCCACTATTAACTCTACTGCAAAAGAAAAATCGGCTTAGATGGGCTAAAGAACATAGACAATGGACACCTCAACAATGGCGTGTAATACAATGGAGTGATGAGGCCCGATTCGAAGTTTGTGTTGGTGACAGTCGCAGTAGAGTTATTCGCAAAAAAATGAAGCATTCCATGTTGACTGTCTGAAGAAAAAAGTGAAATTTCCAGCATCCATTATGGTCTGGGGGAGTATGTCATCAAAAGGAGTAGGAAAACTCAATTTTATTGATGGAAATGTGGATACAAACAAATATTTGGCAATATTAGAAGAATCGCTTTTACCAGTGATGGAAGAATGTTTGACATCCGGCCAAGATTTTGTGTTTCAGCAAGATGGTGCAGCGTGCCATACCTCAAAAAAGGCTATAAAATGGATGGAAGAAAATAATGTACCACTTTAGAAATGGGTTTCTAGCAGTCCAGATCTGTCACCTATTGAAACTTTGTGGCACGAGATGAAAAGGGGTCTACGACAACATCCTGCTCGTACAATCACCGAACCGAGACAAAAGCTTCAAGAAATATGGGATTGTTTTACACCAAATTTTTGCCAAAACTTGGTTAACACTATGCCCCAAAGAATTTCAGCCGTAATAAAAAATAAAGGTGATGTTACCCAATGGTAATCTTTCAATTGTTGCTTTGTTAACTTCGCGCATTTATTCGCACATTGTTTATTTATTCAGATGTTCTATTAGTTATAGGTCTAAGTGATTTCAAATATGTATTTTTATGACTAGAGTGTATCTAAAATGTTTTTGAGAATATAAATTGTTTTAGACGTAAATAGTTTCGTCATATTTAGTTTATAAAGGCATATTTTGGTACAAAACCTTGAAGTAGACCAACTGAAGTGGGAAGGGGCTCGTAGTTGTTACGCTTAGTGACAAGATCACATTACACGTTAGGCATAGAGGTAGGATGCCAGGATACCAAGAGACGCATAACAATATAAGCGAAAGAGATGCTATAAAAATAATGCTGCTTTTGATGTCGTTCTAGAAAAAAATTATGTCAAGTAGATTGACTCTACACTTTGTACGCCTTCAAAATGGCTCCTAGTACAATTTTCCATGTAGAGGGATTGCATCTATACATAATGAGATTAAAAGACTTAGATTTTGTCCACTAATGGACCATTAACATGGAAAAAATCCTCAGATTACAGGAATGAGCGTGTCCGTAAATAGTTGGAATTATTTCTGGAGAGCTGGAGTAAAAAAATGATAACTGAGTAGCCCTTGAAACTTGAATCCTGGGAAAATCATTTAAAGTTCAACTAGTATTGAACTTAAATTAGAAAAAAGTTCCTCAAACTACAGATAACTGGCCGTTTAAGAAAAAAATGGTACGTCAATGGTTTTTTGCCAAATATTATTTTTGAATTCCCCGTTCAATTTAAAACAAATGATCTCTCTTGAATTGTTTTTCTTCGATGCGCCACTTTTGCGTAAAAAAATAAAAACCGTTCTATTGTCCGAGAAAATTAATGTAATAATTGAAGAATGCAATTTAGCAATACATATCTAATTGCTCTGGAATATGTCACTGGCTTTTGACATCTGACAACTCTCTGGTATTCAAATCTGTTCGCTTGTGATATTTTTTTCATAATCTTGTTAATAATGGTGAATTATTCAAATGCAGAAATGGCGGAAATACATTACGTATATGGCCTTCCGAAGGTAATGGTGAGCAAGCCAGACGGATTTATCACCAGAGATATCCCGATCGTGCTTTGCCAGTCGAACCTTTTCTAATATTAATCGTCGTCTTGTTAAAACTGGTTCCGTCCGAAAAGGAACATCTGAAGGTAGACCTCTAAGTGTGAGAACACCTGAAATTGAGGAAGCAGTGCTGCACGAAGTCGAAGAACATCTTGATACGAGTACGAGGAAGATCGCTAGAACTTAAATATTTGCCATCAAATTGTTTGGAGAATTTTAGTGGATTTTTTGTTATATCCTTGCCATATTTTAAGAGTACAAGCATTACTTCCCATTGATTCTCCAAGGCGTGTGATCTTTTGTCAGTGGTACCTTCAAAAAATTACACAAAATCCGCAATTTGAATCAATGATTCTGTTCACGGACGAAGCTAATTTTTTCCTCGAAATGCCATTCAGAATTTCCACAATAATCATTTGTGGGCAGAAGAAAATCCCTATACCGTAACCGAAACCCATCTCCAACACCAATTTTCGGTTAACGTACGGGCAAGAATTATTGGCAACCACTTTATTGGCCCATTCTTCTTGCCGGGTCGACTTGACGAACAGACTTACCTCAATTTTCTTCAACAACAGTTGCCTTTGCTGCTTGATCATGTTCCGTTAGTAATAAGAAACAATATGTGGTACATGCATGATGGTGTGCCAGCACATTTCAGTGTAGCGGTTCGTAATTATTTACAAACTGTTTATTCAAATCGTTGGATTGGCCGCGGAGGGCCCCAAGAATGGCCACCAAGGTCCCCAGACCTCAACAGTTTAGATTTCTGTTTGTGAGGCTATCGTAAGACACTAGTGTACACAAGTCCCATTAACACTGTAGAGGCATTAAGTGAAAGAATAGTTGCAGCTTGTGATACAATAAAAAACACTCCAGGGATATTTCAACTTGTGCCCAATTCCATGAGAGGGAGGGAGGAAGCATGCATACTAAGTGGAGGGGGCCATTTTCAACAATTTTTGTAATCATTTCTTTGGTTTTAATGTTATGTTTATGTTATTAGTTGTTGTTGTTCATTACCCCTAATGTGTTTAATTTTTCCAATTAAATTAATAATAATTTTACAAGTTAGACAATAGAACGGTTTTTCTTTTTTTACTCAAAAATCGCACATCGAAGGAAAACAATTCAAGACAGATCTTTTGTTTTAAATTGAACGGGGAATTCAACAATAATTTTTATTTGTCAAAAAACCATTGGCGTACCATTTTTTTCTTGAAATATATCGAAGTCAATACCTGTACGCACGCCACTGTTAAAGCTAAAAATTATTTTTGCATTGAAAATATTAAACTTTATTAACTTTCACTACATACTAAATATCAGTGAAATATCTGTAGCGATTCTGAAAATATTAATTAATTTCCATTTTTTTCCTAAAACTTCAACACCCCGAGTTTTTGTAAGGAAACATTTTTGGACCATAGTTTATAAAGCAAACTAACATTAATTTTTGATGTAGATTCACACCCTTAAATATTCGCATATCATTAAGGAACTCCCTGATATATGTATAGTCGGCTGTAAGCTGTTCATGTAACCTGATTTTAGAGCCAAAACTCACATACATAAATGTGTACGACTATTGTATCTAATATGTGCGTAACATTAGACGAGCCAATTATTAGCGGACAAACAGACCGACAGACGAAAAGGAGTGCATAGTTTTTCGAGATGTACGCGTCATTCAACATTCAAAAACCATAATAGCTCATTTTCGACATGTTTCTTGATTGCAATATATTTCCTCGCCAGGTGGCGCAGAGCCAAGATTCACATGCATAAATTTGTATTACTATCATATCCCAATATATGTGCGTAATATTACCGGTATCAGAAACTTCTTGATAATCGAATGTCTTCCACTAAACCTCAATTTCCAACCGTGTGAACAATCCAAGAATGATCAAGAATCTCTGAAACGTCAAAAATTTTGTGTGAAGATTTCATCGAAATCCGAGTACTTTCTAAGTTATAGAGGGATCAAGGATTATCAGACATACCGACAGACCAACAAAGATGAGTGACATGATTCTTCGTGATGTACATACCAGAGCTTTCGATCGAGCTCGGAATCAGGGGAAATTTCTTGTTATGCATTGCAGCTTTTTTGTTAGATAGATCTTTCTCCGTCCCTGTTGGAGACGCCTATTCTTCTAGACATCGTGTTACTAGTGGAGTTCCACAAGGATCTGTGCTAGGGCCAATACTTTTTCTTCTTTATACAAGCGACCTTCCCACCCGACTTTCTTCTACGAGTATTTGTTCCATCTATGCAGATGATACTAAAGTCTATAACGCTGCCATGAACTCATCTGTGCTTCAAGAAGACCTCAAGCTGATCAGAAAGTGCTACGTTCTCCACCTGGGAAAGAATAACCCTAACTTAACATATAAGATTGGCAAACATACCTTTTCTTCACACAGATCTTGGTCTGACAGTTAATGACCGGCTCACCTGGTCGGAGCACATTCAGAACATAACCTCTAAGGCAAAGCGGTTGCTATATATGATGGCAAGGTCATTTAGCGGTTGCACCGTTAGTACCTCCTCCTTCTTGTACACAACTTTCGTACGACCCCTACTGGAGTTTGCTGCTCCGGTATGGGATTCAAACAGAAGGAAGAAGGAAGCTTTTAGAACCTCTACTCGTCAGCGCTTTATCTCAAACCGTGTCTTCGATGTAGTGAACTCGGCATCCGTCAACAGTTTCAAAAACAATTATGCTAGACACCGCAGTGCTTAACATATTGTTCCCATTCTGTATATGTCTACTTCAGAAGTGCTAAGATTGCCAAATTGTTATATTTCTTTTGCCTGTACACTATTATCTATTATGTGTTTGAGTTTATAGTACTTGTACTCAACTCAAATTATTGTTTAATAATAATATAACATCAAAAAAATATCTCATGTTCTAATTTTTTTGCAAATACAGTTATTCCTAGCTAGTAGCATGAGAAATAAAACGTCATTTATTAAATTCTAAGCTGAAATCTTTGAAATGCATATTATTTTCCGGACTTTTGTACATTACGTTTGGCGGATTCCATCCCATTGCGAAGCAGTTACCACAAGGCTGCAATAATTGCAGTCGATCTAATGTTTTTCCTCAATGTAACCCAGGACTTTTACTCAAGAAAAGAGACATACATGTTGGTTTAATGGGATATGAGTACCTGCATGGGAAAATATGGACGTTTACCTGAGTGTTATATTAACTATACCTCTGTTCTCTTGGGATATATCATCCTAGCATCTAGCTGACTCCTTAGCCTACCTCTGTTGTGCCCTCAGTTCTAACGTGTATGGACAGCTTTATATATATATATATACTAAGTGACATACAAATCCGAACACCCAGTTTAAATGGTTTTATTTTAATAAAATTTTGTATAAGTACTTAATGAAGCATAATAAGTAAATGATAAAAATTTCAAAATGATTGCACTGCTTTAAAGCCCTTTGACCTTTAATAATGTGTGGATGCACCCTGATGTGCTACGCATTCTCCAACGCGCCTAGGCATGCTTCTGCTCAGGTGGTTAATGTCCTCCTGTGGTATCTCATTCCAGGCAACCACCAACTCCTCTCGAAGTGCTTCTAGAGTCTGAGGAGGTTGTTGCAAATTGAGTAATCTCCTACCCATCATATCCCACACGTGCTCAATTGGGGATAAGTCGGGAGATCTTGGTGGCCATGATAACAATGTGACATCATTATGTTGAAAGAAATCTATTGTGACTCTTGCAACATGTGGTCGGGCATTATCTTGTTTTAAAGTTGGATCTGCCAGGGTGTCAAGATAGGGTAAAAGATGGGGTTCTAGAACTTCGTGGATATAACGCTGCGCGTTCTTGTTACCTCTGATGAAGATTAAAGGTGACCTGGAACCATAAGCTATAGCACCCCAAACCATAACTCCAACAGTGTGATGCACATATCTTTCAACAAAAAACGTCGCCTTCTAACCCTGGCACGACCATCGTGCATGCCTAAACAAAATCGAGACTCGTCACTAAAGACAATACTGTTCCATTCCTGATCCCAGAGTGACCGTTGTCTGCACCACTCAAGGCGATTACGTCGGTGTTCTCGAGTTAAAGGGAGGACCCAGTGTGGCCGGTATGAAAACAAGCCAAAACTTCTCATTCGTCGGTAAACACTTCGCATGCCAATAGGTCTTCCGTGTTCTGCAAACCATTCATTTGCAATGGACCTGGTAGTGGAGAAACGGTCCCTTAAGGCCAATAATCTTAGGCGGCGATCTTCACGGTCTGTTGTTCTACGGCGGCGTCCAGTGCCCCTTGCTCTTTGCGTACGGCCTTCTCGAAGCCATGCCTGACAACACCTAAACAGTGTCTACACTTCTTTGCACTCTAACTGTAATTGCCCGAAAAGATAGTCCAGCTTCCCGAAGTCCCACTATACGGCCCCTATCAAACTCACTAAGTTGACGAAATCGTACAGGTCTCCGTACTCTAGACATCGTAACCGATCGTAAAGGATGTCAAGAACCAAAATCCGCCAACGTTGATTCTTTACTGCGGCTGAAATATTCATTTTTAGAGCGTTAGTGAATTAAAAAAAAGCAGTAATAAAAACCGGAATGTCCAACTGATAAGACTGAAAATTTTTCCACTTGTTATTTACAGTAAGATAAATACATTCACCAACTTTTTTAAAATAAAACCATTTAAACTGGGTGTTCGGATTTATATGTCACTTAGTATATATATATATATAAATATATATTTTTTTTAGCGAGAAAAACCGTTATCTCTCTAACTACCCACCAGTTATATTTCCATCGAAGTCTGAACCCAACACCAAGAAAAAGTTGAAAAACGATGACTTCTATCCATTTTACATGTTTCATTTGCAAGACAGAGACGAATATCCACTAACCGTCGGTTGCACCAAAATGAAAATTGACGATTTCATATTCAATTTTTGGGAGATCAAAGCATACTACGCCGAGAAGTTGGGATATCTGATGGATTACTGGCAGGTAAGTTACTTGAATTGGAAGAGTGGAAGCAACAGTTATAATTTGACGTAAAAGGTTGGAACACCTGAAACTTGTTTTGTAGTTGCACATATGTTTCAATTACTATTTATTGTACGACGTGGCTTTTTTCAAGTACAATAACAATGACAGTATATTTTGTTATCTCTCTTCCAGATGACAGTCATTTGTTTCGTCTTTTCTTCATTACTATATGGGCCGTTCAAGTATTACGTGAGCACTATGGGGGGGCGGGGGGCTCATTGCTTTGCTTATTTTGGATGACATGGGGGGTAGGGGAGTCTACATGATGATTACGTCATCGGTAGTTATTTACTTTTTTACACGAATGGCCACCCTCACATTGTCTTTGCTTGAAAACGAAAGGCATTTTCGGGGATTCCCGCAAATAATGCATACGTTTAGTGAACAGCGCGCGGTAATTCCCCGACTCGCTTTAGAACCGAGTAGGGGAATTACCGCGCGGTGTTCACTTGTCTAAATTTCCTCTATCAGTGTATTGTTTCGTTTGGATACTATAGCGAGTAGATGTATTGTAAGCATAGTAAAGCAAGTTAACATTTGTGTTACCATTGATTCCATTAGCCAAAGTTTAATGTTTAAATAAGATGTCGTTTCACATAGACAAATCCAAGTTATACCAAAAATTGTTTGATAGTTTTAAAAAATCTCATACAAGTACAAAATGTACAAAAGTTAGTTAACGAAGTGTGGCGAAATTACAAATTACAAGCAAAATCCGACAAGGAACTAGATATTATTGTATCTAAGAGAAACGAAGAAGAATTTCAAGCGGCGACTAAGAATAAATCCAATCTACTAAATTTTTTTTCTAAGGTGAGTGACGAAATCATTTTAGGTACCTATGAGTACTAGAAATATTAGAAATCGCCAAAAAGTTTCTCTTTACTGATTAGAAAATATTATGGCCTATCTCAAAGTATAGAAGTAATATTCATTATATTATAGATTTATTTCTTATGATTGATTCCGTCAATTGGTCACAAAGTACAGGAGTATAAGTATAGGAGTTTTATACATATATACAGAAAACTAACACCCTGTATTTTGTGACCGGAACGAATTGCTCGTTTAAACATATTAGATTTAAAGCCATAATACAGTTTTGTATTTACCATATACGTAGTCGTGCCATAAGTTCTGTCCCATGATAATCTCATGATAAAAATGAAACAAGATAAGATATATTTATATGAAAGATATTATTTATTCGACAACATTTTTAGAATTCATAATCAAACAGTTTTATTCAAAATGTCCCCCCTTGGCCTTCACACACTGCTTCAATCTCGCGGGCCACTCATCTATCACTGCACGCACAGCTTCCAAAGGAATAGCTGCCGCTGATCGGATCAAATCCGCTTTCAGGGACTCGATATTACGGTGGGCTTTGGAGCAGGCCAACTGCTCTAGCAGGTCCCACAACTTGTAGTCTAAAGGATTGAGGTCCGGACTCCCTGAGGGCCAATCTTCCGCAGCAATGAACTCTGGCACATTGCTTTCCAGCCAGCGCTGCGTACTCTTAGCCTTGTGAGCGGGGGCGGAATCCTGCTGGTAGACCCAGTGTTGGTTGGCAAACAATGTACCACTTAAAGGCTTGACGATAGGATCCAGTATGTCGCTCTGATAGTTTGCCGCTTTTGTTTTCACGCCCTGTTTACAGAAATGGAGCTGAGTGACCCCTTCGTAGGACACCCCCCACCAAACCATGACTGACGCAGGGTGGTGGCCTCTCTCAACTCTCGGAATGATCTCCGAAGCTTCCTGTGAACTCCTTGCATACACTTTGTCATTTTGTCGGTTGAATTTTTCTTCTATGGTGAAGATTTTCTCATCCGTCAACAAAATCTTTCGGAATCCCCCAGCTGCGTACCTCTCCAAGAGCTTCTTGGATCTTGTCGCCCTGATGTGTCGCAAGGTGGCCGTAAGTCGCTGGCCCGTACGTCTCCGGTAAGCCCCTAGCCCTAGGTCTTGTTTAATGATGCGCGACATCGTCCGGACAGGAATCTTCATTTCCCTGGATAGGATCTTCTGCTTCCGGAGTGGATTCCTTTGAATCCTGGCTTTTACGGCTTTGATGGCTGCTGGAGTCCTTACTTGACGAGGTCTTCCGCTTTTTGGCCTGTCATCAACAGAGGACGTCTCATTGTACCGCTGAATGGTCCTAGACACAAATTTACGCGATATTTGAAGGCCGCGTAAGAGTTCAAAAATCTGACTAGCACTGTGATTACACTTATGTAAAGCTATCACTGCAATACGGTTCTCTGCCTTGCCCCACTCCATCGTTAAGCTTCGAGAGATCAATACAAACTGAGGTATATGTAATTACCCGAAAAGCGCTTAATCAACTGACACCACAATGTAAACAATCGGACAAGTATTAACAGGTCTACACTTGTTTGAAAACGAGGGACAGAACTTATGGCATGACTACGTATATTGCCATACTTTGTATTTATGTAGCTTAATAAGAGAATCTTTAGCAGAAGGCATAGAAAGTTTTTGGTTTTAGGCAACCTGTAAACCTGCAAAAAAAACACAAATTATACAGTCAGCTTCAAATATTAAAAAAGAGGAAGAAGATAAAATAAAACCCGGTAATGAATCGCAACAGCAATACGAAATTAATGAAAATACAGATAAACAGAGAGCAAAACCTTCTCAGGAAGCTATGAAAAAAAAGATTGCTCTACTCGAAAAAAATCTGAATGCTTTGTATTCTGCCAGAGATACTATGCCAAGCCGTGCTGAAGTTGATAAACAGATCATTAAGTTGCGCGAGGAAATAAAAACAGCAAAACAGTCTTTAAACAGGAAGGTTCAAAACGCAGTTGCCCAGAAGAAACACAGGGATGGTATGAAAAGAAAGTTAGAAGATATTTGTCATGAAAATCCAGAAATAAAAAAATACTGTCTCTGAGGGATTCAGTGGGAAGTCCTAATCTTGAAGGAATCAACATTCACTATTGAAAACAATCGCGGATATAGCTTTATTTGGGAGTGCAGCAGATGATAGAAGACGAACGGAATCAATTCGCAGCGTAAAAACTCTTGATGAACTTACACAAGAATTACGTAAAATAGGATTTGACCTTAGTCGCAGTGGGACATATCTTCGTTTGATTCCCAGAAAATCTAATTCTGCAGAGGGACGAAGACATGTATCGACAGTCCCTGTTAAGCTCATTCGGGCTCAAACTGATCACCACAAGAGCCACTTAGATAGCAAGTTCGCTGAAACATCAATCCATTGTTTAGAGAACATAGCATCCATACTTGGACCAGATCAAGTATTTTTCATATCTCAAGCTGATAAAGCTCGAGTCCCTATTGGCGTAACTGCGGCAAATAAGTAAGCACCTCTTCTAATGCACATGGAATATAGAACCAAATTGCCTGATCACGATTGAGTAATCGCTGAGCGTCATAAATTATTACCATCTCAGGATTTCGAGACTCTTCTCGAACTTGAAGAGTTTCGACCATTAGCTAAAACTGACCATGGACTAGTAAAACCAGTGGTAATCATGACGGTTGATGGAGGGCCAGATGAAAATCAACGTTATCAAAAAGTCATAGGGTTTGCTATACAACACTTTAAGCGACATGATCTCGATGCATTGTTTTTAGCTACCAATGCTCCTGGAAGAAGTGCGTATAACAGAGTAGAGCGCAGAATGGCTCCTCTTAGTCGGGAACTGTCTGGTTTAATATTGCCTCATGACCATTTTGGGACTCATTTGGATGAACGTGGCGTTACAATTGATGAACATTTGGAAAGATCTAATTTCGAATTTGCAGGAAATGTATTAGCTGAAATATGGAGTTCAATGGAAATTGATGGCTATAATGTTAATGCAAAATATGTTCGGGCAGGTGAACAAGATCTTCCTGATTTTCCAGACATTAAATGGTATTCAGAACATGTGCGGGAGAGCCAATACTTGCTTCAAATTGTAAAATGAGGAATACAGAATGCTGTCGTCCAAGAAGTGGCCTATTTAGATTACTAGACAATAGGTTTCTTCCACCACCTGTTAAAGTAAAACAAACAGTTGATGACTTGGTTTTGGATGAAGGAGGGCAATTTCTTGATCTTTCATTCAATTTAGCTCTACGCTTAAGTGTTTCACTCAAAGATTTCCTGCAAATGCCCTACGATTATTTTTGTTCGACGGTAAAAAGGCTATCAAGTCGAACATGCAAAACGTGTGTTCTTTATCATGCTTCCGTCAAGTCACTAAATCGTCACATCGAAAATATCCATAAAAAAGTAAACACGCACACTGATAGGAAAGTTAGACCTGTAAGAGTCGCTGCTCGTCGTGCTAATGAACTGATGTGCATTATTCAAAATTTTGAGCACCATGATGTTGAATGGCTCGATGAGAACGACGTAGACATTCCAAAATCCGATGAAAGCGAACAAACTCACAACACTGAGCAGCAATCGAAGCAATCCAATGTCATCGAAAACTTAGAATCACGGATTCGGGTTTCATGGACTGAAGACTGTTAATTTGAATTTAATATATGTACCAAAAATTTAAAATAAGTTTGTTATGTAAGTAAGATATAATATTTTTGTCCCTTACTCTATGTTGAATACCGTATTAGTAAAATATAATCTCTATCCTAAATCTATTTTCTTATTTTTCAAATTATAATTATAACGTTATAATTATATCAAAAAAACAATACATTAATACATTAAATGTTTACGTAAGCATGGGGGGAGGGGGTAAGAGCTTTGCTTACTTTTGCTGACAAGGGGATGGGGGGGGGGGTAAATAATTCTAATAAATTGCTTACGTAACACTTGAACGCCCCATACAGTGTGTTGCTCAACTCCATAATCTCCTGGAGCAGGCATTCCTGCACCGCTATTATGTAAAAAACCTATAAAACGTCAAAAAAAACAAAAAATGTAGTTTTTAGGGTGCAAATAGTTCATTCCACGTTTGCTCGCTATTATTCTTGTAAGGGTCCATCTATGGAGCAATGACTCAACTACACGCATTGTTGGTTGCAGAAAGCAAGTGTATGTTTTGTGAAGCCGAGCAGTCTGTAGAGAAGATGTGAAAGAAAGAAAGTTGGTTGAATGCATCTAGATGATTATGTGTATTTATAAAATCATGTTTATAAAATCAGTGATATTTGTTGTTTGAAGAAATTGTTACTGAATATGCTGCCAATGTAGTATTTCTATTAGCTGTGCCCGACGGTTTATTTATATGTTGTACTTTCTGAAGACAGGTTATGTTCAAAGTTATAAAATACGATTTTTCCCGTTTTTTGTGTTTTCGAAAACTTTGAAGGGCACTATGGGAAATCGCCACTATTCCCGCGTTGTGTGCAATTAAGCCATATCGCAGAAAAATGAGGAATGGCGCATCACGCATCAAACATTTTCGCAATGCCTCACATCTAGACGCTGATTTGTTTTCTATTGAAATCGCAAAACAAATTATAATTAATATATGTAATGTAATAACCTTTTCACTTTCATTCCTGTCTGTAGCATATTTTCTCGCCTGTTCCTTCAGCAAACAGGGATTTTCTTTTATCTCTCATTTTTTAAATTCAGCAAATTTGTATACGTAATTTCCAGAGTGAATAAGAAAAAGTGGATTTCTAGATTTGAATCTGAAGTAAGTGTATTTGAAACAAAAAACCAATGGAATTATCATCAACTCATATTATTAGCACACAGATCCTCACTATGCAAACATTGATATCTGAAGCATCATGACGTTTAGGCAACACATATAACTACAAAACGAGTTCACAACAAGTGTCCATCAGCTATTGCTAAGTTAACATCTTGTGGAAAAACCTACATAATGTCACAAAAAAATATAATCATTCTCAAGCGAGCATGAGGTTATCAGTCATTTTTTAATGACCAGACTGTCACCAGCGTCGATCGTCGCGAAAACCCCAAAAGTGCTCCGAGAACGCAAAAATGCTGCTTGTGCATTGTTTGTAGATACGGAATGTGAGAAAAAGATCTTCGACATCTAAGGGGTAGTGTTTTGTTTGTCTTGTGAGGAAATACTATCAGACACAATAGTTTGACCTTGACATGGCGAAGTAAAACATCTGCGCATTTGATACCCAATAAGAAACCACAAGTAAATAAAAAAAAAACACTCAGCTTTGGCACTCCACTAGTCCAGCATTTTATAGTCAGTGAATTTATGACATAAGGTTATAAAGTACTGCTAAAGAGCTCCAAAATCACATTGCGCCATTTTATTTAAACAATTTTCCAAGATTTACGTTAAAAAAATAAAAATCATAACTCAGTTTCATCGCCTACATACTCGACTTTTTCAAAAGTAGGTGGGGAGGAGTACCTTTTAGAAAAGCATTATACAACAATAAATTAATCATGGTGATTTATGTGGTTACTAGTGGAATATTTGAGACCTCAGTATTGTCGACAACACTTCATGATAAACATAAACATCATGCATGGAAAAGAGCCATTTTTCGAACGTCCATACAAAGTGACCTAAACATATTTCCGCCCTGCTTTTTTTCGGTATAGGTAAAGACATCGAGGGTAAAAAACCATTAGTGACTAGGCAGTTCTACAGAGAATAATACTGACGAATCATCAGGTTTTTTCTTTTACTCTAGATTATTTTTCGGTCGCTCTTAAACCGGATATTTTGTGAACATTGTTGTTAGGCTAGGCACCCAAACACCTCTGTATGGTTAAAGCAAAGAAGAGTTATACCAAGAGAGGTCAGTTAGACAAGGCGAATGAATTTGGGAGAGATACGAGATGTAACAAAAAACATGGCGCCTAAACACGTGCTTCTTATTTAGTCAGAGATAAATGTAGTTTTGCTAGACAGATAATCCTTTTATTTGAATTCATTGTCCATCAATTATCGCGAAAGCATTTATCGTTCAAATTCAGCTATGGATATTTATCCATTATATCCGTTTGCAGCCTACGATATATACTAAGTGACATATAAATCCGAACACCCAGTTTAAATGGTTTTATTTTAATAAAATTTTGTATAAGTACTTAATGCAGCATAATAAGTAAATGATAAAAATTTCAAAATGATTGCACTGCTTTAAAGCGCTTTCACCTTTAATAATGCGTGGATGCACCCTGATGTGCTACGCATTCTCCAACGCGCCTAGGCATGCTTCTGATCAGGTGGTCAATGTCCTCCTGTGGTATCTCATTCCAGGCAACCATCAACTCCTCTCGAAGTGCTTCTAGAGTCTGAGGAGGACGTTGCAAATTGAGCAATCTCCTACCCATCATATCCCACACGTGCTCAATTGGGGATAAGTCGGGAGATCTTGGTGGCCATGTTAACAATGTGACATCATTATGTTGAAAGAAGTCTATTGTGACTCTTGCAACATGTGGTGGGGCATTATCTTGTTGGAAAGTTGGATCTGCCAGGGTGTCAAGATAGGGTAAAAGATGGGGTTCTAGAACTTCGTGGATATAACGCTGCGCGTTCAAGTTACCTCTGATGAAGATTAAAGGTGACCTGGAACCATAAGCTATAGCACCCTAAACCATAACTCCAACAGTGTGCTGAACATGTCTTTCAACAAAAAACTGTGGATTCCTCCTTTCACCACGTCGCCTTCTAACCCTGGCACGACCATCGTGCATGCCTAAACAACATCGAGACTCGTCACTAAAGACAATACTGTTCCATTCCTGATCCCAGAATGACCGTTGTCTGCACCACTCAAGGCGACTACGTCGGTGTTCTGGAGTTAAAGGGAGGACCCAGTGTGGTCGGTATGAAAACAAGCCAAAACTTCTCATTCGTCGGTAAACACTTCGCATGCCAATAGGTCTTCCGTGTTCTGCAAACCATTCATTTGCAATGGACCTGGTAGTGGAGAAACGGTCCCTTAACGCCAATAATCTTAGGCGGCGATCTTCACGGTCTGTTGTTCTACGGCGGCGTCCAGTGCCCCTTGCTCTTTGCGTACGGCCTTCTCGAAGCCATGCCTGACAACACCTAAGCGACCTAACCACAGTGTCTACACTTCTTTGCACTCTAACTGCAATTGCCCGAAAAGAAAGTCCAGCTTCCCGAAGTCCCACTATACGGCCCCTATCAAACTCACTAAGTTGACGAAATCGTACAGGTCTCCGTACTCTAGACATTGTAACCGATCGTAAAGGATTTCAAGAACCAAAATCCGACAACGTTGATTCTTTACTGCGGCTGAAATATTCATTTTTAGAGCGTTAGTGAATTAAAAAAAAGGAGTATAGAAACCGGAATGTCCAACTGATAAGGCTGAAAATTTTTTCACTTGTTATTTACAGTAAGATAAATACATTCACCAACTTTTATTAAAATAAAACCATTTAAACTGGGTGTTCGGATTTATATGTCACTTAGTATATATTTTTCATTGAATAAAGTTATAAACTACACTTTCCGCGCGTGCTATCAATGTCATGCAAACAGTAGTTATTGTCAAAAACTGTAAGTTATTGCATAGCTAATTAACCTTTAGGGTCCTACGCGGAATATTACACGATTTAGAGTCACATTTATAAAGGATCCTCGAGGGCTGAGTGCCGTTTGAGGCCTGATCTACCCTTAGAAACAATGCAACAATAACGCTTCCTTGAGGCACATTCAAGAGAGGAAACATTTGCAATCACAGTAGGCTGTAATCAGATGTCATCACAGAAATATTTTCTATTACTGGCTGTCTCTCTTTAGCATTTTGATGATACATTGCAATGCAATGTATTTGCTTTCTCGAATTTATAGCGGAATCCCAGTCTGTACATATAGGCAACCAGTATTACGCCGAACTGCTAGTTCTGGTTGTAGACACAGCCAGGGGTATTAGGTAAAAAATCGATATAATGTTAAAAAAGATTGTCAACTTGTGGAAAAACGGTCAAACAAAATACAAGCGAACAACTCAAAAAATTGTGGCAGAACATCAAACAAAAGTTTTTAAAACTTTTGTCCGGCGTCGGTAATTTAGTTGATAGCCTTAGCTTTATTGTTCCATTTTGGGCGGAAGGACGCAGTTGGGTTGCACACATGTACGTTACCCTGGCGGATGTATGCCCTCACACGGTGTTTGACCTTATTACCAGCTGCGTATATAAATTTCTGAGAAATCACATGCAGCCTCAGCCTGGCTTTTTCGCATTTTCGTCATAAAAGCCGCCATACACGGACAGTGCCGTATATTCGCCATCGCTACAGCATATGCAATTCAATACAGCAACACAACTCCTACGGCGATTGTCACACGATCAGTATTTACTGTGATCCGCAGTATACGTGATATTTATTGACGGTGTAGAATTGACGTCAGTAACTACGAGGGATGTCTTTTAAGTTTTGTACATGGAAATTAAACAACACGGTGGGTAGTTTTAAATGACTATTAGTTTGTCGAAGTATTCTCCACGAAGATGAATACACATCTGCATGCGCTCGAACCAATTTCCGAAGCACTTATTCCACTCGTTTGCTGGCAGATCCAAAACGGCATTTTTGAATGCTTCAACTGCCTCTTCTGGTGACTGGAACCTTTGACCACGCAGTCTGTTTTTAATTTTCGGGAAAGTAAAGAAATCGTTATGACTTAGATAGGGACTATATGGAGGATGGTCCTATAATTCCACGTTTTCTTCCGTTAAATACTGCCTTGTTTTTTGGGCTGTGTGCGAGCTTGCATTGTCTTGGTGGAGGATGATTCTTCTTTCGGGGTTGATTTTTCGAAGCTCGGTGATGACTTTTGGCAAACGAATGGTGGTATACTAATCCGCAGTAACAGTTCTTTGCTCATTAAGAGAAATTGTTGCAATATGACCCGCTTTTGACACAAAAGTCGCGACCATCTTTTTCGAAACACTTCGAGAACGGATGACTTTTGTTGGCTTTTCTTCACCTTGGAACACCCAAACAGCCGACTGTCGTTTATTTTCTGGTTCATAACAGTAAATCCACGATTCATTACCACTAACAATGCTGTACACATTTTTTGAGTTTCTGGGCAAGCGTTTTTTGACACCAATTAACCCTGGCTGCTTTCTGCTCTTCAGACAACAGGTGGAGTATCCAACGAGAAACTAATTTTCTTACACCTAATTCTTCATGTAATTTTGAATTGAGGTCTTTGAGATCTTCAAGGACGCCTCAAACTAGCGATATGTCACATGTAAATCTTCAATGATGAGTTTGCGCACAGCATCGACGTTTTCCTGGGTGACTGCCGTTTTTGGTGCACCCACCCTGGGTTCGTCGCTAAGACTCAACCGTCCACGTTTGAATTCTCCATACCAACGGAAAATTGTCGACTGATGTGGTGCTTCGTTGCCGAAAACAGACAGTAACTCAGGAAGGCATTCTTGTTACGATAATTGTCTCTGAAAGTTGTAATAAATTATGGTGCGAAAATGTTCTCGGTTGAGTTCCATTTTTCTGATGACTTGGTGACACTTAAAAATTCACTGTAGTGAGAACACTGCACGTATTGTTGTGAAACTTTGAATTTAAGTTTACTAAAGAGCGAGGTTAAGAGTCAGTACTGACGTTCGATGCGCGCGTCCTACTATGTTTCTATATGCGAAACATAAAGGACATCCCTCGTATTGATGTATACGGATACGTTGAATTCCACTGATACTGACAAGCAAAAGTAACTTGCACCCGTTTTAGCTGTTTGTAACACAAATTCTCGCTTATTCACCTTTTGCTCAAGAGGTTGATTGCAAATATATTTTTTATCCAACATTTGCTTACCTCTTTCTATATTTGCAAAATTTGTCTAAGTCTTCAACTGTGTTCAACCAGACGTCTTTTGCACGCTATAGACAAACATATGCAGCCCTGATGGAAAGAAACAACAAGGATGACGGCGATGTTCTGAGTACTCTCGCGGAGTGTCAATAGGATCTTGAAAATGCCCATATCAAATCGATAACTACGTTACTGCTTTAGGAACATGACAATTTCGGTTTACCAAATGCGGTTTTTTTATAAACTACGTTAACCTAGACACCACGCGACGCCTGATTTGGATACTGACTCACATAGTCTTAGTACATCTTACGTTTTGACGTAGGAGGGGATTGTGGGAGGGGAGGGTGGCAGGGTCGTACTGGCTCTTTTATTGTTTTTTGGAACCTAATATACCGGTTATCTAAAAGCTTTTGGCATATATGTTACTAAAAACAAGCTAATTATTGCCTGTCACATACGCTCTACAAAGGAAAGTCTCAACAAAATTAACCAAATTCCTGTGAATCTGTCATGGCGATATTACCATGGAGTTGCTCACAACTGGCTGTGGCAGCGGTTCCCAGCGTGAGCCAAGCCTGAAGGTCATAGAGATTCTCATAAAAACATCGTAATTTTTGGTAGTTGCGTTGATGCGCAGTAATATATATGCCGTCTCATCACTCTGAATCCTTCCTATTTATACATAGTTTCACCGCCGTGCAGATAATACGTTCATTCACAGCTCTACACGATTTTGCACACAAAGGAAACATCCAAGGCCGTATGTTTCACACCATGAGGTTTTTGGTTGGATGACCGTGGATTTAGCATATTTTCAGGACTTTGCCGATTAAGCAGTCACAAAAGGAATAGAAAGTCGTACAGTCGAGTAAATTGCCGTGGCGCATCAGACTCATCCATTTGTTTTTAATTCCAAAAGTCCATTGTAAATGCACAAAATCCATATTTTAGTATTTTTGAAATCACAAATCTTCCGAAAAATAATTACGTCCTAAAATAATCCAAGAATTCATATCACTGTCAAAGTGTTCTACTCAAACTTTACAGAAATCTAGAAACAATAGGAGTTATATGTTTTGAAATATGTATTTCAACTCCGTAAAAATTATTTTATGTGCACCTGGAGAAACGCAATACAAAAAAGTTCAAAAAAAGAATCTGGTATCAAAAATCTGAGATCCCCAAAAAATTCCTGACTGTCCGGAAATGCGGAATAAAAAAGAAGGAATAAATGTGTCTACCATACTTATCGGTTTATAAATAACGGTTTTAATCATAATTATTGACATTCAGTAAATAGCTTTGAAAGCTTTTGTAACAAAAAAGGCATCAAGTAGGTTAACTGTCCACTCCCACGCAACAATTTCATCAGTTCATAAATCTTTATTATAAGAATTCACGAACATGTATAACACAAAAAATAAGAACTAAATGGGTCAACTGAGCCAAATAGCCCATAGACCCACTCATTTGATAACTCCGCAGTCTGGAAACGTTTTCCCTGCCCTTACTGAAAGCATCGACCATCTGGCAACGCCTGCCATGCTATGCTGGCCAGCTCCAGCAGTGTGGCGGTGAAAGATTAGGCGGCAGTCGCAGACAGGATTTTGTAGGCACCTTCGTAGCTTACGGCAAGTGCGATCTAGGCGCGACACCTCCGTTTGATATTTCTCCAAGTTAAAAGAGCAAATGTATGAGGATATCAATGATATATGTGCTAATTCTATAGATCAGCCTCAGGATATAGTAAACGCATTCAGTGAGTTTTTCAGCAGCGTCTATGTCACTCATAAGCCCCATAATAATGCTTCACTAAGGTCCGTATCGTCAGTCGTCCCTACAATTGTGTATGTTTATGGCCTCCTTGATTGTCATACTGCTTTCTCTCCTTCAAAAATTTCTAGATTACACTTGTCCCGTGTCAGCGTCAGCGCTCTCCTATTGTGACGATATGTTTTCTTTTTAAATTGAAGGAAATTTCAGGCTGATAAAACATGATATAACTCAAAAGCAAGCACAATTTGATTGCAAATAGATGTTGGTGACATAACCTCAAAATAGAGCGCTGACACGGAGAAGTAGAAAAGTATGACAATCAAGGAGGCCATAAAGGCGCCCTACAATTGTAGGGACGACTGACGATACGGGCCTAAATCATAGTAATTTATTTGTCCATTTATATCCAATTGAGGAAAATGAAGTCGGGAAGGCCATTAAATCACTAAAGGATAAGATGACATCTGGTCTAAACTGTATCCATCGAAGAAACAAAGTAAAATCAAACATATACACCCGTATTGCACGTGATCAAGAACTTAACCGTAGGAGACGCTACAGGGCCGTATCAAGCTATTGTGACTGATCTATCAAAAAATGTCGTACAAGATATGTGTTGCTGTAAAAGCATAGTAAATTATCAGGAATATACCACGCCTTTCTAATCATATTTCGACATTAGGAATCAATGCAAAAAATTCTGTATTCACCATTTCAGCAAAATGTTACTAAAACGCACACGAAAAAAACTTGTGGACCATCTCAATTGAAATTGTTCATATTTTATTATTAACTTACATATATACCCAATAATATTTACAAATCAACCTTCTATTCACAATGCAGAGCAAATTTTTTTGAGCAAATAGAAACTACAGACGTAGTAGTAGTAGTACAAAAGTTTATTACAGACTCCATAAAGTTTGTTAGTTTGATTGCTATTAAAATTTACATGAGAAATAGGAAGAAGGTCAAAATGGCACTATTATGCTTTGGAACTCCTAAATTAACCCTAATTTTGTGTAATTATAAATTTGGAATTTCCACATTAATAACTAGAAACTTACACTTTGATTGCAGTCTATAATGAACTTACCTGTCTTGCCAAAAAGCCCGTTAAACTGCCAGTCTTAATGGTATCAATCGATTTATATGCTGTATTCCGAGGAGCTTGAATCATCAGAATTGTTGATGTCAATTTTAAGGGGTTCAACTTGGGTGTCAATGATATTGTCCATATCCCACATTTTGGTTTCAACCTTCTCTTGGACATGGTCAATACATGTTCTCCATTTTGCTGGCGTAATTCTATGGACAGCAACATCAAACAGTTTTTTAAGGTCAGAAAACTTAAAAGTGCTGTTATTTGACGCCACGTATTGCTTGATGTCGGCCCAAATCAACTCGATAGGATTCAGTTCGCAGTGATAGGGAGGCAGCCTGAGAATCGTTTTATTTTGGTTTTTGGCCATTTCGTCAACAATTTTTAAATCATATTTATACTTATGTCGCTTGACTATATTTATCAGCTCAGCTTTGACCATTGTGTTGGTCGAAGTCGATCTTCTTTGAGACAAGCCACTGTTGAATGTCTGCCTTTTTGGTGGCCATTGTTGGAATTTTTTCCAATTTTCTGGAGTGGTACGGGGCATTATCCATCACAATAATTGCGTTATCATCAAGTGTCGGCAAAATTTTTTTGAACCAATTTTCAAATGAGTTACCATCCATTTCTTCGTGATAGTCTCCAGTTTTTTTGGATTCAAATGCCCACAATGCTTCAGGAACAAATCCATCTACGCTACCTATGTGGCAAATGATCAGCCGTTTTCCCTTGCCTGAAAGTAATTAGATATTTTACTTCTCAGCGAGCGCACTAAATGACGAAATTAAGCAACTTACTCTTTTTAGGTTAGTGTAGGATAGGGTCTTAGATTAGTTTTTGGGTGAAGGAAATACTCAGAAACTTGGATGAGATAGCAAAACTGAGTTCGGAGCTTCCAAATCATTGATTCGATCAGAAAATGAATTATCTGCATCCAAAAAAGTTCATGTACTTCGAAACTTACCTGCAGGATTTTTCAATCCCGTCGAAAGGCCATCTAAAAAAGCCTGCCTTGAGGACCTCACAGATCTGTCTACCCAAACCTTTCCCTGCGTATGCCCCGCGTTCACCCATGTTTCGTCTAAGTAATAAATTTTTCTTCCTTCAGCGCGGAATTGCCTAATTTTTCTAAGGTATTCTCTCCTCCAGATAACAATTTCCTCCTTTTCTATCAATAAACTATTCCTTCCTCTTTTCAAAAATCGAAAGTCTAGTTCTTTCAACAGCTTATGGAACGTAGATCTTTTAAAATTTGGCAGGTCCTCATCATCATTCACTTGCTTCAATATTTTATCTATTGTAGGTATTTCATTCCTGAAGAAAAAGTGATGTACTTTTCTTCTAATGGCACTTTTGTCAAAGTTATCTATTTTTTCGATGATTTTTTTTCTCGCTGGATATGTTTTTGGCTCAGATAGTGAGTGATTTTGTCTATATTCCTTCAAGATTTTGATCGACCTACTCCAGAAATTTCAGCAACCTTACATACGATATTTTCTATAGCCAATCCACTATTCTCCACTATTAAATTTCCGCAAGAAAAATCAAGTCAAGACGAGCATAAAACGTTCGCGCTCATAAACGGGTATCCGTAACTGATTACAATCCTGTGCGTGGTGACGAACCATCAACGTGACGCTGAGAGTTCCCTCTACTATGCAGCGTTGCCAGGCTTAATGTCACAATGATCATGTTTTATTGGGAAAATTGTCAGAAATCGCCGAATGTTGAACAGAAACATTACAAGAAGTCTAACCTTGAAATGTGAGGCTACAATTCGATATTCTTATAGGGGGGAAGGGTAGGGAGCTGTTATGGTTCCTATTAACCTTGGTGAAAGTTGGAAACGGTAATATCATATATGGCATACATTCGGTTGAAGGTGTGTGCACGGAAAATAGATTGCGGATAGGATTTTAATAGATAAATCTGCACAAAAAAACACAAAAGGAGATTTTTGTATTTCCCTGAAGAATATCTCAAGGTTATTTCAGATGTACTCATCGAAACTTTATGGAAGGATTATCGAAACCTTATTTTCAATTGCGATAGGGCCACATACCTCGACATCGCATTAATGTGAAAAATAAGACAATAGAAAAAAATTCCCTCACTGATGCTATCTCTTAGGAAAAATTTAACTATAAAGATTGCACAAAAATTTTCTTCACCTTTTTGAGCTTGTTTTCGCATCTCCGTATATGCCGTTCATAATTTGCTGCAGATCAAATTGGAGTATACCTTTGTTATTATTGTTATATAATGTCCTTTACAACAGTTATTGCACGTATTGCACCAACAGATTGATTTGTGATCCATGCGAATGTGATCAACCACTCTGGCGAAAACTCGCCGAGCGTGGCAACCGTGCGACTTTGTCTGGAGGCTCGTCGCTACAAGCCAATCAGGAAGAGGCCGACAGAGCGCCATGGCTACCGATCACGCGTTGATCACGAATCAACCACTGTTTACGATTACTTTGTAGCTTCGTTAGATACACTTTAGATGGCATCCCGTCCTTTATAGTCAAATATTGTGTGGAAGTGTTTGTTGGTGTTCTAACTAGGATTTTTAATATTTGTCTTATAACAAAAAGATTTCCAGATATTTGGAAAATCGCTAAGGTCTGTCCAGTGTTTAAGTGTGGGGATAAGTTAAATATTGAGAATTACAGGGCAATCTCTATATTATGCATGTTCTCGAAAGTCTTTGAAATAGTCTTGTACAGTCGCATTTACACTCCCGTCCAGCGTCAGCTGTCATTGCATCAACACGGATTTGTCGCTAATCGCTCAACAACCACAAATCTATAATAACGCAGTACCTCTCGGAAGCAATTGATAGTAATGAGCAAGTTGACGTTATTTATACCGACTTTTCGAAGGCTTTCGATAAAATTAACTACAAAACTTTATTAAATAAGTTAGGTGCACTTGGTTTCACAGATGATGCTAGGGAGTTGATGAAATCTTACTTATCCGATCGTAGACAATTTGTTAGCTATAATGGCTTCCAATCTGAGACCTACTTGGCACCTTCTGGAGTTCCTCAGGGGTCCAACCTGGGACCATTACTGTTTTTGATATTTATTAATGACCTCTGTGACTCAGTTGAATGTGAACGCCTATGCTTTGCTGACTACCTAAAAATTTATTCGCAGATAAATACTCCTGATGATTGTATCAAGCTACAACACCAATTAAATTTTGTGCTGTCTTGGTGTGTAGAAAACAAGTTGGAGCTTAATGTGAGGAATTGAAAAATAGTAAGCTATACCAGGAAAATTAATGTTTGCGAATATCCGTACTCTATTGATGGGTCTGTGCTAGAAAGATGCTCTGATGTACGTGATTTAGGTATAATCTATGATCAAAAGTTAACTTTTAGTCAGCATATAAATAAAAAAGCATCAGAAGCATTGGCGGCGTATGGTTTCATAGTAAGGAATTGCAGGAATTTTCATAACATAAAGTCTATTAAGCTATTATATTATGCTTATGTTAGATCCAAAGTCGAATATTGTAGTATTATTTGGAGCCCGTACTATGAATGCTATAGCACAGCTATTGAAAGAGTACAACGGAAGTTTATGAAATTTGTTCTGTTTAGGATTGATGGGACATATCCAGAGAGAGGTACAAGTAATGAGGAACTATGTAGTCGCTTAGACATGTTGACTTTGAAAAAATGTAGGTACTGTGCCTCAATAATATTTGGCTACAAAATGATCAACAATTTAATTGATTGCCCCTTGATCCTGGAACAGATCAAGTTTCGTACCCCAACGTTTGCATCTCGCAATCATAAAATATTCGGGCTTCCTAGAGCTAGGACAAACATCCTTCTCAAGTCACCGTTATATGTAATGTGCTCTAACTTAAACAGAATTGGATGTTACTGTGATATATTTACGACAAATGTTAATTACCTGCTAAAGACAGCTAAGGCTTATTCGGACCAATAGCTCATGTTACAAATTTATACCTGTGTTGAATTTGTTGTTTTCTTTTCTAGCTAAAGACAGCTAAGGCTTATTCGGACCAATAGCTCATGTTACAAATTTATACCTGTGTTGAATTTGTTGTTTTCTTTTCGCTTTTTTTTTGCTTTTGTATTATGTTTATAAATTGTCCTATAAATGGGAAACTGTTGGACAATAAAGCTATTATTATTATTATTATTATTATTATTATTAATAGGTGCGTAGAATTAGCGGGGTTGGAAGCATATGAATATACTACAGCAAAAAATTTAGCTAACCCCCAATATTTTTAGCTCCACAAAAATATTTCCGAAAATAACCAGGGGCGTCTGAACCGTCAACAAAAACTAAGTTTGAGCAACCTTAATTTTATTCGTTGTTTGCCAGTAACTCCACCGCTACTGCTACTGGACCAATTTTCAAAATGTACTAAGCTTTTTTTCGTCCTTGGCAAAGTAGGAAAGTAACCTTGTGTGAAAATTTCATCCAAATTCCAGCAGTAGTTATAGAGCGGGTCAAGGACTGTCGGACTACCGTCGGAAATGAATGACATAGTTTTCCGCGATGAACATGCCATATAACATCCAAAAAATACAGGGTGGCGCATCGAAAACGAAACAGGCGCATTTACTGGCAGTTCAGTTTTTTTTTGGAAAAACGCTCAGACCCGTCGATTTTGTTTTCGAGGGGACACAAGTTTGGCAAAAAATCACGTTAACACGTGCAGCCCCGTAGGCGGGGGTGACACCAACCCTAAAATCTTAAATGGAAAGGGAGTGATACCTTATTTTAAAGGTCTTTCAATTCCCTTTATAATGATGTAAAATACATGAGCTTCAGTTCAGTAGTTTTGAAGATTTATTGATTTAAAGCTTAAAGTAGACTTTAATAGGTACATCAGATTAGTAGTACTACTTTCAGAAGAAATTTGACTAAAAGAATTTACTTAATAAGTAAATGCTATTCTTCACTATGTCCATGGTTTGTTTATTATTTTGTTGTTGAAAATAGCTATTGGAGCGTTTTTTTGTGGCAATAAAATTATTTCTTGAAGAAAGGTAAGGAAATATCTCGTACTTATTTTAAATACGAATTTAGTACATAGTTTGCGATTGACCAAACTTTGTTGCTAAAATAACTTGTAACGCTTTATTACATAAATTAACCATGGTGTATTCCACAGCAGAAATAGTTGAAATTATCGAAATATTTTTCGGAAATAATCAGTGCGCTAATAGAACAGCAGAAATATTTAATGAGCGACATGAGAACAGTAACGTGCATCGAAAGTATGTAAATTTCGGGAAACTGGGTCAGTCGCCAATAAAAAACGCAAAATTGAAAATCCCATAAGGAACGAAGCAATAGAAGTGGGGGTTTTAGGGCAAGTTTATGTAGATCCTACGTTAAGTACCCGCAAATTGGAGACTGTGTGTGGTGTTAGTCGAAGTACTGTCCAACGGATTCTAAAGGCCCATAGTTTTCATCCGTATAAAATTCACCTGGTACAAGAACTCAATGAAGACGATTTTGATCGGTGATTACAATTTTGTGAAGATATGAGTGAACGAATTATAAACGATGAAAATTCTCTATTCAACACTTGCTTTTCCGACTAATGTTCCTTTTTCTTAAATGGCGTAGTAAATCGTCATAGCTGCCGCTATTGGTCCGATTCTAATCCCAGAATTTATCATGAGGTTCATACACAGCAGCTACAAAAATTAAATGTTTGGGCTGGTATTTTTGGCGATCATTTAGTGGGTCCTTTTCTCTTACCTGGAAATTTGACCGGTGAAATGTATTTGGAATTACTGGAAGACCCCATAGATCCTGCATTAACAGCCATAATTGAAAATCAGAATGATCGGCGGTACATTGCGAATATGTTATGTTCCAACAGGATGGTGCCCCACCACATTACGCATTACGTGTTCGACAATATTAAGATCAGACGTTTCTAGATCGATGGTTAGTTGATTCTTCATTTTTAAATTACTTTGCTGCCAAATGTATTGATCTCCACTAAGGATGATGTATTAGTTTTATTTAAGCTTTAAATCAATAAATCGTCAAAACTACTGAACTGAAGTCCATTAATTTTATATCATTATAAAGGGAATTGAAAGACCTTTAAAATAAGGTATCACTCGACCTCCCTTTCCATTTAAGATTTTGGGGGTGGTGTCACCCCCTCTTAGGGGGCTGCACGTGCTAACGTGATTTTTTGCCAAACTTGTGTCCCCCTCGAAAACAAAATCGACGGCTCTGAGCGTTTTTCAAAAAAAAACTGAGCCGCCAGTAAATGCGTCTGTTTCGTTTTCGATGCGCCACCTTGTATGTTACAATACTTCCTCGCTAGTGGGCGTAGAAAGTAAAAATCAAATATATTTGGGTACAAACCTATCAATCAGTTTCTATATTATAATTACTGAACTTTTATTACTATTGAATATTAAGATTAGTAATTCAATGATTGGAATGTTAACCAGATAAAATTTGTTTGAAGCTCTCATTTACGTGTTTGAAGAAAAATGTTTGAATAACGAGTACGTAGGATTACCAGAATACCAAAAAAAATGTGCATTTATTTTCAACAGTTCATCCGTACAAAAATCGGTTTTAATCTTTTTTCAGGTTCAACTTTCCATTCGTGAAGTATTTTTCTATAAGTTGAACACGGAAGACGTTGGGAAAATCAAGGGCAGCATCAAAATCAAGGACACGATGCATTTAGAAGTCGTGCTTAGCGGTAGAACCATGGACGCTTTCGATCTCACTTGGGCTGTTCCACCAACATTGTTGATTACCAGGTTTGCATCATATCAGTAGTTAAAAAAAATGGATCTGAAATACGCTAGTGCCATCTATGAGACAATAGCAGAACACAAAAATGAATTTAGAAATCCACTTTGAAAAAGTTAGTGTTTGGTTCTTCTACTCTCTCACAGGTGGCGCTAAGATATTCAATCAGTTTCTGGCTCCTTTCTATTCTGTCTATTTTGATTCAGTATCTATTTATATGTTATCGGGTAAACAATGATAGAACGAAATAAAATGAGTTATATAAAATAAAAATATGAAATAAATCAAAAAATCAAATAGCCTTGTCCTGCCGGTTGGTTGACAAAACATAATGAACAAATTTTACAAACATTAAAATATAAAATTTAAATATTTTCTGATTTTTTCGCTCATGACATTTTGTCAAAACTCCGTCCTAGTCTGGGCAAGTTATAGAAAGTACAAATATTAGAGGGTAGACGGCAGAGAGACAGACAGACCTACGAAAATCTCATACAACATAAAAAATGCACGACCCGTTAAAGCACGCCACTGGAAAAAGAAGCTTCTCTAACAATTTTTCAACGTTACTAATAATGATTTTTAAGTTTTGCATATGGAAATAAAACAACACGGTAGCTAGTTTTAAATGACTTTATTTACAGTTCTTTGCTCATTAAGAGGAATTGTTGCAATATGACCCGCTTTTGACACAAATGTCGCGACCATCTTTTTCGAAATACTGCGAGAACGGATGACTTTTGTTGGCTTTTCTTCACCTTGGAACACCCAAACAGCCGACTGTCGTTTATTTTCTGGTTCATAACAGTAAATCCACGATTCATCACCACTAATAATGCTGTACACATTTTTTGAGTTTCCGGAATTGAAACGGTCAAGCGGTTTTTGACACCAATTAACCCTGGCTGCTTTCTGCATTTCAGTCAACAGGTGGGGTATCCAACGAGAAACTAATTTTCTTACTCCTACTTCTTCATGTAAAATTTTTTGAATTGAGGTCTTTGAGATCTTCAAGGACGCCTCAATCTCGCGATATGTCACATGTCTTTCAATTATGAGTTTGCGCATAGCATCGACGTTTTCTTGTGTGACTGCCGTTTTTGGTGCACCCACCCTGGGTTCGTCGCTAAGACTCAACCGTCCACGTTTGAATTCTCCTTACCAGCGGGAAATTGTCGACTGATGTGGCGGTTCGTTGCCGAAAACAGACAGTAACTCAGCAAGGCATTCTTGTTGCGATAATTGTCTCTGAAAGTTGTAATAAATTATGGCGCGAAAATGTTCTCGGTTGAGTTCCATTTTTCTAATAACTTGGTGACACTTAAAAATTCACTGTAGTGAGAACATTGCACGTATTGTTGTGAAACTTTGAATTTTAGTTTACTGAAGAGTGAGGTTAAGATTCAGTACTGACGTTCGATCCGCGCGGCCTACTATGTTTCTATATGCAAAACTTAACGTACTTGGCTCGTTAGTCACAGTCAGAAGAAGAATAACCATTTTTTTACAGATGGTCACAACTAAAAATGCTCCTATATGAATTTGGCGTTGTGGATGGTAGAAAAATGGAGGACGGTTTGCCTACAATCCTTCTCTAATGATGTTTTTAATAAAATATGAAGTGTAGCAATATCAGTGTTAGTCAGTGCTATATTTATTTGATGTATTTGTCATGATCCTATAAATAAAAAAAATGTTTGACGTTACATTCTTTTTTATTTACGAGTGTATTGTATTGTAGAAAAGCGATGTGACAAGTCTTCGACTGAGGCGAATGTCACACGATGAGGATTTACTGTGATCCGGGGGAGTGTATAAATATAGCAAGATCATAAAAATTTCATATATCCTGCCCCAACCCCTACAACCTCCATTCCCTGAATTCAAACCCTTACAAAAAAAATCTGAAATTGATCGAGACCATCTGGAATGTCAAAAAACGAAGTTTGACTTATTTTTTTTTCATTTTCCGATTTTCAATAACTGCAAAGCTTTTCTGTCCTTCGCATAGAAGGAACCTTGTGTGAAAATTTCATTAAGAGATACATAATGACTTACTGACGGACATGGTTTTTCGTCTGTCATATAACATCCAAAAACACCAAATCTTATTTTAGATTACAAGACTTCCTCGCCCCGTGGCGTAGGAAGTTCCACAAAAATTAAGAAAATCGTAAATACTATTAAGTACGAAAAACTTGAACGAGAACTTGCTGGCTGCTATTGGAATTTTGGTGAGAATATGGAAAAAATATATGACAACATAATAGGAAAAAATACACCCTGGTATAACAAGAATATTAAGGCAGCTCAAAATTTGAGAGACAAATAATACAATAAATGTATATTCACAAAATCAAATGATGATTGGGAGGTATATAAAACTCTTAGGAATAAAGGTGTGTATGTAATTAGAGAAGAAAAAAGGAAATTCTACGATAAACAAATCGATAATAACAAGTGCGACAGTGTAAAGATGTGGAAGACTTTAAAAAGACTGATCAATTCGAAACCGCATGATTGTGTAAATCAAGTTCAATTCGAAAACGGTACCGAAACAAATTCTTTGGTGATTGCAAACAAACTAAATGAATATTTTGTGGAAAGTATTGTTGATATTGTGGGTACTGACAATGCTGCACCTGACTATATGAAAATCAGTTTCCAGGGGGAAATGCTGCATACACTTTCAAAATTTCACAGCGTATCATTGAATTATCTAAAAAAAAAGTAAACAGTTTAAAATCAAATAAGAACTGTGCCGAATTCACTTCTAAAAACATCCTGAAAAACTGTTTTGAAATTTTGGGATATCCTGTATTAAATTGGATCAATTGTTCACTGAGAAGCAGTTCTTTTCCTGAAAATTTGAAATGCTCTACAATAACACCAGTACCCAAAATAAAAAATTCTAAAAGGTGCAGCGATATGAGGCCAGTAAATGTGTTACCAGACATTGAAAAATTATTAGAGTCCATAGTGCATGACCAATTAATGCAGTTTATAGAAGAAAACAAAATTTTAGTGGAGGCGCAAGCAGGCTTTTGAAAAAAATATTCCACAGAAACGTCTTTCCAGTTGGTAACTGAGAATTGGAGAAGAGCCATAGACTCAGAAGAAGTTGTCACAGCAGTATTTTTGGATTTGAAACGATTGATAGAGATATTTTGTTAGGTAAATTGAAGGCATATGGTATAACAGGAAGTGTTTTAGATTGGTTTAGAAATTATTTGTCTAAAAGGATGCAAGTTACAAAAGTTAATGACACTATTTCATCAAAAATTGAAAATAGGTTGGGTGTTCCACAAGGCAGTATCCTGGGACCACTTCTTTTTATTTTATACATAAATGATTTACCTGCCATAGTCAAAAAATGCAAAATTCAGATTTTCGCCGATGACGCTATGATTTATATAAGTACTAAAAATATTCAGACTGGTATCTCTTATATAAATGAAGACTTGAAACTTGTCTCAAAATGGTTAGCATCTAACACTAAAATTAAATACAAGTAAAACGAAAGCCTTGTTAATCGGAAAAAACAATGTACAAATGTTCAACTGAATATTGATGGTGAAGATATTGAATTCGTAGAAAATTTTAAATACCTGGGGGTTTTTGTTGACTCTCGATTAATTTTTGATATTCATTATGAAAAAGTTATAAATAAGATTAGTAGTAAAGTGGGATATTTATGGAGAGTTTCTGTATGTCTGAGTTCATATAGCAGAAAAATTATCTATAATACCATCATTCTTCCAAATTTCTTGTACTGTTCGACTATTCTACAGGGTGACTTCGAAGTTGAGTCATTTATTTTAACAGTGAGTAGATCTGATCAAAAGAAATGTTTTTTTCCTTTAACATTTTTCTGGTAAAATTAAATTAACCAAAGTTTTAGCCCTTTAGAAGTTTGAGTACCGCCCTGTCTCAATAATAATAGTATGTGCTCGTGTTTGGCAACAACGGATATAATCCGCCTTATCGGTTCATCGCATAGGAAACAAAAAAGCGAAAGAATTTGAAACGTTTATCACGATGTCAGTCAATGTTTCAGTCGGTAACGCGTGAGTGAATAGTGGTGTTTGTTGCGTGGCTCAAACGAAATAAAAAATGGCACATGTTTACGAAAATGCTGAACTTGTGGACATGATTCTTATTTAATCGAGTGCAACCAACCCCTCGTGCCTTTGTTAATGTAGTACAAAGGGCCCGTGAATCAGGTGACTTAAGACCTCACAGAGGAGGGCATGCCGGTGCTCCAAGACCGCACGAACAAATACAGGTCCGTACTGAAATACTTGTCGGGAGGATACTTTATAAAACAAGGTAGCATTTTTTTTTTTTTTAATTTTTACACACATATTTTGGTTTATCTTCCTTCTACAATCATTATCTGAAAATTAATGACTCAACTTCAAATATATTTAGCAAATAATTCCAGTTTTCAAAGACTGCAAATTTTACAAAATAAGTGCATGAGAATAATACTAAAATAAAGATAAATATACTCCAATTAGGCAAATGCTTAGCAAATTAAAATGGCTCAATATAAAAAAATTTATCAAATATCTTGTAATGATATTCATTTATAAAGTAAAAAATAATATATTTCCATCAAGTCTAACTAATTTAACATCATCAAATGTCGACCATCATTTACATAATACCAGAAATAAAGATGACTTCCATTTAATGACCAAAAAGTATAACATATGCTACAAATCTGTATTCCATCAAGGGTTGATTGAATATAATAAATTATACTCAGAGATAAAAGACCAGAAAACTTTGACAAAATTTAAAGTAAAATTGAGAAATCACTTGTTAAATCTACAATTATAGGTTGCCCAGCATTTACATCATACACCCTATGGCTTGAATTTACTAGTTCTAAGTTGTTTACAATTATTCTGTTTATGTAGCCAAATGTGCTAAATAAATCTTTCTACTACTACTTCTACATGTGTTGATTGATTGATTTGGCTGGATTTTACTTGTGAATACGAGTATAATACAAATACGTTATTACTTATACGATTTTCTTTGAGAATAAAAATAGTCCATTTATATTACTCATTTTTGCAAGTGAGCACATGCTTGTGACTTTTTCAACAAACTCAGAAAAAATCTGAATCGGGTTGAACTCGGATTGCCGTAGGGTTGCGTTTGGTAACAACAGTACCTTAGACTCTACTTAGTTTTCTCTACCGATCTGATAAAGCATTCTCAAAGACGTTAAAGGTTAAAGGAACTACTTATTTCGTAAAAGAAATTAAATATATTTTGTGAAATGTTTGTCAAATGTTATAAACTTTAGCTAGGATTAAATGAGGCATTCACTCGGAAACTCATGCTCTTTAGCGTTTGAGTGTTAAAGAGAGCCACAACAAACCTGGAACAGCACAAAAATAACGAACTATTTGGGGAAGAACTACTGTTCACTGAATCACGACAGTTAAAATACAAACGCGCTATATTTTAAAACGAACAATATACTGATGAAAACTATGTATTTATTTTGGAACGCATTAGTTAACGTCGCAGGAAGTCAATTTGTTTTTATGGACCACACTGCTACCATTATACAGAGTGTTCCTTCATAAGGTTTGTGAAAACCCGCATTTTATCGAATTTTTATTACTTCGAGAAAGATTAAAAAAGTTTTTGAAACATAATTTGCGGTGAGGTACGGATGACTCCTAAATTCACACATTTTGATTTTTTAATAGTTATGTTCATGTTTTGATGGAAGCAGTCAGCATTTCGAGCTAAGTATATTCGGGTACCGATAAGGAAGAGAGCAACGGAACAACTCGCACGCCACTGCAAGCGCGGCATCTTTTTGAGTACGACGTGATACGTAGCGACCAATTTTGTCAATTCAAAGGCACGTCGCGCCAGCAGTTCTCTTCCTTTTTGATATCAGACTATGGTAGACATCATTGTAAGCGTAAACTGTAAAATAAACACTCTAATGGCCCTATTATGTGGTAAATACAAATGTTTTCAATGGAATAATGTTTATTTTTAATGTATACAGGGTTTATCGTTACAATTCATTAAAAACTTTCAAAATAAGCTCCTTCTGCGTCGATGCAACGCTGCCAGCGCGATTTCCAAGCATTGAAGGCGCCACGGAAAGCATTCTCCGGAATAGCCTTGAGAGCCGCGGTGCATGCTGCTTGGATGGTGGACGATGCCTTTGATGTCAAAAAAGACAATGAGTATCGTTTTCACTTTGGATTTGCTCATTCTTCCCTTTTTTAGGGGAAGAGACGCCGTCGTGTGCCACTCGGAAGATTGCCTCTTCGTCTCTGGATCATACTCAAAGATACACGACTCGTCACCTGTGATTAGGTTATTAAAAAATTGGGGGTCACTTTCACACATGTTCAAATTTTCTTGGCACACTCCACTTGCCGCAATTTCTGGTCGTCAGTGAGCACTTTTGGGACCATCTTCGCGCACACCTTGCGCATGTTCAAATTAATGCTGTGTCACAATATCATGAACTACAGATTTTGGTAAATTTAACATCTGGGCAATTAAATGAATACTTAGTCGACGGTCTGAGTTCAAAATTTTGCGCACACGAGTCACATTATCGGTGTTTGTCGAAGTCGAAGGTCTTCCAGCACGGTGTTCATCAGCGACCTCTTCCCGGCCCTCCAAAGGCCTGGTGCCACCGAAACACACCACTTCTTGCTAAAGCAACACCTGGGTAAGCCTGCTTGATCATATCAAACGTCTCTGTCGCAGATTTACCGAGTTTCACACAGAATTTAATCGCGTACCTCTGCCCTAACGAACGCTGCATTTTCGGCTTGCACCACTCACAGAAACACGTCGCGCGCAAATGTCTGTCCTGACTCTCCAAGTGCTCGGAGACAACTGACCAGCCGCTCATTCGTTAGCTAAGAACGCCCTCTACCGAATCCAGTCGGTGCGCGCACGCTCCGAAGTACAGTCATGGCGGAAGAAATGAGTCCTATTACTTTCCGGACAAACCCTGTATACTAAAAATCAGATAAAACTTTACTCCACAGAACCTCAAATGCACTAGCGGGGTTCTACCCGCTACACTAGAATAAAAAGACTGCTGCTACGCGTAGAAACGCTCATATGTAAGCATAATTACATATTTCTGGGTATTAATTACGTTACAGCTAAACATTTAAATCTAGCAAATTAATACCAAAAATGTGCATACATTGTTAGTACCTCTGTACACTTTTTGTCGGACCTCTATACACTTCCTGCACCAGTCAAATCACACGTAGCATTTTTTAGTCAAAACTATATCATTATTTAACAGGTGAATGAAACTATTGAAACTGCCAATACCAAGATCATCCGTAGCTTAATCTTAAGGCTCAACCGCTTTTAATTTCTTCTCCCAGTAATAAGTATGCGAAAAAAACAGTCGAGCCAAACAATTAATTTCCGAAGTACAAAAAAAGGTTTCAAATGTATGTTGTCTTAATGTTATGAAACGAGGCAAAATAAGTTTAGCCTAAAGAACTTACCGAGGTTGAAGCTTGGTAATGTTCGCACAAACTTGCAGAGACAAAACAGAAAAAATTCACAAATATGGATGGTTTTTATTTTAGAATGGCTGCTGCCATCTATGCATAGATGTGATAATCAAGAAAGCCGATATAACAATTTTCTAGGGATTTTGTACACCTGCTACCTAGTTTTCAATATCGTAAGTATATCGACAAAAAAGTAATTTTCTATATCGAACAATACAGTGCCATCTATGAAAGAGCTCTCTACATTAATACACACGGTTTTCTGTAAGTAAAACTATCACGTGCTATGTTGCCAATCGTACAGAAATTTACGCAAATTTTATTTCGTTGTGAAAAATCAAAATTCTGGGGAATAGTTAAAATAATTTTTACGTCTTATGACATTTTTACGTATTCAGTGAGAAGACGACTATATGAACAATTCAGTAAAATTCTATAACTCAATATAAGAAGGAAATTATCATTGAAATAACGATCAAAATTGAGGCTAGGATCAAATTCGTCTAGACTGCTTGGTTAAAAAGCCTTAAGTTGAGTTTGTATAAGACGATTATGCCCTTTTGACCTTTTGCCACAGAATTATGATCGTAATGCTTCAAAAAACAACCAGAACTAAAAAAAAATTCAATTAATCCTATATGTATATTCAACAAAAACTTAGCTAAGCTCACAGGCTTCATTCTTCCGGCAATAAAATAACTCAAGTACATGCTATTTTTAAATTGCCCTTTGCTTATCAACCACGAGAACTATCCGTATTTATTTGTATCTAGGCAATGGCAGTAACTAGGGGCACCAGCAGCGTTATTTCGTAAAAAACCTATATGTCAAAAAAGCGGTAAAATGTCAAATTGTGTAGGTACTTGGGATCCGCTAGTGTGCCGTTAGTTTTTATCCCGCGCCTATACCTATTGTATGTGAGCTTGAAGTGAATATCAGATAGCTCCTAGTTCAAAGGTGACATTTTATAGGGAAACTTACATAAAGTCTAAAAAAGACCTACATGATGTCATAAAAAAATCGATATAGTTACTTTTAAGTTCGTAATACGGGTACCGGTGACAATTTTATTCATTTATATGACCATCTAAATCTAAAGGCTATTCAGAATTAGCTAGGTAAATATATCTGGCTGCCAAAAATGCCACAAATACTTGCAGTAGCCATTAATTCTTCTCCAATAATGGTAAACATTTCCTTTTCAGTTTCTCTAACTATTTTTCATTCGGTATCTTTTATGCAAATGTTGATGACGCGGTGTCATGATTCGATCAGCTGTCCGTTTTTCGTGGAATCATCAATGAGTTGTGGGCAAGGTTGTGGGGCTTTATAAGATTTGAAAATCACACTTGGCAACGCAGGATCCCCACAAAGATGCCCGACGGCCTTCACAAAGGTTATTTGGCGATGATGTAGAAATGTGAACAGCTGACTATTTGTTTAAAATATAGATAATAAATCATCGCGTAATACGACTGAAGATGAACGTATACTGGCACTACTTGCAGATTGTTTGTACTTTCCTAGCCTTACAGTATGTTAAGTAAGTAAAAATGTATTTTCTTACCAAGCAATGTTAACAATAAACTAGAATTTTATATACGATTTCCAATAGGAATATTGTAAAATAGTAAACAAAGCAATATGTAAGGCACGTGTCATTCTGTTGACGCATTGAAAACTGATTTTATTTTGAAATAAAGTTACTCCTATGGATTTGAGGCTTTAGTTCTTTAATTCAAGTATTTCTCTTTTTATTTTATAAAGCAAATTAACATAAAAAATTATTCATCCATCTTTGTTAATTAATCAGCCAATATATTACACACTTTCAAAAGCAGAAGACTTTAGCTAGGTTCTTGACTAGTTTTTCAGAAGTGTTTTTGATTGGTTCCACCAGTTGAATATTATTAGATAAGTTTTTGGAAGAATACTTTTTGTCTGCTAATCATCTTTGCTGGTAGATAGACTGGAAATATGAAAATAAAGGTTGTAACAATCTAAAAAGGTCTGGTTGGCAATTTCTATTATAATCTATATAATGTTTTAATAAACCCTTTTTCCAGCACCTTATCACACCTCCCAAAATCTGGAAAATGCCCAGAGACCAAATATCATGACTGGGACTATCTGGTCTTCTCTCAAAGGTGGCCAATAACAGCCTGCCTTCTATGGGAGGAAAAAAAAGAAGGTAATGCTTGTGACATGCCACCTGCAATGGCTACTTGGAATGTGCATGGCATATGGCCTACAAAGACAGGAATGGAAGGTCCATTCTGCTGTCCCAGTGCCATTCACTTTGACCCCACTCAATTGCAGCCATTTCTTACTGATCTTAACAACAATTGGACCAATATTGAAGGAGGTAAGACAATGACAATCTTGTTTTTTTTTGCTTATCATAGTGGGCCTTCTGTGAAAATTGCATCAGTTTTAGTGATATCTTCTGACAGTCAATGATCAGCCATAAATGTAGTGTTATTTTGCTGGTGATGCCATGTTGTATGCATGATAGTATAAAGTAATAAGCTATTTTACAAATCATCCAAAAATCAACTGATATAAGACAACCTATAGGTCAGATTTTGCTGGATAGACTATGTAAATATGGCATTGTTTTTTGTGATCTTATAAATGGGCTATACTATAGGTTCTCATTAGTTGGTCTAGTGTGCCCTAATGTATTAGTGTATTTATGTACGTTTCAATTTTCGTTTTAGGTATTCACAAGCACATAAATTAGTTATTGTCAAATCAATTCATCCCCCTATCCCCCCAATTTCTAGGCTCCTTACTGCCTCATCTGTAGTTCCCCAGCATCCTCAGCGAGGCGTTATCACCTAATTTGAGAAAGATTTGGCTATACTTTCACTGCCTGGAGATATTGCTACACATGTATGACATTTCCGACCTACAATAAGTACCCGTGTTAGAAATGAAGATACTATTTTTTCAAAAAAAAAAAAAATTACATAGTCAACTTAGAAAGATACACTTTTCGCAACGTTCCTGCCATTTTTTAACCCCTCCAGAAAATAGGATTTGTCGAACTCTCCAAAATACGCCTTTGTCTCCGCAATGACTTCCTCGTTTGAGCTAATTTTTTTTCCGCGAGCCATTTCTTCATGTAAGGGAGCAAGAAAAAGTCGCAGTTGGCCAGATCGGGTGAATACGGGGGTGCGGCGGCACTTTATTACGCAATTCATGCAGTTTGGCGGCGACAACTCCGGATTAATGTGCTGGTGCGTTATCGTGGTGAAACACCACCTTATTTTTCGCCAAATGTGGCCGTGTCTCCTTCAGTTTTTTTTCGAAGCGGTCTAATAACGCACTGAGTGAATGTGTATTGTCCAGTGGTAGTTCTTTTTTCCTAAAAATTCTATGAGTATGACGCCGTTCGCCTTCTTTGGAGCAGATTCACCGGGAGAAATCAATTGTTTTGATTGTTTGATTGTAGCTTAGTTTCTGGTGTGTAGTGATGAATCCAGGTTTCATCTACTGTGACAACTCGTCGCAAAAACTCCTTCGGATTTCGCTTAAATTGCTCCAAACACTGTTTCGAAGTTAACAGCCGCATCCGCTTGTTGTCCACCGTGAGCAATGGCGGCACCCATGGGGCCGACAATTTTTTTATCTCCAACTTATCATGTAAAATATTCATTGCCGTTCCGCATGGGTATCATGTAAAAAACCTATTAAACGTCAAAAAAACCTATAAGATGTCATCTTGCAAACTATGTAGTTTTTAGGGCGCAAACAGTCATTCCACGTTTGCTCACCAGGATCGTTGTGAACGTCCATCTAAGTAGGAATCACTCAAATAAACTACACGCATTATTGGTTGCATATGTTTTCTGAGGCCAAATGGTCCTTGTCTGTAGTTTTTATCTCTGAGAAGAAAGTTGGTTGAATAGCAAGATCCCATCTGGATGATTATGTGTATTGGTCTGCATGTGCATAAAATCAGTAATAGTTGCTGTGTGAGAAAATCATTACTGAATATGCTGCCAATGAAGTATATCTATTGGCTGGGCCCGACTGGTTGTTTTTATGTTGTGCTTTCTGAAGAGAGGTCATGTTCAGGCAACACGTACAACTAAGTGCTAAGTTAACATCTTGTAGAATAACCTACATAATTTCAAAAAAACAGCATAATGTCAAAAAAAATCGGCATAATGTCACGGTATCACGTATCTTGAAAAGTGACATTATGCCGATTTTTTTTTACATTATGCTGGTTTTTTCTGACATTATGAAGGTTATTCAACAAGTTGTTAACTTAGCACTTAGTTGTACGTGTTGCCTAAACGTCATGAGGCTTGTTATCAATCTTTGGCTCTGATATGATGTAAAATCTGCTTCTGAAAGGGCATTACTGGAGGTCTAAGCTGTAATTTGTATGTGTTGATAATTACATTGGGTTCTTGTCTCAAATACACTTAACTGAGATTCAAAGCTATAAATTAGTTGCGCATCCACTTTTTCTTATCCATTCTGGAAATTACATATACAAATGAATTTCAAAATGAGAGAGATAAGAAATAATTATATTCACTGTACACTGTCGAATTACAAGCTATATACATGCTAACAGTAATTACACACAATGCGGGCGTGGTGATGATTTCCCGTAATTCTCCTCAGTTTTTCGTAATTTATAACTTTGAACATAACCACTCTTCCGAAAGCACAACATATAAATAACCCGTCATATTAGGCATATTCAGTAATGATTTTCTCACACAGCAAATATCACTGATTTTATACACATGTAGACCAATACACATAATCATCCAGATGCGATCTTGCCATTGAACCAACGTTCTTCTCAGAGATAAAAACTACAGACCCGGATCACTCAGACTCGTGGAAAGACCGTTTGCGCCCTAAAAACTACCTATACTCTGGGCGCTGAAGAAAGACATTAAACGTAAACAGTGATCAGCACGTGAACAGATCCCTCGAAAGCATCCACGGATATACTCCAGTCACTTTAGGTCTAAACATCCTCGGCAGTGTATTTCTAGTGAATCCACAGACCCTTTTTCGTGTCATCTTGAGACTAGAAAAAGGATGACTGTTAAAATAAGTTACCTTGATCTTTCATGAGCTCCCAGTACAAAACATCATCGATATATTTTTGATGTAGGAACAACAAATTGGTTTAGAAAACATCCACTTTGAACCTAAATTGACTGGAGTAACATCGATCTACAGACAAATTCAAGGTCACTAGCAGTCGTCGGCGCTCTACGAATCTGCACAGGTTTGGACTTGTAAACGTGATTGTAGATGACACGACAGGCATCTAACAGTTAATTCACGCACAGGATTGCATTGCATACGCATTAGCATTCAGTAGCGTATACTCGTTTTTCGCGAGTGGAACGTTTTGTTTATATATTGCCTAAGATACGATGTCTGACACAGATACAGCCGACGAAGTGGTTGACATCAGCGCAACCCCACCCAAAAAAAGGGCTAAGAAGCTACATTTAAGTGCAAATGAAAAACAAATAATATTAAATATATACAAAAACCAAATTCAAGAAAAACCCGATTTGGTCGTGGACGAAGTTATATGTAAGGTAGCACATATTTCTGGAGTATGTCGGTCCAGTGTTTATAGGATCATTAAGGAATATAGGAGCACTCACTCACTTTCTGAGCCAAAACCGTATGCTGCAAGAAAAAGGATAACGGACGGAGTAGATGACTTTGACAGAACTGCCATCAGGAGGAAAGTGCATATTTTTTTCTTCCGAAATGAGATACCTACAGTAGATAAGATATTAAGATTAGTTAATGCTGATGAGGATCTTCCATCATTTAAAAGAACCACATTCCGAAAACTTTTGAAGGAACTTAATTTTCGATTCTTGAAACGGGGAAGAAACAGTATGTTAATAGAGAAAGAAGAAATTGCTGTGTGGAGAAGGGAATACCTTAGGAAGATTCGGAAGTTTCGCGATGAAAAAAGAAAAATTTACTATTTGGACGAAACGTGGGTGAATGCTGGACATACTCAAGCGAAAGTTTGGGTCGACAAATCAGTAACATCATCAAGGCAGGCTTTTCTAGACGGTCTTTCGGCTGGATTGAAAAATCCTGCAGGTAAGCTCCTTCATCTATCCGGCAATTTAATTTTGATAAATTCGGGCAAATAATATGCTGTGATAGCAGATAATGTGTGATATTCTCCAAAAATGGTGCATTCGCAGTGTAGTCATTAGGAAAAAAACTTCGACCCTCTTTTAAGCGTTATTTTGAAATTTATTATCATTTTTGGGTGCAGTCAATTTGCTTTGAATGGGTTTTGAGAAGTTGCAAACTTCAATTTTCTACGTTTTTCAGTTTTTGATCAGCATTCCGTGACTCTTAAATTCAGCTAAATGAACTCAATTGCCTCATTCCTTCAAATTTAATCAATCCATAGTGTAAGGAATAATTTATTTCCAGGAAAAGGCAAACGGCTGATCATTTGTCACGTAGGTAGTGAAGACGGCTTTGTTCCCGAAGCACTGTGGGCCTTTGAATCAAAAAAGACAGAGGACTATCATGAGGAGATGGACGGCAATTCCTTTGAAAATTGGTTCTCCAAAATGTTACTAAAGCTGGAGAATAACGCTGTTATTGTACTGGATAATGCCCCGTACCATTCTAGAAAAATAGAAAAAATTCCCACAATGGCAACTAAAAAAGCAAACATACAACAATGGCTGGCCTCAAAACAGATCGATTTTGATGAAACAATGGTCAAGGGTGAATTGATAAGTATAGTCAATAGACATAAATACAAATACGATTTTAAAATGATCGACGAAATGGCCAAAAAACAAAATAAAACTGTCTTGAGACTGCCACCCTACCATTGTGAGCTGAACCCTATTGAGCTGATTTGGGCCAACATAAAGCAATACGTGGCGTCGAATAATAATACTTATAAATTTTCTGATGTTAAAAATCTCTTTCACATCGCAGTCAATAGAGTTACGGCAGAGGAATGGAAAAACTGTATCCGCCACGTTCGGGAGAAGGTTGAGGTCAAAATGTGGGATTTGGACAATGTCATCGATACCCAAATTGAACCTCTAATAATTCATTTAAACGATTCAGAAGATTCAAGTTCCCCTTCTGAATGAGTGCGCGCAGCTTACTTACTAATAACTAAAAAGTGTAGTTAACTCATTTGTGAATCTCTAACTGAAATTTACTGTAAAAGATAATAATTATCTTGTATGAAATTTTTGATGACTACCCATAATATCTTGATGCGGTCCTGTAATGTCTCCTGCGCCTAAACACTCACTCACGAGCAATATGCGTGTATTTGTTTGGGTTTAGTTTCTTTCTTCAGCGCCTAGAGAATAGTCTGGAAATTGACATCTTATACGTTTTTTTTTTTTGGACGTTTTATAGGTTTTTTACATGATACCCGTGCCGGTCGACACACTTACGGCCTCTGCTGGACTTTTTGAATGATTTCCTCGGTAACCACGTGGTCGTCCTGGTCGCTCCTCATCAAAAACGTATGTTCGCCTACGTTTAAAATTCGTTGACCCAATATCTAACTGTGGCCGTAGATGGCAAAGTGTTCCCATAAACAGCATCCAACTTTGCTTTTATCTCCTCGCATTTTTTCCCATCCGAAAACATAAAGCGAATTACCGAACGATACTGCTCTTTTTCCATCCTAGCTAAAATCACGAAACACGTGTTACTCAAATGGCCGCCAAATCCAAATTAACGTATCAATCAGTCTGAAATTTGTTGTGTCGTCGTTTGATAGATGGCAGCACACGATAACAAACTTCCCTCAGGAACGTCTTCAAACACGCGTACTTATTGAACAAGCCTCGTATTATATTATTTTACCGAATTATTGGAAACCTACTTGATGCAATGTAAGTAATGTAATTGCAGCATGTGGTACAATTTCATCAGTTATTGTTGAATGATTTTATAGCCCTTTTGACAGGACATCCTGAAAATGTTACAGTCGAAAAAACGTTTGCATAGTATTTTCCTGTAAAATCTAAATCCCAAATCGATTATTTGTGCTTGACAGTTTGACAGAAGGCAACTACTTTTAGAGTATTATTGGATGGAGTAAAATACGTCATAACCACTGACTTACTTTTGGGTTATGACGCTAATAAATGGGGATATTTGAATCTAATAAAATCGAGTGTTGTGTTAGTAGTAAAACAAATCTATACACATAGCTTGAGAAGACCATTATTGATAATAAAAATAATTAACATTAACCCACTTTTCAGCCTAAGCACGTGATGTACTATATTTGTTTCCAGGTACCAAAGAGTACTCGTTCTGGAGACACGAATGGGAGAAGCACGGGACATGCGCGTCAGTTTCGCCATTTTTAAATAGCATCCAGAACTATTTCCGGCAAGGTCTAGAATGGAACAAGCAATACAAACTATCCAACATCTTGGAACAAAGCAAAATCGTCGCTGGCACTTCCGGTTACTCTCCAGGACAGATTTTCGACGCGGTTAAATCTGTCATCAAAGTCAAACCAACGATCCAATGCGAAGTAGATCATAAAACGAAGGAATCGATGATCAGCGAAATTCGCATCTGCTTCAATAAGTCTTTAGAGCCTATAGATTGTGATCACTCCGACTCTGTTACTAGCGGAGCTGCCATAACTAACTGCGACTTGAACAAACCTGTTATGTATTTCTCTGAGATGCCAAGCACAGATATGTCCTATGAGGTGGATTACATAGATGATGGATTCAGGCAACATTTTGAAGAGCAGATGTATTATTTACAGGTGTATAAGTTTTTAAAGTTTATTATTTGGTTTACAACGTAATTTGTGATATTGGTTTAGGGTAATTTATTTATTTTCAAATTTTGAGGTAATTTTGGTGTACAAACTAGAGAAAACTAATAAGTGAGTTTCATTTGGTATTATTTACAAGTGTTTGAGTTTTAGATGTAATTTGTGATATCCAAGAGACATGATATCTGCAGTGATTAAGCACCATCCTATGGGCCTTTGTCCTCAAAATATAACCTCATTAGTGTTTGATAGAAGACGAAAAGCTATCAGATAAATGGTTGAAAACCGCCAAATCAAATTTCAAAACGTTAGCAGCTCTTCGTTACCTCAAACAGCTGAAACATTTTTCCAGTCAATAAAAAATTGCATATCTCAAAATAGAGTTTGAGGATCTCAACTTAGCAGCGTCTAACAGTATTCTTATTTCTTTGAATCACCTCTTATTAACACTAAACATACCAACACTTATTACATACCTGTTTCTACCACAGTCAGTCAAATGAGTTTATGTTTCCTGATTGTATGTATGGAACATGGATGCTAGGAAGGAAATAAACAGATTAGCATCATTAGCAAAAATTATGAAGTCAAATGTGCAAAGGTTAATGGTATGTTTAGGGTAAAATAGTCTTATATTATTGTTAAAAACATATTCTGATGCAATAGAGGTTGTTACATGAGTAATTCTGAAACAATATTTTAACTATTTCTGTTTTTTTACAGTGTTATCCCAAAAGTGGAAACGGTACTGAGATTTTGCCACAATACAAAGTTATAACTAATTATTAAATTGGCTGTTTTAATTTTTTTGCGCTTACATTAAATTTGGTTGCTCAAATTTTTATTATTCTTAGTTGAAAATTAAATTTTCTCGGTTACATTCACCCATTTTTTCACTTTTTTCTCTTTACAATGAATTTTTGTGATTTGCCATGATGTAATGTTTCTACTTGATTGTATATTTTTGGTAGATAATAGTTGTATATATTCATTTTAAAATTTATACTCTAGAGATATATTTTCTGTGTAAATTAGGTTGCTGTAATTTTATTTTTGGAAAAAATATTACTTTTACACACTATGTTATGATTTTATTCTCCATTTCACCCTATTAATGATTCCATACAAATTACTGTAACCTCTAATCATATTTTACTAAAAATAAATAATAACTAGATACAGCCTCACCCTCATGAGCAATTTTTAAATTGAAAAATAAACGGATCGAAATAAAACATAATTTTGGTAATGTACAGTAATGGACAAAAGTATATAGACAAATATGAATATTTACCTAAATACCTTTAGAAAACGAATTCTTACTTCACTGCTCCATAAACCAAATGCGTTATTAGTAGAAAAACTAAATTCCTTGTTTTTACATTATCTGCAATGAACACAATACAAGTCTGAATATAAGCACTTTTTATGGGGTAAAAAAATATGTAGACAAATTCTTTTCAACATTAGTTTAGTACAGTTTCGTGTCAGAAGAGGATTAGTTTGTGTTCATCAAGTATTGTGCAATAAGTTGAGTGATTTTAAGACCATGCCGCGTGGTCCAGGAATTTCTTTCGATGTGAAAACTATCATTGAGTTATACAAAGATGGTCAACGTCAAGTCGACATTGCCAAAAATTTGAAGCGTAATGCAGTTTGGGCAATATTGAACAAATATAAACAAAAAGGTATCTTGGAAGCCTCTAAGAGAAGTGGTCGGCTTAGAAAACTAAATGCTGATCAGTTAGATTAATAAAAGTAATTTCATCCAAAGATCCGTTTAAAACCCCATGACAAATAAAAGCCGAAATCGAGACAAAATGAATTGTCAGTGTTTCTACGAAAACTATAAGTAGAAGATTAAATGATTTGAAATTATTTGCATGTCACTTTGCCCACTGTCAAAGATGGGGGCGTGTCTGTTATGATTTGGGGGTGCTTTTCGGGGTTTGGGATGAGACCTTTACATAGAATAGATGGCATTATGGATAAGTTTGTATACACAGACATACTAAAGCATGTCATGTTACCCTATATGGAAGACAATATGCCCATAGGATCAATCTTCCAGCAAGATAATGACCCGAAGCACACTTCAAATCTCGCAAAGAAATTCTTTCTGGATGAAAAAATACCAGTTCTCAAATGGCCTTCACAGTCTCCCGATATAAACCCCAATGAAAATCTATGGTAATACTTAGATAAGCAAGTACGAGATAAAAATTATTCAAACAAGGATGAACTTTTTGCCGCTTTAGAGCAAAAGTAGAGACAGATTGATGAATCTTATATCAAGAAACTTCTACAATCTATGCCGAGACGATGCCAGGCGGCGATTGATAATAACGATTATGCTACAAAATATTAACACAAACATGGTTGGTTTTCTATAATTCAATGAACTTTGCTTCTTTTTTCTATAATTGTTTTGCTTTGTCTATATATCCTTCATAGTTCCAGTTTTTTTCAATTAATTTTTTGTTGAAGGGAGTCTAATGAATTTATTTATGTATAAGTGAGTATTATACTATAACGAATTATGTATAGAGGTTGGTGTATTAATAAAACAAGTTAAAAAAGAAATACAGCACAATATTAATTCGTCTATATACTTTTGCCCATTACTGTAGGTACCACAAAAAGTCCAAACTTAGATAATGAAATGTTAAATACTTGCCTCTCCTATATTCAATGAAATGATAGATATTCAACCTACTAAAACAAAAAATAATCAGTCTCACCTCAATTCTGCAGGCCTGCATTCAGGATGTCCCAGAATAACATCTCAATTTCTCCTATACACATACAGAGTGGCCAAATATATAACCGACTGATTCGAATTCATTTTTCATACGGGCATTTCAGTAGGTGGCGTCGTAGTAGTTGTTTAAAGCACATGTGTCCAATTCATCATGGAGCGCTACACGATTGCACAACGCGTCCGTATTAAAATGTTTTACCTGAATAATGTTGCATCGATTCGGAAGCTACGACAAGATTTCGGTCGAAAATAACGTGCCCAGTGTCAACACCATTCGTGAGTTGGTGCGGAAATTTGAACAAACAGGTGAAGTTAAAGACCTGTCAAGGTCGGGCCGTGTTCGTACTCGGGAAAATATCAAGAGAGTTCGTGAAAGTGTAGCGGAGCACCCTGAGACGTCTACCAGACATCGTTCTAAGTATTCGTATTCGTCGCACGTCATTATGCACTATTTAAAAAAATGACTTGTATTTGCGGCCATACAAAATTCAGTTAATCCAAGAACTACAGCCTAGTGACCATGAAAGTAGCCAACAATACAGTCATGCAACATTGCAGCTTAATACAAAAAAGATTTTTACCGACAACTGATAATGAGCGATGAAGCCTACTTCGATATGAACAAATTTGTTAATAAGCAGAATTATCTTATCTGGGCATTAGAGAACCCTCGTGCCATCCATCAACGACCACTACATTCTCGTCAAGTCACATTTTGGTGCGGTGTTTGGTATGGAGGTGTCATTGGACTTTTTGAAGACGCTGCAGTAATTCTCTTATTGTCACTGGCGAGTGCTACCGTGATATGGTGCAAAACTTTCTGACTCCTCAAATCAAACAATTTAACTTGCAAAACATGTGGTTCGAGCAGGATAGACCAACTTGTCAACAAGTCTCAATAAACGATTAAGATGAAAAAAATGGACGAATTTCATTCATTTCATTTCACAAATATTCAAGATACAAACCAGTCAGTTACATTTTGGCCACCCTATCGGTATAGATCGATCCCTACACTCAAATTCTATAATGTCGTTTAAAAATTTTTAAAGAAAAAAGGATTTCCAGTGACGTCCTTTATGGTCCTGTACCTCCGTTTAGGTAGCCCCGTATATATAGTAATAATAATCGTCTTTATTGTCCTAAACACCGTATATTACATGCACATTTAGCACATGCTATTCCACCATTTAACTCAGAACAAAAGTAACTTGAAAAAAACAAGTTATACAAAAACAAAAAAAGAAATGTGAAAACAGATGGAATGTCACAATACCACAGAATGAGAAATGCCGATTCAGCTAGGAGAAGATGAAATAATAGTTTATGAAGAAACGGAAAAAACTCTGATAAAAAAATACAAAGTATAGTCTAATCAAATTTGCGAAATAATTGTAAAGTCTGGTTTTATTGATGCAAGTTGTTCAAGAGGGTATTTAAATTATGGATGCATAAAATGGATACACCAATTTTTGTGGGAAAACTTTTTATTCGACAACAAATAATGAGAAAACCCTTTTTTGGGATTCAATCGAAAGAGACGCAGCCGAGAGAGATCCCTCTATAAGCACCAGAGCTATTGCTCGAAGCAGAAACATATCTCATACTTCAGTGCATACAATACTTGGCTCGGAGAACATGCATCCTTACCATGTACAAAAAGTAAAAGAATTGCTTCCAAGCGACTATACACAACGGATTGAATTTTGTGAGAATATGTTGAGAAGGTGCGAAGAGCTTGACACTTTTTTGGCAGCATCTTACGGACAGGTGGATCCAACTTTAACCTAAATGGAATATTCAACATGCACAATTTACATTCATGGAGCGTGGAAAATCCACACGCTATTCGCCGACACAGCTTTCAACGTCAGTTCGGCGTAAATTTATGGGCTGGAGTACTCAACAAAAAATTATATTAAAATTATATATATATATATATATAGAAAATTATCATGCGGAGAAAGGTATATAACAAAAATAGGAAAATAATAGGCAAAATCCGCAAAAAGTGGATTCGAGCAGAAATAGGATAGGTAACCCGAGCGATACGTATTTCTGCTGGTTGGCTTCATCAGGCCCGAAATGAATGCACATATGCAACTACAAAAGTAGATACACATGCCCACACATCCGGATACGGGTGTAACCTGAGGAAACGAAGATGGAGAGGAAAAAAAGACACACGAAGTCCACAACAAGAGCCAACCTACACATTATAGTATAAAATGGCTAGAAGACCTCGAATTTTCAAGGCGACAAATAACCACAACCACGCGGCCGGTTATGGCCACTTGCTGTGGTACTTCAAGCCCAAAGGATCTACAAAGAGAAAATTATCATGTGGAGAAAGGTATATAACAAAAATAGGAAAATAATGGGCAAAATCCGCAAAAAGTGGATTTCAGCAGAAATAGGATAGGTAACCCCAGCGATACGTATTTCTGCTGGTTGACTTCATCAGGCCCGAAATGAATGCACATATGCAACTACAAAAGTAGATACACATGCCCACACATCCGGAACGGGTGTACCCTGAGGAAACGAAGATGGAGAGGAAAAAAAGACACACGAAGTCCACAACAAGAGCCAACCTACACATTGTAGTATAAAATGGCTAGAAGACCTCGAATTTTCAAGGCGACAAATAACCTGATGAAGCCAACCAGCAGAAATACGTATCGCTCGGGTTACCTATCCTATTTCTGCTCGAATCCACTTTTTGCGGATTTTGACCATTATTTTCCTATTTTTGTTATATATATATATAAAGTGTCGGCGTCAAACGCTGAAATTGGTCATTCCCTAAAATGCCTAGTCAGTCCCCGTATTGCCGGCAAACGCCGTAACAGTTTGATTATTACAACGTTTGACTAACCATTTCAGTCATTCCCTGTAATAACTGAACAATTTTAGTCGAACACCGTAACAATCACATTAACTTCATTACTGCATTTACCTGATTCAGTCATTCATTGTACCAGTTTTGGGTTCATTTGCTTGTGTATACAAATCGTATTTTCTGTGTTTGTAAAGATGTCGCAGCATTCAGAATTGTTTTACAAGAAACTAAGTGAATACTATGACAGAGTGAATAAGAACAAACCATGGAATACAAATGAGTTAAATGAGGTAAGTAAATTTTTATAATTCGTGAACCTAACCCAAAATTTTAACGTACATAGGCTTGCTCAACAGCAGCATCCATTGTTGCCGTGTTTCGTATATAAATACTAAATACTAGATTGAAAAAATATATAATTCGTCCACGCTGGAGTTATTTATATCAAGAATACACGTCATCGACGCACGTTTCCCCATCAGTATTGCTGCGGTATTGTGAATATGTATAACTCTAGAGAAAAAAAAAAACAAAAAATAATGTTTGATATAAAATATAAGATAATTCTATGTAACTTTTATTCGCTTGCCACTACTCGCAGTTCTGCATTTTGTTTTTTTAATGTGTATTGTTTTATATCTCTTTCGATAGTCTCAGGATATTTCTTGTTGATTTAATACACTAATGAATTATTAATGTCCATAATAATGTAATAATAAAGACAAAGCTTTAATCTATTCTTCTTTTCTTTTACATTAACGCATGCTTGATTATTATGCTTTTAATATTATGGATAATGTAGTACCTTGTTATAGTTGAAATCACGAAAGATGACGATTACGTCATCATTTTAGTCTGTAGTAAAGAAAAACGACAGCGATTTGTGAATATTTTTAATGAAGTTTCAGATATGTTAGACAGAGACAAAAAGAATTTTATTGTCGAAACAAACTGTATTGCTAATTTGCAAGTATACGACAAAGATAGGCGATGTTTTCATGTTGCATCATCGATTATATTTGAAAGATGAATAGTTAGGTTATGTTAAAGCAGGTTAGGTTGTTTTCGAATAATACTTTGGTCTTTGGTGTTCCTGTCTTAAAGTATTCTACTCATAACTGTTTTTTTTTTCAAAACAAAAATTCCCCACTAAAATTATTATTAAGGTATCACTCAAAACCATGAAATAAAATGAAAATAAAAATAATCAGTGAAATAACCTAACTTCGCAAAGTCATAATATAAATTTGTTGTCATTATGTTCCTGACAGCGTGATTTTATCATCGACGTACGTCCATTGATTATTTCAGTACAATTTATGGTATGACGAAATAGTCATCTTTCGTGATTTTGACTATATATTATGTACTTCATTGGGGCAACACTGTATTGATTACAGCGCTTGACTAAAATAGGCGAATGCAGTAACGAAGTTACTGTGGTTGTTACAGTGTTTGACAGAAATTGTTCAGTCATTACAGGGAATGACTGAAATGCTTAGTCAAACGTTGTAATAATCACTGTTACGGTATTTGCCGGCAATACGGGGACCGACTAGGCATTTCAGGGAATGACGGATTTCAGCTTTATATTCTACAGGATTATGTGGCATTATTTATTTGTTTTATATGTATAGGAGATATTATCATGTTATTCTAGGGCACCATGTATAATTTGTTATAGCAATTTCACATTTACAACCTCACAACTAAATTTTAGAAAATATAAACATAATTTTATTATTATGACTATTACACATACTTTTCTCCTATAAATATGTAGAAAACTCCCAACAGCTATTTATTTTAAAATTACCGTCAACAGAAAAAAGGGTTATCGTATATAAGAAAAAAACTTACAATATAAATAGCAGTTGTAACATATTTCAAACCAATCTTGTAAATGGCCGACGATTTACCAGGCTTGGTATGTCCGTGCTATGACTAGTTATGTGCTCTTGGAAACGAACAAAGTGGCACTTGGAGCTAAACCTGTAAAAATTCTTGATTATCTACCATATAGTGACAACAAGTCCTTAGACTGACTACTCAACTGAGAAAGTGAAGTGAAGTGAAGTGGGGGGTAGTTTCAATCAAGGCTTTTCAAGGATTTAGGGTCGTATCGTCAGTCGTTCCTACAAGTGTAGGACGCCTTGATGGCCCCCTTGACTTTCATAGTGTTCTACTGTTCCGTGTCAGCGCTCTATTTTGAGGCTATGTTACAAATATATATTTGCATCATGTTCATGGTTTTGATTTATATTATCTATTATATCAGTCTGAAATTTCCTATACCTTATTTCACGAGTATGCATTATGCTTTGAACGCCTACTAAGGCGAAGAGCTGATCAGCAAGTGACATTTTTGTGTTAGTCTGCAACATTGGCAATAATGAATAGGGTATAAATCTAGTAAAACTTGTTTGTGGCGTTTTGTTTTTTGTATGCAAATGAACTTTTCTAAATAAAAGAGCTGTTAGCAACTACAAAATGAATCTATAGAGTACAAAAAAACAAAACAAAATACGGCTGTGACTACCTGACGTTGACGGATCCGTCAGAATTATGTGTCCTGTGCCGATATGGGGAATTTTGAGATATTATTAGATAATCAGTTGTTATTCTACCGTGATGGACACTCGTGAAGTAGGGTACACCATTCAAAAGCAAAACATAGCCTCGCAATACGAGAGCGCTGACGCTGACAAGGGGCAGTAGAGATTCCCCAGAAAAAAATATGAAAATCAAGGAGGCCTACTCCCCGAAACAGTGTATACCAAAATGTTTAAATGCCGAGAAAGTATATTAGTAGTATATTAAACTTCTTCTTCTGAAGGGCTAGAGGCCGGAAATACTAAAAATATACAGGCCACTCTATTCAAAAAATGTATGCATTGCCACATAGTTATGAATCTCTTTGTACAGAGCAGCATATTCTGTAAGTATAGAACATAAATGTGCACATTACAATTTCTATAAAAAGCTGTTACTTCCCACGCCTATTGGCGAGGAAGTATTGTGATCGAAAAAAAAATCGTAAATGAGACATTATGTTTTTTGGATGTTAGATGACACCACGAAAAAACATGTCACTCATTTCCGTCGGTCTGTTTGTCTGTCCGCAAATCCTTGGTCCGTCTACAGGGTGTTCCTTAATGATATGCGAATATTTAACGGTGTAAATCTACATGAAAAATTAATGTTTGCTTTATACACTATGGTCCAAAAATGTTTCCTTACAAAAACTCGGGATGTTGAAATTTTAGGAAAAAAATGGAAATATTTTCAGAACCGCTTCAGATATTTCACTGATATTTATTACGTAGTGAAATTTAATAAATTTGCATATTTTTCGATGCAAAATAATTTTTAGCTTCAACAGTGGCGTGCATACGATATTTTTTAAGAAAAAAATGGTACGCACATGGTTTTTTGCCAAATAAAAATAATTTTTGAATTCCCCGTTCAATTTAAAACAAATGATCTCTCTTGAATTCTTTTCCTTTGATGTGCCATTTTTTAGTAAAAAAATAAAAACCGTTCTATTCTCTAACTTGCAAAATTACTATTAATTTAATTCGAAAAATTAAACACATTAGGGGTAATGAACAACAACAACTGACAACATGAACATGACATTAAAGGGAGCAGCGGTGTCCGCAATAGAACTCTTCGGTCTCCTATTCAGTCGCCGTGCCCGTCCCAGGTCTCTTGGCTATGGATGTTGTGATTGTCCGTAGGTGGTAGACGACCTCTGACTGTCGAACGCGGCAGTACCACCCGTCGGATCTCGTAGGCGGAGCCAGAATGTGTGCATGTCGCATGCACATGTGTTCCCTCGCCAGAGTCCGTGTGGCGTTCCCCCTCTCCCCTGTATCCCCTATAGCCCCACGGTACCCAATGGGTGTTTAGGCCTGAGGCCAATCCAAAGATTTGGATAAACCGTTTGTAAATGATCACGAACCCCTACACTGAAAAGCGCTGGTGCACCATCATGCATGTACCACATATTGTTTCTTATTACTAACGGAACATCATCAAGCAGCAAAGGCAACTGTTGTTGAAGAAAATTGAGGTAAGTATGTCCGTCAAAGTCGTCCCGGCAAGAAGAATGGGCCAATAAAGTGGTTGCCAATAATTCCTGCCCATACGTTAACCGAAAATTGGTGTTGGAAATGGATTTCGGTTACGGCATAGGGATTTTCTTCTGCCAACAAATGATTATTGTGGAAACTCTGAATGGCATTTCGAGAAAAATTAGTGTGTAATTTTTTGAAGATACCACTGACAAAAGGTCAGACGCCAAACAATTTGATGGCGAATATTTAAGTGTCTAGCGATATTCCTCGTACTCGTTTCAGGATGTTCTTCGACTTCGTGCAGCACTGCTTTCTCAATTTCAGGTATTCTCACATTTAGTAGTCTACCTTCGATGTTCCAGTTTCAACAAGCCGACGATGAATATTAGAAAAGGTACGACTATCTGGCAATGCAGGATCGGGATATCTCTGGTGATAAATCCGTGTGGCTTGCTCACCATCACCGTCGGCAAGGTCATATACGTAATGCATTTCCGCCATTTCTGCATTTGAATAATTCACCATTATTAACAAGATTGTAAAAACTAAATAATGAAAAAGATGTCACAGCGAACAGATTTGAATAACAGAGACTTGTCAGATGTCAAAAGCCAGTGACATATTCCAGAGCAACTAGATATTTATTGCTAAATTGCATTCTTCACTTATTACATTTCTCGGACAATAGAACGGTTTTTATTTTTTTACTCAAAAATGGCGCATCGAAGGAAAACAATTCAAGAGAGATCATTTTTTTTAAATTGAACGGGAAATTCAAAAATAATTTTTATTTGGCAAAAAACCATTGGCGTACCATTTTTTTTCTTAAAAAATATCGAACTCAAAACCCGTACGCACGCCACTGTAAAAGCTAAAAATTATTTTTGCATCAAAAAATATGCAACTTTATTAACTTTCACTACATTCTAAATATCAGTGAAATATCTGAAGGGGTTCTGAAAATGTTGATTAATTTCCATTTTTTTCCCTTCAACACGTTTTTGTAAGGAAACATTTTTGGACCATAGTTTATAAAGCAAACTAACATTAATTTTTCATGTAGAGTCACACCCTTAAATATTCGCGTATCATTAAGAAACACCCTATATAACTATAAAGTACTCCTCGGATTTGGATAAAGATTTTTTATACAAGGTTACTGCTATGCCAACGACAAAAAGCTTCAAAGTTTTTGAAAATCGGTGCAGTGGCGGCGGAAAAAATGACTTACGAACAAAAAATGACTCAAACTTGTTTTTTTTTACGTTTCAGATGAATCATTTCTGGAACATTTTTAGGGGTAAAAAAATTAGAGGGTGGGGAGTTGTAGAAGGCTGGGGGAGGGTGTATCGCAATTTGTTTATGTTACATTGACCATTAAAACTAGTCGTCAATTTTAGATATTTCAGTAATTTAGTTTTTAATTATCCCGATTGGTGCTCACCACCTTTAGTCACAGCCTCAAAACGAGGATGCTAGTCGCGTATAAAGTACAAAACCTTACCTAACGTCTCCAACGGCTTCTCATAATCATCAGCATGGAAAATCTTCTTTGGGAAATTCGTCATAAGGTTGACCACGCCCTGCGCACCAGCGCCGGCTTTCATCTCAACGAACAACCGGACAGCGCTGAGCGGCTCCTTGGCGCCGAAAGTGTGTTGGACGAGGCTGCCGTCGGCCAATCGGATCTGGAGGCGGGCTTCGGAGGGCGACGACTTGGGGGAGGCGGCTGTAGCCGACGGGGGGGTGGGTGCCGCAGGGGGTGCGGTAGGGGTTAGTTCGGCTGGCGCACTGCCACCGCCGAATTTCGCTTTGCGAGCGATCTTGTCCTGAAGAAATACAAGATATTACTGAATAATGTCAGAAAAATTGCAAGGCAAATTCGGCGCGAAAGTAGGTAGCCATTTCTCATGTAATGCTACGATCAGTTCATAAAAGATTATGATGAAATTTGAATAGATTCGAAGAAGCCAAGCCTACATGTTTACATGGCAGTGCTTGTCGCCAAAATTGGGTAGGCTTTTAGTGCAAACTTTTGGCTAGATTTGCCTTCAAAAGTGACAGATACCTACCAAAGTGATAAACCAATACATCAGTGTTTATTCTTTTCTTTGGAAACAATATACAAGTTGCCATTTGCACTGTATGCAGGGTGTCCAAGATAGGACCCTATGAATCGGGATCTCAATACCTATAGCAGATACAACCAAGGTTAAATTAGGAAAAAGTTGCTTTTTTTTGGGCGTATTTACATGCCGTTGAGAAACAATTTCATGGCTTACTGGGATATTTGGGAAAAACTAAAATTTGGCCAAATCATTTTTATTTTTTCCTGACTTTATTTTAAAAAGTATCAAAAAACTAATTGAACTTTTCCATTGGAATTTTTTAGGTACTACATCATCATATTTTTAAATTTTTTGCCCGATGGTTTGTTTTTTAGAACCCATCATTAACTTTATTTTTTTATATAGTCCGAAAAAAGTACACGCTGTATCTAACCGCTTTTTTATACAAATGGTACTACAAAAGTTTTGCAATATGACTAGCACGTCTGTTGATTTAGTTGTTCATTCGTATTGACAGTGTAAAGTGCGGACTATGGCATCGTGGTCACGTAGTGAGACAAGTGCAGTTTTACGCGTGGTTTAAGCATAGACCAGTGCTTAGAAGAAATGACGCTTGCATTAAAGAATGATTATCCCCATCGTACGACTATATTCAGGTGGTACAGAGAATTCCAAAGGGGCAATTTCACTCTGGATGACACTGAGAGGGAAAGATTCCCGCGAATGTCAGAAACAGAGGAAAACATTATTGCTGTGAGGAAAATGCATGACGAAGACCGGAGAGTAACATACCAACAGATAGAGCAGACAAGAGAGAAACTTTGTTCTCTCTGGATACCGCATAGTCTGACGGAAGAGCAGAAGACTTGTACAACTTGGTGCTGAAAGATGCTGAAAATGTTTGACAATGGGCAATCTCGGTATGTGAATAGCATCGTGACAGATGACGAGATTTGGCTCTATTATTACGATGTGCCGACCAAGGGTCAAAACAAAGTTTCGGTCTTTGATGATCAGGACACACCCGTAGCTGACAGAAAATCCCAATCTGTTGAGAAAAAAATGGTAGCTGTATTTTTCAAATCGAGCGGGATTGTGGAGCGTGTCGTTTTGGACACACAGAAGACAGTCACAGCTAAGTGGTACCCGGAACAGTGCCTGCCTAAAGTCATACAGTCTATGAAAAACCTGCGGCCAAAGTTAAAAATGGACACTTGGTACCTCCACGATGACAACGCTCCAGCTCACCGAGTATTTGACCACTACTGGACTGAAACTTATTGAGCACCGTCCTTACAGTCCAGATATTGCTCCCTGCGACTTTGCACTGTTTCCGCATGTGAAAGTGAAGCTAAAAGCAAAACGGTTCCTGGGTGAACCTTGGCAGAGCTGGTTTAAGGACTGGGTTTGGCGGATGGAGGAGTGTATTGAAAGTGGTAGAAATAACTTCGAACGAAGTCAATAAATAAAGCTGTATTGCAAAACTTTTATAGTACCCTTTGTACATCTTACATTTATTTTTTTAGTTATAGGGAAAAAGGTGTTTTTTATATTCATTTAGTAGGGGTTTCAAACAAATGCTTGACTTGACGTAAATACCTGTCACCGAGTATTGTTATTATTGTGTATTGTTGATATTGCTTTTTTATCGTCACATATGCCAGACGGTCATTTGAGCAATGAAGAACAATTCGTAAGTATTGTTGGAAACAGTAGATGTATGGACATTCACACATTTTCGTAAGTGTTTGCATAAAAATACGAATTTAATACGAAATGTCAACAGCTGTCATCCTAGCGACTTAACCCTGATCGACTCATGGTGTGCCCTTGCGACTAGTGACTACGTAATTTTTGACGAAAATAAATCGTATGCTTGCTCCTTCTATCTAGTCCAAATTCCTTGAAAATGAACATGTATAACAAATGATCACAACAATGACATAATTTGAAAACATTATCCGCCAATATATATGTGATACTAAAGTATTTTGCCCTAGAATAATCGTAGCGCATTTCAATATAACTTTTTTTGTCTATGTTGTATGTATGTCTCTTCAACTTCATGATTATGTTTTATCCATGTTTTAATTTGTTTTACCTAACTGCACCTACTTGACTTGTTGCTGTAGATTACTGTATAAGGACCAACAAATTATGTATCTATCTAACCAAATAATAATAATATGCATTCACTCAATGTACAAAGAGAACAAACAACATGAGTAAATAAATATAAAATCAAAACAGGCCCAATAGAAGGCATTGCCTGTACATGGACCAATAATTTTAAATTGCAACTGTAGAATGCAAATGACAAAAAAGGACAAAAATTAGCCACAGTAGATTATGTATTTACTTGACGTTCGTATTTCAGTCCTAGATATAGAATGTAGCCACTTTTTTAAATTTCTTTTGAAACAATTTGCGGAATGTAAATCTTTTAAGTCTTTAAGTATAATTTCATAAAATTTTGGCGCGAAATAGAGAGATATGACCACTGCATTATAGATTTATGCGGCTGAGGAACTACTGTGCCACGAATTTTATACCTTGTGTAATGATTATCTTTAATTTTTTGGTCGGTTTTGACAAATATTATGGTAGTGAATGATACTGTGTAAGAAGCTGTCTTATATCATACATTCGTACATCTGCGTATAATTTGTCAGTGGGATAAAGTTTCGGTTTTTTAAACATCATTTTTAGAATACTTTTTTGAAAAACATCTAAATTATAGATATGTGAGGAACATGCGGCCCCCAATGCTAATATACCATATGTGAGATGAGGCTCAATCAGTGCATGGTATAATGTTCGAAAATATTTTTCTGTCAATATATTCGCAAGGTATTTAATTTTGTAGGATACAAATCTAACTTTCTTTAAAATATAATTGACATGGATGTCCCAATGTAAGTGAAGATCCAAGGCCACTCCAAGGTATTTTATCTTTGGCACTCTATTAATTTGCATTTTTTGATCATTAATGTTGAAGGAGAAATTTGTGTAATTTGGCAGATGTCTAGCATAAGATCCAAATGTTAAAAAATGTGTTTTAAAATAGTTAATGCTTAATTTTCGACTATTAAACCACCTAACAATTTTGATAAAACCATTTTCAATTATATTTTTTAGATCAGACCAGTCAGTGCCTTCATATAATATTGCAGTATCATCTGCAAAACTGGTTATTTTGCCAATGCAATAAATTTGGAAAATATCATTTAAATATATGTTGAATAACAGTGGACCTAAGACAGTTCCTTGTGGGACACCACACTTAATATATATTTCTTTACTAAACGATCCGGATACCTGGACAGATTGTGGGTGATTTGACAGATAATTTTCGATCAGTGAGTACCCGTATCCTCTCCTTCTCCAATGCTTCTAATAATATTTTGTACTTAACTGTGTCGAAAGCTTTCTTTAAATCAACAAAAATGCAGGTAGAAGGGTTTTTATTATCAATATTTTGATGTATATGATTTACAATTTTAACTATTGCGTCCGATGTAGCCTTCCCTTGTGTAAATCCATATTGATTTTCACTTAAAATTTTGAATTGTGTGAGGTATCGAATCATTCTGGTAGATAAAACTTTTTCTAAAACTATTTATTGGTATTGGTCTGTATTGGTCTATAATTATTAACATCTGTTTTTTTCCTGATTTATGTATCAGTATTATATTACCTTTTTTAAAATTTAGGGATATATGCCAGATTCAAAGCATTTGTTGATTAGGTAAGTGAGTGATTCAGTCATGTCTTCGGCTATAAACATACTGAATGAATTACCTGTTCGATTTTTTCCCTAATTCTTTGCTTAGCTAATCGTTCTTCTTCCTTCTCTCTTCTTTTTTGTTCCATCAATTTTTTCATTTCTAATTCTTCCTGTCGCCTTTTTGCCTCCTGCAGTTCTTTCCCAGACCTACGAAATGTATGAATCTTTTTTAAGCTCAGATAAGTGTTGCTTAATCTGCGTGAAGTTGACATATCCACCACGCTTATGTCTTTATCTTGACTACCAATTATGATTATTCTGATTAACTAACCCTTTGTTGTTGATGTGATAATAATGCTCTTGCGACTGAGCTATAGTGTTCTGCATGTTTCATGATGCTTTGAGTTTGTGTGTAACAAAATAGGTTAGGCATTGCGGTTTAACCAGAACTTTTAAACAACCCACGGATGGCCATATAGTTAGAGTTAACTCTTTTTTAAGGCAAACTTTAGATTGAAAAACACTTTTCGAGAGTCAACATCTGGTTACCAGTAAAGTTGCAGTTGACCTGTCATTGAAAAACCAAGCTTGAGAACATGATCCTCGATACAAACGAAATGATTATGACTGGATTCTTACTTGATTCTAATTTTCTCTCTCATAAGTGCTTCCTCTTTCTCTCTAGCTTCGCGCTCCAACCTCCGTTGCCGTAGCTTAGCTTCAATTTTTGCTAACTGTTCTTTCTTCTCTTCTTCACTAAGTGGCCTCTTCTCTTCTGTTGATTCCGAGAAGTTTCCATGTCCTAATTTTTAGAAATGTGATTATAAACATACATGCATGTATATTTGAAAATAGAAAAGAATAATGAATATTAGAATCAAAGTCTGTATATAACTTTGGTTCAAGGTTGCAGGTCAGCCGAACATGATTTCAAAGTTCTCCTACAAACATGATTTGATAGTTCTCATGAAGAGAACTCACCATTACTGAGCGCAATTCCCCACTGAGAAGTAGGTTTTCTCACCCTAGACAAATAATGATAACAAAAAACACCTAAATGAGTATGAAATGGCATGATCGTTGATTTACATATAAGCCGGAGTTAATGACACTATAAAATGAAAATATTTAAATTTTATAAAATCGGATATCAGACGTAGTGATGGAGGATATAAAAGTGCTCAACCAATAATGGCTTATCTACCTGGGTATGAAATGTATTATTTTCACTACTAACTCAGAAAATCGCTTTAATTGACCTCAACGGCCTATTGAGAAGCAGAATTTATCTCCTTAGGTCAATAATGATAAAAAAATACCTAGGTAAATAATGAATGTCATTTAAAGTTGTATCCTGCTAACTTCACTATATCAGTTTAATGACTGAACTTTATGTTTCTAAATATTTCCGTTTAAGTGAGAAATGTTAACGTTACTACATTTGTTGAGTTAAGGGCTACATCCTTCTTGAATACCTCTAGAATCAGGAGATAAGAAAACTGCTTTTATAGCTAGCAGAAAAAAAAGTGTCAAGTAGGTTGACTCTGCAATTCCTATGCAATGCTGTCATCAGTTCTTAAAGGATTCATTTCAGCACAAGTTAAGCCCTCTGAGAAAAAATCAGTCACATTATGTACAATAGAGAAATCAAATGGATCAAGTCAGACAAACAGGCCCATACAATTAGTCAATAGAGATTCTCTCTCTGCCCTGAGGGTAGCTACTGTGCATCTGGCAACATTGTTTTTTTTTCCATATCGACAGACACGGCAGCGCCCCCGAAGCGTCATTGCACTACTACAATAGATAGCAGGAGACATGTATCAAATGCATTTCTCTATCAAGATTTAAACACATGATGTGTGAAATATCGCTAATAGATGCATATAATTAATGGGACTGGGAGCATATAAATATCAGGTAACCAAATAAGTTCGTGCGGTTGCTGTATATCGCACATTGCCATGGATGTTGTTTATCGATAGCGATTGTTTGTTTTTCACAATTAACTAGGACTCTCTGAATCGTCTAAAAACGACGTTTAAGCGGTTTTCATTTTTTTAGCCTTTTTACTTCGCTGCCCCTGGAAGGTTTTTGAAAAACTACAAAGCCCTTGGCGTAGTAGTAACCTTGAGTAAAAATTTCATCCAAATCTAAGTAGCTCATTCCAAGATATAGAGGAGTCACGGATTACTGGACAGACAGATAGACCAGCGGAAATGGGTACATGAACCAACAAAATGTTTTGGGCCATTGAGGACGCTATTTGATGATTTATTATAGAAACCACAATGCTCTAAGGGTTACGGATACCGAGATATGATCGTTTTTCGTTTTTTTTTGTGAATTACATGCAATTGCGCATAAATATCGTTAAAACTGTTTTGTTTCTAGAGATAATGACACAAAATAAACGTGAGTCTGTTCTGTAATGTATACTCAATCAGATAAACAGTTCATGCAAATCTTCTCAAACAAATGACTGATGACCTTCAAAACGTACAATCACGTGGAGTTTATAAATAATTATTAATTTTTTACTTACAAAACTTCCTTTTCCAAAGATATGCTACACGTTATTATGAGTCATCATCTCTAGAAACAAAAAAGTTATAACGAAATTTATGTGCAATTGTAAGTAATTCAGCAAAAAACAGTCATATCTTGGTAACCATAGCCTTTAGAGCTTTGCAGTTTCCATCAAAAATCATCAGGTAGCATCCCCAATCGCTCAAAAAATGTTCCCCTTAACAATGATAAATGGACAGGGCTATTCTGCAAAATCTAATTATATGGCAGCAGGCAACTAAATATTCATCAGAATACCGAATATTTGTGTAATGAATGACCACCAATTTACATTTTAGTTAATGTAAATATAATGCTAATAAATAAACATATCCAAATGTAATGAAATTGAAAATAGTGATATAAAGTAGGGGTGAAAAAATTTATATACAAACCCATAGGTATCTAAATTTGCTACCCCCCTTTCTTCAAAAAATTTTGAGGGCTGCTACCCTTTCACAAAAAGTTGCCTGCAAGTGCCCATGTACATACATGAGTAGGGCCTTACTAGGATATAAAAGTGCCTGATCAACAATAACCCACTTCCTAGCCTAGGCATGTAATGTATACTATTTACAGCTATTTTTGATTTGATCTATTAACAGCAAGATGTAATAAATATACCTATACAACATTTAAAATTATTCTCTAGGCTACAAAAAGTTGTTTCCCAATACATGAATATAAAACAAATTACTGACCATTGCTAACATTTCAACTTACTCCATGAAATTGACAATTCACAATAACATAATAAAAATATTATCTCACTTGATATTGTAAAGTTCATAATAATTTTTCGGTTTTCATATTTACTGCTTAGTAGTTTTTGCACACACAAGCTTTAACATCTTACACACAAGTTGATATGTTAAAGAAAATGCAGTTGACCAAGAACCAGAATATGTCAACATAGCAATTTTCAAATAACCTTGAAACATCAGTGAGCTGGGTGATTCACAGGGAAACATATACACCAGCAATCTTGATTTCTCTATGACTAACATTCTTATAATAAAATAAATACGACACAATGACTCATAAGAAAATATTTAGATTAAGCATTGAATTGTGGATATTATGAGAATGGATTATTATTTCACAGTATAATCAATTATTATATAATATCAGTTTTTTAAATTTATATACACAGAAATAGATTCTATATAATTTTTTTAACCTATTGAATATCTGGGCATATTATTTAAAATGTTTTTGTGCCATGCCTCCTAAGCCCCAAATTCTTACTTGTGTCACAAATGGCAAATAAATATTTTGTGGCTGTTATATCCATTTTTCTGGCTCTGTTAATCAATTTTTGATAGTAGATTTTAACTAACCTGACTTGACAGCGTGAAATTCGACTTCATCCTGGGTCCTAAATAGCTTGCCACAATCATCGCACCTAAAAGACTTTGCTTCTGCTGAAGAAGAGTCTTGAGAGGCAGTCGGTGAAGGGCTCTTCTCTTTTGGATCAGAACAATCTGTTTTTTCAGTATCGGCTGGGGCAGTCTGTTCTGGCGGCACTTCCGATACCATGTTATCGAGCTGCCCTTCATGAGATAAGAGCCAGTCCATAGCTACTTGGACATCGCTACTTCCTGTTTGCTTTACTGCTATTTCACTGCAGATAGTATTTGAATGGTTATGTTAGCGGTTTTTAATTAGATATTGAAAGTTTAACTTACGCATGTTGCTTACTAAATCCCATTTCCACTAAAGTATTCACCACACTGGACATTTTGCTATGATTTTGGTTTTCAACCGTATCAATTATTCAAAAATTGGGAATTGTCCTTTCCGAAAATTTTGATGGATGGATGTCAGATGTCACACACATGTCACAAGTCACTCTGTTCCGGTGGTTTTTGGATATGTGTGAACACTCAGTTAATGTTATATTAATCTTCACGAGATGGCGCTACCACAACGGAAGACTCGAAATGCCTATTTTTCTCACATTGTGCTTAGTTGCTTTCAGTCACTGGAAATATTTTCAGTAAGATAATGCACCAATTGAGAAGTGGAGTGAATCCTAATTAATAGGGAATAAGTTCACTTGCAAAACAAGAATACATTTTTATGTCTACTTAATGTGAGTATTAGTATACACGTTTATTTAAAACCTGCTCACTAATGGCAGCGTCATCTAGTATGCAGTAGTAAACAACTTTTTTTGTGTAGAAAAAGTGTTACTACATATTCTAAATCCACCTCCGTTTAGTAGCACGTGTGTGACATCACAGAGCGATCAAGTGTCAAGGTCCCAAATTTTCTAATTTTTTTGTAAATATTTTGACCATAAGATTGAATACAAAAGGTAATCAATTAGTTATTTTTTATTTTGTTGATAAATTTAAACTAGGAAATTAATCTATGTTCGTCAAGATTTAGAAAATCAGTGTTTTGGTAAAAAAGGTAGGTAGTCAAAATCAATTATTACAAGTTGTGATTAGAAACTTAAAAGCAATGTAGACTTTGCCTTTACTATATGCACGGATTACTACATGTATCTAATATATTTCTGTTTATTTGCAGCTATGAGGGTCGTACTATGATTCAGAGTATATTTTGAGGCAGTAAAATGAAGTCATGCAATTGTATGTACTTAGAATCACACCCAGACATATTGCAGGACAGTGCACTGTTAGGTACAACAGTTTTTTCCAAGCCCCACAAAAGAAAAAAGAGTTCTGGGATAGAAAACTAGTAGGGTAAGTATCCATATTATACATACCTATTAAAATATATATTAAGATTGTTGACGTAATAAAACTATAATACCAATTCTTGATAGTAGTTGTACAAACATTATTATTGATAAGTTTATTTTTTTCAGGTTTTCTATGGAGGAAATGTATCATGTTGTAGCAGATGTTAAAAGTTACAAATTATTTTTACCATTTTGTACAAAGTCAACCATATTAAAGAAATTGCCAAATGAACTTAGAGCCAATTTGGAAATAGGATTTCCCCCAATAGTCGAAAATTATACTTCAAGGGTATTGTTAGATAAACCTAGATCAGTGCAAGCGATTTGTAATGATGGTCGACTATTTAACTACTTAGAAACAACTTGGAGGTTTAATCCTGGATTAAGAAGTAACCCAAAGTCATGTATTATTGACTTTTATATAAGGTTTGAATTCAAATCTTTATTATACTCTCAGGTAGCTTCAATGTTTTTTGAGAGATTAGTTCAGCAGATGGAACATGCTTTCATAAATGAGGCTGTAAGAAGATACGGCAAAGAATCATTGACAACACACAAACTAAGTCCTGTTAAAATTAAAAGTTGATTTTAGTATAAAATTTATTATGTGATTGTAAATAATTTTATTTATACATTAATAAATGTGATATATACATATCAGCTAGTTTTTTTACCAAAAATATATTTGTAGATTTCCACTTAAGCTGCAAGGTTTTAATATGTGTACATTTCTTTTAATAGTTTTTGTTATATCTTCAATAATCAAAATCGTTCAATGATACAAAGCATTGGTATTAAATCGAATTTTATAGACTATGTAATACCTCTCTAATCTCAGTCTTAACTAAAGAAGATACCTCATTGACTTTATTTTGTCCATGATGAATCTTTTTATGCTTTTTCATACTGCTTGAATCATAAAAGCCTTTAGAGCAAATATTACAAGCAAAAGGTTTTTCGCCTGTATGTATCCTTGTATGAACTTTTAGGGACCCTGAATGATTAAAACTCTTATTACAATATGTACAAATATATGGCCTTTCACCACTATGTTTCCTCATATGGTAAACGAGGTGTCCTTTTTGCGAGAATGTCTTTCCACATATTATACACGAAACTGGCTTTTCTCCAGTATGCACCAAGTTGTGCTTCTGAAGACTATTCTTTGAAGGGAATCCTTTAGTACATATCTCACAAATATAAGGTTTGACTCCTAGATGAATTTTCAAATGTGCATCTAGTAAACCCTTTCTTCTGAAATCTTTGCCACATTCATTACACAAAAACTCTTTTATTCTGTCATTGTGTGTTCTCATATGATTTCTAAATAATGCTTTTGAGTTGAATACACTACTACAGATCGTACATGTGAGGTTAAATGCATCATCCTCTTCTAGTTTATGAAGAGCTAAGTGGTTACTTAAAGCATGTTTTGTAACAAAAGTTTTACCACACTGGTTACAAATAAAGGACCTCTCGCCTCCATGGGTTCTTAAATGATCTGCTAAAGTTGGAGCTTGAATAAATCCTTTGCCACATATGTGACATACATGAGGTTTCTTTTCTTTATGTTTGAAGCTATGTCTACTTAAGCTTGACTTAAACCTGAACTTATCCCCACAAATACTGCACTCATATGGACATTCTTTTGTATGAGAATTGATGTGATCCTTCAGCTTGTAAGTAGTGATGAGTTTATTGCATATATTACATGGTTTCTTTTTTCTCCGTAGGTCTGCTTCTTTTCTTCTATGCTTCAAATACTCATCACAAGAATCAAATTTGACTTGGCAAAATGGACAAGTGAGGTCTTCAGGTACTGATCTACCTCCAAGCTTTCTTTTAGGTTTATCATCATCCTCCAATTCTTGTTTAGCAATATAGTGGTCCCGATTGTGTACATCATGATCACTGTCTGAATCTGCATTTTCTAAAATCTTGAGTAGCAATGCCTCAGCTTCTTTGACTTTATTTTTCAACTGGTAGAAATTGATTATTACATCTACACATTCTTGACACAGATTTGGAGGTAGTTTATTTTCTTGCTGAAATATAGTGAGTTATTGAAACTATTACAAAATAAGAAGTAGAGAAGGCTTACTTGCTGAAGAGACACATCTGATAAAATGTCACTGAGCAGGACACCATCAGAAGAGTATGAGTTTATTGTTATAGCACCTCTGGAGCTTAAACAAAAGCGGCATATTGTGCCGAAATCTTTGATGGAGACTCTAGAATTATCGTACTCGCATTTTATTCCCTGCATTATATCTGAATTTAAGTGAGAGATTTTTGTTTGTGGTTGTTTATTTTGTTGTTTTTTCAAAATGACAATTTGCTGTCAAAATTAACTTACACACTAAAACACACTAGATGTCGCTGTAGCGTTGTCTTATGCTATCTCTTGGAGGGAGTATACACAATTCGATTAGCAAAGGAGAAACCTGTACACGGCCTGTAGTGGTATTAGTTCAGCTACATACCGACAGATGCCACTTCATCAAATTGAAACGCCATCTACTTACTGCCGATGTCTGTCTTGTCATGTCAAGTTGTCAAACTCTCCCTTATGTTCTAGAATTGATAGATTGTGTAAATATAAACATAAACGAATAAAATAAAGGAAGTACTGCCTCAATTACCCAAAAATGGCTTTGGTTATGCAAAGGAAATTAAACGTGAGTATATTCAATCAGTGATTTAGAAAAATCTAACATTTTTCATTATAGGTGCGTTTGCCCCCAGAGATCAATCGTATCCTCTACATCAGAAACCTTCCTTATAAAATAACCGGCGAGGAAATGTACGATATATTCGGCAAGTACGGCGCTATCCGACAAATCCGAGTGGGAAACACACCTGAAACAAGAGGAACTGCTTTTGTGGTCTATGAAGACATATTTGATGCAAAGAATGCTTGTGACCACTTGTCCGGTTTCAACGTGTGTAATAGATACCTGGTTGTTTTATATTACCAAGCTAACAAGGCCTTCAAAAAGACTGATATTGAGAAGAAACAAGAAGAAATTGATAAAATGAAAACAAAATATGGCATCAACACATAAACTTGATTTACTTATTTTGTATTGCTGAAACACTCACTAATCTCATATGTAAGCAGCAGCAAATTGTTGCAGTTTGATTCATTTGATTTTTTCCATGTGAGGATCATTTTATTTTACATATAAGTTCAAATTGTGGATTAATTAGGTTATTATACATAATGCAATTTTTGTATATATTGTAAAATAAAGATAAGATACTACAATAAAAAACCCACATGGTCCTGTAAAACATTTTAATTTAAAATTCTTAAACTACTTGATTTAACCCACTGAGTTTTTATCAAGATATTTTGTCTAATTAAATGGAAATAACTATTTAATTTTTAAAAATGACATTTTGTAGTATACATAAATATCACTGCTGTTGATAAAGAGACAAATCGTACCACATTAAAATTATGAAATCTCCACCCCAGGGCTCTATTCTTACACCAATGTTTTTTATATTAACCAGTTTGATAATGTTCATCCAGATACTCATTTTACAGCATATGCTGATGACATTTCTGTCATAATATCAAGTACTTCAAATATATTGGAAAATAAATGTAACAACTTAATTAAAAAAACCAATTTGTACTTTAATCAGTACTTACTATACTTGAATCCTTCCAAAACAATACTTATTCGTTTCCATCATGCTTAAAAGACTGTAGAAGAGCTTCAAGTTAGATTATTTGACAATCAACTTGATTTTAGGAGTGAAATTTCTTGGAGTTTATTTTGATTTAAACTTAACCTTCCGGAAGTGGCGCAGTATATTATGACACCAGAGGTGGAGCGAAGTCTGTCAGACCCTGCTAAAAAAAACGCATGCGAAGCAGTTTTAAAAAAAAATACGTTATTGGCTATGTTTAATTACATCCTCTTTGATCAAATATTAACATTGTAGCATAAAATACAAAATTCTTATAGAATTTATCCTTATAGAAACAAAAAATAAGATAAAAAAGTGATTCCTAGAATTTATGAAACAAAAATACAAGAACAGTGCAAACAATATTTTTCTTGATAACACTAAATAGTAGATTGATCATAAAATGAGTTTTAATCATTACCCAATGATTCTAAACAAATAGAACACCAAGCTCTTAGGTGTGAGAGACAAACAAATGTTTCACAGTAAAATCTAGTTTTAGAATCTTTTACACAGAAAAAAACATATTTGTCTGGTCCCAGGGGCAATGTCCATTAATGGCTGAGCATCCATAGGTGTTCCTGAATAAATCTGCCTCCTCTCTCTCACTCCTCTTGGTACATTTGTTTCACATGATCGCCATACTAAATGTGGTTTTGTTAGTTTTCTAGTGCAAGGTTCCTTAGGTATAGTCTTCTTATAACAGAATATTGCTTATTATTTACTACTTAAATAAGTTGCGAGTTAACGCCTGCTATATTTAGTAAGGCATAGAAAATAACTATAGGCCATCTACGAGTATTTCTCGCTATGTTATATGTGGCACCAAGCTTGTCCAAATTGTCAACGCCTCCCTTGGTGTGGCTCTAGTATGTTATGATTTCAGGTTTGCTTTTTTCTTTTGTTGACTTATCTATTGCATCATCATGTTGCAAAGATGAAATCAAAATTACATTTTTATACTTTTTGGGGACATAAGATGCAATTGTCATATCTTCCTGGAACCCAAAACATGGATGTACAAGCAGCTCGACTTCTGGTATTTGTGAATTCCGGGGGAAGTTCCCTTTTATTTTTTTTTCATAGTACCAACAAATGTTAGTCTGTGTTCTTTGAGTAGTTTCTCGACCAGAGGGACGCTGGTAAACCAATTATCACAAGTCAAATTTCTATTTGTCCCAGAAACAGGTTCAATGAGGCGTAAAACAATGCGAGCAGGATCGTTATTTGTTTTGAAAGGCCCATCGGGTTGTGTACCTACATATACCTCTAAATTAGCACAATATGACGTGGAAGCATCGACAAGAGCAAAGATATTAACTCCATATTAGTTTTTCTTACTGGGGATGTACTGGTTGAATCCACAACGTCCACGAAACGCTTCAAGCTTCTCATCTATGGTTGCATTGGCTCCTATGCAGTAAGTATTTTTGCAGTTCTGAACAAATTTGTCAAAAGTTGATCTTATTGGTGCCAACTTATCAAATTTCTTTCTTTCGTCTCTAGTAGAAAGGTCGTCGAATCGCAGACAGTTAAGGAGGAATCGAAAACGCTGCTCGGACATTGTCACCCAAAATCTCCATCCTGTCTTATTATCCTTACCAAGAAAATGATGAGCTCCTGGAATGTCTGCAGTTTGAAGTGAAATGACCTCATCATTATATTCTTGCTCTAACTCGCTATCGGTGTCTCTTGTTTCAGTGACGTCCTCATCCGCAGCCCATTCTAAGTCCTCATCATCTGGATCTTCTTCAAGTTGTACTTCATCCCATAGGGCCTGCAATCTTTTTTGCTCTGCTTCCCAACTCATTTCTGAAAGTAATAAAAATAACGTGGAGAGCATGAATTATACAAAAATAAAATAATCTACTGAAGATGTGATTGGTGTACTTATGTAAAACTACACTTTTATGACAAAATTATTACATTATACTAGATATTCTCTCATGCAAAGTATTAACCGAGCAACAGAACAATAAATAATGCTTCATTTACTTACCAAAATACAAAACACTCAAATTTCAACAAAGCACAAAAACAGTTACGCGAGTAGTAGTCTCACAGACTTTTTACAAAATAACTGCATCAATATTTAACCAACACCTGTCTCGCTTGCCATGCGAACACGAGGCCTATGTGGGAAGGTACTTAACTGGGCGGGATTTTACCGATTATTGCCGACACATGCCGAGCAATGGTAGAGCGTCTGGGTCTGTCAGACTAGGCGCCACTTCCGGAAGGTTAAATTGAAAGGACCACTGCAAATTTCTTACATTCAAGATGACCTCTCAAAGCTCTGTGTTGAGGCAATTAATAACCATCTTAACGACTGATACAAGTTTATTTTGTTAATGTGGATTCAAGATTAAGATAAGGTGTATGTTTCTGTCTCAAAAAAGATGCATCTGATCATTTGCAGGGATATCACCAACCGAAAGTTGCAAAAAATATATTATAGAATTCAACATTTTAACTGTCCCTTCATTATGAAAGTGCTTACATGTCTTTAAAAATAATGATAAATTCAAGCGGAATTGTGATATGCATAATTATGACACAAGGAATAGTTTATTTGTAAACTTCAGAAAATAAAAAGGAACATTCCTATCGCCTAATAAAATTGGACTGCTTCTTTTCAATAATTTACCATGCAACATTACCTCAGTTAAAAATATTAACCAGTTCAAGTTCCACTTGAAGCAATTTTTGATAAACAAGTGCTTTATTCATGTTAATGAATTTTTGAACATAGCAATTTAAGATTAGTTGTAGGTTTTTAGCGTACGAAAAATTTACAATTCCAATATAATTTTATATTGCCTGTATGGAAATAAAGGTTTTAATTTGATTTTATTGATTTCCACGAAAAACTGGTTTATTTGCAAAATATCCTTTATTAAAAATTAAATACAATATTTATGTTCCAACTACTCTTATAATAGCAGCACAACTGTATAATAAAAATATTTCATATACTACACAATGAACAGATACTTTACATGTTCTGTTTAAAAAAAATATCTTTGGTAAAACATAGTTGGCATATCATATTTGGCTTGAAATACACACTTATCACTTCCAACAAAACAATATCTTTGGCATACTTTGTCATAAACATTTAATTGCTCAAGTACTTCATCCTTTGTACATTATACTCAATAAGTTGGGCATTCTGAAATATTTCTGCCTCATAGTACTTTGTACTCTCATAAGTATATACAGGGGTTTTTGAGTTCTGCAAGCAGTAGCTAGGTATTCAGGGGGTTCAGAACATATGAGCAAAATCTTTGATTCTAATAGAACACAAAAAAATGTAATTTATATGAAAAACCTTTCTTACATAAACAGTAGATCATATTTTGATATATATATCTAATTCCAAGAGATTTGTCATATATTCTGGAAAATCCTGAATAGTGAAGAATTTATTTATTTATGTCAGTATGCAAAATCATTAATGTTATGCTAATCTTCAATTTAAAATTAACAGTTTCTCAAGTTATACTAGATGGCAAAAATAACCTAGCATATAAGCAAAAAAATTATCGTATCTTTTGAAGCCATATCATCTTACATAAGCACTTCCAATAAACAAGCATATCAAAATATTTTGAAAATATTGAATATGACGTTAAGAAACGTAATATTTTATATAAACAGCAAGTACTAAAAATATTGCACATCAAGCTTGATTTTTTATTGTGAAACTGAGCAAAACTTGACACATTTCTATATTTTACAGAGAAAACTAATAATTTGTTCACAATACTTTGTAAATAAAAAAAAGCTAAACTGTACACCTAACATTACAACTGTAAAAAGAGTAATTTTATACTACCAATATAACATTTACGAGAAGTATCAATAAAATACGTAACAAAATGCTTCAACAGTTCCAATGATACCAGGCTAAAAAATATTTGAGGTCTCTCCGTTTAAAAAAATTGTTTTTCGTCAAAGTAGGTAAAGTAAGTCTTCGTTTAATAACATCAACATATCTTTGGAACGAGTTTAATTATTATTATTTATATTAAAATAACTTCTTGGGATATAAATTTAGCTATATAATTTGACTAAAACAAAATATTTGCGTTTTGCCCATACAAGCAAATAATCTGAAACAGATCATTCAGAATTCACACTAAATAAAACTTCATGCTGTTCTTATGACCTGAACACAAATAAATGTCCATACTTATTTAACAATGTACACATGAGATCAAACTATATCTATTTAGCTAATGAAACTACCCGAGCAATATATGAATTATATATCTTTTTGAGCAAATTAACGGGCATCCTTAAACGTGTTCAAACTCAGCATGTAATGTCATGAGTTTCGTTGCATTTTATATAATCAAGGCTTTCATGATGAGTGTGTGGCATCACTTCAAATGGCAAATCACATTTTTAAAAGCTATACGAAAAATTATTTTTGCAAGTTATTAGGCTTCAAAGAAATTCATTTGATATTGTATACTCAAGGTGGCATAAAGAGGGTTTGTACCTTTAAACCAATTATATTTTAGTAGTCTCATTATCATATTTGTCGCAATACTGATGACGATACCTCAGGCATGTACATATTAAGAGGGGGGAGTTATATACAGAGCAATGATTGGTCAAATGAGCAATTTGAGGTTAGATTAAATTTGAAGCATATATACCCTATTTCACGAGTATCCATCACGGTAGAATGACAGCCGCTTATCTAGTAATATCTCAAAATTCTCCATATCGGCACAGTACACATAACTCTGGCGGATCCGTCAACGCCAGGTAGACAGAGCTGTATTTTGTTTTGGTTTTCTGCACGTTACACATTCATTTTGTACTTGCTAACAGCTCTTTTATGTAGAAAGGTTCATTTGCATACAAAAAACAAAACGCCGCAGCAAACGTTTTACTAGATTTACACCCGATTCATTATTGCCAACGTCGCAGATTAACACAAAAATGTCACTTACTGATCAGCTGTTCACCTCGGCTAGTGAGATTTTTGTTAGTCTGCGACGTTGACAATAATTAATCGGGTGTAACTCTAGTAAAACTGGTTTGTTTTTTGTATGCAAATGATTTTTTCTAAATAAATGAGCTTCTAGCAAATACAACATGAATTTGTAACGTACAAAAAAACCAAAACAATATAGCTCTGTCTACCTGGCATTGACGGATCCGTCAGAATTATGTGTTCTTTGCCGATATGGGGAATTTTGAAATATTACTAGAAAATCAGCTGTCATTTTACCGTGATGGATACTCGTGAAATAGGGTATACCTTTCTCTATTGTTGCTGAGCGGGTGCTAAGGCGGAGAGCAAATACACCAACGATTGGTCAAATAAGCAATTTGTGTTTAGAATAAAATTAAATTTCAAGCATATGTTGCTGCTTAACTAAATCGTATAACATTCCGCGTACGGTCTTAAAAGTTAAAGCTATGTGATAATTTCCTGACTTGTCATAATGTCAAATGTCATAATGATTAGCAGCCGTTTTGCATTGTAGCGTTTTTTCTTATGTGCGGAGGAACTTTTTTTAAATAAAACCGTAAACATGAATCTATAGCGCTCAAAAGACCACACTAAATACGACTCTGTCTAAAGATCTAGCGTCAGATCCATCAGAATTGTATGTTACTTGTCAATATGGGGTATTTTGAAATGTTACTACATAATCGTCTGTTATTTGGTGTCACGTATGACGTAATGGAGACTCTAGTGATAAATTCCAACATACACAAAAATGTTTGCATTGCAAAAGGTGTTTTTAGATAAAACTGAAGACCTAGTGCGTATCCAATCACTAATTGAGGGTTCCCCTCCTTATTTGGATGAATCCAAGTTCCATGAATTGGTATACAGTATGATATACATACAACATGTAGTGTTTTTGAAAAAAGTCTTCCTCTACTAATTTTTTGAGCGAGTCAAACTGGCAAGATGAAATTTGGGGGTAATGATACTGATGCACGGATACTATATTTTAGCATGAAAGTGACAGTTGAAAATTCCAAGATGGCGAGTTCCATTTTGGAACAATTTTGTTAATGGAAATCACCACTCTTAAAAATGGCAAGCTGTCAAGCTATAGTATGTCATATCAATCTTCTTCTTGTGGAGAAGTCTATCTGAATATGTAATGAAATATGGAGCATTCCATTAAAAAAAATCTGAAAATCTTTCAATAATTTTTAAACTGAATGTCCCGTATTTTATTGCAGATTTAGATGCCCCCCATACTAAAACGTTTTTTTTTTACTATTTGTCCATTTAATTTACAAAATTGCTCAGTTTTGATAGTCTGCTAGTCCGCACTTTGAAAAATAGTGATTTTATATTCTAGGGTTGTAAAGTAATCGTAAAATGAGGTAGCAGACGAACTCCCATTTTAATTAAAAAAAATCAAAAATGGCGCCAAGCCGCCATCTTGAAATTGTCGACAGCCACTTTTACGATAAAATAGTATCGATGCATCAATTTCAGCGTTATGAAGTACGGCTTGCTTACTTGACCCGTTAAAAAAATAGGTACGGGGGAGCTCCTGGAAAAGCACTGTATGTGCACATCCTACCGTGTATTTTCAACTCCTGAAGAGATATGTGACGAACTACACTAAAAATAGTGCCATTCAAACCATTGTACAATACCAACAAAAAGACCGAATTTATTGGCTGAACAGCGCGAGCAAGATGCCTTGATACTGAAAAAGATTCGATCGGTAGCAGAGGTAATACGTAACTTGAAAAGTGACATTATGTATGTAATGAAGCTTTTTATGATATTATGTAGGTTTTCCTATAAGGTGCCAATCAAGAACTAGATGTCGTTCACTTCATGCGCATTTGTAGCAGGCGCGGAATGAAGTATTTGCACACTATCCGCTACCTATACCCTATTCGTAGTACATTTACGCCCCGGCACAACAAAGATGCAAAGCGGCAGCCGCCTAAGCGTTGCAATAGCTATTGGTCATCCGGCCATAACACTACGAACAAGTGCACCGTTCGACAGGATAGAACTCAGGCTCGGGGTATCGCCGGCAGTTGCTGTTCATATTCGGTCCACACATAGCGTGTGTTTATACGCATGTCGTCTACGGATACAGCAGATGAAACTGAGAATATTTCTCCCAATGCTTCCTTCAGCCATGCTTCCTCTCCAGTGATGTCTCCTCCCAGAAAACGTGACAAGAGGGGACATTTGAATATTCAGGTAAAAGAAATGGTCCTTAACATTTATAAGGGGACCTCGGCTGGCCGCGTGGGTCAGTGTCGGCCGGACCGCGAGTTCGAATCTCGCCTTCGCCATGGATGTTGTGACGTCGTGTGTTTGTCCATAATTAGATATTTACAATACCAACCTAGTTTCTGGCTGCATGGCTTGGTCCTAAAGCCAAACAAAAAACACATTTATAAGAGCAAAATTTTAGAGCAACCTGAAATGAAAATTCATGATATTGAAAGACAATTTTCAACATTATTAACGTGCTATATCGGTCTCCCGAGACCGTTATCAAACTTCATTTTGATACGGAGCTGTTTTTTCAAATTTCCGTTTTGGTGCGGAATGCATATTTCACTTAATATACAAGTTATAAATGCGAGACATGTAGCTATAAGATCGTGAGAACTTGTATAAAAACTATATCGGTCTCCGCAGACCTACAGCGCACAGACATATCAAAATAATTAGTGGAGAGCGTTATAGGTCTCTGGAGACCTACGAACAAACGTGTCTGATCCTGTTACGCCGTCATTTGTGTACCGAATGCGAGCGAGTGAAGTTGTGTATTGGGTTCACTCATCAAAAATGTTTTCTTCTCGCGTTAAAAAAATTATGAAAATAACTAAAGATCTACAAAATACTGGAGCAGTGCCCACAAATCCTGGTACATAAACAAATATACCTGAAAATAAAATTGAAATTGTTGAAGCAGAGTTATCAGACGATGGAGAACAAACAAATAATCCTGGAACAAGTTATGTTATAAGTGGAGATGAATTTTTCGACTTTGGGAGTGATGATTCTATCATAGATAAAGTCTATTATCCATCCAATATATGGCCAAATCAAGTTACCTCAATAGAGTGGCAGAAGAACCGACCAGGAGAAATAGTGTGACAAGTAACAGGACTAGATCACCAACGCCAATACTAACATTAGGAACTCTAGCACTGGCTGCTACTAGTGTGTTGCCCCAGACAGAAGGATGTGATGAAACTTTATGCTTACAAGGCAAAGGACTAGTCTGTAAGGCCAGTGTATCTACTGACGTAAGTGCCAGCTTATTTACAGCTAAAACAGGTGGAATAATATGCCTACAAGATTATGAAGGAGAAATATTTAAAATAAAATTAGTAGAATCAAGAGTTAAAAATAGATATAATATAATGTATTATACCAGTGAAAAGGCATCATATTCTAATTGTGAGGACATGGGAGAGTGTTGGAATGGTGGATGTTACAAAGAGAAAATTGGAGACAGGTTCAATGTTGCACTTAAGAGTGTACAAGGATTTACTTGTGACACATGATGCTGGCACCAAACATCTTGTGTGTACACTCATTGGTGGGTGCAAGGCATTGGACCAAGGTACCCAGGCTACAAAAGAGAATCTGAAATATGGGAAGTCACAATAGAAACTACATGCAAAAATGTTACAAACAGACAAAGGATGAACCTTAACAACCCTATTGTTACTTTGCAAAATATAGATATTGCTGGCATTAAAAATATACCATTAGTGGTAACCAATTTTGATACTGAATATACAGTCAAGCCAGAACGTGCTATAACAATAGAAGATAAAAGACAGATAAAATTGGAGATTACCAAATTGCACATGTAGGTAACACTTCAACTTATAATAGTCACAATGTTATTTGCCAGGCTAACAGTTGTGCAATGAACAGCACCATAACCAAAAATAACAAGAATTTAAAAAAAATTACATAATATAATTAAGGGGCAAGCTAGGCCAGAGGGAGTGAAGATGGCTTTGTGCCCACTGCCCTATGGGCATTTGAGTCAAAGAAAACGCCCGACTACCATGAACAAATGGACGGGAGTTCATTTGAAAGATGGTTTGAAGAAACGCTTGACGACAATGCCGTCATTGTACTTCATACCACACTAGAAAACTAGAAAAAATTCCCACAATGTCCACAAGAAAGGCAGAAATTCAACAATGGCTCCTATCAAAATAGTTTCAATGAAAATAAAGTCAAAGCAGAACTTTCTGACTTCAAAAGTTTGTTTTAAGAAGCTATCAACAGAGTGGCGGCAAACCATTGGAAACATTGCCGACAAACGAAACAAAAATGTAGGATCTGGACAATATGATCGATATTCAAATTGAACCTGTAATAATTAATATTAACCATTCGGACGAGGGTTCAAGTACCTTCAGCGAATAAAGAATTGTGAAAAGGATGTGCACTTCTGTCTATAAAAATAATGATTTGTTTTGTTAGATTATTCCAAGACCATTGAGGAAAACACGGACCTGTACAATCTCCCTTTTGGGCGTGTTGTGTTTTGTCTGGGAGTAAATGGACTACGAAAGGGGTATAGTAAACAAGTTGTCATTTTGTCAGTTTGTTTTGGCATTATATAGGTTTGTTCAAATAATAACCCAGTGAACGTCTGACTAGCAGATGTGCACTTAATTGGATGCCATGTAACCATGATGGTTGCCTGGCTCTGACTCATTGAAAACTGTATACAGTGCCTCATTAAGGAATAGAGAATTTCACCATTTTTTATCAGTTGAAATGAAAACTTTATAAAAATGAAACAAGAGTGTGAAAAAATTATCGATTTATCTCTAAAAATAAACAAGTTATACACTTTCAAAGTTGTGCCCTGTAGAAATATTTTCGTTTGTCTGAACGCGACGTGTGACGTCACAAATCTGAAATTACCAAAAAAAGTTGTTACATATACTATACTGCTCGAAAATATACGAGCGCAGCAAATAATTTTTATTTAATACGGGCATTAGAGGATCATTACACCCATAACCTCAAAAACCACTTCCGATTACTCGAATTTACTCCCCAGTAACAAATTTTGTCTCCCGCGGGTCAATAACAAAATCGGGCCTATAAGGGTCACATTTATGGAAGTTCTTTGAGGATTGAGTGCTGATTGGGGCATTATCTCTCTTTGGCTTTGAACAAGTATTTATTTTCAAATTTTTCAAAAGTATTCAAGACCGATTGAGAAGTCAAAAAATGTTCCCGAGTTCAAATCATTTTCATATCATTAAATGTTTCACCACATGGTAAAAATCGTCTCTAGGGATGGACAAGAATGACCCGGGGAGAGATCAGTTACAGTATGGAAACATTTTTACTTCAAACATTTTTCCAGCTCGCCTCGTATACAACAATAAATTGTGTCGTTCATTTTTTATGCCAGCTTAGTTATCACATATTTTTACATGCTTACTTTTTATGCCATAGACATTCCTACCTTAATTGCGTTTTTTTTTTGTTTATTTCTTGGAATAATGTATGGAAAGTTTTTTCGTATCAGCATTGTTGCATATTTAACATCATTGGATTAGTTTTGATGTACCACTGCTATAACCAGCACCCTATTAATAATGGACAAGAATAAGTATTTGACGGAAGAGTTGCGACTTAAAGTTGTCAAGTTGACAAGGCCATTAAAAGAATTTCGATAGCTGATCCGCATATGCAGACATTCGTCAATATTTCAAGACAGAATAACGGCCTGTACTGTGAGAAGACGTCTATGTGAAGTTGGGTTTTTTGGAAAAACCGTTACTGTCCAAAAAGAATCGAATGTCAGACTTCAGTTTGCTCAAAGACATTTAAATTGGACACCTAAAAACTAGGGTACGGTGCTTTGGAGTGACGAAAGCAAATTTAAAATATTTGGTGCTGATGGAAGATCGTTTGTAAGAAGAAAAGCATGGTGGTGGCAGTGTTATGATCTGGGGGTGTTTTTCCAGGCCTGGAATGGGCCCGATACTGAAAATAACTAGGAAAATGGATCGCTTTATGTCCCGCGACATATTACAGAATACTATGGCACTTTATGCCGAAGAAGAAATTCCGCTGTTGTGGAGATATCAACATCCCATTTAGTAAAAAAATAATTTCTAAAGAAAAGCGTCGTAGCAAATGATGACTGATCAGAAATATAAACACGTACACTTTTTATTAATTGTTCTATTCCTTCATTTTCAAGAATTGGCCTCTAGGGGAATATTTTAATAATATTAAAATAGTAGTAAGTAATATTACGCGGTGACAAAAAAATCAACAATTCTTTTGTTAAACAAGTTTCCGTATCAACCATTTGTCAGCACTGCATTTCAACCTAGTAAAAACATAGCTTAGCTTATTCCAACAAATTTTTTTGGTTAATTTAATACCTGTAACTTATCCTGTGGTTTCATCAAAGACAGATAAACATATATCATTTTCAGTTATACATTTAAAAAAGCCACTGCAGTAGTCGAAACGTTAGTGGATTCATTTAGTGGCCAATTATAGATTCCTAAATTTCTTTCCATTTGGAAATATTTAACGTTGACCTCCCGTATATAGCGTTATCTCCTAGGATTTATTATACTTTTCTGCTTTTGATTTTTTGACACCAATCAAATCTTTTCCTCTTGTACTGCGCATGTTGCTCGCTCTGTAGCCACTTCACCTACAACTAAGGGCCGAAAATACACCTACCTTATTGAGTAAAACATCCCTAAATAAAAAAATCACAATACACGTATCTCATGTTTTCACTCCAAGCCGTTGTAGTTGATCGTCGAGTTGTGCCTGGTTTTCCTGCTACCTTCATCCTCAGTCATCATGGGGTTTATAGAATGCGAGAGCGCTGTCGTCTTCTGGAAGTCGATCATGGCGTAGCTCTTCTTTGGTACCTTGGGGCTGGATTCAGGGCCCCCAGTGCTAAGGGCAGGTGGAGGCGAGCAGGGCTCGCCGTTGTCAAGATCGAGCTCAGCATAGTTGACCTCGCGGACGGGCTCTGCAGATGGATCCGTAGCGTATAGTATCGTTGGTGTCGTTGGGGCGCTACCTGTATAACAAGGGATTCATGTTTATACGTGGCCTTGTACGATACTTCATCACGGTGAAATGAGTCAACAAACAACAGCTGATTATCTAGTGACATTCAAAAAACACCATAACGTCAAGTAACAAACAGGGCTCTGAAAGACCCTAGCGCCAACTATGACATAGTACGAAGGATGTCTTTCAAGTTTTGCATATAGAAAGGCCGCGAGGATCGAACGTCAGTACTGAATCTTAACTTCACTCTTTAGTAAACTTAAATTCAAAGTTTCACAACAATACGTGCAATGTTCTCACCACAGTGAGTGTTTAAGTGTCACCAAGTCATTAGAAAAATGGAACTCAACCGAGAACATTTTCGCGCCGCCATAATTTATTACAACTTTCAGAGACAATTATCGCAACAAGAATGTCTTGTTGAGTTACTGTCTGTTTTCGGCAACGAAGCGCCACATCAGTCGACAATTTCCCGTTGGTATGGAGAATTCAAACGTGGACGGGTGAGTCTTAGCGACGATCCCAGGGTGGATGCACCAAAAACGGCAGTCACCCAGGAAAACGTCGATGTTGTGCGCAAACTCATCATTGAAGATAGACATGTGACATATCGCGAGACTGAAGATGTCAAAGACCTAAATTCAAAAAATTTTACATGAAGAATTAGAAGTAAGAAAATTGGTTTCTCGTTGGATACCCCACCTGTTGACTGAAGAGCAGAAAGCAGCCAGGGTTAATTGGTGGCAAAAAACGCTTGACCGTTTCAATTCCGGAATCTCAAAAAATGTGTACAGCATTGTTAGTAGTGATGAATCGTGGATTTACTGTTATGAACCAGAAAATAAACGACAGTCGGCTGTTTGGTTGTTCTAAGGTGAAGAAAAGCCAACAAAAGTAATCCGTTCTCGAAGTGTTTCGAAAAAGATGATCGCGACATTTGTGTCAAAAGCGGGTCATATTGCAACAATTCCTCTTAAGAACTGTTACTGCGGATTGGTATACCACCTTTTGTTTGCCAAAAGTCCATCCTCCATATAGTCCCGATCTAAGTCCTAACGATTTCTGTACTTTCCCGAAAATTAAAAACAGACGGCGTGGTCAAAGGTTCCAGTCACCAGAAGAAGCAGTTGACGCATTCAAAAATGCCGTTTTGGATCTGCCAGCAAACGAGTGGAATAAGTGCTTCGAAAATTGGTTCGAGCGCATGCAGATGTGTATTAATATTCGTGGAGAATACTTCGAAAAACAATAAAGTCATTTAAAACTACCTACCGTGTTGTTTTATTTCCATATGCAAAACTTAAAAGACATTCCTCGTAGCAGCACTATTGATCATAAATTAGATTTTACTAATCATATAAATAAATTGCTTTCTTAACTAGCAAATAGTTTGTTATAAGAACAATTAGTTACAATGTAGAGAAAAGCAGAGCTTCAAGCAGTTACTGGGCCTTATTTGAAAGCAGATTGAGATATCCCACTACTGTTGTGTCCTGTCGGTGACTGTGTTATTAAAAAATGAACATGTACAACAGACAACAACTCAAACTTTTTAAGTCTTTCAAACAGGCTCATACAATTACTACATAGACATTCTTTCCATGCCCTACTGGTAGTTACCGTCCATGTAACAACGTTACCTCTTTCCACTTCGCGGTATCGCTGCAGCGAGTTATCTTTCGTTTCGTGCAAGGTCAGTATACATTTTTTTGCGCTTCAGTACGGATAGATATATGAAACGGACCAGTTCGCTAGACGGTGAGATTAGCTAGGCAGGATTTCACGGATCGAAAACATTCCTCTATCATTCTAAGTTTTAAAGGCAAATGCACAGATAAATCTATGATGTATGAAATATGGCTAATAGGTGCATATATAAATATACTGAGATCTAAGAAATTTCATAATATCCTCCCTCAACTCCTAAAACCTCCAAATTTCAACCCAAAGAAAAATATTTCTGAAAAGATGAGCGCCCTCTAAATCGTCAAAAAACGAAGTTTTGTCGATTTTTATTTTCTTCATTTTTGGCCTCTTTCTCCGCCGCCAATGGACCGATTTTCAATAGCTACAAAGCTTTTCTGTCTTTGGCACAGTATGTATGAAAATTTTTTCAAAATTCGATCGGTACTTTCCAAGTTATAACAGGGATTAGCAGACAAACAGACAGACGGAAATGAGTGACATTTTTCATGATGTACATGTCAAACATTAGACATTTTTCACGTATACTTCCTCGCTGAGTGCGTAGGAGGTATACGCAGGCCTTTATTTCCAAATCTTGAAATAATGACTGTCGTATAGTTGTTCATTTCAGAAACAACAACCCTTAATTTTGAAAATAAAGTACAAACATTAAATATAAATTACGATATTAGATGAAAACAAGATCTTAAATTAGTAGCACCTAAATCAAGACAGAATAATTTATGATGGTCTGAAAATTTACATGTCTCCCTGATGCTATCAAAAGAATGTCCTTATATGTAAACTATATTATGTATACCATGCATGAGTTCTACAATCTATTTACTTAAGATCCACATATGTAATTATGTTATAATTTAGTTTCAAGCTAGCTTATTTGTAAGTAAGAATGACTGTATTCTTCGGACAATAAAGAATATTTGTCTATGTAGAAAAATTAATTAAGGAACCTACTTTGAACGTAGTTAGTGTTTGGTTCTGCACTGTCTCAATAGATGAAACTAGGATCTTCAATACCTTTTTAGCGTCTCTCTAATGCTTATTTTAATTGGGTACCTACAGGCATTGATCAACGTATTCCACACTAAATTCCCGTGCAATTGTAATTTGGACAAAGATGCTCATCTATCTAAAACGGGGGTACACAGATTCCGAACTCGAAGTCAATTTGACACTACAACCCATAAGGAAGCCAACTTCCCTTATTTCTATTGGTTTCAGAAGTAACAAGTAAAAGATGATGATAATGGAAAAACTTAACATACCTAATTGAGTATCTGGTGATGGACGCAATATTTCAACGTATTTTGTATCGATGTTCGCATAGCATCGCTCTGCTTCATCTTCTTTGGTAATATCTTTGGTATTATTCGTTTCAATGTTCATGTAAACATGGCCAACTGGTTCGGTTGCTTCTACAGATAGATTTGCGTAAAGGGGAGTAGCCAGGCCATTTTCAATCACAACACTGAAACATCAGGGATAAATATGACAATTTCAAAGGGAACGTTAATCGAAAAAATAAATTAGGTCCTTGGTCTGTATGCACAAAGATGCATGCACCTCAATCTAAAAAATATTTCTGCTAGATCACCGATATCGACGTGAAGTTTCCCATAATCTCAGAATGTATTCCAAAAAAATTGTGTATAATACCATAATTCTTACCCATACCTTACCTAACCTATATTGTTCAACTATTTTGTTTACAGCAAATGAATACATATTATCAAAGTTCCACATTTTACAATAATTGTTATGAGAATCATTTCAAATAACAACAAATATACTGAGATTAAGACTCTGTTAGACTGCAGTAACTGAATGAAAAAAAATATGTTATAATTTTCATATTCAAATTAATAAATCGTTTATTACAACATTTAGAAAACTTCACAAAATGAAATAGTCATTATCATAACTATGAAACTAGAGGCAGTATAGATTTTCATCTGCAAAATTGTAACAGTAGCATAACTGGCAAATATGTATTTCAAAATTGAGTATGAATTTAATAAATTGAATAATGAGATTAAACAGTGTTCAAATTTTAAAATGTTAATGGTACGAGCACAGGTGTGTAAATTAAGTGATGAGATTGGCAACATAGCGTTTGGTCTGGCAACACTGGAAGCGCCGGGTTTGGAAGGGAGACAGGGGAACATGCGTATTGCGAACATGTGATCCGCCTTCAGTACAAGTTTGGTTGTCCGTAGCGATTTTTTTTTGCAACAGTTTTTGCTATCATGTTTCAAAAAATAAGTGACAATTTCGAGCAACCGAGTGCTGCCAGTTTTTGCTTCAAACTTGGTCACAATGAAACGAAAACTCTTGCTAAACTTCAGCAAGCCTACGGAGATAGTGTTTTGTCAAGAGCCTAGGTTTTTCTGTGGTTTAAGACATTTTCAGAAGAGAGAGAATCGATTGAAGATTGATACAAAAAATGTGTAAAAGATTATACAAAATTGACGTAGCATTAATGCTGAGTAAAAAAAAGTTAACAAGACCTTGCCTGCAGACGGTTGAACTCTAAACTTCTGGTGGCGGAGAATTTGCGTATTTACATTGCATCGATGACAGCTTACTGAATGGTTCACCCAGATTCTTCGCCAGCAATTATTGACGAAATAAATTATAAATTACCGCTTTGCTTGTATTCCGTGAGGTTTTGCAAAGATAGGCCCGTTCGTAAGCTTTTTTGGTCCTGTGATTAAAGGCGAGGAACCCATTGCGCAGAAACTTTATGTATGGTACTATAGACAGATCCTAAACTCACACCAACATTTTCTGAAATTGCTCTGATTGAAATTCGACAATTTTCTCTAATCATGCCTTCCACACATTCCACATTCCTGTCTGCTGCTGCAGCACTCAATGCATCTAGTCGCGGCTTATCAATGGTCTCCTCTCTTCCATTCCTAAATTTTCGATACTAATCCTTGACAGTTGGATACGCAAAACATGCGTTTGGATACGCAAAACATGCGTTTCCATACACTGCTTGCATTTGCGTATGAGTTTGCAATGGTTGCAAACCTTAACACACAAAAATTGAATGACCGCACGCTGATTAGATTTAAACGGATTTTTAACAATGCCATTTTTAGGTCACAATACTTAAAATCGCAGTCATATACAAATGACAGGAATTGGTGGCATTTACAAACACAACTAACATTGCAAAACGCCAGTTAAGTAATTAGAATTGTTTCCAAGGCTAGCCTGACCAAAGATGGGTTTAATTTAACAAGCCTCATAATATATGGGATACTGTGGATCTTAATTAGCTTGTTTACTATATTTTGGATTTGAAACTATTATCATGTTACCTGTTAGTATAAGCAGGTTCCACACTATTCCTCTTGTTATTATTATGTTCAACACTAACGACTTCGCTAGGGCTCAATGGGCCATTGCTACTGCTAACTGAGCCTGGTCGACTGGCCTGTTGGCCCGTTGGCGTAGGCCGTGATATCACAGGAACTGGAACACCAGAGGGGTTCAAGTAGCCCCCACTCTCGGTCGTTTGGAATGGGGGTCGTCTTGCTGTCGGCTGAGGTGGTAGACTATTCGAGGCGTGGTCTACGCCCGTGGGGTCTTCGTTTGGCACATTACCTAGACGAAACCAAGGATATTTGATATGGAAACGTCGGGATACATAAAATTTTTTGAATGAACGCGTCCGTAGGAACAAAAATACAATGCTGGCCACAGATCTTTTTAGTGGCCGAATTCAATGTGTGCGAGAGAGGGAGAAGAGTGCAGCAGGTATGTTAGAAAAAGTGCATCAAACAGCGTTCCGACACAGTCGTCGCCAGGCAACATGGGGATATATCACACTCTTTCTAACATACCGTGGTGCGCGCTTCTCTCTCTCTCTCTCTAGCACACATTCAAATCGGCCAGGAAAAATGACAATGGCCAGCATTGTATATTTGAAGCAACAACTTAATTTGTACGAGACAGACCTTACAACAACCTTTCTAAACTATTTGCAAATATGGATTAAATACTATCTAACACGTATAACTGAAAATCCATTAAGTGAATTGAATACTAAGAGAATGGGAATTACTTTATTTTGTCGCCAAAAAGTATAATCTGAGTGTTTTTACTTTTTTATCAATGAGAAAAGACAAAACCTGCTTGCTAGAATTCAAATGTAATATTTTGGTAGAATGCTAGTTCTATTGAGACAATAACATTTTCCACGTCATGTCAAGAACATAACCCTACTCCTGCAATGAAAATAAAGTCTATCTCCTAACATTGAGAGTTTAACTTGAAATGTATAGTCACAGTCTTTCAGTATCTAAAATGTGAATCCTAACTGAAGATTCCCTTGGCAGAAAATCCAGATTTATTCCAATAGTCAAACATCAAATGATTTCTTTTTACACAGATTACGCAAATAAAAAGCAAGGATCTTTTAAAAATGGATCTACACAACCTTTTCAGCTATTAAAATAATTTTTTTTTGAGAGGCCCAACACATCTTTATCCTGGAAAAGAAAATATGTAGTCAGACTCTCATTGCACCTTGTACACTAGAGTCTTGTTGGAAAACAATTAGGGATGAACAAATACTAATGTTACCAGCATTTCAAAAAATATCTGATAATCCTGAGTCCAAACAGAAATGCGAATTTGTCTATTAACTTTGGAGCTGTAAAACTCATTTCTTAATGCAAAAAGAATGCTGTTGCTGTTTTATCTACAGAAAGTGATTAAAGGAATATGAAATTAATTACTCTTATCAAAGTTCCAGGGAATATTTGTTACATATTTTTATCATTTTTCTTTATAATTATAATAAATAAAATTGTACATCCTTTTAAGCACCTCATACCAAATTTATCAGTTTCAAAAACCCAGATATTATAATCTTAAGTACTATATTTTTGCAAGTTGTGGCTACTTGCATTACAACAAAAACGAAATTTTAGTAGTAGTTTTATCAGCATTATACTCTACAAAAGTTCAAAAATAAATTTAACAAATCTTCGGATTTTAAAGAGTTAAGTTATTTTATTGGAAGATGGCTTTTGGCATAGCTAAAAAAATAAAAAGAAATGTGGCAGACATCCCAATGTTAAAGTAAAATAATCATAAAAAATATCGTATTTTTATAGGTTAAAAATCAATCTACCATAACAATTTTGTATTTTTTGCAAATGTTTCACGGATATTGAATAATATACCAAGTCGCAGTACGTACATTTCCCTGTTAAGATATAAATGACGTAGCACAGCAAATCACCTTTTCATAATGTACATGTTGTATGAAATTAAGGGTCTCATAAAAAAACATATTTTGCTGATTCCTCAATTCCAATAACATTGTCATTCACTCTTATGTTGAAGTTTTAATATGACATCCTTTAGGAGAAAAAAGTACTACTTTAGATTTAGACTTAACTGAAGGTTATATTCAGCGGCATAAGTTTCAACAGATTTCTAACCTTGACATCTGAACTTCAGCAGTATAGGTATGTTACAGAAAGGTGAACCAGTTAATGAAAGTATGCTACATGGATGTGGTATGAAATACAATGCAGACACAATAGTAATGGGGACCTAATACAATTCCTTGCGGAACGCCAGAAGTTATATTTCGCGAAGAGGACAGTCTGTCAAATATTCTTGTGCACTGGGACCTGTCAGCGAGGTATTTGTTAAACCACAGCAAGGGATTACCGGACAAACTATGTTCTAACTTTTTCATAAGATTTAATGGCTGACCATGTCAAACGCTTTGCTATAGTCTAACATCACCATGAATTTGACTAAATGTTAGTTACTTTCCTAAGCGAAATTAATCAACAAGTCCTGTAGAATTATAAGTAATATTAAATTCTGTTGATGAATTTTAAAAAATAATGTGAGTAGTATAATATTTTAAACATGTTGCATCTTGCATAAAGTGAAACAAATACACATACACTGTTAGTCCAGGTAGTACATCTTTGCATCTGGAGTTTTATAGAACTTTTTTCCAAACATATTTTACAAATGGTAATATCATCTAAAGTTAAAATTTATAGCACCACATTCCAGCAATTTATTTTGACTTCTTTTTTTAAATAATCTAGTTACTCTACAACTTCCAGCACGCAGGCTTACTCTCGCTTCAAGGGGGCCTAACGTCATACTTGTTAAATTATACAATAAACTGCCTAACCATGTAAAAGAAATAAATACGATGGTGGTATTTATAAAAGTAGTAAAGAAGATATTTTTAGAAAACCCTTTTTACTCAGTAGAGGAGTACCTCAATCATGATTTTTATATGTGTTCTGACCATTATAGTTTGTACCTACTATAAAGTGCTGTCTTGTTTGTTTTATAGACTGTATGTCTGTTTTTGACTATATTCCTATACTACCTTGTAGTCCAATGGAAATAAACATTATTTATTTATTTGAAATATACCTGTAATATACCGATGGACAATATTGAATAACTGTTCAGCTTTTTTGCATTTGAATGCATAAATTCCATGACCAGTGGGGCATCTCCTTCCACACTCAAAGCTGAACATCTCAGTGTCAAAGCCATACTTCCTTAATGACCTTAGGGGCCACTTGGTAGGTTTTTTGCCCTTCTGATAGAATACCAGTTCAATGTCTGTAACTTGCAACTTGCCAGGACTAATAGGTTTGCCTTGGTCATCAACATTTGTTACTTGGAAGATATTTGGGTGTCTGTCATTGATATCTATTCTGCTGCTAATGCAACCCATTTTTAGCATCTGGAAAGAAAAAATGGAATACAGAGGAGGGGATGGAAAGCTACCTACTAGGTACTGCATCATTTATCCCCCAATCAATTATACATCAATTAGTAAGACTAGGGTGGAGTAAAATGAGAGTCATTATTTCTTTTTTTATTGGACAGAAAAAGAGTAGATAAGTATTTGACCAGACCTTCAAATAATGCATAAACTTTGATAATTCAAAACAGCCAAAAATTGAATTTAATTGGTTCTTGCAATAGCCTTCAATTGCTTTTATCGCAACAATAGGATAATAAATGGTAGCTAGTATACAAAAATTTGTTGTCAAAACAAACATTTCTAATTATATTATGTACCTATTTCTGCATTGTAGAGTAGAAATATAGACTAAACATTGTAAATTGTATTAAAAAATGCTATTTACCATAAACTTTGAATCTATTCAATCTAGACATATTTTATGATAGCGTGATAGGATAAGGGCATTTGATAGAAATAAACAAAAGAAATAGGAAAATTCCACACTTACCAAGCTCTTGAAGGGCGGTGTTTCGTAGTTTTGAACATCATCTAATTTTTAGGATTTATTTATTTTTGATATCTCATCTCTTTTTATCCGTTGTTGAGCTTAACAATCATTTTTATGGAAAAAAATTATCTGAATAATTACAATACACCCAAAAAATCCAAAATAATTCAGAAGTTCCCCTTCCCCAAGACGAAGATGAAAAGCAATAGAGCAGGGTTGCCAGATTGGTATTTTTTCATCAGTATCTATAAATTTATTGGGAATTCACAAAATCTCAAGGAACTCATTTGATATACTGATAAAATGATCGGTTTCAAATGTGATTAATCTGGAAGTAGAGTGCGCTAGTTAGATTGGGAGGTATGTCTAAGGTAATACACATACAAATATTGTCTTTTTCATGAGTATCGATTACGGTAGAGTAACAGCTGTTTATCTAGTGATATTTAAAAGTTCCGCATATCGACAAATGCCTCATAATTCTGACGGATCCGTCAACGCCAGGTAGACAGAGCTGTATTTTGTTTTGGTTACTACGTTACTTATTAATTTTGTACTTGCTAAAATCTCTTTTATTTGGAAAAGTTCATTTGAATACAAAAAACACTACAAGCAAGTTTTGCTAGACTTACACCCGATTCATGACTGCTAACATTACAGACTAATACAAAGAGATGTCTTTTGCTGACCAGCTGTTCACCTCAGTAGACGCCAAAATACGATTGATATTCGTGAAATAGGGTTTATATGAATTGCTGATCAGCTCTTCACGACAATAGAAGTTAAAAGTGACAAATTTGTGAAAAATAAGTTAGGTTTCTATCAAATTTGTCTTTTCTCGTCTATTACTGATTATGTAGCTGTCCGCGTCAACAGATATTAAATTGTAATGAAGTTGTGAGACATAGGTCACATGGGTTACTTGTCTATCAAATATGTCTTTTTCCTCCCACAAAGCACAGCCTAGCAGGAACAAAATTATTGAACATTAGCTCGGAAACAGTAGTGGACTTGGCAAGCCTGCAATTGCCCATTGTCAAAATTTGTCAAGTAGCTGTTACTGCCAACGATAATAGTTCTTTTCAACTAATATAGATGTCACCGACAACTCTTAATGGTGACATCTATTCGTACTGTACCTAACTATACTACGTTTTCCAGAAATCTATAATGCTTAGAGTTACGTCAATGACTACGTTTATATTCAAGCAAATTTAAATAACTCAATTTTGAGCGCAGGGAGTCACTACAACTATATTAACAGGAATGGTGAAAAAATACGTTTAAAAAATTGGAACCGATAAGTACGGCGAATGAAGGAATTTGAATGACTCCTGTAAAATGAGTATTTTCTGACCACACTATTAAATGATAAAATGAATCTTGAAAATACGTAAAAAGCAAATGTTTAGTTTTATTGGAAACCTAGCTTGACTATTCCCCTCAAAAATTGCTAACTACGAAAATGAAACGACGAAAAGTACCAAATAACGCTGATGCACAAGGAAACAGGTCTTGAGATACATCGTCTGATACAAATCCGCTTTTAGACAAATACGGCAGCAAGGTGGTAGGTCGATGGAAGTGAAGTAGCACGGGCTTTTTATGAAGGCGACATGATAAAGTAACAATATAATCACAATATATTTCCATCGCTTAGGCCGGCCACCGGCTACAGAAGATACAAGCATTTTGTCTCAAAACAGTGCGAAACATTTCACCTAGTTTGCTGCGAAGAGTAAACACTGCATTCATACGGGGCACCGCAAAACACTAGTCGAAACATTGCTTGGAGGTGTTTCGACGTTAACCCTATCTAAATAACGTTTCAAGACAAGTCTCAAGATATTCAAGCCCTCCTTTTTTTGCTATACCTTTTCACATAATGATTGTCACCGGTGCTATATTAACATAACCTATTCGATTCGAAAAATTAATTTTTCTGATATTGCAATGGTAGAGCTTGGAAGGAAGAACAGAGTCACTGTTGAATTCAAAGTAACAGAAATAGTGTATATAGAACAGTTGTTTCGAACCAGAAATGTGTGAGGGGTACAAAAGTAGCCAAAGCAAATGGAAACATTTTGATGGAACCAGAAATTTCTCTGGTTTATGGGGTTAACCCATTGCTCTCTTTTTACAGTGTAAACGTGTTGGTTGGTTGGGTTTCGGTGACATTGTTAGAAGCCTTAATGTCCATTAGGCGCCCACAGGGAGTGAGGGAAAGGGGCTGTGGCACCCCTGAGAATGCGGTTGGACCTTAAAATTAGCATACATAACATTATGTTGTGTACAATTTTTAGGATTTGACCCTGATGGGAAAATTTGGGACCCCTGTCTCTATATACAGAATAGTTGCTCAGAACAAAAAACGTTTCGACTTGTGTGTGAGGGTGCAACTAGCAAAAGCAGATAGGAATATTTTGTCCGAGACAAAATATTTTGATCTATCTGCGAGCTGCGAGTCTGCAGCCTTGTGTATAATTTCAACAATTGGTTCTTTATCGACCCCAGTAGAAATATTCCAATAGCAAATGCAAAAATGCTGAGTGCGGTTCTGTCACGAAACCTATCGTAGACGTATAAACGTACTTGTCAGCCATCACAAGTTGTGGAACCGCCAATCAAAATAGGGAACGTCGTAAGAAAATAATTACATAGAGAAATCGAGAAGCAATAGTGACGTGTTATATTTTCCTTGGAGAAACTGCGATAGCGAAGTGAATTGATAATCGTACGTGAACGCAAGCATTACGTGTGTTTTCTTTGTACACTGAAAAGAGTGAATTTACATCGAAAAAGTTGAAAATCTGCAGTCATCATGGCAGCACCCACAGTTCAGTCATTTCTAAATTCATTCAATCTCAAATTGTAAGTATTTACCTCTCTAGTTTATAATTGGATTATTGTTAAGCTCTGCTTTACGTAATTTCATAAAAATGAATTAGAAGTACAGCATTTTCTGGGTATGAAGAATGGACGTAGGATTCCTAGAAACGGGAACCTCAACACTTAAAATGGCGACTTGAATGTTCTTGTTGTTATGCATTTGACCGTGATAATGTTTTGCATTAAACGCAAACTTTGATCACCAGTTTCTAGGTCTTAAAATTTTTTTTTGCCTTATCAGTGGCGTATCTAGTCTGGTAAAGGGTTACAGTATAACATTTCTCTCCCTGGATCACCACAAGGACCCATGGAACTTTTAAGGCGCCGCTCGATCTATACAGGGTCATTTTCTTGCAATTCTTTTGGATTTCTCATAGATGCTGCTGACCCATATTACAGTGGAGTAATATTATTAATACACAAAAATTCTATGTATCAATAGAATTTCAAAAATACTGCGTTCATAAAAGATTTTAATTCCTCTCACATACACTCATAAAACAGTAAATTTTGGGGACATTCTGGAATTTTTTGTTTTTCATTTATCTTGCTGCCACTGGACTGATTTCTTCATTAATTATATGGCTTTTTTGCCTTTGCCAAAATACTGATCTACTTTAAAAACTAATAAAATGTTATTAATAGGTACTTTTTGAATCAATGAGCTATAGACCTATGGAAAGGGTATTGTTTTTTTATGATACATCCTAAAATCTGATGAATACTAACACACTTTTTGATATTTTTCAGAGAGCAGCCAGTTCGCCAGCATCTCACAAACACCTATGCTTGCCTGGCTATGTCCACAATGGCAGCTGCTATCGGAGCAGCTGTCCACCTGTTCACAAACATCATGCAAGCAGGCTTTATTTCTGCAATTGGGGCCCTGATATGTTTCATACTGTTAATGAGTACACCTGATGACAATGGCAAAGGCATGACCTGGAGAGTTGGCTACCTACTAGGATTTACTTTCCTAACTGGAGTTGGTAAGAATTCTTGATATATTTAACAGTTTGTTTTTTATATTCATGTCTTTCCAACAATTGATTTCAGTTCAGCTATATAACAAACTAATTTGGCAGATTATTTGGTCAAACCTTACGTCTTAGTATGCATCAGCAGACAATGCAGAAAAGCATTTAGTACTAAGTTTGAAATAATCAACTTTGTTATTGTTTTATCCTGGAAAAAACATTGTTGACATTTGGTTTTTAAGATTGTCTTTCAGATGTCTGCTGTTAGATGAATGTCACATGATCAGTACTTAATGTCCATCCGTAAAATCCATCAGTATTTATAATGGATTGTGATATTTACCATCACTGATTATTGATATATATATAACATTACTCAGAAATCCACTGACACTTATAGAAATATCAGTAAACATTGATGGTATGCACCACAGAAAATGCAGATTGTGTGCATTTTTACTGATATTTAGAGGCTGATACTGCCACATGTCAAAATACTATTTGCTTCCTGAAATTTAAGCCTGTGTTCTACAGAATATGTTTTTAAAAAGCTGTGGCTCAACTGTAATTTTCCAGCAAGAATGAAATAATAAAATAAATTGGCTGTCTAGACTGTGTGATATTAATATCACACTGTTAAGCCTTTTTCCTTTGGGCCTATGTCTACATTGAAGAGAGTTACTTTTGCTTGATATGAACAGACCCATCATCAAACATTTGATTCTGAAATAGACCACCTTAAGGTTTTCAGGGTATTGATGTGAGGAAAGTTAAAAAAAATAATCTGCAAAAAGTAAATTGGCACTTAATTGATCCACTTTCTCAATGCCTTATGCAGGAGATAACACTACTTATTTTGGTGTCAGTTTTGAATTCAAATAATCTCCTAACCTCATTACCCTTAATCATGATTTTCAAACATCGATGAATGCTTCTTTTGTTTCATAATCACAGCTGATTGTTATTTTTTATGTTTTTGAATGAAATACCGTGAATGAAGCATCAGTACTAGAAAAAAAATTGTTTCAGGAATGGGTCCCTTGTTGGAACATGTCATCCTAGTCGATCCAGCAATCATTGTAACAGCTTTCCTGGCCACTTCGACAGTCTTTGTCTGCTTCTCACTCTGCGCACTGCTATCTGAACGTGGCAAATGGTTATACCTTGGTGGCACCCTGATGTCCATGCTTACCACCTTGATGGTTCTTTCCTTGGCCAACCTCTTCTTTGGTGCTATGTGGCTGTATCAACTGCAGCTGTACTTAGGACTCCTTGCCATGTGTGGCTTTGTCCTGTTTGACACCCAAATGATCATCGAGAAGAGGAGAATGGGCAGCAAGGACTTTGTTGCTCACTCACTGGATCTGTTCATTGACTTTGTTGGTATCTTCAGAAGGCTGCTGATCATCCTCACCCAGAAGGTAATTAAGGACAGGTATAACCTTTTGATAGCCATCCAATCCTATTATCCTCACTTTTCTTTCCCTTCCAACAATTTTAGTTTGTGCATTTTTTTCATATCTTTTGCAGATAAATTAGAGGTATTATAATGCGGTTGTTATGCACGTGAGTTGAAAAAAATCACATTATTTGTAATGTGATATCTCTTATCAGTTATTGTTGAAGTTTCAAGGTTATCCAGCCAGTTCTATAAGTTAAACTATTTCCTGCGACAGCTTAACACGACAAAACGTTGATAACAAATATCACCTAGTATTGCTTTGCCGACGCTTTTGTGCGAGATATTTTGATTAACATCAATTCAAGCATTAATTAACATAGAATTGTCAACTAAAGACTGCCTGGTCTGCTCATCTAGGAAAGCTACTTCTCTGGATGCCCTAGAATAAATGGCTTTTGCTTCCTCGATTAAATTACTTAATTTCCTGTTTTTGGGTCAATATTCTTGTTGAAAAGAGATAATATACAGGGCGTAAATTTAGTAGTGGATCAACAGAAGTCAGGGCGTCAAAACCTATCGAATGAACCCCTATGTGCCGTCCGAAATTTTATAGTTCAGAAGATATTTGCAATTTTGTGAAATTTCGAGAAAAAAAACGGGATAATGAACTTTCAATCGCAATTACATCTAAACCATTAGGTTTAGGGCTGTGTTTTTCTTCTGAGATGAGCTAAATGGTTAGTTTTAGCAATGGTTATGTCACTTTTTTTAGCTTATTAGAAAGCAACACAAAAAATCTTAAATTTATTTTTTTGTGAAAAATCTCTCACATCCTGCAACTTTGGAGGGCGGTAAAAAAAAATGAAGTTGTATTTCATTATTAATATTATTAAACTATTTCAATCCATGTAGAAAATTTCAGCTTGCTATGATGAGAGTATCATGTCACATTCGTTGATGTGATACAATAAACGTCAGAAACGCAATAGAATCCTTACCACCTACATGTAAAGAACCTATTGTTCAGCCGCTCTTTATGGACATTTACCGACAAATGTGGAAGATAATCTGATTTAACTAACTTGAACATGTTCGAAATGACCTCCATTATTTTCTATACACAAGTGACACTACTAAAAGATTGTCCTTTAGTCTTTGAAATGATTTAGCGTGTTCCATAATTTTTATTTTGGCTTCATCAATTTTCAGGCGCAGTTGGTTAACATTTGTATATTCAGGTGTATAGATTATCCCCTTCGTCCCAAGAGAATTTTTCCCTTAGCTATGGATGTTATGATTGTCTGTAGGTGGTAGACGCTCTCCGACTGTCGAACGCGTATCCGTCGCTTGGGTCTGTGTGGCGTACCCTTCCCCTGTATCCCTCTATCTCCATGGGTGTTTAGACCTTCTGAGGAAAGATAACCAATTAAAATAATACATTGAAGCCCAAAAGGGATTGAAGTGCCATCTATGACAGTAGGATTCATTTTTGTATTCTGCTACCATCTCACAGATCTGCTCGGATGCCTTTTAGATACCAGAATCCAGTATATGGTTGATATGCATGTTAATGCATCAGGTCAGAAAAGTACATTTTAATAGGCACTGTGAAAATAATTGATACAATATGAACAGTTTCTGGATCTACCAGTGCCAAAAAACTTACAAGAAGGTACGGATTGACGGTTATTGATGAAAAACCTGTTTTTTCAATAACTTTAACGGAACCAAATATAACCGGTTATACAGTTTAACTGGAAAATACTCATTATTTTTGTCCAAAAATTGTGTCATTGTCTAGACCGCGCATAGCTCACGTGCAGAGAGCGGCATTTATGTACAGACGACTTACGAATTACAAATTCCTTTATAAATCAATCCAAATTATAGAATAATAAACGTAAATGCGGGAAACTTGAATTTGGAACCTGTCAAACTTCAAGTCTTGTCATAAACCATGGTTAAACACAACAAAAACACATCCTTGATATTAAGTACGCCCAGATTCACTGAGATTTGTATAGATAGAAAAAAACCTTCTTCTTTTTAACCGATAACCGGTTAACCGTACATTATGAAATAACTGGTTAATAATTTAGTAAAAACGTTTTTTCTCATCCCTACAAGAAGGGGAACTCTAATAAAGCTCAGAATGAGCTGTAGTGTCATTGAAAATAGCCGATAGAAACAAGTCGCCAGACTGAATATTTTTTTCTGTTTCAGGAACAGGACTCGAGGAAGAAACGTAGGGACTGAGACAGACTGAAGAAGGGGGGTGAAAATATCAAGGGTGCAAATGAGTCTTCTGAATGAGAAAAATTATAACCTTTATGTACCTATAATAAACCTTGTTTGAGTGTCCTGTTGATTTTTTACTACTCCAGTTATGTAATCAATCATATTGTATGTAGGTGTAGGTTAAGTGTGTGATTATTTATTCAATATATTTTTTTATAATATCAGTTCGTTTCACTTCATAATATAGAACTTGGCGCTTTATCAAAAATGTGTGCTTGCAAACAGTGCTACAAAGTTTTTAGAAACGTGTTCCCATGCAACGTTGTCAATTCATAAAAAAATCAAGTTTGACACTCTGAAAGGTTTGTTACAGTCGAGTAGAATAAGTGACCATGCCCTGACATCCTACCATAAACCAATAATTGGCTTTGGAGATGATTCACATTGCAGTTGCGGAAATATAGGAACCATACAGCACCTCATATCAGAATGTCTAAGGCTGAAAACGTAGTGGAGCGACGAGCAAAATGCGCCGCTTTAGCTTCCCGATGTGAACGTATAGTACAGCGACTAGGCGGGTTTAATGCGAGTGTAATCAAAGTACTTTCTAATTATGTTAAGGGCACCTCAAGTTTTCGAGAATATGGTGAATTTCATACTCTGAAAATTGTAACATTCGATTATGTATTAAATTTAGTTAGTTCTGATTTAACAGAAAATTGGAGCAATTTTAATCTAACTCCAATAAGACCAAAAAACGTCTATTTATAATATTAAGGTAACAGGTTTATTCACGTTATTTTAAAATAAAAACAAAAGCACTGATAGTAATGTTTTTAATCACATAGCCTTAGAGGTATATAGTTGTAATTTCCTATAATGTAATTCAGAGAACAAGCAAATTAAAGATTGAGTTAGTAGCAGAATGGCTTTTTGTTCATGTTACTGTTAATATGCAAATATAGTTTTTTGGGAAAACATATTATGCTTCATGTTAATGATCTTAGAATTTGATATTCAGATTATTTTGTGAGTTACGACTATTTACTATGACAATAAAATCTAGGTGCAGCATAGGATGAAACACAGTAAGTACAATTTGTGGAAATAGGCTACATTTTATTATTACAAAAAAATGACATCTGTGGAATATATATTCCATCGTCGTCGTCGTCATCATTTCCTTGTTGACCCAGCACAGGAATATTTTCATAAAAATCATGAAATGCTTCTGGTATCGATTGCAGAAGCATGAGATGATCGTGCTTTTTCTTGTTAAGTCCTTTTGAGGTTTGACGCGGCGAACATAGTTCTAGTGGTAACCCTATCGGTTTTCTAGAGAATCTATTCATGTTTACCATTTTGTAGTCCTCTTGGAATATGTCTGTTTTATAGTATTATAGTAGAGTATCCCAGGATCCTGTTTTCGAACCTCAAGCACACCGCTGATGACACTAAAGAGCTTTCTTTGTCTGTCTGTTTCTTTTGAATGAGAGGTGATCCTGTGCCGGAATATAAGGCCTCGGAGTTCTTGAAGTCATCTAACTGCATCTCGAAAACATATTTTCATGGTTGGTTGTTTTTTTATAACTCGTTCGATAAGTGCATGGATATGATCAGCTTCCATATGTGTGTCCACGTAGAAGAAACTTGTGAATGATACAATTTAATGAATGACTTATTATTTGTAATATGTAAAAGTAGTTTACGATCATCATAATGTTCCTGTTTTGACTCGGACACCTATAATATCAATTATGTTGTAGTTACTAGATTCTCGTGAATCGATTTCCTCCTCCAGTGCATGCTGCACTAATTTTTGAGGACATTATTACCGTTTTTTGGTTACTTAAGCACCTTGATCAACTTTGAAGAATAATTGAACAACACAGTTTGTAAAGCAAGCGGTGCGCGACTCAGACACGACTGTTTACCGCTGCGTAGCGATGATTCATATGATAGTATTGTCCGTATGTATGGAGAAGCGGCTGTTTATCTCTAACAAAAAATCACTAGCTGCTTGTTCTATTTCATATATTTCATGATTATCGTGGTTAGGCGCTACGATCATTTACTCCACGTTAATATTAACCAGGGATACTAATTATACGCAGATAATCACAAAAACTGCAAAAATGGAGTTACGATCGTTTACCTCTAAGGCACAGAGTTATAAAACAAAAATTTACTTAACAGAGATTTTTAAATTCTAGTTACGTGTACAATTTATTTCTTGTGCCACCTCATCCCACAATTTATTCAAAATATCCCGATTATAGTGGTTTTGGTCTTTCTGATCCCATAATCTGGGCCAAACACAAAATCGATCAATTTTTGACATTCCATCTTATAATTACAGAGCGACAAAGCGGCGAAAACAAAATATTTTGAGTCGATCTCGCCGCTCGATAAACTCGCTCGTACTCGTCTCGTTACTATGCACGCTTGCATTTGATTTCGGCGCGCTGTCGCGCTGTTTGATCATCGCTATACTCGTCGCTCCATTGTTTTCAGCCTAATAGAGAAAATATCGAATTGTATCAAATTTTATTGAAACACCTTTGCCTCTAAATTAAGACTCGATTCTCGGCAAGTTTTATGAACTTTTACACAAGCATTGTCGGAAAATATGCGCAATATTATACGATGTAAATTACAATAAGCGTATTTAAAAAACTATGAAAACAAGAAAATAAAATAGATCAGTATAAATTTAAAGTAAAAAATATATCGATATTAAAACAAAAATAATGGTTCTGCAATTTTGCAATAAAGAGGAGTGGTTGAGCAAAAACTTAAAAATTAACGGCCGTTTCATTTGAACATGATAGATATTGATAATAAGGATCTAGCCAGTTGGTCATTGACCAGTGCCAATAACAGAACACAATAAAATGGAGACAGATGGCACCATAAAATTAGTCCATACTCCCGACCCGTTTGATAATGCTGCAATCTAGAAATGTCTTCCCTGTCCTGCCGAAAATAGCGCCTATCCGGTAGCCAGCATCAGCGGCAAGGATTTTATTCATATTAGACGAAAATACCCCTGGTTTGCGAAATAATTGTAAAGTCTGGATTTATTGCTGCAAGTCGTTTAAGGTAGTATTAAAAACATGGACGCATAAAATGGGTACATCAATTTTTGCGGGAAAACTTTTTATTTGACAACAAAGCATGAGAAAACGTCTTTTTTGGGATTCAATCGAAAGAATTGGCAGAAACGAAAAAACTCTTTATATAAGGTATTTATGAGACCTACAAATTGAGACCGCACGTAAAAACATCCGACTGATAGCAAAAAGGTTTTGGCACTTGGTAAAGCGACGATGGTTTCTCGCAGATACTTAAAATTCGTAGGATTCATACTTCTAAATAACCACAACAAAATTGGAGTAGACAGGTCAAGTAGGTTTTGAGAATTTCTAATCTCCCTTTAAAACCCTGTATATTGCTCATTAAACTAGTAGTGATGGCCGGAAAACAGGTGTTTTGGGATAAACAATTAGAAATTCTCAAAAACTACTTGACCAATATACACCAATTTTGTTGATATTTGGAAGTATTATCCTACGGATTTGAAGAATTTCAAGTAGTTGCGTGAAATTATCGTCGCATTACCAACAAATGCCAAATCCTGCATTTTGCCTCGTTTTTCGGCCATAACATTTTTTCTATTAGTCGGATCTTTTTACGTGTGGTCTCATGCATACCTAAAAATCTTTTTTCCAAGTCTTTTCGTTCCTTTCAACACGTTTTCTCATTCTTTGTTGTCGAATAAAAAGTTTTCCCACAAAAATTGGTGTACCCATTTTATTTAGAGGAAATTTGCTAATATGATTTAGACTATATCGGCGTACGTTCTTCTATGGTTGTTAGCGTATAACTAAGGCAAAAAAACCCCACAACAGTTCGCCTGAAAATGACCAGAAACCTCTGAAACATCAAAGCACATTTCCACAAATCGTATTGCGATACTTTCGCTTTTTCATATCTGGTAGCCTTGTTAATCAAATATGAACGTTTGTGTTTTTTAGAAAATGCTTGTTCCATCAAAAATTATGGCGATTTGCATAAAGTATTCAGCAAATTTCTATACATCGTGTTTTATCGATTGAAAAACACGCTTGTCGAATAAATCTGCGGCTATTTTATATCTGAAATATAAACGCGAACTCAAACGCTGGGTAATGGCCTCCCAGCCCGTATTTTCAAGTCTGTGGTATCGGCCGACACCGCTCCCACGATCCCTAATTTCAGAAAAGTAAATAGAACAGGCGATGAGCTAGACATTTGAGACCCATAATAATTTATCTCAAATCTCTCAGAGTTATCCGTAACACATACAATAGTCATCTTAAACCAATCAGCTAGTTGACTCAATGATAACCGAATGAAATTAGGTGCAGTCCACATGTTCGAATATTGTATTACCCGTCATTTTTACCCCAAGGTCAGTGTTATTGATCCGTGCATTACAATGATGTGTACTTTGTACGATAAGTCGTGTTATTTTCTCAATAGTAGGCATACATTTATCAAATAATTTAAATCTACTGTTTGCTGTTTCGAACTATGTGGGCAATTCCATCGTGTTAAAAATCTGAATTGTGTGTAGGGGCATGAAATAAGCAGCACGAATCATTACACTCATCACTCTTTTTTATTAAATACAAACTGCTGTGTTGATAAAATTCAACAAACAAATCAGTCAAATCGAATCAAAACAAAATAGAAAATTTCATGTACACTATGTTTGAACATTATATTATTCTAAGGTACTTAAAAAATAAAAAGCAATAAGTCTTAGATCTAGTAAGGTCGCGGTCTTCCTCCATCCCTTCCACCATCACGTCCACCACCACCACCACCACCTCTGCAAAAAAAAAAACGGAATTAAGACCCAATTAGAAATAACTCATCATACGACAAAAAGTTACTATTGTTAATACTACCCCTGAGGCTCTTTTTCTAAATTATATCCTGAGAGGATAAGAACTTTTATAATCATTTAATAGATAAAATTGTTTCTCCAGACAGGATACACTAGTGGCAAATAGTGATGTCAAAAGTGTGTTTTAATAGAGAACTATTATATTTCCCCATCATAAAATCATAAGAAACTATAAGTTAAGTTTCCTCGAGAGCGGATGGGGAGTAAAAAGTGTGAAATGTTTTTTTCGATTTTTTTTTTAGCTACCTGTTTGCAACAATGTTCCAAAACCTTTTCATCTGATTATTTCACGATGTGTACTCGTATAGAGATGACTAAAAAACATCGTTTTTAATTTTGTTTTGTCATAAAGTGCAGTTTTTCTTCGATCATAACTTGTTAACAAATATTAGTACAGCTCTGAAATTGTATGAATATTCGACTGTTATGGATGAATGAAACAAGTATTACTTTTATTCTTATCACTTTTCTCTTCTCTTTCTTGAAAACCCAACTTGCTGCGAGACGAGGCTTCAAGAAAATCAAAAGATTTTTCGAAAAGGAAAAGTGATAAGAACAAAAGTAACCACTTGTTTCATTCCTCCTTAGAAGAGGAATATTCACACACAATTTCAGAGCTGTACTTATGTTTGTTACAAGTTCGGATTGAAGAAAAAATGCACAAAAATGAAAACATTGTTTTTTAGTCATCTCTACACACACTATGAAATAATCAGATGAAAAGGATTATTTAGAATACTGCTGGAAACAGGTAGTTGGAAAAAAAAAAATCTAACACATTTAAGCATTTTAAATTTTATGAGCGGTATGTATATTTGGTTAATATACAAGGTGTTCTGGGATAAAACTCTACAGCTCTACTTTTCGTTCCCTTAAAGCCATATTGCTTCTGCTTGAAAAGTGTTTTTTTGTAGTTTTCATTCGAGTGCCAGCCCATTTGCTATTTGTTAATAATGATAAATAGATGGATAATACATTTGCATGTATGAAAACTAAATTTATTTTTGGGTAATGTGAGATAAACTATCAAAGACTAGCCAAATTACACATTCCTATTTAACATTTATAAATAAAAATAAAATAGTATTCATTCATTATTGAATGTTAGCTAGGGTAGACGACAAAGTCTAAATATGTTCACCTCAGTAGAAGTCAAAATATGATGGATACTCGTGAAAAATAATAGTAAACAATATTTTGAGTTATGCTATAATTACGACCTCTGTAAATTAGGTGATGAGACTGGCAACGTTGCGTTCGAACTGGCAACATTTGAGGCGCCGGGCCTGGAGGGAAGAAAGGGAAAGATGTGATCTGCCTTCAGCACAAGTTTGGTCAACTTCAGCAGGCCTATTAAGATAGCATTTGTCAACAGCCCAGGTTTTTCGCTGGTTTAAGGTATTTTCAGAAAATGAAGAGTCGATTGAAGAAGAACCACAAAGTGGAATGCCTTCATCTTCGATAACCGATGAAAATATCGACAGAATCCTGGATCTTGCAGTTCAGATCGTCGGGTGACAGTCAGAATGACTGTGGACGAGAGAAATTCAATTCATACCACTCATCAGATCGAGAACAACTGGGTGTTGCATCAGGATAATGTTCCTTGTCACGCAGCAATGTCAATAAATGTGTTTTTAGCCAGTAAAAATATTCCTATAGCTCCTCAGCCTCCTTATTCGCCTGACTTCGAGTCCTTGCAGGTTTTTTCTTCCTGGAATCTCATGGTGACTAATTTTGGGAGAGTTCCAGTGCTGCTATGGGGCGTGGACAAACCGTCTCCAGCATTGTGTGACTTCCGAAGGAAGTTAATTTGAGGGTGACAATGAAGAAATTGTTATTTGAATAAAAAATAAAAAGAAGTAGTCTCATCACTTAATTTTTAGACCTCGTAATTTTTATAAGTACTGCAAATTCTGAATGAACAAAGATTTGAAACTAGGCCCCATAATAACTTTTAATTAGCGCAACTACAAGTGGTTATTGGATTTGCATCATCCTTTGGAAGAACTCCGCGCAATATTACCACTCCTGACTATGTATGTATGTATTTATATGTGTGTGTGTCGTGTACTTACTCATACCTGCCGCCTCCGCCTCCACGACCGCCGCCGCCGAATCCTCCTCGACCGCCCCCACCACCGCGACCAAACCCGCGGCCTCCTCTATCTCCGCCTCTGAATCCACCGCCTCCACGCGGCCTGTCCCTTCCGCCCCCGTCTCTGTCTCTACCGCCGCCGCGCCGGTCATCTCCATCGCCGCCCCCAGCGCCCTCTGGTTTCGCTTCGCTGCAACGGTTGCATTGGTTGCGCCACGCGAAATTCGTATTGCCGCAATCGGGATTGGGGCATTTCCAGTCTCCATCGCGACCTTCGCGGTCACGGCCTCCGCCGCCGCCGCCACCGCCTCCACCGCGTGGACCTGGAAACAAACGAACGAATTAAGGAAAGTTCGAGGCAAGGTTATTGTTGAAATTTGTATCTTGCTGTAGCTTTCATGTTAAGTTTTGTAGTGTAATGTAAATGGGATATTTCAAATACCGCGCCATTGACGTTCTGTGACAGCAACTGTTAATTCTAGTTCTTTTTAGATTGGTTAAGGAACGTTTAGTGACATATCTTAGTGAATTTGTTTATTTTTGAATTACATATATTCATTCACTTTGATTTTGCACATTTACCCGTTTTACACTGATAAATCCTCGGATTGCTCCATGAATTGAGCTCATGGCCAAATAAACGTGTAAAACAGGAATTTGACGTCAAATAAATGGATTTTTTCATGAAATTAGAACTTGTTCTAGTTTTTGCGAATTTGGACGCCAAACTCCATGGTGCCAGCTTTGTTTTCCTCTCCACTATATTGAACTTTTCAATTCAAATGTAGAACTTTTGATAGAGCTACAGTATTCGACAATTTGGTTCTGTTTATTATGAGATTCGCCTCAAAATCAAAACTAATACACACATAAAAACTAAAAATGTTCCTAGAAATAATTTGTTATGTGGTTGGCAGCACCGTGTACTAACAAACCATAAATTTGTCCACCAATGTAAACATCGCAAAATCGAAGACAGGTGGGAGCCTCGGTAGTGCAGTAGTCAGCGCGTCGACCTAGCAACCCGGGGTTCGCGGGTTCGAATTTCCGCCTCTAAAGCTAATTCCATGCCAGGGATGTTGAGTTGTCTACATCACGCACGTGGTGTAATATCAACAGGTACATACATCTTATAGCCGAAACTAGTTTATTATAGTATATCAGTTACCAGTAGATAGCTCGTACATTAGTAGTGTTGGTACTATGGGGTCGGCAAAATGGTCAAAGGTGACCTTAGATACCAGGCTTCACCTCCCCGCCACTACTACTACTACTACCTTAAAAAAATCCATCTGAATAAATTCGAGAAGAAATTGTTGTAAAACGGGTATTTGAAAAAACGTTTGACTGGTCGTCTAATGCCACAAATTATGTTGATATTCATCGCGATTTGAATATTCGACTAGATCAAGAAATTATCGACCACGCTCGAAGGAAGGCTGTACGACATCCCATTGCCGAAGCTGTTTTGTCTTTAAAACATGGCATTTACGTGACATCAATGCCTTGCCTCTAGTGATAAGTATTATTATAAGAGAAAACGTGTCAATATTATTTGGTTGGTTTTTGGGTTGTTAGATCATCGTAAAACATTTTTACTTGACGTTTCGCCAACACGAGTGGTTGGCATCTTCAGATGTCCACAGTAGCTCACAGGACTCCAAACTGTGAACATCTTCTGAAGATGAAAACCACTCGTGTTGGCGAAACGTCAAGTAAAAATGCTTTAAGATGGCCTAACAACCCCAAAACCAACTAAATAATATTGGATGATGGCCGCGAAAGCCTTTCGCATTTCATAGGTTGTCAAGTTGATCAGTCTTAATAAAGGGGCATCAAATCCACCTTAGAAAACAAAATAACTAATTAGAAGGCTTCAAATGCCCACATACTGATAAGTATTGCTCGATTGTTTTTGGAAATGAAAAATATATTTTTATAAAAATTGTACTACGTAAAGGCTCTGACATCTACATAATAGTTAATAAATGATACATGAATGGATCTACAGAAAATGTTTCTCCAGACAGGATACACTAACAGTAAATTATGATACCAAAAGTGTGTTTTAATAGAGATTATTGATATTTCCCCATCATTCAATCATAAGAAACTATAAGTAACATTTCCTCGAGAGCGGATGGGGAATGAAGAGTTGATAACTCAATGTAGGAATTGTTTTTGTCACACCTCCCTGGCTTATAGATAAGTTGGTTAACCAAAGGGATTCGTTTCTTGACATGTTATAAAAATGCTGAAAACGTTATACTTGAGCACTGTTAAAATTAGACACCGCGTCTAATTTCGGAGAGGATGGATATTCCATCAGAACGATTCGAGTCCCTGCAATCGTGAATTCGTTTTTGGTTATGGTTTTACCAAATTTATCAGAATGGAACAACCGTGATAGGAGAGCTTAATGCGGCGATCATCAAAGTTTGTGACCATAGCAGCGCGATGTCAACACCGCATTTTGAGCGTTCGAATAACATGTCAAACATAGACAAAACTGAAACTCTCTTTCCTTTGTAGTTTTACATTATTGCAACATATTAAGAGCCAATCAATACAAGATCATCGTTTCTGCTGGTTCATTAGCTAATCCCGTCAATGTCTTTTCAAGTGTACCTCAAGGCTCCAATACTGGTCCAGTTTTATTCACTTATTAACGATGTTGCAGAATCTATATCAATTAGCAGTTGTTTAATTTTTGCAGATCTTAAATTATTCAGAACGGAGAAATATCCATGATGCATAAATCTTTCGAAGAACTTTCATAAATCTTACTCGGAGGTGTAGTACTAATGAGATCAACATCAATTTGAATGAATGCTACCAGATAAACTTCAGCCACAATTCAAATTCGCTCATGAATGATTATAAAATTGAAAACCGTGACATCATGAGAACTGATACAGCTAGCGATTGAGGTATAGCTTTTGATACATCAACTTTTCAAACACTGAAAAATTACATCTAAATCATAAAATTTTGTGTTGTTGAACAAAGACAACTTGAAACGCCACAGGGAAATTTTTGATTTATGTTTTCTGTTTGGAATAGTTAATGGCGTCATAGATTGCCCACTTTCATAAATAAATCTTAATTTTAATGAAAGACAAGCTCACAATACAGAACTGTTTATGATTCCACATCACTTTACGAATTTTGGTATGAATGAACCAATTACTACAATTCTTAGAACTGGCAACACTGCTGTAAGCTACAATATACAGGGTGTCCGCAAAGTTGGGGTTTTCCTTTTCAGAAACAACTACCCTTGAAATAACAAAGGTAATGTGTGTAGTGAAACGAGGGCGACCAAGTAAAAAAATAAATAAAGGAAAAAGTACTCACTCTCCAGTTGACGAGAAGGGCTAAGTACGTCTCTGCCCAAAATCATACCGCTCCAACAGAAAATGAAATCAGCTGATGCGCTACCGAGCAGACGCCGGAGGTGGTGCAGACCACGAACAGATGTAACCAAATATGACGGCGTTGCCGCGTTTTCAGTTTAACGTACTTTATAGGTATTGTTCGAAGTTATCCCCGTTTGATTCAAAAACACAGGTGCGTGCACGACGTGGCCAAGCATCGGTGCAGGCTTTGAGAATGGAGTCCCTCCCCCGAATGAAAGCACCAGCTTGTTCAATTCTGAGACGAAGTTCGTCAACCGTATGCAATTCAGTTTTGTACACTAAGCGTTTCATTTCTCCCCAAAGAAAAAAATCACATGGTGTTACGTCTGGAGATCGCGGAGGCCACGCTACGGGTCCATTACGTCCGATCCACCTATTCGGAAATAATTCATTCAAAAACTCACGCACTTCGCGTCCAAAATGGGGCGGTCCACCATCGTGCAGAAACCACATTGATTGTCTTACACTTAATGGCACATCTTCTAACAAGGAAGGCAAAATGTTGCGTAAAAAGTCTAGGTATTGCATCCCGTCCACCATGCCAGCCCAAACATTCACCGAAAATGTTTGCTGAAAATGTGCTCGACGGACAGCGTGCGGATTTTCTACTGACCAAACATGAGTGTTGCGAAAGTTATTCACCCCATTACACGTGAACGTAGATTCGTCTGTCACCAATATGCACTTCAAAAAGTCCGGATTATTGTCATGTTGATGCAACAACCACTCACAAAACCGCTCTCTTGCTGGAAAATCGTCAGGTTGAAGGGCTTGTACACGTTGGACGTGAAACGGATACAGCCCCTCTTCACGCAGCGTTTGCCACACTTTAGTTTTTGATACTTGCACTTCTCTAGCCACGTCTCTAGTGCTTATTGTTTTTTGAAACGCAATCGATTATACGGGTTCGTTTACCTCTACATGCGTGACCGTAACCGTCGGTTGAAGGTTGCATACTGACCTGACACTGACCCCGACCCAGTTCTGTCGTCGGGTTGAGCTAGTGTCCTAGTACCACTCAGGGATGTCGCGGGTCGCGGTTACAGGACGGTATTCAGATATTTTTGATGTTGCAGAGCCCTTTATCTCGGTTCCCTTAAGGCATTGGTGTATATGGTACTAAGAAAAATTGCTTGTTTTCAAGATCTACACGTCGTAAAGGAAAACCCCAACTTTGCGGACACCCTGTATGTAGATAGTTTCAACGACTATATGAAGCACATCAAAAAGAGCATGAAAATGTTTCTGTTCAACTTTAGTTTGTTAGCTTTTGAATATAATATTGAGTATCACATGAATCTTTAGTTCTTGTTTAGTTTAATAATTTATACAAAGATATTGTAATCTGTCACATAATGTTTTTCTATGTAATGGGAAACTGTAAATAAATAAATAAAAAATGTACAAAATGCTAACCCATCATCTCTGTTGCTTCAGCTTCCTCCTATCCTCCGCCGAGACTCATTCCACCACGTAAGTGACTATAAACTAGACATTTCTTGTGCAAGAAGTAACAATTTGAATGAAATTGTAATAATCTAGCCTCCTCCACGGCCAATCCATTGCTTCCGTTTCCACCATATCCTCCGCCGCGGCTCATTTTACAACTACAGTGACTATAAACCAGACATTACTTGTCCAGAATTGATGTTGATCGAATTTTAATAACATTGCACAAATCCTCTCACCTCCATCTCTGCTGCCTCCACGGCCACCGAATCCGCCGCCGCCTCCGCCACCGTATCCACCACCACCGCCGCCGCCTCCGAATCCTCCACCGCGGCCCATTCCGCCGCCGCCTCCACCTCTTCCTCCTCCTCTACCGCCGCTCCAATTATCTTTCTTGGTGGCCAGCTGTACTTTGATCACATTACCCTTGAAGTCCTTGCCGTCGAACCACGAGATGGCGCTCTGAGCGGCATTCGCGTCATCGTACGTCACGGTCGCCTCGCCCTTAGATAGGCCGGTTAATTTGTCCTTGTACAGCCACACCTTGCGTTTTTGTGTCCGCTTGTCCATCTGAAAAGGGAGAGGAGAAGGTTAAAAGAAAGTACAGCAGACGCTCGATAATGTAAACTAATTTAATCCAAGTGTGGTTCACATTATCGAAATGTTTACATTAGCGAACGTGATTTATATAATATTTGATTTATTAAAAGAAACGTTTAATACATACTATTTATAACAAAAAACAAATATTCTAACAGCGATAAGTATTTTTTTAATTAGAAGAAAAATAATTAACAATTTTTGTCTGCGTAAATTTGCGCTTAGCATTGTCTTCCAATGCCTGCGCCCGTAATTTACGAGGAACTAAAATATCCGTGTATGAAACTTCTTTTCTTTCAGCCCAATCTAAAGCTTGGTTAAAAACTTGTATAGCTTGCGCGTCAGTCACTACACTTCTGACTTCAATGGGATCGTTCTCATCATCCTCACTGTCCATATCCTCCTCCTTATCAGCATCATTCGTCTGCTTATCTTCGTTCCATAAATTAATATCAGCAGGAGTATAAACAATATTGGGATTCACTGTTTTCAATAAATCAACAACATCCAATGACACACTAATAACATCGCAAACGTTCTCTAATTACGCTTAAGGGGACAACGTCTTCTTCATCATCTTCATTATTGGTACAAAAGAGATTGTTCCAACATTTTTGAATAGTTTGCTGGTTAAGTTCATTCCAGGCCATATGTAAATCTAAAACAGCTTCTCATAATGTTACTTTTTTTGAAGCCTCAGATAAGTTTTCAGGATTCTTTGATAAGACTGACGAAAGTAGAACTTCCTATAGTATAGTTTGGCGAGTCTTATTATATTCTGGTCCATCGGTTGAATAAACGGTGTTACGTTGGGCGGCATGTACATGACGAAAATTGACCCATCCCTGCTCCTCAGTTGTTGCTAGGGAGGATGACTTGGTGATCCAATAGTAACAACGCTTTTATTGGAAGCTTCTGTTGTTTTAGGAAACCTTTTAACTACAAATTGAAAACACATCTTCAAATTATGAATAGAGCATTTGTGATAATTGATTGTCATACCAGAGGGACAAAGCACCTGTGGAACCATTTCAGGAATATACTGCTAGTCATCCAAGCGGTTTTTGAACAGTCATAATCAACAGGGATATTAACATTTTTAAATGAGCGCGGATTTTTTGCTTTCCCAATTACCAGTGGCTTTATTTTGTGTGATCCATTAGCATTAGTGCAGGCTAGAAACGTTATTCGTTGTTTCTCCGGCTTTCTTCCCGGGGCAGATTTTTCAAATGATGCAGCATAGGTTTTCTCTTCTAACATTTTCCAATAAAGGCCACTTTCATCTGCGTTGTAAATTTGTTCCATTCTTAAATCTAGCTCGGTAATTGTTTTCATCAATTTTTCTTTGAATGGTTGCACTAATTGTGGTTGTGCTGATAATTTTTCACCAGATATAGACAGCAGTCGAATTCCATATCTTGTCTTGAATCGTTGTAGCCAGCCATCACTAGCTACGAAATTTTCAGTTTCTTTCAGTTTTTCATTTAACAGTCTCGCTCTCTGGTTAAGTACTTCGCGACTAACTGGGACATGATTTTCTCGTTGTTTTAAAAACCACTTATACAGGGAATTTTCCATTTTAGGTGACTTCGCATTTTTTTAAGTTTTTCTTTTTCCCGGACCTCCAAATGTATTGCACGTTCTTTGTAAAATTTGAGTTTTCATACGCTTAATTTTACAGATTGTTGCTTTCGATACTACACCTAGTGCAACTTCGTCTATAATTTTCACTTTCTCACTCAACTTTAAACACTTTCTTTTATAGGATGTGGATGCCATAGTCGTAAAATATATTAACGCGTGCAATGTATTCACTTAAGTTCAAAAATGAAATACATACGTACGTATAGACGTATCCTAAACGTTCATACGACTGACCGAGTTTGTCGTATTTTATCGCAGAGGTGAATCCCCTACACTCTACATCATAAATCGGGGACTCCCCGACGCCCGACATAAACCATCGAGGCTTCAGCATTTTACCGTCGCGCTGTTTCCGTGCGCCGAGAGTTGTTTACGTTATCGCGCGTTCCGTTTGATCCTATGCAACGAAGTTTGTGTTTACATTAGCGCAAGTTTTCATTATCCCGTGTTTACGTTATCGAGCGTCTGCTGTAATTGTAATGACAACTTGATACTAATTTTCAAACGTTGGATATTAATAGCATTTTCTTTTGATAAAACTGGTAGTTTCCGTGTTTGAAACATTCTGGTCTAGTTCATGCTGAATTTGCCTCAAAAAAACATAAGATATCTGACATTTTGTATCTCATGCTGTCATCTGTCAGTGAAATATATTTTTCATTTGCAGTTGCATGCAAAATAAGAAATCGATGCTGCTAAAAATGACTTGACAGTTGAAAATACTAAAGCTGTTGGTTGAATGTGAATAAACTCAAATTAAACAAAACAAAATGTAAGCTTATAAGAAAATCTTTAGATGCTAATACAATAAATTTTACAATTAATCATCAAACAATTGATTCATTCGAATCATTTAAATATTTGAGCATACCATATACACAGTATATTAAAATTTAAAGGGTACCATGAATATATTATTTAAAAATTTTTAAAAAAATACATTACTTTTATAGAATTTCGCATAGCAGTGTTAATTCTAAAAAAATGCCTACAATACTACCATTCTTCCTCACTTGCTGTATTTTGTTCACAGCAAATGAAACTGTAGTTTTAAAATTACAAAATAAAGCTATGAGGATAATCATAAATAAAAATAAATATACCAGAATAAATTTTATGCTAACAAACTACAATGGTTGCATTACCTACTTGGTTTTCATTTTCTTATTCAAGTTGTAAAATCATTTTATTGAATTGAACAAGACTTTCATTTACATAACTGAAGTAGCAATATAACAAATAAATCTGTTTTTCAAAAAGGATTGTACGAATTAAATAAATTGAGAAATGATAAGATGTGTGCCAGTTTGACAATGTTCAAAGGGAAATTGAAAAAATACTCCCTGGAAAACCAGCATTCATAGTTGTGAAATTTTGAATAAAAATATGTAGTTTTGAAGTCAAAATAATTGTTATTTTACAGTGTTAACTTGGCGTTTTGATGTCTTATCACGTAAAGTATGCGTGACTGTTTGGATTTAGTTTCTTCAAAAGATTGACTGTACTACAGTCACTGTATCATGAGCGCCTCCAGGTCGTGTGACTTTTGCACCAAAAGAATATGAATAGGCTAAGGCAAAATTAACATAAAATATGCGCCGCTGCAACCATAGTTCCACCAAAAGAAAACGCTTTAACATTGTACCACCAGACAGACTGCACAGTAGCATTGTCAAAATTTTGTGTCACGCGATATATTTCACCGCGCGGATATCAAAGCATTGATTTAACATATTCTCCAACTATATGGTGTATTAGATATTTACTTGCAGTTTCCATAACATCTTGTTGCACAACACAAATCTAGTGCATAAATGGGCTATTAAATGCCTTTATACATAGAGTGCAATAAGCGTTTACTTAACTGAATTTTTCAGGAAATGATTCAATGATATTGTTTTGTAACAGAACTAATAAACTTAGTTGTCACTAAAAGACAAATAAGGAATAGATTTCTGTATTGATCTGGCGAAACTTCGAAATTGAACCTTGAATATTGAAATACTCAAGCACAGAGTGCAAGTTCGCCTGCAATTAGTATTCACAAAAATATTTTACCTTGATTATACCAATGGATCCAAAATGGTCAGCAATATCATCTTCATTCAAGTCAGGGTTCATGCCTGATACAAAGACCGTATCCACTTGTATAACCAGATTCTCACCACCTGAAAATATTTTTCATTACCAATAGATTCTTTAAAAACCAAAATGTTGAGTTTATCTAATCTCTCCCAGTACACCTAACGTATTTAACGCGTGAATCTGAAATTCCCAGTAAATTCCTGCATGACTAGTAATTTGTCTCAAAACATATCTTCAGTCACATTTTTTTTTTGTTATTAGCTGTTGTACAGCATAACACTCGAATTTTCATTATATTCTTTAACCAATATTTTTTTCTCAGTATACCTCAACCTAACAGAATTCATACCCTTAACTCAGTATAGTGTGATACCACAAAATCAGTTACAATTCTGGACAGAACCTTGAGTAACTAGGCACCCATTTGGAATGATCACTTGATTCACACCATATATCCAAATCACCACAAAATAAGTAACCCTCAATAGCTAAAAACAGCTTTCATCAAGTATATCAAAGAACGATCGCCATTTTTAACCAACTGTTCAATTTTACTGATTACAAATCCGCTGTTAACTAGTGGAGAGAAGGTCCTACTTCTTGTAAGATTCTTACTGAACGATGACCTCATAATTTATTGATATCAACCAAGAATTACCAAAACGCGATAGTTGTAGAAAACTAATATACAACCATAACCTCGAACCACAATAGGTTGAAAAATGGTGTGCCAAACAGAATCCGTCACTTTGCGTTTCTATAACCTAACGCGAGAACAAACACCTTTTTGATGGTCGAAAGTACTCTTAATTAGCGCATGCTATACCTAATGGCCTCATATAGTACACATTATTAAAATGGTATATAAAGGGTAGTAAAGGTTGTAATGTATTGGAGAATCGTTACCGATTTAAGATATACCAGCGTCGCATAACGCAAATGGCGCAAAAAAAACGCGAAGACCAGTTCACTATTGACACATAGTTAAACTGAGCAGAAAGTCATTTCCGAGACAAATTAATACAGCTTGATGTGAAGCTGATGAGCGTAATGACCAAAAATAATTTCTGTATTTGAAAATTTCAACAAAAAATATTCATCAATGTAAAGCCGAATTCCGATTCTTTTAAATAGGTGTAGTCTTCAGGAACAAAAACAAAATACATAAACAACCGAATTTCGTTAAATCACCCAAACTCAGTTTTACAGTAGTGGCTGTAGAACAGATGTACCATTTGCATTTGAAATATTTTTTATCCAAACCTAAAAGTCCATAATGGTTTTCAACCTGCATGTCAGGGCCTGAAAAACTGTAAGGAGTGTACTTTCAATATATTTACCCTACATAAAAGTTTTTGGGACGATCCATACGAAATTCGAGTGCTGATTCACGTCAGACAAAAAACTACTATGTATAACGATTTAGAAGTAGCAGCTCAAGTATATTATGGAACCTCTAAAAGCGCAATATTTTTGTTTCAATATGTGGATATAATTATGGCAATTATAACCCTGATGTCATGAACGTTCTGCATTTGATCCGGCTATGTATCTCGGCAATATTATCTGCAATGTGTAGACACTATTTTCACGATTTCTCACGAGAAATACTACAAAATCATGCGTCAACAACAACAAACTACACGTCGCGGTACCATTACATCACATTGACTAATGTTTATATTGAGGAGTTATGCACGACGATCAGGATTCAAAATTCCGGACAGAAACATTTAGGATCATCCTCGTAACAGGACGAGACAATCCTCCAAATAGGATTGGATTAGTCCTTTTAAAGCAATTGTCACTTGTCGAGGATTGAAAGTAGATGATTTTAGACCCAATTCACTATGATATACGAGTAGATACATCATATTCAAGATTAACTAAATCCTACTTGATATAAAAGTAGTGATTAAGTAGGATTCTGATAGTTCGGACACCAATATATGAAAACTATTATTTCAGTTATTAAACATGGGTAGCCACACTTAAGCTATTGATGTATGTTACTGGTTACTCTCTATTGCAGCTGAATGATACAGTAACAATATTGCCCATTTATAGGATCCATTATATTAATGAAATATTATCATGGCACATGTAATTAGTAAATAATTTGGATAAGACAAAAAATTATCAGAATTAACTCTAAAAACTCATTGTTTTCTCTATGATCCTTATATTCTGAATGAACAATCCTGATATGCCTTTGATTAAAGTACAACTTGAGCTGCCACAGTCACGATATGTTCAAAATTACTTAAAATATACAAAATATCCATTGGAACTGCTAGGTATATGTTTAATAACCTGCAAACCACCAAATAAATTGCAATATATACATAGAAACCCTAATTGCAAAGCAGTAATGTAATTTTATGTAATCTAAGTAATTTTGAACCAAAAACGTGTTGCGCGTTTTTTTTTCTTCGCAATATAACCATTTGAAATGTATATAGTGTAAGGTGCATAAAATAGCACCTGGATCTACAGACCCAGTGCTTTTACCTTTGTTATAACCACCACCACGGTTGCCGCCGCTAAAACAGAAGAGTAAACGCATCATCAGTGGGGTGAAGATACACAACACGCTAGAACCACCAGTTATGCACTGGCCACAGTCAACACACCCTTTACTCAATAGACCTTGACGAGTTTCATTGTGCTTCTTCTGTAGGTCCATAGCACTATATTAACCTATTGATGCTGTCAAGTTTTGTCAAGTCAGGATCAGTCTGTCAGTAGTATTACGCCCAAGCTTATCCCAGATATTTTCAGGTGTATAATTAAGTACCAATATTTCTGATGCTGGAACTAAAACTCGAATAAGCAAGGAATATTACCTTTCCATTCTGTAGGCTCTATACCCAGAGCTGCATACCTCAATGTTACAACTAAATAAGGTGCTATTAGTTCAGTGTCTACAGTATCCAAAACCCATCATCCTCATTTTAGAAAATTGCTGCAATCTTGTTACCTCAACTGCTATTAAGGTCAGTTACACTTCAATCTGTTCAACGTTGACCACTAGATTCAGTTCTTGAATCATCTGATATAATAATAAGTTATGAAAGTATTTTTTTAATGGGATAAAATATTTTTTTGCAATGAAACTGACATCTGCACTATTTAATTTTGATAGGTTTAACAAAATGTGCAGATCCTGGATTGTATAAGAATGGGAAAAGATTTGATGTATGATTATAATAAATGCCACTTATGTTGAAATAATGGACCTAACACCTGCACTTCATCTCAGATATTTGCAATAACCTGATACCAGAGATTTTATCACCAAGAACTTAACATAAGCATATCGCTGGTAAAATACTTGATATTCATATTTGGCCAGAGCTATTAATACCATACATTTGAATATTTTGAATTGCTTCTTTATTATATAACCAATGCTGTACCACAATGACCTTTTAAACTACCTTAGAATTGTTTGTATTGTAAGCTTTGTTTTACCTCACCTCTTATCATACCTGTATAGTATTTTATAGACCTATTGATATATTTATATTTTTAAACCTTGCTTCTTCGATAACCCTCAAGTTTAGTCAAGTCATAAAAATAAACAATGTAAAAAAAGAAAACTCTGAAAATGCAATCAAATATTAAATGTTAAAATATCTCAAAGTATGTTGACAAGATGTTTCAAATCAGATAAACCTCATCCACCAACTTTCACACAATAGGTTTATAATATTCATGTTCCTGGGAAATGTAAGTGTTGTTAGTATTCCTTCATTTTGTAAAGTAAGATAACCCTCATTCAATCTTAATATCACCCTTCTAAAAACTGCCTTTACTTTTGTGTTGCATCGGATCTCCAAACCTGATCAGTAGCAGTCCTAAAAGGGGGATCAAGCCTCACAAAGTTGTATGAAACATGCTGACACAAGATACTTTTGTAACAGTAACTGTTTTTTTCATATGATTTGCTGACAATATATTTTTTTAAAATCATGTAAAGGCATACGAGAGCACGTTTTTTGCTCAACACTCGCATAAGGAAAATCATATTCCTTTTCACTATACATCTCCCCTGCCCCATTTTTAGTCCTAGATGCACCTCTGCTGCCAGCAATCAACCCTTGATGCATAATTTGCATTTTACACTTAATAGTTCACACAAAATGCATTCAAAAGAATGCTGGTATTTATAGTTTATAAAGTATATTGTCATTTGTAGTTGAATTCTCTATTAGAGAGTAAAGACATAACTTTGGCTTCAAAGTGCTTTATGTCTTTCACTACATAATTAGTATTAATTAAAACTAGCTAGGCTTATGAAATGATTGATATGTATATAATGAAGCCTCTAAACAACAACATATGGCCTAACTATATATCTCAACTATATCTTGGCAACATTGCAATGCATAGAAACATACAATTTTTCAGGATTTCTCACCAGAAGGCTAACAAGATCAGGCAAAAATGAGTGATGAAATAGTATGTGTCATAGCAGCTTTCATTAAGTACAATAACAATGGTTTGGCAATCTAAAAGCAATATATGAAAATAGGTTGGAATCATCAAACTTGTATAGCAATATCACTGGACCTTACTAATATTGCCATATGTTGCTGGATACTCTACTGCAACTAGATAATGCAGTTAGAATATAAACTGTTTAGAGAATCCATAAGAAATATGTTTGCATAAAATGGACAAATTTTACAAAATGAAAATTTAGACCTGCACATAATAATGGATTTTAGAAACTTTTCCAATTGGCAAAAAAATTTGCCTCAAGCAGCCTCAAAACGTGCATATATGAGAGAAAAGACATTCTTAAAACAAAATATGATACTTCCTTGTTTTGATACTTTCATGACAAGATACCTTTTCCAAATCTGTTTCTCCCACATACTTTTTTAATAAAAGTTATAAAAACTTGAAACATACCCATAACTATCTCTGCGCTCTAAGTCCCTGCCTCCACCACCTCCTCTATCTCGGCCTAAAATAAAATTTTAATTGTCAGAACTAATAATTTTGAATAATGAAAAAAAAAAACTTACCTCCATAGCCTCCGCCACCACCTCCTCCTGAGCTGTAACCTCCAGAACCTCCATATCCTCCTCCACCACCACCTCCTCCTCCATAACCCCCAGTGCTACCATAACCTCCTCCACCTCCTTGGTAACTCCCTCCATTATTATCTGTAACAGAAAATGGCATTATATATAGCTATACAAAATGCATGAGAGAAGCAACATCCACATTTGACATGTCTGTGACCATTACTATCGTTTTATGAGATCTGTGACCAGTGAAGTGTGTGACAGTTGGGGAGTCTGCTGTTTCTGATAAAGAATTACAATTTCCCTGCTTTTGATTTTCAAACCATAAACAAGAAGACTATCAAGAATTTATTCTTCAATCAGTAACTAAGCAACAAATATTATTCAAAAACACAGGTTGTCTCTGACTCTTCCCATTCCTCCAAAGAATCCTTAATGATATCTACCATTTACTTAGTGATAGTCAGCTGTTTGCTGAATCACAAAGTTTCATTCCGAAGACAAGTCCAATAGTTACTAATAGATAGCTTAATTGTATTGTTATAATTTATTTGTTCAGGTGAAGTTCAACCCTTCAAAATATAGACTAAATTGAAGGACTATCATTCCCTAAATCTTTGATCTGTGACATTGTAGGAGGATAATAAATTTGAAGTTATTTATATCCATGCCAATGTCAGTTTCAGATGGGCTATAAGTTATTCAACATTTCTTTCTCTCTTGTATTGTAAAACTGTAAAGTAGCTCAATATTCAACAGATTCAAATGTAAGATGTTTCAGAGTCCATATAAGTAAAATATTAGAAAAAAGAACTTAAAAACTATTGTTTATCAAAAAGACCGATCAAATTTTCTGTTCTCAGATCAAAATAGTTTTTCAGTACATATTTGTTGCAATATTGAGGTTTACATTTTGAAGCATTTAAACATACTAATTAGGTGCATCAGGTTTTCAAACTAGACTAAACTGAAAAATCACATATACAATACTTTTAAAGAAGCAGTCTCCCACTTAATTTTTTGAATGAGCTAAATTAACAAGCTGAAACTCATTATGAAAAATTGATTCATCAATGCTATAGTTGGGTTTATTTTACACACAATCTCAGATACCTTCATCTCACTTCAGTTTGCTCAATTTATTGTACATTCTTTTTAACAAAAATCAGTTTAAATGAGGTGCAACTTTCAGGCCAACCTCAGCTAAGTGAGATTTGTCATCCTTTGGAGCTTTTGGGTCGAGTTTATATGGTTTAGTGTGAAATCCACCAGATTCAAATTGTATGCTTACATTTATAAAGGTGTGGTAATCTATGTCAGCAAACTGCAAAAATACATCTCGAGTGTAGCTCCATTATGAATTAAAACAAATGTCATTATACTTCCTAAACCACATGTTTTAGGTAATGTTCTGATGAAGGTTAACTCAGGTGTTCTTTTTGAACTCTGAAGTGAGCTAGAGATCCAAAGATTTAACAGCATTATCTCTATTGTGACTATCTCACTTTACTTGTAAAATGAACACAACTTATATTGTAAAGCATTTTCTTTTTGTGAGATTAGTGTCAGCATAATGTTCTTTAGGTCCATAAACTGAACTAGTTTTCAGTTTTGCACTCATTGCAGATATATTGCATGACATTAAGGAACTCATGCTAACACACGCATGACATTTTCTTCAAAATTTTACCATAGCATGGGAAAGGTCAAGTCACCCAGAACAGGGTTTCAAACATTGACACTGCACAATTTTATCCATATAAAATATTATTGTACAAGTGATAATTCAAAGATGGCAACTGGGAACATTTTTTAAAATGAAATGTATCATATGATAGCTGATTTCAAGGCATCTATCAATAACTAAAGTGTGACTATTAACATTTTAATAGTTATGATACACACAAAAGTTATATGTATTTCATATGAAGGTGTACAGAGCTTGCCATAATCATAGCATATACAACTTTGCGATGGCCTGGAAGTTCCCAACTTTCAACTCATGCTTATATGCTTGAAACACAATTTCAACAAGCCCATGTGTCAAAATTGTCATTGTTCCTGGTGAGGCAGTTTGTGTATGTTCCCTACATTTAGAAATAGAATAAAGTAATCTTTCTGGAATGTCAAAAGTGTACTTTTCCTCCCATGCTCAAAACTTTGGGAATAAGAGTGTTGCTACTTGTCATTCTTACGGTTAATTGTTGGCTTACTTTATTTGATTATCAAAAAAGGGCAAAAAAAAAACAATATATATTTGTTACAAAAATGTGTTAGCTCATGTCCATAGTATTTCTGATATTAAAAAAATAGTTGCATAAAATGTAGTTAGAAATTAGTGGGATTATATGGCTCTACAATAATTTTGGCACCATAAAAATAAATGTGTAAATCAACATTCCATTACTGTGTAGGTATTATAAAGTGATTATTATTATATATCATCTAAATCTCGCCTCCTGTAATACTATTACAAATAAAAGGACAATTATTATTATTTATAAACACACCTCTACTTATGACTATAAGACAATTATATGAACACTAGGGTGGAGCGTTTATGTATGGATTAATTTTTTTTTCCAAATATTGAATTGTAATAGGGAGCAATTGGTGCAGTATATTATAGTAAAAATATATGTAATTTCTCAATTAATTTTTCCAACATCTTCTGCCTCCGCACTGACCCCACAAAATCTAAATTTTAACTAAAAAATATTAGTACACATTTTACCAACTATTGAGTGAAATCCACCAGATTCAAATTGTATGCTTACATTTATAAAGGTGTGGTAATCTATGTCAGCAAACTGCAAAAATACATCTCGAGTGTAGCTCCATTATGAATTAAAACAAATGTCATTATACTTCCTAAACCACATGTTTTAGGTAATGTTCTGATGAAGGTTAACTCAGGTGTTCTTTTTGAACTCTGAAGTGAGCTAGAGATCCAAAGATTTAACAGCATTATCTCTATTGTGACTATCTCACTTTACTTGTAAAATGAACACAACTTATATTGTAAAGCATTTTCTTTTTGTGAGATTAGTGTCAGCATAATGTTCTTTAGGTCCATAAACTGAACTAGTTTTCAGTTTTGCACTCATTGCAGATATATTGCATGACATTAAGGAACTCATGCTAACACACGCATGACATTTTCTTCAAAATTTTACCATAGCATGGGAAAGGTCAAGTCACCCAGAACAGGGTTTCAAACATTGACACTGCACAATTTTATCCATATAAAATATTATTGTACAAGTGATAATTCAAAGATGGCAACTGGGAACATTTTTTAAAATGAAATGTATCATATGATAGCTGATTTCAAGGCATCTATCAATAACTAAAGTGTGACTATTAACATTTTAATAGTTATGATACACACAAAAGTTATATGTATTTCATATGAAGGTGTACAGAGCTTGCCATAATCATAGCATATACAACTTTGCGATGGCCTGGAAGTTCCCAACTTTCAACTCATGCTTATATGCTTGAAACACAATTTCAACAAGCCCATGTGTCAAAATTGTCATTGTTCCTGGTGAGGCAGTTTGTGTATGTTCCCTACATTTAGAAATAGAATAAAGTAATCTTTCTGGAATGTCAAAAGTGTACTTTTCCTCCCATGCTCAAAACTTTGGGAATAAGAGTGTTGCTACTTGTCATTCTTACGGTTAATTGTTGGCTTACTTTATTTGATTATCAAAAAAGGGCAAAAAAAAAACAATATATATTTGTTACAAAAATGTGTTAGCTCATGTCCATAGTATTTCTGATATTAAAAAATAGTTGCATAAAATGTAGTTAGAAATTAGTGGGATTATATGGCTCTACAATAATTTTGGCACCATAAAAATAAATGTGTAAATCAACATTCCATTACTGTGTAGGTATTATAAAGTGATTATTATTATATATCATCTAAATCTCGCCTCCTGTAATACTATTACAAATAAAAGGACAATTATTATTATTTATAAACACACCTCTACTTATGACTATAAGACAATTATATGAACACTAGGGTGGAGCGTTTATGTATGGATTAATTTTTTTTTCCAAATATTGAATTGTAATAGGGAGCAATTGGTGCAGTATATTATAGTAAAAATATATGTAATTTCTCAATTAATTTTTCCAACATCTTCTGCCTCCGCACTGACCCCACAAAATCTAAATTTTAACTAAAAAATATTAGTACACATTTTACCAACTATTGAGTGAAATCCACCAGATTCAAATTGTATGCTTACATTTATAAAGGTGTGGTAATCTATGTCAGCAAACTGCAAAAATACATCTCGAGTGTAGCTCCATTATGAATTAAAACAAATGTCATTATACTTCCTAAACCACATGTTTTAGGTAATGTTCTGATGAAGGTTAACTCAGGTGTTCTTTTTGAACTCTGAAGTGAGCTAGAGATCCAAAGATTTAACAGCATTATCTCTATTGTGACTATCTCACTTTACTTGTAAAATGAACACAACTTATATTGTAAAGCATTTTCTTTTTGTGAGATTAGTGTCAGCATAATGTTCTTTAGGTCCATAAACTGAACTAGTTTTCAGTTTTGCACTCATTGCAGATATATTGCATGACATTAAGGAACTCATGCTAACACACGCATGACATTTTCTTCAAAATTTTACCATAGCATGGGAAAGGTCAAGTCACCCAGAACAGGGTTTCAAACATTGACACTGCACAATTTTATCCATATAAAATATTATTGTACAAGTGATAATTCAAAGATGGCAACTGGGAACATTTTTTAAAATGAAATGTATCATATGATAGCTGATTTCAAGGCATCTATCAATAACTAAAGTGTGACTATTAACATTTTAATAGTTATGATACACACAAAAGTTATATGTATTTCATATGAAGGTGTACAGAGCTTGCCATAATCATAGCATATACAACTTTGCGATGGCCTGGAAGTTCCCAACTTTCAACTCATGCTTATATGCTTGAAACACAATTTCAACAAGCCCATGTGTCAAAATTGTCATTGTTCCTGGTGAGGCAGTTTGTGTATGTTCCCTACATTTAGAAATAGAATAAAGTAATCTTTCTGGAATGTCAAAAGTGTACTTTTCCTCCCATGCTCAAAACTTTGGGAATAAGAGTGTTGCTACTTGTCATTCTTACGGTTAATTGTTGGCTTACTTTATTTGATTATCAAAAAAGGGCAAAAAAAAACAATATATATTTGTTACAAAAATGTGTTAGCTCATGTCCATAGTATTTCTGATATTAAAAAAATAGTTGCATAAAATGTAGTTAGAAATTAGTGGGATTATATGGCTCTACAATAATTTTGGCACCATAAAAATAAATGTGTAAATCAACATTCCATTACTGTGTAGGTATTATAAAGTGATTATTATTATATATCATCTAAATCTCGCCTCCTGTAATACTATTACAAATAAAAGGACAATTATTATTATTTATAAACACACCTCTACTTATGACTATAAGACAATTATATGAACACTAGGGTGGAGCGTTTATGTATGGATTAATTTTTTTTTCCAAATATTGAATTGTAATAGGGAGCAATTGGTGCAGTATATTATAGTAAAAATATATGTAATTTCTCAATTAATTTTTCCAACATCTTCTGCCTCCGCACTGACCCCACAAAATCTAAATTTTAACTAAAAAATATTAGTACACATTTTACCAACTATTGAGCTTAGTTTAATGATATATGGGTGATGAATCACTTGCAAAATTAATCTAAGATATTTATTGAAGAACTACAATTAAAAATACGGTAACATTTTAAGAACAATAGTAAGAAAATATATACATATTTATATATTACTTTCCTTTAAAATTTCTTTTTGTCTCAAATTTAGGCATTATATTCCGAGATTCCAGTTTGGCTTTTATTGCACCCAATCGTGCCTTTTCCGTACATTGGGACGTGGCTGCCTCTGTCGTCACTTTTACAGCTCGTTCTACAGCTTGTGTGTGACACGGAAGCTTCAAAAAGGTCAATTGATTCTCATCCCCAGTTTCGACGACGCGCCAAATTTCTTGGTCAGAAAAGATTTTTAAAATAGGGGGTTCCGTTATTTTTTCCTGCCAATTTATTAAATCAACGTATGTAGAAGCATTAAAATTAATGCAAGGCAACTCAAATAATCTAATTGTTGATGTTTGCTGCGTGCTACGTGCTTTCAATACACGCCTGGCTGCCAGTTCTCGAATATGTTTCTTGGCATCAGTTAACATTGCAAGAAGCGTGTTCTCCGGATGTGCAAAGTAGCTATTCCGTTGAATGACAGGATCGATTATCTTTTTAAGATCTTCTGACAGGTATCTGGAGGCAGAAATTATAAAGAAAAGATGTCGCGTTCCATCCTTGCAGAAGGGTTTGTTTTTAATAAGGAACCAAGATGGTGCGTAAACTTTAACAACAAATTTTGCCAGAGTTAGCAGTTTCTCTGATGGTGTTTCGGTTGCTACATACAAACGCAATATTCTATTGGCACGTGTGAGCCAACGGGCATGTGAAAGTTTGCCGGGAGATTTATTTGACAGATCCTCTGGAAAAATACCTGTAAGAACCGCTGTGACAATATTATGTAAGTACTGTTGATCTGTACTCAAATCTTTGGCCATTTCTGGAAGCATTTCTCTTTCAATAGGTTGAAATTTTCTAATAGGTAGTTGTTCACAGGTCTCTAGTGCTTTTCCTAAAGGTCCAGAGAAAGACTTAGGTCCCGAAGTACACCCATCAAGATGAAGAAACAAGTGTCTCAAAGGCAGTTCATTCATGTGCAGCAAACACACTATCCACTGGAGTGGTTTTTGTAGTTTTCTCTCGAACAGTCTTATTATACCTCCATTCTTTCCAGTATTAACATTTGTGCCATCGCAACCGATTGCAATAAGTTCATGAAGAAGTATTTGTTCACGTGTTAGAAACTCTGCTATGGAGATTTCTATTCCTTTTGCTGTCCCAACATTAGGCACCACGTATCCAAGATAAATTGATCCAGGCTCTTGAATTAGTGAGATATGTTCCTCGACAGTCAAAGTCCTGTAGCATTTGCCATTCTTTTTAACGATCTTTAACGTTTTGTCTTTCCTCCCGTCAAAGTATAAAGCATTAAGTTCCGAAATTTTCACCTCATTCAATAACTTATTTCTTGTTTTGGTTCTCTGTCTACGTAATTTATGCCTGTCAATGACGCCAATATCAGAATCAATGTCGAACAAGACAGATGATGCAATCGCGGCTGCAGCCCTATCTGACACTCCGTACCTGTCACATGTCTTCGAGAGCGTCGGAAAATCGATGCGTGAGGATTTTTTCCTTTTCTTTTGAGTAACTTCTTCGAATTCGCTTCTATCTGACATTGATGACGTTTCCGAAGAAGTACTAACATTTAAAACAGCCAACGATGATGTACTCGTATTCGAAGATACATTTTGGCGGTTCTCTCGTTCATGTTTCCGTTTTAAAGTGCTTTGCAACTTCTTAGTGATGATTGGATCGATTCCACCGATTATCATATGTCGACAGGTTCTTTGATCAATTAGGAAGGCTTGTTCTTGTTTAGGAACCTTTTTATCCTTTGGGCAGGTGCACTTAATAAATTCTTTGCATTTGCATGCCGAAATATCAAAAAGTAACCTACCACTATGCCGAAATCTCTCTAATTTATCTTCAGATACTCTTTGCACAGATTTAAGTAGATTTTTGTATTTTAAATGATAGGCTTTCAACATTTGTATGATTCTTGTTCGTGTTACTGTAGGAATAGATGCAGTTTGCCATATATTTTCAATCGTGGATGTCACTATATCTGCTATTTCCGCAAAAACTGGCTCTTTGGCAGTTTCTAACCTCAATTTTCGTTGATGTCTTGTCCATTCATATAACTTGATAACATCGTCGTAAGTAGGTAGAACATTGTATTTTAACTCACAAATAACACCCAAAACAGGACATTTAAACACACTCCGAGTTCTCGGCATGTTTTAAAAGAATAACAATAATTAAATATGGCCGGCACGTGATCGTTGCGAGCGAAAACAAAAGCGCAGGCGCACTGAGGTCGTGGCACAGTATTGCCAAATCTTTGATTCTCCTTCAACTTGAATTTCAATGACATTGCGGAGGCAGTTACCGTAAACGAAATCAAAAAATATTTTATATGGTTCAATTTGATCCTAAAACGCACCATATTTTTGCTATTAGATTGCCATATAACGAAAACAAATTTTTCGCTCCACCCTAATAACACATCCCAAACTTGTGACTGATTGTACTCATGTCTATGACTATTGAAAAACAACAGTAATTCTCTAGCTTAACTACACTGGCTGTTGATAAAAAAATGATTTTAGACCCTGGTTTTTGGGGTGCCGATGAAAGAAATGGACCAGGAAATGAGCTCAAACATAAAAGTTCTGAAATATTTTATGATATAATAGGTTTTTATTGAATGTTTGTTCTAAAAGAATGTGCAATGTTGCCAGATTTCAGTACTTAATAGGTTTTCATGTTGATGGATATTCTTAATAATTAAATTTGTACACATGACTTCACATAACACTACATAATGTCTAATGCACTAGCGGCACACAGCAACTCAAAGGGGACCAAATTCTTGATTAAAAGGAGAGCTTCTACGCGTGGAAATGCGTATTTTCATTAATTTTGATATATTTTTTCAATTTGGCAATGGTATATATATATATATATGATCCCTTCATTCCGCAAATGTCCTGATAAAGGTGTTTATACCTTTTGAAACCCAGATAGTAACAATATTCTACAACTAACTCATTTGCTGGCATTTTCAATCTTATATCCAACATTCACAACCCAAACCTAGTGTCTATTCAGATGGAGAAGCAAAAAAGGCTGGTGTAGTTAAGCTAGAGAATTACTAAAAATACATATAAGTCACCCTTTTTTGAGGATCAATTTGAGATTGTGCAATATTAAATACTATAGTTCAAAAAAATGACAGCTTTTGACGTCATATAGCAATAGCATTTCCACTTTTTATTATACTAGCACTGTATTATGCTGTATTTCTACCAGAAAATCAACACGTGTCAGAAATAAATGCAACCGAAAAGGAACGCCGGTCACTCCGCCATTTTGTGAAATGAAACTGAAGAGGAAAACAAGGGCCAAGGTTCAAATATAATTAAATATCCATAAAATCTCACCTCCGTATCCTCCAGCCTGCCTTCCTTGAGACTGTTGACCCCAAGAACCTCCTCCTGCTTGAGCGCCACTCTGTTGGTACCCCATTTGTCCTCCTGCGGTGGCTCCTTGTTGGGATCCATAACCACCGCCATAGCCGCCTGATGGAGGAGGTTGAGAGTAATCGTAACCCCCTGAGGCCCCGTAACCTATAGGAATCAAACAAATCAGTAAAGGTTTTTCACCAAAAACATATATACACGGATACCGAATCGACTATTTTCGTGATTTTTTTGCCGCATCGACGCCGATTTCGAGGAAAATATCTACGTAGTGTGAAAATATGAGGACTAATTGAAGGCAAATTACTTAGTTTAAGTAATGATGTGCTAATTATGGCAGGATAAAACGGACTTACTGTCTCCCATAACTAAAGCGGTAATTCAAACTATGTACTTAATTACACGTCACGAACTACTCCACACCACGTACAAGAACAAAATGGACGAAAAACGAAAACGAAAACCGAAATACAAGCGTCAATCGCATGCGCATGAAGCTTGAAGCATCAATGCGACGCATGCGTAGTGCGTAGATTCACCAATTTTCAATTTTTGTTACGGAACGAACCTGTCACATATTTCAAATTTCAATAAATAAATTTTGTAATCATAGAATTCGTTTTCTATATTGCTTGGATTACTACGATTATTCATACCAATTCAGTTCAGCGTTTAACTTCTACTGATTATTCCGTATTTACCATATGGGTACAAGCAAGGAAGGCAGGTAGAAGGAACCAGTCAAGGATTTGTTTTTGACGTTTTCGGAACGATGGACGAGGGTGACGTATCTGGTACATTAAGAAGTCGACAGATAACCTCATGCTCGGCTGTCGTTTTTAGGGGCTAGACGTCCTTTTGGGAGCGAGAATTACTACCCCAGGCGGTCCTAATGGTCTATGCTGGTTTTGCGTGATACCATTTTAAAATATGGCATAATGTCTTCGCGCAAGCTCGGCATGTTACGGAACCTTCAGACTATTGTATTAACACAGTGTATGTATAGGAATCTGAAAATGGAAAGAAAAAACTAACGAAGTGTCACATGGAAGACAGAAAATATTGTCAAAATAAGTGTCTTGTTAAAGAAAAATTTCATGTACATGTGATTTCATTAGCTAGACTAACGTGGGGGATTATCGATATGAAAACTACAGGATAAGATTCAGTTGTTACATTTAGCATAAATATACAGAGAAATCCAAATATCACTGACGGAGCAATGTGTACGAGAGAGAAGCGCGACAAGCATACGATACGTATACGAGTGCGCCAATGGCAACCCAGCGAGCCGCAGTTGCGTCCCTGCCCTCGTCACTCGGGTTGCTAGACAACGGGGGCGCTTCTATTTCTTTCTAGCATACGTATTGCAAGCTTCTCGTGCATATTACTACGGCAGTGATAAATGGATTTATCTGTACGTTTGTCTCCTTATTCTCATGGACTGTAATGAGGATCAAAGTGAACATGACATAAGTCATGTTCTTTATAGTCATTAAATTTGTAGTTATAGTGTTATATTTTAAAAAGGCGAGTGTTTGCAGATAATTGTGGTGTTAGGCGATTTCAAGACGTGCTACCCTTCAGCCGCAAGCTCCTGCGGACTCAGGGGTACAGGATTCTACCCTCCCTACACCTACAAAAGGTGCCTACAAGTGTATTCTAACATCATGATCTGTGTCTATAGATTCAATAATTTTACCAAGAAAAGCTCGTGCTGTAACGAGAAGTGGGACTAGGGTCCCGAGTATTTCAAGGTTCTGTCAGCTGTGTTGTCTTGTCAACCCCTGTGGACGTCATCCGTGGATCATGCGTCCTCTGTGCATGTCCCCTAACCCCACTAGTTGTGCACTGATAAGTTCAAATAAAAATAAATAATTAAGTCTTATAACATATTTAACAAAATCCAGGGCTTCTGTATTTATATAGGATCATAAAATACATTTCTTTAACTCATTATGGTTTTTGGTAAGATGTTTTGTCAGCTTTTTGTCAACTTTCTACAAAAACATACTTTGCAGGTGAGACGATTGATGCGGGAGATTCCCCAAATTTCTTCACTGATTTTCATGGTGTTCAAAAGCTCAAAGTTATCCAAGATACCAATATAAGCACATTAGAGTAAGTTTCTTTTTAATATTTGGTTTTAATTGCTCACTGATATTGTGCAATATTTTAGGTGTGAATATGAAAGATTACAAGATGTTTTCAAATACTCAGCAGATCCAAAAGCCGCGGAAGGGTTATTGTACTTGAGATATATTCAAGATATTGTCAAGAAACAGGTCTCAGCCCAGATTCAAGATGATGTTCCTATACAAGAAATTGTATATAAAGTAGTTAATAAAGTTGTAAAGAAATATAAGTTAAGTAAGGAGGTTGACAAGGATGTATTCTGTAAATTATCACAGAGTCATTTAGAGAAAATAGAGCAGGTAATAAATATTACTTAAACCTGTGTGATATAAAGTTAATGAGCATTTCCTAAAATACAATATATATATTGTTGATTTTTAGGTTTTAGAGACCATAGCTGATATGATTCCTAACAACCACTATGAAAAGCAGCCTTCAAAAGCAGTATTAAAAAATGTCAAATATGATCCTAGTGATATCATAGGGTCACTAAATCCTTTGTATTATGTACCACTCGTAGATGATTTTACAGAGTTGGAGGATATACTAAAAAAATCCCAAAAAAATGATATATCATTTCTGTATGTAAAACCACCAGATACATCAAATTCAACCACTTTAATGGCTTCAAAAACAACTGGCAAAAATAATGTTTTCCATCTAGAAGAATTATTTAATTGCTATAGTGAACTAATACCTCACTATAATTATGAAGAATTTAAAACCATTGTTCACAGAGAACTAAACTCTAATAAAAATGATAATGAGGTTATGGACTACTTTTTGGAAACATTTGGCTGTCTTGCATTTGATTTTTTGAACGAACTTGTTAAACATAGAGACTCAAAAATAAGTTATTATGATAGTAAGGCTGTTGGGGGTAAGTTAACTACATTTTAAAATGAATGTCTTAATAAATGAAAATATCAAGGAAGCAAAAGTGATATAATTCTAGATTCTTAGCTAGCAAATGCTTTATCAGTTAAGGATTATCTGTGAAAAGATAAAAAATCCTTCAGAGCTTATTAATTTCATGTTTCTTCATTGTATGATGTACTCTTGTTTAGTTTTGTATGTGTTGTATTATATTTTTGATATTTCCTTGATACCACATCTATAAACATTCAAATTCAGTAATGTTTTATATAGTTAGGATGTTTGATAATATCCATCACATATTTCTTAAATTGTAGGAAATGGTGTTAGTTATATTATTGATATTTCCTTCATACTACATCTGTAAACATTCAAATTTAGTAACGTTTTATATAGTTAGGATTTTTCACATATTTTTTAAATTGTAGGAAATGGTGTTAGAACAAAAAATCCTCCAGAAGGATTGATAGCTGGTACTGTTACAGTACAGTCAGAAAAAGAGAGCATATTGTCTAAAAAATTGAGGAAAATGGAAAAAAAGGATAGAGGAAAATATACAAACACAGAAATCAAGCAGTAAGTTATCATATTGTTTTTTGACTAAAAATCTATATTATAAAGCTATAATAACTAGACAAGAATAATTTTATATTACATACAAGAATAAATTTTATAATGATTCCAGGACCGAGGTTGAATATGAGGTAGCAAAAAGTACTCCTCTGTTTAAGAAAGCTGTACCGCAAGCCTTGGATCCTGACGAATATCCACATGTGCATGACCAAATGAGGAACCATGTGATTACAAGTAAGTATAATAATTACACTTATAACAAGTTACAATAAAAAAATGAATTTTTACTAAAGTATGTTGAATATCAAATAGTCTGGAGAAGATTTATATTTATCAGATATAGAAATACTGACCACTACTGTCTCCCCACTTCTTTTTGCAGATATACTAATCTAGTGGCAAGTGACCCAAATAAAATATATGTATTTTAAGCTTTTTTAGATATCAAAGATGCTAGATCATAGTCAGGAAATGTTTTCAAAAACTATACAAATGTGTAAAATCAATTCCAGTATTTTTGACAATCTATTTTCTTGAAGTCCTAATCATTCTAACAAATGTTATGCTATTCAGAGTTCCATTGTATGGCCTTTTTTTCAGTCGTAATTAGTTATATTCTAGGCTGAAATTATTTAGGCAATTCAGGCAACTTAACAGATATCTCGATAGCCTAACTTTGAGGGTAATGTAATTTATTACTTTTCGTAGTCTGATTACATATGGACAATTCTCTGGAGAAACTCAGTGAACATTTTTATCATACAACAACTGATCCTCAGGATAATTACAAATTTGGATCAACATGCAGAAGTCAGTCTAAGACCCTGAAAGTATTAAATCTTTCTTTAGTTCATATTTTTGAAGTGTGCATATAAATATAGACAAATATGTAACCACTGCAATCCATACTCTCATCTGATTCTGACTATTAATAATAGACCTAACATTTATATAATTCATTCATCAATGCAAATTGAGAACATAATTTTGAAACGAAGTCTAGTTGCTGCTTCTCAAGGTTTGCTAAAAGAACTTTGCTTGTCCGCCGATTGGATTCAATTGTATGTTTATTTTATGACGTCACTCGGATAGTATACAAAATAGTTTATTGTTTAGGTTTGTGGGCGCATACTTAAATGGAGAAGTTTCGTGATATTCAGAATCGCATAAGTAAAATAACATACCAGCAAAATATAGACTAAATATAATCAGTCAGTGAAAAAATTATTGAAATCGGCAATAAATGACGGATAAATTGATACTTAAATTTGGGCATTATAGCGCGAAATTGTTGCTGCCGTTCGTTCGCGTCTGACGTCACACTTCTCTAGTGCCCAACGTCTCGTCGCGTAGGTGTTCGACAGCGTATGTGCGTTTAGTCATTAGTCTATAGTATAGACAATTCATAAGACACACCTGCGCGCTCGGACACGTAGTTTCCAGTTGATAACTATTGATTACTGCGTAAGTTCATACCATTATGGAAGCCGGATTTGTAAAAAATTGACATTTATGCCGTGATAGAATTCGTTTCTTCAAATCCATCATATACAAGCACGGAAATAAAAGGTGTGCAACTTTCAAAGTAAGTATTTATGTCTACTGCTACACTATCACAACTAGCGGCAAAATGTGCGATACCCTACTGAGGTTTTAAACAAATTAGAGTTGCTGCTTAATATGAGTACAGATTTGCGAATATGACACGATACTTTTCTAAAATCTCTTTAAAGTATATAATAACATTACACATGCACACAGTAAAGAGTCAACCTACTTGACGCCTTTTTAGGGGGTAAGTGACCCTATAGTAGATCACAGCTATTCTCGCTGAGTTGAAATAAGTGACCTGTAATATTAGTTGATAAATATTTCCGCGTGTACAGTGAAATGAGCTATAATAACTAATAATCATAAATAAATAGTAAAGTGATATACATACATCAAAGTGATCCTCACAGACATATTATGTTGTTCTTTTTGGTCCAATCAAATCACGCTTCATAAGTTTACACCATTTATATTCTTCCTTATATTTTCAAGTGAAGATACGTAAAAAAATGTGTATTACGGGTTCTAATAGTTGTGCTCGTACATTTTGGAACGGTACAATATTTGTAACAACCTCTTTTTCTTATTTCGCTCATAACCGATCGAATATGCAGTCAGCTAATTAAACAAATTGGTGCGGAAGACGTTTAGCCTACCATGGGTCCCGCTGTATGTGTGCCTATGCATATGTTTAGGAGATTGAGTCGGCTCGGGCCCAGGAATCGGCCGCGGGCGTTTCAACTGGATACTGAAGTGTCACGCGTCGCGTACAGACGGAATAAAAATATTCTCGCGAGGCGCAACTTTGATAGGCTGTAACTTTTTTATTTTTAGAGATAAATTAGTGATTTTTTCACCATCTTGTTTCATTTTTCCTAACCCTTCATGTGAGCTAATAACAAAAAATAGTAAACTTGTCCATTGTTGTATACAGCACTTTCCCACAAAGGTTCCTCTCTACTTATTTTTCGAACGGATCAAGTTAGCAAGCTGAAATGTGAGATGATGAAATTGACGTGATTACTTTATTTTAACGTAAATATAACAGTTGAAAATTTTAAGGGGGCGTCTATAACATATATGAGTTTGTAGGTGGCACAATTCTTCATTTGAGTTCTACGAATTTTTATATAATAATAATAATAATAATAATATTTAAAGCATATATGGCCCAACAGTATACACCATTTACAGAGCAATGGGTAATAAAAAACAACAAATGTACTAAATTTACCTAAAACCAACTATAACGAAACTACAAATTGACAATTTTTTTTTGAACCTTTTCGATACATGTTTTATAAATATTGTAAATTGGGTTCCATATTAGTGAACAGTATTCTAATTTCGACCTGACTAAACTAGAATACAATAAACTTACTGCCGACAGATCAGTAACAAGCTCACAGTTTCTTATAATAAAGCCATACGATCCATAATAATTTGATTAATATGTGTGTTGAATGTTAACTGACTGTCAAAGCAAACGCCTAGATCTCTGATTGAGTCAGTTCTCGAAAGGCGTGGACCACTAATTGTATAAGGATATAGTATAGTGGAACGTCGGCTAAAGGTTACTATTCTGCATTTGGAGATATTTAAATGCAGACGATTTCTAAGACACCAGTGATGTAAAAACATCGATCTGCGATTGCAGGGCAGCACAGTCTTCTAGACATGCAATGGACGCATACATTTTTAGATCGGCCGCAAACATTAATCTATTGCATTAAAGTGAAGTGCATAGGTCATTAACATATAACAAAAATGATAGAGGTCCCAAATTGCACCCATGTGGTACTCCACTAGTAGAAACATAGTAACCAGATGTGGTTGAATTAATGTGAACATATTGCCGTCTCTGATGCAGATCAGATTTTAGAAGATTTAAGAAAGAACTATGAAGGCCCAAAGAACAAGGTTTGAGGAGCAGAACACTGTGACTGATTTTATCAAATGCCTTAGAAAAATCAACATAGACAGCATCTACCTGACCCCGTTGTTCTATTGTTTCGCACAAATATTGGTCGAAGATTGCAAGGTTATTAATAGTTGATCGAGAACGTACAAAACCGGTCTGGTAAACTGAAATGTAATTTTTTGCACTTTCATAAAGACGGTCATGTAAAATAATTTCTAAGGGTTTCGCTTGATTGCAGAGAATAGAAATTGGTCGGTAGTTGCTTATAACATTTAACTGTTGCGACTTGTGTATAGGGCTTACCTTGGCAATCTTCCACACTTCAGGAAAAAGTTGATGTCTTGAGAATTCGGTTGAAAATAGCTTTAAGTGGGTGAAGTAGAACTATTATGCAATCTTTGAGAACAAATGTAGGGAATCTGATCATGACCTGTCGTTAGTTTATTTTTTAATTTCTGTCCTGCCTTCAATATATCTACCTCCGTTATTGACTCGACACTCGCATCCAATGTTTCAATGAGATCAGGAGTGAATGTTAGGTTCTCTTCGGCATCATTGTCATCCGACGTGAGGGTGCTCTCAAAAAAACTAAGAAAGGCATGGACTACAGCATATAAGCATAGAGCGTTTTCAAAATTGAATCATTTATTTTAACTGCTTGTATGACTCGTCAAAAGGAGTTGATATACCAAAAATCACATACGGGTAACAGGTAAATAGGTGTAAAACATTTTAGGAGGTGATAGTACAGCCCCTTTGCTATCGAAATTAGTATATAATACCATACTCTATATTCAAAGGTTGAAAAGTTATTGAAGATTGAAGATTTTTTTAAAAACAATCCATATTTCAGAGTAAAAAAAATCGAGAGAGAAAAAAGTTGGCGATTAAACATTTGTTTTTTGTGGTTTTGGGTTATTATTTCAATAATTAACTATTATAAATTAAAAAAGATTCGAAAACAATACCAAACAACGTATTTATTTTCATTCAAAAATGTTTAACTAAGAAAAACAAATAACGTTTTACAGTAAGTAAGGTGTTTTACAAAAAAATCAGTAAAATCGTTTCATAAGGAATCTAAATTGGTATGATAAGTGCACAAAAACTGTGTGAAACTAAACATAATGTATTGTAATACAACAATAGGGAGTAAATTTACCAATGGCTTGTCTCCTATTTTCACAACTCTCTGATTGATAAGAAAGTGTTTTGTGAAAATAATGTAACTGTAAGCTATGGGATAGTTATTATTTTAAACTACGGTTAAGTTACACGATTAGATTATTTACACAGTTGTAATTGTACTACAGAATAATAAAAACTGACTAAAAGTTACTACAATTTTTAAGTAAAATTCAATAATGAAATGAAGGTAAAATTCATTGCAATTGTTGTTCGAACTGACGCCCGCCGTTTCTTATGCAAGCCCGTAGTCTTTTTCTCATGTTGGTACGCGTGATGCGGCCAGTTAGTTGTCCTCTGATAGTGTCAGCTGCAGCAATAATTCTTTCTTTCAACTGTGCAAGAGTGTCTATGGGCTCAGTGACTTCATGTGCCCCCATAAATAATAGTCACACGGTGTTAAATCTGGGCTCCTCGCTGGCCACGGTGTCGGTCCACCTCGGCCAATCTAGCGACAAGGATATTTCTCATCCAGCCACTGTCTAACACCCAGACGGAAATGCGCGGGACAGCCATCGTCTTGGTAGATCATCTGCATCCTGGTATTCAGAGGCAGGTCTTCGAGATACTCCCAGAGTTCGGATCTCAAAAAGTTTTCATAGGATTCGCCATTCAGGCTGTCAGGCAAAAAATTGGTCCAATTAGATACTTATGAATGATTCCCATCCACACGTTTGCCGAAAATCTTCTTTGATGGGCTCTTGGCTTTGCCATGTGGGGATTTGCCTCTCGTGGGGCCCAATAATGTAAGTTGTGATAATTTGTTGTCCCCTCTCTGTCAAACTTAGACTCGTCGGTCCACAATATTTTAGTTAAATAGTCGTTTTCTTCTTGATCCCGATGAAGCATGTATCGACAAAAATCAATTCTTCTTGCGGGATCTCTTTCTTCTAATACTTGAACCGGTGTGTAATGGAAAGGGTAAAGTCTCGCCGAATGCAAAACGAACCAAACTTTCCACTGAGTTAAACCAAGCTGCTTTGCTATAACTCGTGTAGACGTCGTCGGGTCTCTGCCGTAGCATTCCAGTATTGCCTCTCGATCTTCGTCGTCAAACAACCGAGGTCTACCAGCATCATGACGTCTCTCATGAACCTGTCCACTTTCCTTGACGCGTTGGTACACAGAAGCAAATACTCGATGACTCGGTATTCGCCGATTCGGAAAACGGTTTTCGTATTCTCGCCTGGCTTCAACGGAATTTCCATCACTTAAACCATAACAAAACAGAATATCAGCGTATTCTTCGTTACGGTAACTCGCCATTATTAAAACTGATCAAAAAAGTAAAAGTACGTCCTACCGCGTTAAAGGTTGATATTCTACTAACTAACCAAAGCGTTAGTTCCCTTTCCTTGATCCGTCACCTGTCTCAATTCATAACACACGCAGAGCTTGCCTCCGAGGAGCGACGACAGATTCCGAATACTTAAACCCGAATAACGGCACAGGGCACAAAAAATAACAAAAAGGGTCGAACCATGAAGGCTCGGTTTACCTGTTCAGTACAATGAAATGCGCTTAGCGGTCCTTTCTAGCAAAGTAATATTGTTTTGTTAAATGGTTTACTTACTGATATGTTATTATACCATTTTAGAAACCTAATGAAACGAGGAAGTTTTTGCAGTTATTTGTACATTTTCTTTATTATGATTTTTTTGAAAAAAAAGACTTCTTAATGTGAAAGTTGAAAATAAAAATTTTCATTTAACATTTAAATGAAAATAAATACGTTTTCAGTAGTGTTTTCATATGTTTTTTAATTTATGAGAATTATTTATTTAAATAATAACCTGAAACCACCAAAAAAAGAATATTTAATCACCAACTTTTTTTTATCTCAACTATTTTACTCTGTAATCTGGGTTGTTTTTTAAAAAAAATTAAATCTTCCATAACTTTTTAACTTTTGAATATAGGGTATGGTATTATATACTAATTTTGATAGCAAAGGAGCTGTACTATCACCTCCTAAAATGTTTTACACCTATTTACCTGTCACCCTGTATATAAAAGTTGCATAATAAAAGAAATAGTAAAAGATTAAACATTTAAAAAATAAGGATGCTATTAAATATATTTTTTTGATATTCTTGACCACTGCCATGTAAAATCGTAGCGTTTTTTGCTTACTTCTCTTACCGTTTATCTAAATTTTATGGTTTTCAGTACGAGTTTTTGGTTTGATATTCATAATTAATGCAAATACACTACTCAACAAAAATTAAGGGAGCAAGAAAAAATCTAAATTTTTAGGTAATTTTTGACAGGTTGTATTCCACTGAAAACGGTCGTATCTAGACTTGAAAAAAAGCATTTTGAACATTTTGACAACAACACTGACCTCTTTTCCAGCAAAATACGAAGGTGTATCTATAGTGCAACCTGAAAATGCAATAAAGAGAGTAACGTCAGATTATGCCGAATTCACTATCCCTGGCGGCAAAAAAGGTGACGTAGACGACATGGAGCTGGTGAAGGTGAAGTCTCTCGATCCTACTGGTCAGCTGGTATTCAGGGACATCAAGGAGTTCAATAGGATACAGTCAGAAGTATTTCATGTAGCCTACCATTCCAATGAGAACATGTTGGTGTGTGCACCCACAGGTGCTGGCAAGACGAACATCGCGCTTTTGGCCATTGTCCATCAGATCAGAAGCCACATGGAAGGAAATCTCATCAGGAAAAATGATTTCAAGGTAATTGTGGCGCCACTAATTTGTCTCAAATCATATTCATTGAATCCTGCCATAATCACAGGTGTTCTGGAAAATATTGTGAATGGTGCGTGACGTAAATGACAGGTGCACCAGTACAGATTGAGAAAACCATTGAAAAAAGTATTATTTCGGGATTCCGTTTTCTGGGAAAGAATTTACATGACGAACTAGCTACTGAAACGTCAAAAAACGCAGTCTAAACGATTTCTATTTTTGTTTTTTTTTGTCCGTTTTTTCCGATGTCACAAAATCTACAGAGCTTTCCGCCCTTAGTAAGTAACCTTGTGTGAAAATTTAATACAAATCTAATAGTATTTTCCAACTTCAAACAGACAGACTGGCGGAAATGACAGCTTTTTGTGATCATATCAAAAAAAAATATCTCATTTTTGAAATTTTTTACAATACTCCTTTGCCAGTGTGGCCTGCGAAGTAAAATGAATCGATTATTATTTTCTCTAGTTTTCATAAAGCGATTAAAATTAATGTGTTTTTCTTACAGATCATTTATGTTTGTCCCATGAAGGCATTAGCCACAGAAATGGTAAGCAATTTCTCAAAAAAACTGGCTCCAATCGGTATTTCAGTAAAAGAATGCACTGGAGATATGCAACTAACTAAAAAAGAGATTGCAGAGACGCAAATGTTGGTGACTACTCCTGAAAAATGGGACGTCATCACAAGGAAGGGCGCTGGTAAGTCAGTAATGGGGGGTGATCTGGAAAGCTAGAAGTAGATGGCGCTAGTTCGGTTGGGGGTAATGTCTCAAAGGTTGTAAACAGACAACGATGCCAATTTCTTTGTTTGTTTCAGATTTATTTAGCATTGATGCTACAATATCCATAATATCCATATTACACAGTATATCACAAAATATATTACTACATATTTTTATACAAAATTTCACTACTATGAATTCTGGTTTTCCATGAGATATTTTTTCAATTTCCCTTTGAACATTTTCAAACTGACACACATCTTAATATCAATACTTAATTTGTTAAATTCGTACAACCCCTTTTGAAATACTGACTTGCTCGTTATATTGCTATTGCAGTTTTGTAAATGAAAGTCTATACTTCCTCTAGTAGAATAATTGTGGCACTCATTGTTCAATACAATAAAATTTTCTAAGTGATTTGGTAGAAGATGATGTTTCAACTTGAATATGAAAATGAAAACCAACTAAGCTATGGAATTTTTGATATTTAACCATTGTAGTTCTTTCAGCATAAAATTTATTCTAGTATATCTATTTTTATTTAAGGTGATTCTCATAGCTTTATTTTGTAATTTTGAAAATACAGTTCCATTTGCAGTGAACAAAATAGTCGAACAATATAACAAATGAGGAAGAATGATAGTGTTGTACACAATTTTTTTAGAATAAACGCTTAGGCTATGCGAAATTCTGTAAAAGTAATTTATTTTCTTGGATATTTTTGAAATAATATACTCATATAGTGCCCTCCAAATTTTAATTTACTGTCTACGTATATGCCCAAATATTTAAATGATTCGATTGACACAATTTTTTCATGATTAATTGTAAGATTTATCGTATTTTGATCTAAAGATTTTCCTATTTACATTTAACCAATTTATTACGTTCTTCATATCATTATTTAACAGCTCTATTGCAGTTTCAATGTCAGAAACATTTGCATGAGAATACAACGTGCAGTGGAATAGTATTGGCGCTGAGCACTACTGAGTTACTCCTTACTCAGAGTACCTCAACAGGGTCACTGAAAAGCAGCTCTGGTTTCCTTAGTCGTCATCAACCAGTTTTATTGTTCTAAGAATTTCCGGTCTCACAATTCCTTTTATTTTAGTCATTTTTAGAAATCCGCAAAACTTCTAGTTGTACAATCTAAGGGTGCCGCCGTCAAATTGTTGAGATTCAAAATTCCCGCATCTAAAAAAAAAATTCTCATACAGATCATAGATACACAGGGGATTTTGAAAATTTTCGCGTACGAACGATTAATGAACAATTATAATAGGACTTCCCAGAGTTGATTGATTTAAACCATGATTTAAATCTGATTTATACAGGGTGTTCTTTAATGATATGCGAATATTTAAGGGTGTGAATCTACATGAAAAATTAATGTTAGTTTGCTTTATAAACTATGGTCCAAAAATGTTTCCTTGCAAAAAGAGTGTTGAAGTTTTAGGGATAAAAATGGAAATTGATTAATATTTTCAGAACCGCTTCAGATATTTATCTGATATTTAGTAAATTGTGAAAGTTAATAAAGTTGCATATTTTTCAATGCACAAATAATTTTTAGCTTTAACAGTGGCGTGCGTACGGGTATTGACTTCGATATTTTTTAAGAAAAAAATGGTACGCCAATGGTTTTTTGGCAAATAAAAATTATTTTTGAATTCCCCGGTCTAACTTGCAAAATTATTATTAATTTAATTGGAAAAATTAAACACATTAGGAGTAATGAACAACAACAACTGACAACATAGACATAACACTAAAACCAACGAAATGGTTACAAAAATTGTTGAAAATGGCCCCCTTCACTTTGTATGCATGCTTCCGCCCTCCTTCTCATGGAATTTCGCACTCGTTGAAATATCCCAGGAGTGTTTTTTTTATTCTATTACAAGCTGCAACTATTCTTTCTCTTAATTCCTCTACAGTGTTAAAGGGACTTGTGTACACTAGCGCCTCACGATAGCCCCACAAAAAGAAATCTGAACAGTTGAGGTCTGGGGACCTTGGTGGCCATTCTTGGGGCCCAGCGCGGCCAATCCAACGATTTGGATAAACAGTTTGTAAATAATTACGAACCGCTACACTGAAATGCGCTGCTGCTCCATCATGCATGTACCACATATTGTTTCTTATTACTAATGGAACATCCTCAAGCAGCAAAGGCAACTGTTGTTGAAGAAAATTGAGTCTGTCCGTCAAGTCGTCCCGGCAAGAAGAATGGGCCAATAAAGAGGGTGCCAATAATTCCTGCCCATACGTTAACAAAAAATCGGTGTTGGAAATGGCTTTCGGTTACGGCATAGGGATTTTCGTCTGTCGACAAATGATTATTGTGGAAATTCTGAATGGCATTTCGAGAAAAATTAGCTTCGTCCGTGAACAGAATCATTGATTCAAATTGCGGATTTTGTGTAATTTTTTGAAGATACCACTGACAAAAGGTCACACGCCTTGGAAAATCAATGGGAAGTAATGTCTGTACTCCCAAAATATGGTAAGGATGTAACAACAAATCCACTAAAATTCTCGAAACAATTTGATGGCAAATATTTAAGTGTCTAGCGATCTTCCTCGTACTCGTTTCAGGATGTTTTTCGACTTCGTGCAGAACTGCTTCCTCAATCTCAGGTGTTCTCACACTTAGAGGTCTGCCTTCAGATGTTCCTTTTCGGACAGAACCAGTTTCAACAAGACGTCGATGAATATTAGAAAAGGTTCGACTATCTGGCAACGCACGATCGGGATATCTCTGGTGATAAATCCGTCTGGCTTGCTCACCATTACCGTCGGCAAGGCCATATCCGTATTTCATTTCCGCCATTTCTGCATTTAAATAATTCACCATTATTAACAAGATTGTGAAAACCAAATAATAAAAAAGATGTCACAGCGAACAGATTTCAATAACAGAGACTTGTCAGATGTCAAAAGCCAGTGACATATTCCAGAGCAACTAGATATTTCTTGCTAAATTGCATTCTTCAATTATTACATTAATTTTCTCGGACAATAGAACGGTTTTTATTATTTAATCAAAAATGGCGCATCGAAGGAAAACAATTCAGGAGAGATCTTTTTTTTTCTAATTGAACGGGGAATCCAAAAATAATTTTTATTTGGCAAAAAACCGATGGCGTACCATTTTTTTCTTAAAAAATATCGAAGTCAATAACTTTATTAACTTTCACTACGTACTAAATATCAGTGAAATATCTGAAGCGGTTCTGAAAATATTAATTAATTTCCAGTTTTTTCCTAAAACTTCAGTTTTTGTAAGGAAACATTTTTGGACCATAGTTTATAAAGCAAATCAAAATTAATTTTTCATGTAGATTCATACCCTTATATATTCGCACATCATTAAGGAACACCTTGTATAATAGTAACAAGCTTTGGTTCGCTTCTTTTATAAATATTTTTTTTTGAGTAAGGTGAGGTACTAGGCTTTGAAATCACGGAATCGAAATGGTGGAGTGTTACTATGAGGTATTTTTCAACTCTGCCAAAAATTAAATGTACAGTTATGAATAAATTCTATAATAAATATCAAGTGATTTTTTGATAAAAATCTCTAATTAAATCAACTTGATTTTTGTTTTCGGATATGAGCGCCAAAAAATCGTTAACTGACGGACGGACTGATTTGAGACAGTAAGTTGATCGCTTTGCACCGTTTGGTGGGGGCTGTCCTCAAAGTTTAATCTACACATCGTGTTTACCCAGATGCCACCCTTTAGTTTAGCTCACAGATGCAAAGGGGTTTTTGAATTTTCTAGCAAGAAAACTCAATACAAATTATAGGGCTTCGTAGTTATTATAAGCAAAGAAAAGTTTGTGCACGCGGGTAATTTGAGGCGTTGAATTCGAACATCGTGATATGAAGCTAGGGACTACACTTCTTCTACCATACTAATATTGTATACATTCCTATGCTTAATGTAATGTATGTGCAAACATGGGGATTTTTTCGATGCTTGCTGCGTTCTATGTTCATCAATTACAATGATATTTTTAGTCGATACCGAGGTTGTCAGTTTGGTGAAGCTCCTAATCATCGACGAAGTTCATTTACTAAATGGCAGCAGAGGTCCCGTTATCGAAGCCTTGGTCGCTAGAACATTGCGTCAAGTCGTCAGCAGTCAGAGCATGATTAGAATCGTTGCTTTATCGGCAACACTGCCTGGCTACCTCGACGTTGCCAGCTTTCTCAAGGTGAATAGTCGCTCAGGACTGTTCTTCTTCGACAACAGATTCCGGTAAGTCATCGTTTCGTTCTTTCAATTCACAGCGCGCTTAAATATTTGGAAGTTGTTCAACTTATTGCACATTAATGAGACTTTTGCGAATTGAACACCGTTTTCAAAGGTTTTTTCAAAAACTACACACTACTCTTTTTACCATTAGGTCAGTGCCGCTGACGACTAGTTTTATTGGCTGCAAGAAAAAGAACGAAACCGAGACCATGGACATGGTGTGTTACGAGAAAGTGGTGAATTTCGTGAAAGATGGTCACCAAGCAATGGTCTTCGTGACTTCTAGAAATGCCACAGCCTCAGTGGCGAAGAAGTTGATCGAAATTGCTCAAGTGAAAGGGACTTTGCGCCTGTTTGAACCAGAAAAGAACGTCAAAATCGCCAGATCGGGATATAAGAGTGCTGATCTCAACTATTTAATTCAGATGGGGTTTGGAATACATCATGCAGGTATGAGACAACAGAAGTAAAACAAATTGTGGTCATATTTATATAGCGCTTTGAAGAAAAGCATCAATTTAGCAAAAACGTCAAGTAAACTTTGTTTTATCAATATGTGTGTTTTTACTTCCCACGCCTTCTGGTGAGGAAGTTTTGTAATCGAGAAATATAAATAATATTAAAAATTATATATTATAAATAAAATAAGATATTGTTTTTATGGATGTTATATGGCTTGTACATCACGAAAAACCATGTCACTCATTTCCGTCAGTCTGTCCGCTGATCCTTACACCTTGTTTTAATTTTAAAGTACCGGTTGGATTTTGATGAAAGTTTCACGCAAAGTTACTACTCTGTCAAGGATGAAAGGCTTTATAGTTTTTGAAAATCAGTCTAGTGGCGGTGGAGACAAAATGCCAAAAATGAAAAAAAAATCGCTCAAACTACGTTTTTTTTTTATATATCGAAGGAGTCGCGCAGGCATAAGCCTAAATGCCGGAACACCGCGACTGCTATGATGATCCCAAAGAAATTTTGTTAATACGATTTTTGAACTGCCTAAGGTTAGTAGAACTGGTTAGTAGATTGTTCCACAATCTCGACACCCTCGGGACAAAGGAGCGGTCGTATCGGCCAGTTTTAGATGTACGAAGTTCTACACGGTTAGGATGGGACCCCAAAGTCACGCGGGTCTGTCTGGCAGGCACATCGCGCCGCGGCATCATGGAAGAGAGCTCTGAGGAGCAAAGTTTGTTGGTGTAGCGGTAGAAAAGAGCTAGATCGCCGACGGCCCGCCGGTGCGAAAGAGTCCCGAAACTGTCTGTTAGAGAAGAGTCATCGATCAGTCGGACCGCCCTCCTCTGGACCGCATCGAGCATAAATAATGTAGTCGGGGCGGCAGCACCCCTAACATGTGAGCAATACTCGAGGCTATGCCTTATCTGGGCCTTATATAGTGTGAGAAGATCATGCGGAGAAAAGTACTTCTTAGCCCTAAACAAATAGCCTAGCTTTTTCCCAGCAGCTGCCGCTATTGACGAGATGTGTTCGTGCCAGATCAGGTCCTCGGTGATGACTCCGACTAGCCGAAATGAATGGCTCTTTGGCAGAACTCGGCCATCCATCGACACCCGATGAGCGCTATTACGCTTTTTGTTCGTAAAAGTACAGTACTGTGTTTTGGAAGCATTAAACTGTACAAGATTGTTGCGTCCCCAAGCAATGATAGCCTCCAAGTCTCTTGTCAGAGAGCAAGTCGTCTCTAGTCTTCTTTCTTCCAGCTCAGCGGCAGAGATCGGTCATTCTGAATTCCTGCATGTAGAGTGCTGTCATCAGCGAAGCTGTGGATTGGGTTGATCGTGCAGGAAAGGAATTCGTTGATATGTAAGAGGAACATACCGATCCCTGGGGAACACCCGCGTTGACGTTGTGGGATGAAGAGGAGAACCCGTCAATTACGATGGATATCTTGCGGCCAGAGATAAAGTCAGCCACCCATCTGCAAAGCTTTTCTGGGAGGCCATAGGATGGAAGTTTGCTTAAGAGGGCAACGTGCCACAGCTGACCGAACGCTTTCGTGATGTCAAAAGCAACGACATGAGCGTCACCATAAGACTGGATGAGTTTACTCCACATTTGCCGGATGTAGGCTAGGAGGTCCCCTGTGGATCGTTGGTGCCGGAAACCATACTGCCTGTCGCTAATCAAGCTGTCACGTTCGAGGTAGTCGAGAAGTTCGCGATTTAAGCACCTCTCCATCACCTTACTTATAATAGAAAGCAGATCTATAGGCCTGTAGTTGTAGGGTCGGTCTTAGTTCCTTTTTTTGGGATATGAGCAAATTTCCAGTTTTCTGGGAAGGTGCTGGATTCATAAGATATCTGGAACAGACGCGAAAGAACTGGAGCAAGCTCCGCTGCACACTTCTTCAGTACAATGGCAGGAATTAAGTCCGAACCAGAAGCTTTGTTGATGTCGAGCGACAAAAGCACTGGTCGTACGGTCTTGTGCCTGAATGTTACCTTCCGCATAGTGTAGGGAACCCTTTAAATTGACGGCACTTGGGCATTGGAGGACGTCCATGGTGGAGTTGGCAGCAAAGATCTTGGCAAGCACTATACCTCATTGGCCTTTGAGTCGGATACAATCGTTCCATCCTGATACGTAAGCGGTGGAAGGCTACTGTGTGAGAAGTTATTTTCAGTCTGCGTGGCCAGCGTCTAGAAAGACCGACTGCCATTGCGCTGCGACATTACCCTGTGCCTAACTTTTATATCGTGCTGGTTTTTGGCATTGTGAACCGCTTCGTTATATTTATTTCTGGACTCGACGTCGGCTTGTCTGTTCTCTACAGTGGGGTGTTGTGAGAAGGTTCTGTGTGCCTTGATCTTCTGCTGGCGAGCAGTATTACACGATTTGTTAAACCAGCCGTTGGACCCTGGTTTAGGCACTTTCACTGGGTGAGGGATGAATTCCTCCATTCCGACGTGGATAATTTTAGTTATCGAAGAATATACAGCGGACGCATCCGCGTCGCTTGATGTTTTAGAAGATCGTGATTATTTTTGAAAATTTGGGGGGTGGAGACGAGGTGGAGGGTGTATCACAAGTTTTGTATGTTAGTATATTAATACACTTCCAACCAAGATACTTCTACGCGCCTATTAGACATATTTCACACATCATACGTTGCTCCGTACATTTGCCTATGAAACTTGTTACAAATGTTTTCGACAAGCGTTCCTGAGTCTGCTGACTTTCGGTGTTCGCATGTGTCTTGCATGACTGTGCACTGTGGGCGCTGTGCCGCGTCTGACGGATCATGCCTTCAGATATTGAGGAGAGGCGGCGCGACGTTGTTAGATAAGGGCAGGGAAAGAATGTCTATGGAGTAGTTGTACGGACCTGTTTGACGGATTTGATCTGTTTAATATGTTCGTAACTAACTTTTTTCTTATAGTCTAATTTAAACATACTGCTTTGGCCCGTCTAACCAAAGAGAGCAACCACAGATAGCTGTTTTCTGCTTTTTTGACAACTCAGCATGGTCTAGGCTTGGTCTCTGGGAGAAGGAATTAAAGCATAGCAGCTATTATTTACCCATGATATCAGATCTGCGGCATAATCCTTTATAAACTGATGACGGCGTTGCGTGGGATGTGTAGAGTTAACCTACTTGACGCCATTTTAATAGCGTATTTACATTTCGTAAATTATTTTAGGAATGGTTAGACAGGACCGACTGGAAGTAGAAAGATTATTCAGAGTAGGAGAACTCAAAGTTATTGTCTGTACAACCACTTTGGCTTGGGGTGTAAACTTGCCAGCACATGGAGTCATAATTAGGGTGAGATGATAAAACATGTTGCCATTCAGAAAGATAAAAAATAATCCGACTTGGTTTATGAGCGTATCAAAACAGTAATTCTCATATAAGTAATCATTCACCGTTTTTCTTACAATATCCTGAGTATTGTTGAGATATTCAAATGTCATTTAATAACAATTCTGTGAAACTTTGCAAGGCTAAAAATATCATTGTGGTATTTTATTCTAGGGTACTCAACATTATGATGCCACAAAGTCCACATTTGTTGATATGGATATGCTTGACGTGCAGCAGATATTCGGAAGAGCTGGTAGACCTCAATATGACACATCGGGCCATGGAATTATAATCACTTCCATGGTGAACATGTCAAAGTATATGGGACTTATGACGTCTCAGGTACCCATAGAAAGTCAGTTCTTAAATTGTATACCAGACAACCTGAACGCTGAGGTAAATAGTTTCTTAATTAATTTTTAGTACATTTCTTGATCATACTTTTGTATTGTGATTTATTTCAGATTGTACTTGGAACTGTTTCTAATATTAAAGAAGCAATGGAATGGCTTGCGAATACATTTTTGTATGTAAGAATCCAGAAAAATCCCCTGGTTTATGGATTGACGTACAATGAACTTTGGGTAAGCTAATAATTTTTAAAGGATTAAGAAATGCTATACTCTTACTTCCCACGCCACACTGACGAGGAAGTATGATAACGGCGAACAATTTCGAAAATGAGATATATTTTTGGATATTATACAGGGTGGCCGATATGTAACTGACTGGTTTGTATGTTGAATACTTGTGAAATAAAATAAAATACGTCCGTTTTTTTCATCTTAACCTTTTATTGAAACTTAGAAATTATGTATGCAAAATAATAACAGAAAAATGTCCGTCTCTAGAAGCCGTGCAAACCTGAGCCCTCTTGATTACACTTTACATCACTTTTTAATAGGTTTCGGGAGGAATATTTCCAATGGCTTCCTTAATATTGTTCTTCAGCTGCTCTACAGTATTTGGTTTGTTGGCATAAGCCCAATTTTTCAAAAATCCCCATAAAAAAGTCAGGAGCCGTTAAATCCGGTGACCTTGGTGGCCAGTTAACATCACTAAATCGAGAAATTAAACGTCCCGGAAATATTGTTCGCAAAAGATGCATTGTTTCCCTGGCTGTGTGACAAGTTGCTCCGTCCTGCTGGAACCTCATGTTTTGCAGGTTAAATTGTTGGACTTGAGGAGCCAGACTGTTTTGCACCATATCATGGTAGCGCACGCCAGTCACAGATAATTACCTGCAGCGTCTTCAAAGAAGTAAGCCAATGACACGTCTGTACCAAACACCACATCAAACTATGACTCGACGAGGATGTAGTGGTCGTTGATGGATGACACGAGGGTTCTCTAATGCCGAGATACGACAATTCTGCTTATTAACAAAGCCGTTCATATCGGAGTGCGCTTCGACGCTCATTATCAGTGGTCGATAAAAATCGTTATTTTGGGTATTAAGCTGCAATATTGCATGACTGTATTGTTTTCGACTTTCATGGTCACTGGGCAGTAGTTCTGGAGTTAACTGAATTTTGTATGGCCGCAAATGCAAGTCTTTTTTAAAAATAGTGCATAATGACGTGCGACGAATACCCAGTTCTTGAGAACGATGTCTGGTAGATGTCTCAGGGCGCTCCACTACACTTCGAGAGTACTGCTCGGATTTGGATGAAATTTTCGCACTAGGTTACTATTATGCCAAGGACGAAAAAAGTGTAGAATTTGAAAATTGGTCCAGTGGCGGCGGAGAAAAAGGCAAAAAATGAAAAAAATAGAAATCACTTTACGTAGTCATGCCATAAGTTCTGTCCCTCGTTTTCAAACAAGTGTAGACCTGTTAATACTTGTCCGATTGTTTACATTGTGGTGTCAGTTGATTAAGCGCTTTTCGGGTAATTACATATAGCTCAGTTTGTATTGATCTCTCGAAGCATAACGATGGAGTGGGGCAAGGCAGAGAACCGTATTGCAGTGATAGCTTTACATAAGTGTAATCACAGTGCTAGTCAGATTTTTGAACTCTTACGCGGCCTTCAAATATCGCGTAAATTTGTATCTAGGACCATTCAGCGGTACAATGAGACGTCCTCTGTTGATGACAGGCCAAGAAGCGGAAGACCTCGTCAAGTAAGGACTCCAGCAGCCATCAAAGCCGTAAAAGCCAGGATTCAAAGGAATCCACTCCGGAAGCAGAAGATCCTATCCAGGGAAATGAAGATTCCTGTCCGGACGATGTCGCGCATCATTAAACAAGACCTAGGGCTAGGGGCTTACCGGAGACGTACGGGCCAGCGACTTACGGCCACCTTGCGACACATCAGGGCGACAAGATCCAAGAAGCTCTTGGAGAGGTACGCAGCTGGGGGATTCCGAAAGATTTTGTTCACGGATGAGAAAATCTTCACCATAGAAGAAAAATTCAACCGACAAAATGACAAAGTGTATGCAAGGAGTTCACAGGAAGCTTCGGAGATCATTCCGAGAGTTGAGAGAGGCCACCACCCTGCGTCAGTCATGGTTTGGTGGGGGGTGTCCTACGAAGGGGTCACTCAGCTCCATTTCTGTAAACAGGGCGTGAAAACAAAAGCGACAAACTATCAGAGCGACATACTGGATCCTATCGTCAAGCCTTTAAGTGGTACATTGTTTGCCAACCAACACTGGGTCTACCAGCAGGATTCCGCCCCCGCTCACAAGGCTAAGAGTACGCAGCGCTGGCTGGAAAGCAATGTGCCAGAGTTCATTGCTGCGGAAGATTGGCCCTCAGGGAGTCCGGACCTCAATCCTTTAGACTACAAGTTGTGGGACCTGCTAGAGCAGTTGGCCTGCTCCAAAGCCCACCGTAATATCGAGTCCCTGAAAGCGGATTTGATCCGATCAGCGGCAGCTATTCCTTTGGAAGCTGTGCGTGCAGTGATAGATGAGTGGCCCGCGAGATTGAAGCAGTGTGTGAAGGCCAAGGGGGGACATTTTGAATAAAACTGTTTGATTATGAATTCTAAAAATGTTGTCGAATAAATAATATCTTTCATATAAATATATCTTATCTTGTTTCATTTTTATCATGAGATTATCATGGGACAGAACTTATGGCACAACTACGTACTTCGTTTTTGACGTTTCAGTGGGGGTGGGGGACGGTGATTTTTTATGTTGCCCTTAAAACTTATTAACAAAAATATTTTCAGGAGAAGGATCGCCTATCGGTCGCACATGTCGTGCGCCACGAGGTTCTTTATACATATGAGCGCTATGCTTGTAATTCATTGAGGTTATTTATCTGATTTCGTGACGTAATATTTTATAGTATAGTACGTATATGACTATGTATCAAGATCTATTTAATCTGTTATTAAACATTGTTGACAAGCAGTTTTACACGCGGGCTCCAAAGAAATGCGATTTCCATATACAGACATGCTCATTGCTGCAATCTGAGGAATTTTATGAAAAGCCTAAATGGTACATTGCTGGTTCTGACAAAACCTACGTCTTTTAGATGTCACTGCACTACATTGGAAATTGTACCAGAACTTTTTTCGAAGGCGTGAGAAGTATAGAGCCAATCTTTTTGACGTCATTTCTTGTTTTTTCAGGACTCTAGCAATTTCAACAGATTTTTGCAAAAACAACTAGATGATGCATCCCAGATATTGGAACAGTCTCAAATGATTCGATTCGATACAAGCTTAGGGGAGCTCAGGCCTACGAATTTTGGCAGGATCGCAAGTTTCTACTATATTTCATACAGAACCATGGCTCTATTTTATGAGAAGTTTGACAGATATATATCCGAAGCTGGGTTATTGCAACTGATAGCGGAAGCTGCAGAATTCGACCAAATACAGGTATCCTAATGAGAAGAAAATGAAAAATAGATCTTCATTCAATTCAATTTCAGGTTAGGATGGATGAAATACACGAGCTAGATCGTCTGCGAGAATATAACGAATATGATGTCAGTTTGGATTTCACTAACCGAGTGTCCAAGGTTATCATCCTGATACAAGCATACATTGGCAGAGCTCTTATCAGGGTATCGTCTCTGATATCTGACACCCTGTTTATCATGCAGGTAAGTGGTATGTTAGGATATGTATTTATTTTTATCGTTTATCGTTTTCTGTAGTTTTAATTAGATTTTATAATATTTTTTATCAATATTTATTTTAGAGCTACAAAAAAGTGAAGAATCGTTTATTTGTTTATTTTTTATCAAATTATCCTTTTACACATTTTTTTAATCAATTTTCTGTAATTTTACATTCTTATCTATTAAAATACTTCACTATTTGGGTATTCATGAAGTAATATTTAATTTCACCTGGAACATTTTTAAATTCAAACACTGTTTAATAAAGGGTGTCCGTGGGAAAGTTCACTTTTTGATTTAAGAAAAAAAATACAAACTTAATGAAAAGAAAATATTTATTACTATCAACATATTCGTGAATTTGGCGGGTTTTATTTCTTAAGTATCATTCCGTCCAAATATTTGCTGTCCCTTCGGACACATTCTTCTAATCGCGCGCGCAAATTCTGAAACACTTGTAGAATTCCGGAGTGATGTTTATTTCTCGTGGAATGTTATCTTTAAGCTCCTCCAGTGTTCGCGGATTATTGGAATACACTTTTGACTTTAGATAACCCCACAAAAAATAATCGCATGGCGTGTCCCAACTAGCAAAGTAGTGGTATAAGCTTTTGGTAAAAGAACCGTTCAGCCATAAAAGCTCTCTATTGTTGTTGCCTGAACACCAAAATGCTGGCTTCATGTTGTGTGGAATGCAAATTTGCTTTCTGCAACATATTAGCTCTAAAATGAGGTCTTTAAAATATTCTTATAGCATAGTTATACAACACCTTATAGGGCAAATTTTTAACTGTTGCATAAACGTTTATACAACTATTTTATACGGCATATTTGCAAGTTAGTCAAAATGGTTGTGTTGTGGCATCCATGGTAACGTTTATAAAACAAACCCGAGCCTTGTTGTTTTGCTTTCCTTTAAAGCATCGACTATATATAAGGATGAAATTCCATTTTTTTCGTCATTATGCCAAGCAGTGTTGACTAAGGGATCCCCAAAGCAGCGGAATGCTTCCGTTCAGAACGCCGACGGTTTGCAATGACCCACTTACTCGACGCACATATTCTTCGGTTGATACAGTAGGTGTGGGGCCAGGAATGGGTTGACTAAGTGTAGAGCCTGTTTTACGGAACCTCTTAACCCACTTTTTCAATAGGTTCTTACTTGGGGCATGTGTTGTCGGCTGCTGCGTATGAATCACCACTCTTAAAGTAAGCCTCGATAGCAAAAGCACGTTGCGCTCCGGTCCAACGTTCCATTGTGACTATTTAACCCGCACACCGAACGCGTCGTTCACGACATTTCCCCACTGGACCCTGTATTATTATTCATTTCATTAAATTTAAATACTCCGTTTTCAAATACATATTTTCTAGTTATGCTGGTATTACAGTTTTGCAGATGAAAATCTATACTGCCTCTGGTTTCGTAGTTATGTTAATGACTATTTAATTTTGTTTTATAAATGTGGTGGTAATAATTTATTACTAATAAATAATGTTTTTAATTTGAATGTGAAAATGAGAACAAAATAACATTATAACATTTTTTTACATTCAACCACGGCAGTTCTTCTAACATAGACTAAATGATTCTCATTGCTTTATTTTGTAGAATATGTAATTTTGAGTACATATATGTTTTCATTTTATGTAAACAAAATAATTGAGCAATATAAAATATGGGGAAGAATTATGATGTTATAGACATTTTTCTTGCACCCCTTACAGAGATTATGAAAAACTCTATAGAAATAATTTAACTTTTTTCGATATTTTTGAAATGTAATCATAGTTTATTTATATACTGTTTCAATCCAATTATTTTAGACTGTTGTGAGACTAGCAAGAGCCTTATTTGAGATAGCAAAGGACAAAGACTATGCCCTCCAAGTATCTAGAACCCTGACAATCGCTCAAATGTTAGAACAACAGTTGTGGCCCGACTCTCACCCATTGTTGCAATTCAAAGAGTTGGTTCCTCACTTGAGTACACACAGGGCATCAGAAATCATGAACATACCCATTGAGGATATGAAGGAACTCTCAGAAGGGGAATTGGTCGCCATGTTCCGCAGCAAACATGTCGGGGCTAGAGTCAGACATTTTTGTCAGATTTTTCCACATATAGAGGTTGATGTTATTGTCAAACCGATCACTGAAGGTGTCATCAGGTATGTAAAACTGTATATTGTTGGTACACTACAAATAATACTATCTTAACTACTGTCTAATTCCACCTGTGGCAACGCCATCCGAATAAAACAATTCCATACAAAGCCACCATAAGTGATAGTTTGTTTTCAGGAAACTCTATTTGCTTTCAGTTACTTCTGAATTTTGAAAAAACTTTTTGTAGTTATTCTGAAATCCTCGAAACGCACAAATTTTATTTTTGTTAGCCCTGATTTTGAGAATCCGAAAAACGGCAAAAAATGTCTGCTCGAGATTAAAAAAATATACTGGGTGTCCAAGAAGTCGACGTCAAGCTGGAAACAGGATATAGAACAAGTCATAATAGTTATCAGAAAAATATAAAATAATTGGGACCTAACAGATCATCACACTGTGTAGATTTTTTCGATTTTTGTTTTAAAGTCTATAATTTGAAGAGTAAGTACACGACTCAGATTTTTTTTATATTCTTCTGAAAACTACATTGACTTGGCCTATTCTCCGTTTCCAGCTTGACGTCGATTACTGGGATAACACGTAAAAAATGCTAGTTTTCTATCAAAAACTTACTACGCTTACTATACAAATTTCCAATAATTTCAAGTTACCTGTATAAAACGCTGTATAAAAACGACAGGTCAACACAGCCGGAAAACTTTTAACTTTCAAGGTAACACCAATTCTGAGCATCAAATTATTGACCTTTTATACATTAAAAAATAGATTTTGTGTTAACGTGCAGCATTACCTCCGCAAATGGTTTGAACTACATACTTACGCATATCTTCTGTATTTTCAGGGTAAGGTTACTTATGCATCCTAAATTCAAATGGGACCATAGCGTTTGTGGATCAGTTCAGCATTACTATGCATGGGTTGAAGATCCTCAACATGATAGTATATATCACATGGAATCGTTTGTTGTCACAAAGAAGATGTGCGTAAATGAAGAACCAATTGAGTTGGTGTTCACTGTGCCACTTGCCAAACCTTTGTCTTTGGAGTATTTTGTGAGAGTTGTCAACAGCCAGTTCATGCGTAAGTATTGAATCTTCCGTCACACTATTTTACTTGGGTCAATAGTCAAGTGCATTGTAGAATTTCTGGGCAGCTATATACGTTACTGACTGTTTTCTCCTAAAACAACTAGCAACTGCAACCCGATCTCAACCCGACTTGGCACATGTACAGGTATTCATATACGAGTATATACTTAATGACATAGAATAATACCGACCAGGAGTGCTGTAATTTTGAGCATACTTTTACAAGTCTTAGATCTACTGATAAATAGAAAGTGATCAAAATTTTAATTCGAAATTTCGCAAAACTGCCGAGATATCGCACCTTAATGTTGATAATGCGTTGAAGCTCCTTTGTTCGCTACTTTGTTTAAATGAGACACATGGGATGCAGTCAAAGAACATAGCATAAGTTTACACAAAATTAAATCCTGGTTGGACTATCACAAATTAACATTAAATTCAAACAAAATACATTGTATAGCATTTTCTGCAGCCGATGCTAATCGACTTGATTTGGGTAAAATTTCTATTCCGAACTTTGGAAAAGATATTTTATAGGTTTCCATTATGAGCTATTTAGCGATAATATTAGATAATAGACAAACATTTGAAGTTGAAAGATCGTGTCATTGAATAAAAAAATAATATTCGTAATTTAATTCATAAATTCGATCTTTTGCGGGATAGGATACCAACAAATTTGTTGTTGATGGTATACAAGGTGTAAACGTTATGGTAGTTATTATTGAAATAAGTAATAGGGGGCGGTCAAAACAATTCAAAAAGTGCATATGACCCATGGTCCAAAATAGATTTTTGTCTAAATGGCTTTATAGTTTACAGCTTTAAGTGCTTTATATCGACCACAATCACCATAATCTTACTAATTTTTATAATCTAATCTAAAACGTTTTTAAATTGGGTAATTAACAAATAAATGGCATTAAGTTTTTCTAAGTTAAGCCAAAATTTGTAGTTAATAAGTAAGTAAGTAAGGAGGACGACATTTTGAACACCTTCTTTAAATAAAAAAAGTGCAGGGTGGGTTTTAAAAAGAAAAACAATGTATGTATCAAAATTGTGTTCGCTTTCTTTTAGTTGTTTGCATTTTTCGAGTACATTATCAAATAATGAAATAATACCTAAGAGCCAAAAATAAAAAACTCCCGCTTTATTTACACTGCGTTCCGTCGTAATTTGCATCTGGTATTGAGGCGTTATCAGATTTTATTTTACTTTAAAGTCGCTTTTCTCTAATAAAATGCCGTTTTGACCCCCATGTTATATGAAACTTTTTGCTTTTTAACCTCCTCTATCACCCATTTGAATAATGACTATCATAACGTTTACAGCCTGTATAATATAATCGTTAATTCGATAGGGAGTTCTAGTGGAGGCTGGTCTGTATACTTATGTTTTCTATTAATTGAATATTACTCAAAACTATATTTTGAAAATAATTTATTTTTTTTATACCGAAGCAGCCATGAAGGCATAAGCCTAAATGCCAGGCTGCAATGAGTATCCCAAAGAAATTTTGTTAATCCGATTTTCGAACCGCCTAAGGTTAGTAGAACTGGGAAAAGCTTCGTCTTGTAGATTGTTCCACAATCTCGGCACCCTCGAGACAAAGGAGCAGTCGTATCAGCCAGTCCTGGATGTACGAAGTTCGACACTGTTAGAATTGAAGGCCGAAATTCCGTTAATCCGTTTGGACTGTATTCCATGGAATTTAAGCTCCGCACATGGTACAGTTAGTCAATTCGTTTACTTATTTCGTGTGACGTCGTGACGTATCTGCAAAAACCGTGATGATAAGCGGCTTCATATCTACAACCTCAAGACAAGGCTACCAGTTTGACGGATACTTCAGTGGTAACCCAAACGAAACCCAATTGAAGTTGAAATCGAGTTGCCATTGGGTAACATTTTTGTAAGAACAGTGACTAAGGGCAAGACACGGTGGAGTAGTTCACCTAGACATACTTCTTTCCGCCAGACTTATCATTCACCAACGATAGATGTCTGTGTCACTTTAAATGAGGATGTCATATCTACCATGTGAACTGCTATACTATATTTGTGCTTTTGGAGAGTTGTCAAAATGATCAGAGAAAGATACTTCACTACAAACTCTTTAATAATTATATGTTTTCAGAGTCTGAAACAGTCGAAGTAATAAACCTGGAGGATCTCAAACTGTTTACAACTGACTCATTCCAAACTAAAATATTAGATGTGCGACCACTACCTAAGACAGTTCTACAAAACAAGGAATTTGAAGACCTATATCCGTTCACTCATTTTAACGTTGTTCAAAGTCAAGTATTCCATTCCTGCTATTATACAGAAACCCCAATTATTTTGGGTGCCCCTACTGGTTCGGGAAAAACTATAGTAGCGGAACTGTGTATTTTAAGACAATTTAGACTGGATCCTACTCTCAAGGTAATAAATATATATTTTAATAAATTATATTCGAGATACACTGGGGGTTGTTTATTTCATTATCTTCTTTGGTCACCTCATACTATATACTATATACTATAGTTTAGAGACATCCAGTTTCATGTAGAAAAATTTTCGTTCTGCAAAAGTAAGCATAATTAATAATTCCAAATTTCTCTTATCTTGTAGAGACCTGTTAAAAAAATGTGGAATATCACATTTGCCATCAGTTAATATCTACGAATCTTCACAATATATTCAGGCTAACTTTAGCAAATATGCAACTCCCAATAGTATACACAGTTACTGATTCGTATATAAACCAATACTCGCCTTTAATGATGACTGAGGCTAACAGACCCACTGTAAATTCAGACGAGCGACATTAGAAAAGAAGTTTACCTAGCCATGAAAAAAAAAACAATTCAAATGCACAAACATATGTCAAAATACTGGCATGTGTTCTAACATTACTTGCAAAATTTTAGTCAATTTTGATAACGAGTTTCCAATTGTAAGGAAAAACTTAAAATTAGAGTGTAGCAGTGTCATAACATTATTGACAAAAAATGGCCGTCAGCCGAAAACAATTTTTGAGATAATAACCACCATGTTACAATAAAATTTTGGTCGGATCAGTTTCGAAGAGGCAGAAAATCCCAGAAGTGGAAGACCCAAAATAGCAACAAATGATGAAATTACTCAAAAAGTTGAAGCCATTAGTGTGCCTTTGAATACATCGGAACCTAGCATTGTAACAATCTTGTACGACGATTTGAACATGAGTAAGGTGGGTTCAACTACCGTTGACACCTGAACAAACATTGCACAGGATGAAAATTTCAGAAAGTCATTTGGAAACTTTGACCAACAATTCTGATTTTTTCGCTCAATATTATTACAGGTGACGAGACTTGGATGCTTCATTTTGATCCTTAGACAAAATCAGAATCAAAGCAGTGGAATCATCAGAACAGTATCCACCCCGCAAGTGCATTGATGTAGGGGGATTATATTGAAAAATAAAATTATCAAAAAAAAATCGTGCAAATATTTTGTTTTATGGCTGGGTAGACTTCTTTTCTAGTGTCCTACGTATAATCTGCTGATTAAGGCCAACAGGGAATGACGTACATAACACGTCATCCAGATACTTCTCTCGATTTGTGCAGAAACTGTCACTAAAACACTGTTTTCATAGTGTCAGTAAATACTGAGTAAATGGACTATTTACAGGTATATAATAGTGCTTAGAATCCCCCATGTACTATTGTATATAAAAAGGTCATTAAATGATCTGATATTACTAGATTTTGAAATATGTTACCTTTGAAACATCTTTAGTCAATGTATCATTGTGTCACATCTTTTGAAAAAACTATCGTTAAAAATCTGATAATATTTTTGCAGGTAGTTTATATTGCACCAATGAAAGCTCTGGTAAGAGAGAGAGTCTTGGACTGGAGTAAAAAGTTTTCGAAGATAAGCAAAAAGGTAGTTGAAGTAACAGGTGATATCACGCCAAGATCTGAGATTATAAGAACTGCAAACATAATCATCACAACGCCTGAAAAGTGGGATGCGATGAGCAGAAATTGGATGGAGAAAGACTTTGTGAAAGACGTCGGGCTGGTTGTGATAGACGAGATCCACTTGTTGGGTGAAGACCGAGGTCCAGTTCTTGAAGTAATCGTTTCTAGAATGAACTGCATCAACAATAAAACCAAAAAAGCTGTCAGGATAGTTGGATTGTCTACTGCAATGGCGAATCCTGGAGATCTTGCTTATTGGCTTGGCGCTGACAAGGTAGGGCAGAAAACAACATACAGATGCAGAAAGCTCTTTGTGCCCAGTAACAATCGGTAAAGAACGAAAAATAAACCATATCTTTACTGAGTAACGTTCCTTCTACTAAACCTCACTGATAGCAGTTTAGCATTCTAAAGATTTGACTTTCTGACCACTGTCAATAAAGTTCTTGGTAAGTTAAAAACTACGGATTGGCCATGAAGCGAGATTAATTTCTCAGAATTGTTACAATGCGTTTTAGATGTGCGTATACGTCAAAATATTTATAAACTGACGAGGATGATCCCAAAAGAGTATTTAATAGAGATTATGTTTATAGCAGCAAATATAATAATTGTACAGGGAAGAAATTGCCTTCAACCAATCTAACTTTTGTTGCTACAATGACATTCTTTAAAAAACTACAACAACTACATACAATACATACAAAAAATAAAACTTGCATCTCTAAGAATTTTCACTGTCGATGAAATGTTCCTTTAATTTTCTTTTGAACATCTCTAAATTACAAGTAGACTTTATATGATTATTTAGTTTATTAAATTCAAGTAATTTATTCTGAAGAATTGATTTGCTAGTTACATTATTATTACAATTTTGTAAATCTAAATCTATATTTCTTCTTGTATAATAATTGTGGTAATGATTATTCAATTCTATGTAATGTTCTAAATGTTGTGGCAAAATATGTTTATAGGTTTTATTTTGTTGTACTTATTTTTTTTCAATATTATCCTGATAGCTCAATTGTGTAGGACTTGTAATTCTGACAATACCGCTTTATTGGCAGTGAACAAGGTAGTTGAACAATATAGTAAATGTGACAGAATAATTGTATTATAAACTATTTTTTGTAATATATGCTATAACTTTTACCAAGTCAAAATTTAGTATCTTTAAAGCTCTGTCTATATTTTTATCTGATATGTAGATTAATGCATCATCTGCAAATTTCTGAATTTTATAATAATCTAACATATCAAAAATGTCATTAATATATAAAATAAATTTTGGTTTTTTGACTTCTGTTAATCAAGTATTTTGTAGAATTTTGAAAAAATATCCTTTAATTCCATAGTGAATCAATTTTGTAAGGAATTCATCCCTGTCAAACGCCCTTTTGAAATCAAAAAACACTGTCACGTAAGTTTCTTATTGTCCACACGTCTCCTCCAGTCTTCTAAAACCATCCTATATTGCCGTTTCAGAAGAGTGTTTCTTCCTAAAATCAGGTTGAAATTTGGTTAAAATTCTATTTCCCTCGAAGTATTTGATGAGCTGTTCGTAAATAATTTCTTCAAATACTTTTTCAATATGTGGAAAAAAATTTATTGGCCGGATATTTCAACTCAGAATTCTTAACTTTCGAAACAGGATTTATACTACAATTTTAAAAAGCTTACTCTGGTTGCCACTATATTGAGATGAAATTTGCGGCTTTTTCAGTTTTGCAACTGGAACTTTTAAGCTTTCCCCTTCTGTACAATATTGTAACTTATTAAAGAAGTAAGCCAAAAGTAAGTAGCTATAGTAAATTTACGATATAATTCGAAGAACTATAAATCTCTGAATTCCTGTCCCTTTTTGGATGTCTTTAGTGGAACGTTTGCGAGTCTAAACTATTTATTTTAATTTAGAGGGGCATCTTCAACTTTAGTTCCGCAGTAAGACCAGTGCCTCTAGAGATCCATCTGCAAGGATTTGCTGTGAAGCACTATTGCCCTAGAATGGCTGCTATGAATAAATCTGTATACCAAGCTATCTGTCAATATGCACCGGAAAGTTCTGCTTTGATATTTGTATCTTCCAGAAAACAGACCAGAATTACAGGTAAATTGTAGATTCCTTTCAGACATGTTACAGGTGTCCTGTATCTCATTCTAAACAAGGTTATCTATTGTCTTTTTCACGAGTATCCATTACAGTATAATAACAGCTGATCATTTAGTAATACTTCTGACGGATCCGTCAACGCCAGGTAGACAGCCGTATTTTATTTTGTTTTTTGTACTCTACATATTCATTTTCTCCTTGCTAACAATTCTTTTAAGTTTCAATATATTTACACCCGATTCATTATTGCGAACGATTCAGACTGATACAAAGATGTCTCTTGCTGATCAGTTGTTTAAAAAGAGGCCAATCCAATTATTAAAAAAACATTTTTAAAAGACAAACATACAATTGTTTTTTACATGGGTATGGAGCTTGTTGCTCGGTTGAAACGCCTTACTAAGGTCAACTTACTGACAAGCTGAAATAATTTGTAATTTTCGTGTTTGTGTTGCACCAGATACGCTTGAAACATAGACTGTTGAGCTATGTCGAAGATTTCTTCTGCTTAAGGTGGAGTTTCTAGCCTAAAATGACAATTGACAACTTGACGATCGAGTATCTCAAATCAAGACTTAAATAGTTTTATCCAGTGGCAAAGTTCACATTTCAAATTTGAATTACGCGGCAACCGTATACGCGAGGAAGTTGGCTGAGGCCTTGATCGACGCGTATGGCGTGCGGGTTAAATAGTCACAATGGAACGTTGGACCGGGGCGCAACGTGCTTTTGCTATCGAGGCTTACTTTAAGAGTGGTGATTCATACGCAGCTGCCCTTCGGAAATTTTGTACACGATACAACATTCACCGACCAAGAAATGCCCAAGTAAGAACCTATTGAAAAAGAGGGTTAAGAGGTTCCGTTAAACAGGCTCAACTCTTAGTCAACGTATTCCTAGCCCCACACCTACTGTATCAACCGAAGAAAATGTGCGTCGAGTAAGTGGGTCATTGCAAATCCTCGGCGTTCCGTACGGAAGCATTCCGCTGGTTTGGGAGTCCCTAGGTCAACACTGCATGGCATCATGAGAAAAAAAGTGTTCTCATCCTTATATATAGTCCATGCTTTGAAGGAAAGTGATTACGTATTACGGAAATCTTGTGCTGAACCGATGTTGAATCTTTTTCCTAAGCAGCGCAGACTCGAGAACGTTGTTTTCAGTGACAAGACCCATTTTCACTTAGACGGTTATGTGAACAAGCAAAATTGCAGATATTGGCCACCAATGGACCGAAAAGAGAAACATCAACAACAGCTACATAGTCCAAAGGTGACTATTCGGTGCGCCATATCCTCTAGCGGTATTACTGGGCCGTACTTCTTTGAAGATGAAAACAGTCATGCATTGACAGTCAATTCCGAGTGATACAACAACATAATTGACACTTTTTGCTCCTATTGTAAGAACAGAACTTTGATTTAACAGAAACACATGGTTTCAATAGGATGGAGCCACTGCCCATATTTCTAGAGAATCGATGGACATGATGAAAGCACTTTTTCCTCAAAAAGTTATATCGAAGTTTGGAGACATTCACTGGTCTCCTAGGTTACCCGACCTCACGCCGTGTGATTATTTTTTGTGGGGTTATCTAAAGTCAAAAGTGTATTCCAATAATCCATGAACACTGGAGGAGTTTAAAGGCAACATTCGTCGAGAAATAAACAACATCACTCCGGAACTCTGCAAGAGAGTGTTTCAGAATTTCCGCGCGCGATTATAAAAGTGTGTCCGAAGTGATGGCAAACATTTGGACGGGTCCGATCCTGTATTTGCAGCGTCTGACAACAAATTAATCGCTCTTATAAAAATCAAGGTTTTAGTAGTGTTCTACTGGTTATAAAAATACAGTCAGTGCGCCAAGAAGAACGTAACAACTGATTGGCACCGTGAGTACCCTTTGGGCCACTTTCTGATAATAGTTCTGCGTTAAAACCCAATAACATCATAAACATACTGGTAAATTAATCAAACTCCTGGCCGCATACCTTTCCATTTGCGGACAGGACCGTATCTAGAAGAATGTCATATCGTCTTCACCCAGAGCTAACTAGAAACATTTAATATGATTACTCAAACTATGACAAGTAACCCTACCACATCACAAAACCCTACGCCCAAGTCATACTCAAAAGTTGTCTCCCAACACAGCGAAAAACATCCTAACAAAGAACAAGCAATAGTTTTCAGCACTATAGAGGGAGCTAAACTACAAGACTATCTTCTGAAATTAGGTCCACTGGTAGAGCCCAAAAACATTATATTTTGCTCAAGGATCTCGAACAACAGAATATGTGTTTACCTCTCAAGTAAAAGTTTGGTTGACCAGTTCATACAACAGCATGGAGAATTAACCGTAAATGGAGAAATAATAAAAGTTCGTCGCCTAGTTACCCCCTCTGATAGACTGGTAATATCGAACGTTTGTCCGACCATCCCGCATGCAGTTCTAAACGACGCGCTGCAAAAATTGCATTTAAAGCTTTTATCTCCAATTTCATTCCTCAGAATTGGAGCCACTCTAGCGGAGTACAGTCACATTTTGAGTTTTAGGAGGCAAGTTTACATAGCACCTTCAGAGAATACGGATATCCCAGAATCCATAGAGATAACGCACAACGATCTGACCTATCGTATATTTCTTGCTTTAGATAGTCAAAAGTGCTACAAATGTAAACTTATTGGACATATTGCTTCACAGTGTCCATCGATCCAGATTTCGCAGACTTCCACAGAATCAGAGACCCTCAACGATGAACTGTCAAACCCATCCGAAAATCAAGTAGTATCAGATATAACTACAGAAGATTCCACCACAGCCCACATACATCTGCCCAAAGAAAATACCAAAGCAATTACGAACAAAAACAGCCACCAACATCCTCAAAACACTAACACAAACATCATTAGCCTGCACGGCGAAGGAACACCGAATAATGACGAATTAATAACTCCAAGCGTATCCTCCAAAAGGAGCTTCTCAGAAATACTAACACCAACGGAAGACACAGGTGCACCTCAAAGCTATCAAGTAACATTCACCAAACCGACTGCAGATAACATCAAGAAACACAAACCTGATCAGGAATTAACAATACCCATAAAAAGCAGCCTTGAACCTATCAAAAATTTGATAGAGACTCAGCAGACGGTACTGAACATCGATCAGCTCACCAGTCTGTTGGAAAATGTACATGGAGCTAAGGATGCCATTACTGTAGTAAACAACTATACCTCAGATTTCAGAGCTCTTATAGAAATGCTTCTCCTAATTTACCCCCATTTGACAAACCGCACGATAAAGAACAGATGCACAAGATTAAGGAAAAAATTGGAACACCACATCGATCAAACGGTAGGATCACTAAGCGACACGTCATCCCTAGATTCGACGTTTTAATAACAATAAAATTCACGTCAATTCTACAATGGAATTTAAATGGATATCGTATCCATTTGACCATGCTTCGAAAGTTATTAACTGATCACAAACCAGATATCATTTGCCTACAGGAAACTCACTTTAGTGACAGTAAAACACACACGCCTAAGCAGTATACAGGTTATTTCAAAAATAGGAATACGGGAACAGCAAGTGGGGGAGTGGCTATATATACCAAGTCGTATATGCAATCTAGTCAAATCAATCTCGTTACTAATTTAGAAGCTGTAGCAGTTACCATAGAAGATGGAGAGAAGGTCAATATCTGCAATGTATATATCCCACCTAACTACTTTTTGGATAAGAAAGAACTGGAAGACTTGATACAACAAGTTCCCGCTCCTCGCATAATTGTTGGAGACTTTAACGCACATGATTATACGTGGGGATCCTTCAAACATGACCAACGAGGAAACATAGTAAGAGGCATCCTGGACTCAAGCCACCTAGCCTTGCTGAACGACGGTAACTGTACTAGATTCGACGCCGCATCAGGAAGACTCTCCGCAATCGATTTGAGCCTATGCACCCCCGGCCTGCTAACTCACCTAAATTGGAGTACAGAAGATGACTTATATGGAAGCGATCATTTCCCAATACTTATATCAAACAATAAAAACAACAAAAACACTGAATCAACGCCTCCTCAAAAGTGGAGATTAAAGCAAGCTAATTGGCATTCATTCTCACGCTATATAGATAGTAACCTTGACCGCAATATAAAATCTAATGTCAGCATAGACTCTATAGTGGAACAGCTCAACAAGACTATAACTGATGCCGCACAACATATCCTAGGTAAAACCACCCACGTAAAAAATAGAAATCCTGTGCCTTGGTGGAACAACGAATGCGAATCTGCACTCAAAGAGAGTAAACAAGCGGTCAATAAGCACAAAAGACAAAAAAATCTCAATACATTAAGGAACCTTCGGAACAAACAGGCCAAATTAAGACTAATAACTAGAAAAAACCAAAAACAATCGTGGCAGAATTACGTCAGTAGCATTAGTTGTAACACACCAATGCCCAAAGTATGGAAAAAGGTGAAAAGCATTTCTGGAACTAAGACTTACTCACCAATAAGATGTCTAAAAGACGGTGAAAACACTGTCACTGAAAGTCATCAAATATCAGAAATATTATCCAAGAAATATTACTCCAACTACAGCAATGGAAACTACTGTTCAGACTTTACGAACTACAAACTAAATGCAGAATCAGTGATAATCCCCATAGAAGACAACAGCGATCCAATCAACCTACCCATCACAGAATTAGAGTTCTTGGATGCACTCAACGACCTGAAAGATACTGCTGCAGGACCAGATGACATTCCGCCTATTTTCCTAAAGAAACTTCCCCCGTCTGCTCATAACCGCTTATTACACATATTCAACACCATCTGGACAACGAACGTTTTCCCCAAAATATGGGGACAAGCAATAACAGTTCCTATCCTGAAGTCTAATAAATCACCCCAGCTACCAGAATCGTACAGGCCTATATCACTAACCTGCTGTATGTGCAAGCTTCTTGAGAAAATAATTAACCGCAGGCTTATGTGGAGTCTCGAACATAAAAACCTATTAGCCTACCAACAAGCTGGTTTCAGATCAAATAGATCTACTATAGATAATATAATAGACTTAGAAACCCACATCCATGAAGCATTCTCGGACAATCAACATTGTATGGCAATTTACTTTGATATCAACAAAGCGTTTGATACAGCCTGGAAATACAACATCATTTCTAAACTCCACAAATGGGGATACAATGGAAACATTCTATCCTTCATTTCCAACTTCCTCGACAACAGATGTTTCCAAGTACGAACAAATGGTGTACTGTCGGAACAAAAACAACAGATCAACGGAATACCTCAAGGCTCTATTATTAGTCCAACTCTATTTCTTATAGCACTTAACGACGTTCTAAGAGATATCGAACTACCTCTTCAGGCCCGTCTATACGCGGACGATATGATCGTATTTGTGAGGGGAAAGAACTTGACAACAAATGCATCGTTATTACAACATTACCTGAATAAGCTGGAATACTGGTCTAAGCAGACAGGATTTACCTTTTCAACAGAGAAAACAACTTGCATCATTTTCTCGAAGAAGCCTGTGCGTGACAAGCCCACTTTAAAGTTGTGCAATAAGATTCTAAAATACACCAGCGACATCAAATTCTTGGGAATCACATTTGATAATCGACTTAATTGGAAGAAACATATAACAGATGTCATTCAGTCTTGTCAAGCAGGGATCAACATGCTAAAGTACCTATCAAATAGACACTGGGGGGCTGAAAGTAAGACACTGCTTACTATATATAGAGCACTTGTAAGATCCAAGATTGACTATGGCTGCATCGCGTACAACTCAGCAAGACCTTCAGTTCTCAAACCTTTAAACGTGCTTCACAACACTGCGCTGCGATTAATATTAGGAGCATACAGAACCACACCGGTAGACAGTCTGTACTGTGAATCGGGAGAAGCACCATTACACATAAGACGTCAGATAATGAGCCTCACATATTTTAATAAGAAAAACGCAAATATCAATACATCAGCCCATAAATATTTAGCCACTACAAGGTCCTATAGGAATAGCATAACAGGCACTCCTTTTCACAACAGAATCAGAGTCTACTTAAGAAGTCTCGACATCCAGAACGTACCGTCAACACTTACTACTGTCACCGATACCATCCCGCCTTGGATTATTTGTCAACCAGTTACCAATACAACACTCATCAAGTTCAACAAAACCGAAACACCCAATGAAGTTATATACCAGAATTTCTGTAACATCATAAGCGACTATCCAGGGTCAAAACAATTATACACTGATGCTTCAAAAACAAAGCAAAGCGTAGGAGCAGCAGTCATCACTCCCACATCCACAATCAAACTGAAGCTCCCAGCAGCAGCATCCATATTGACGGGTGAGCTTTACGCAATCAGAGAAGCTGTCCAGTTTATCAAAAACAGTCCTTATCAGAGGTGGGTAATAATTACAGACTCCTTAAATTCAATCGAGTCCATAAACAAACTGAATCCCAAAAATCCACTGGTCAACCTAATCAAGGAGGAAATACACCGGAACTTACTTCTAAACAAGGAGATAACTCTATTATGGGTTCCCTCACATAAATCCATATTGGGCAACGAAATGGCGGACAGGGGCGCAAGATCAGCGGCGGACGCCAAAATGCAGACAATACAAAAGATTCCTGTTTCCGATATCAAGACATACTTCCACAACATGGCAATAGAACAGTTCAACAATAAATGGAGAAGCGGATCAGCGAAGCTTCTTGAAGTGAAATCTCGTCTTGGTTCCTGGCAGATCAACACTACAAATAGAAGGCACCAGGTTCTGCTGACCCGTCTTCGTCTGGGACACACCAGGGCCACACATGGTTACCTCATATCGGGAGATCCCGTACCTCTTTGTACAATTTGTGAAGTGTCCCTCACCGTTAAGCACATTTTAGTGGAGTGTCCCATGCTAGAATACCAAAGAGTGTCCTCCAACTTAGGATCTAGCTTAATAGACATTATAGGCTCAGAATGTAACATAAACAATCTACTCTTATTTTTACAAACCACCAACTATGCTCATAAAATTTAGTGTAACACTGTGTACTGCTCCGCCGCTAATGACCATCAGGCCGATGCGGCAATTGTATTTTTTTTTATTGAATAAAAAAAAAAAAAAAAAAAAAAAAAAAAAAAAAAAAAAAAAACATTTGGACGGAATTATATTTAAGAAATAAAACCCGCCGAATTTACGAATATGTTGATAGTAATGAATATATTCTTTTCATTAAGTTATATTGATGATCTTGGTTTGTATGGATTTCCTCGCTAAATCCGTAATACAACGAAATAATTGAGTAGCTATCATACCAGGACTTTTTGAAAGTTCTCGTATAATCTGAAAACATGTCTGTTCATATTGAGAATAATTGACAACGTCAAATCACCTTTTAACTGAGGAGGATATGAAATATAATAGTGGTCACTGTCCTCAAGTACATCAATCACCTTTAGGGCTGCTTTTTGTAATACGGTTCGAAATCTGGGACAAAATGTGGCAGACGGCAGACTAGCAAGTCAACCAACTTTGTTGTAGTTGCAGGCGTAAGTCCCCTAATAAGTTTCTATAGATACACTGTTGTCAGATGTAATTTTATCTCAGCTAAATGTTTATCGGACTGGAACGGTGCAACAGAAACCTGATTTGAGGTCGGCCTTAACATACGGATCACCTTTGCTAAGTGGTAGATTTAACAAAGGCGATGCGACTGGGCATAAATATGTCAATTTTGCATAGGTTACGAGATGATGAAATTTCTTCTGGGCGAAAGTAATCCGCAAAAGTGGGTCCACTGTGAAACGGGTGAATTGGAAAGAGTAAAAGCTAAGATCATAGATCAAGATCTGGCTCAATTGCTGACATTCGGTATTGGGATGCATCATGCAGCATTGACTGACAACGATAGGAGTCTGGTGGAGCAACTATACGTCGCGCAAAAAATTCAACTTCTTGTAGCCACAGCCACTTTAGCTTGGGGTGTGAATTTTCCCGCCAGGTAACCACTTCATTATAGTTTAAGTACTAACTACTATCTATTCGTTTTTTTATTCATTATTTTTTTTCTATAGAATATATCTTGCTCCTGGAGCCGGATTCTAGCTCAATTTCGAACGACATCATGAAATTGAAAATCGGCACGGATATTCGTATCTTGAAAAGTGACATTTCGTCGTTTTTTTTACATTTCGTAGTTTTTTTGTGACATATCGTAGGTTTTTCTACAATATGTTAACTTAGCACAAGCGGTACACTTGTTGTGAACCCGTTTTGTAGCTGTACGTGTTGCTTAAACGTCAGCGAACAGCGATTATAGCGAGCAAACGTGGAATGAACTATTTGCAAACTAAAAATTACCTAATATGCAAGATGACATTTCGTCGTTTTTTGACGTTTTTCAGGTTTTTTACATAATACCCCTGCCGTACCATGTCAACTTGTGTACTAAGCAGTAGCTAGCTCATTCGACGTCTACTCGATGTGGGAGCCACCTATGGTGGAATGTCTCAATGACCATGTTGCCTAAGATGCTGCAACTCAAGTTTCGCCAGCATGCTTTGTGAATTGCAAGCTGCCGAGATAGTCTGTAAAGTATATTTGTGAACAAGATATGACGAAGAAAATATGGTCTAGTAACGAGTATTAAGATCTCATCTGGATGCTTGTGTGTGTGTCTATAGCATCAGAGATATTTAATCATTGATAGATTTGCTATGTGAGAAAATGATTACTTAATTTGCTGCCTATGCCTATGAGTTGAGAGCATAGAGGGTCAGTCAAATAAGGACTGACATGTAGTTTTTGTAAAAATAAGAATTATCTACTTGGGATGTACATATATCCTTCATCAAATTCTTTTATTTGCGGATGATGTTAAGGTTTTTAGAATTATTCGGAACAAGCATGATGCTGATTTGCTGCAAAGAGGCTTAGACCATATTTGTCATTGGTGTTAATGTTTTACTTTTAAATTATGCGAAATCCTTCCATATTAAATTTAGCCGGTCTCGTTCTCCTATTATTAATTTTTATAGCATCAATGGTATATCTTTACAATCTACAGACCAGATCAAGGACTTGGGAGTTATTTTTGATTCGAAATTATCATTCAACATACATATTGAAAAAACAATCCACTGTGGATATAAGATGTTAGGCTTTATAAATCGCAATTGCGATGATCTATCAATTTTTTCTTTCTAAGTTTTGTATTGTTTTTTGGTTCGTTCGTTACTTGAGTATTGTTGCTCCGTTTGGAATATGACTTCTCTTGTGCGATGCAGGTTGGAATTTGACTTATTCTTCTTGCACAAAATTATCAATGATCAAATTGATGGTCCCCAACTGTTAGAAAAAATTCCACTTATTGTGAATGAGATCGCGACATATAGGTACTTTCTTTGTCCCCTTTCACCAAACAAACTATGGTTTAAATGAGCCCATAACTCGACTTCTTAGGTTAGGTAATAGATATATTTCTAGTTTAGAACTATTTGGAACTTCTGTCTGTGCGTTTAAAGAAGTGTTAACAACGTTACACTGTGATACTTTAATCCAGACTGTTTCGTAACAAGGGTTTTACCCGTTGATTGAATAAATAAATAAATTATATTAGAGTTTGAAAGTAAACTTTGTGAATATTGATAATGGTTAATTTACAATGCAGGTTAGTGATAGTAAAAGGCACGGAATATTTCGACGGCGCGACGAAGCGTTACGTGGACATGCCCATCACAGATGTTATTCAAATGGTCGGAAGAGCTGGTCGACCTCAGTTCGATACGACTGGAGTCGCTTGCGTCATGGTGCAAGAAAACAAGAAGAAGTTTTACAGGTAAGGATTATGAAGAACTCTAACTTCTGTGAATTTGCGAAAATTTCAATAAACCGATAATGATTCGTTGATTTCTTGCAGGAAATTTTTGTTCGAGCCTTTCCCAGTGGAGTCAAATCTGCTAGAATTTCTGCCGGATCACGTGAATGCCGAAATAGCCAACGAAAACATTACATCAAAGGCTCAGTTGATTGAATTCATCCAATCAACATTCTTTTATAGAAGGCTGTTGGCTAACCCGTCTTATTATCAAATGGGACCAAACCAAACACCTGATCAATATGTGAGTGATTTGGCCGATTATGTGATAGCTACCTTACAGCAACATGACTGTGTAGTAGAACAAGCTAAGGAGGTAAGTAAAATATTTTAAGTATGTTTTCATGAAAAGGCATTAAAGAACATCTACACTTTTGGAGTAACCACTTGTTTCGTTTCAATGTGAAGTTTTACTCAGTCAGAAAAGGACATTATTAGATAGACGCCCTTAAACAGAAAGGTTTATTACAAATACTGGAAAATATACAGGGTGGGCCAAGAATTTGTTAACATTTAAATCTAATACGCACGCGTAGCGCGGGAAGGGGGCTAGTCGCTAGCTCGTTTCTCGGAAATTCAGTCGCAATGGATCGCTTCACGGGGCCGCAACGCGCTTACTGTGTGAAACAATTTTATTTAAACAACAGTTCGCTCACTACTGTGAGACGCTTATTTTGCGTTGAATACAATTTACACGACTTAAGTCAGTGACCGAGTGCTCCTTTGATAAAGAAATGGGTGAAGAAGCTCGGAAAGGCGGGATCTACACTGAATGTGAAGCAAACCGGCGACCCACGGACGGCTCGAAGCGAAGAGACCCTGCAGCAAGTTTCCGCTTCTGTTCAACGTGATCGAGATTTATCGACGCGCAAACGTACGGCTGAATTAGGATTATCCCGCACATCATTTCGCCATATTTTGAGATTAGATTGGAAATTTCATCCATATAAGATCCAGATAGTGCAGGAACTAAATCCTAATGATTTAAATTTGCCCAAGTCGTATGCCGAAACGATGTTAGCTCGATTCAGTAATTTTGACAATCTCTTATTTTCTGACGAAGCCCATTTCCACCTCAACGGACATGTGAATAAATAGAATTGCAGGTACTGGAGCAGCGAAGATCCCAAAGCTAAACACGAGAAGCCACTTTACTCTCCTAAAGGAACTGTATGGGCTGCAATTTCAGCAAAAGGAGTCATTGGCCCCTACTTCTTTGAAGATTCTCGCGGCCATTCAGTTACTGTTAATTCAGCTGACTATGTGAAAATGTTACGGGAGTTCTCCGCACCGATGCTACTGGAATTTGGTCGCCAAAGAAATGTTTCCGGAAAAGCTCATTTCCAGGCGAGCCGACATCCCATGGCCACCCAGAAGTCCAGATCTATCACCACCAGACTTTTTTTATGGGGTTATTTAAAAAGTCGTGTCTACACCAATAAACCAAGTACACTCCGTCAACTAAAAGAAAACATCAACGAATAGATGTCGGCGATCTCGAAGTCTTTAAGCCGACGAGTATTCGAAAACTTACGGTACACGTTTAGAAGAGAAAAATATGGTTACGATTCAAATTTGTTATAGTATATGAAATTGTTTTTGATTACTTGAGTGTCAGGATATAACTTGATGGAATGGTAATTTGTCATTGTACATGAAACTATTTTTAACTAGTCATGATAATAATTTATTCATATCAATTACAAATTGTGAACAAAAAGAAAACATCATTGTATGTGGATATCTTGCTAACATAACATACATATAGCATAGCAGTTATAATAAACTGATAGGACTAAAAAAAATCTATATAATATAAATATAATATGTACATTAATTTTGGATCGTAGACTAACAATGAAGAAAATATATGTTATTCATATTGCTCTATATCGAATAGAATATTTGTCTAACCACTTATACGAAAAAGTTAGAGGGAGTTGAATTTATAGGGGACACCTTGTTCAAAGCATCTTTCATAAAATAAGTAATGTCTGGCAGCCCTGTGACCTTGCTCTACCTTAAAAACTACACTGCACATCCCTAATATTGTCATTTTTTTCTAGGAAACAGTGTTGCTTTATGAACCGTCATTTTTGGGAATGCTAGCAGCTCAGTATTATCTTTCGCATAAGACGATTCATTTTCTCAGCGAACATATGGAACCAGATAGTTCTATAGAGGATCTGTTGAATTTGATTTGTCAAGTTGAAGAATATAGATTGCTTCCTGTAAGGCATAACGAGGACAATATTAATAGGTAATATGATAATGAAAAAACATGAAAAATCCATTAAACAATTTTGTATCTCGAATTGGCTGATTTAGAATTAACATCGAATAATACATTCCACCAGAAGGTGCCCATACCAATTGAAAGCCTGCGCGAAAATACGCATGCATACATATTTTGTTTTGTTATTTGTTAAGAAATTTTGAGAATATAAAATCTTAGAAATAATCACCACGGTGGTTGAAAAGCGATCTTTCCTTGGAGTGTTTAATAAATAATATTTTTAAGGACAACTGCGAAGCTACTTGGCTGACGATGGAAATTGTAATCTATTTTTCACAATATTTTATTACATCAAAGCTGACAAAAAATAACAACGTAATATCTATCGAGATTCAAAATACCCCGTATCAACAAGTGACACAATTCTGATGGATATGTCAACCCCAGATTTGTAGTAGTTTTCTGTATGTTACCGATTTACACTTTCTTACAAACCTTTATTTCCCAATATACCTCCCTTCTCACTCTGCCGTATTATTTCTGGGATACCCTGTATATAAGCCATTATTCTACTCGCACATTTCATATATCCCTCAGCGCTGTGAACTCCGCCAAAAATGGCATATTTCTCCACCAAGAGGGCATTTGAAACGATTGATAGAGATATTTTGTTAGGTAAATTGAAGGCATATGGTATAACAGGAAGTGTTTTAGATTGGTTTAGAAATTATTTGTCTAAAAGGATGCAAGTTACAAAAGTTAATGACACTATTTCATCAAAAATTGAAAATAGGTTGGGTGTTCGACAGGGCAGTATCCTGGGATCACTTCTTTTTATTTTATACATAAATGATTTACCTGCCATAGTCAAAAAATGCAAAATTCAGATTTTCGCCGATGACACTGATTTATATAAGTACTAAAAATATTCAGACTGGTATCTCTTATATAAATGAAGACTTGAAACTTGTCTCAAAATGGTTTGCATCTAACAGACTAAAATTAAATACAAGTAAAACGAAACGGAAAAAAAACAATGTACAAATGTTCAACTGAATATTGATGGTGAAGATATTGAATTCGTAGAAAATTTTAAATACCTGGGGGTTTTTGTTGAATCTCGATTGATTTTTGATATTCATTATGAAAAAGTTATAAATAAGATTAGTAGTAAAGTGGGATATTTATCGAGAGTTTCAGTTCATATAGCAGAAAAATTATCTATAATACCATCATTCTTCCAAATTTCTTGTACTGTTCGACTATTCTATATTTAGCAAATAATTCCATTTTTGAAAGACTGCAAATTTTACAAAATAAGTGCATGAGAATAATACTAAATAAAGATAAATATACTCCAATTAGGCAAATGCTTAGCAAATTAAAATGGCTCAATGTAAAAAAATTTATCAAATATCTTGTAATGATATTCATTTATAAAGTAAAAAATAATACCCGAAATAAAGATGACTTCCATTTAATGACCAAAAAGTATAACACATGCTACAAATCTGTATTCCATCAAGGGTTGCTTGAATATAATAAATTATACTCAGAGATAAAAGACCAGAAAACTTTGTCACAATTTAAAGTAAAATTGAGAAATCACTTGTTGAATCTACAATTATAGGTTGCCCAGCATTTACATCATACACCATATGGCTTGAATTTACTAGTTCTAAGTTGTTTACAATTATTCTGTTTATGTAGCCAAATGTGCTAACTAAATCTTTCTTCTACTACTACTAGTTATGTAATGCACTATTTTATTTGCAGAGATCTAGTACGAGATATGGGAATAAAAACTAATTTTGCTTACGATTCCCCTGCACTGAAAGCATTGTTAATGATAAAATGTTATCTGTTGGATGTTAACCTCCCAAATCAGGAGTATGTTTTAGATTTGAAATCGGTTTTGGATCAGATTATCAGGATTATACATGTAAGTTCCACTATCAATAGACAAAACATATTTTTTGTTTCATATGAGTATTGGATGCAAAATTTTTGGAGGTTAAACGTTTCAGGATCTTGAATAGTGGATACACACTCAGTGACATAAGAAGTGTTACACCCAGAAAAAATAATTTCTTCAACTTTTTTTTGGCATCTTACATCAAGAATGAAACGATAACATTCTCACGAAATTTTATTGACAAGTAATAAGAAAAAAACATCAAACCTCGCAGCTCCATACAGTCTCGTTCGTCTAGGCATCGACAAAATGAGATGCCGGGTTTGTGGCAAGCAACTCTTAACTTCGTGGATTAGCTGTGGCAGAGTCTGTGGCGGATGGTGCAAAGTGGCATCGACAAAACATTAACGCCTACTTCTTGAAGAAAGTCCGTAGCACGATGACCAATATGGGGTTCTTTACGACAGCTTCTTACCCTTCTACGACCATCGTGCGTACCTAGACAGAATCTCGATTCGTCGCTGAAGATGACATTGTGCCATTCTGCCTCCCAGTGTTGCCGTTCTCTGCTCCAGTTCAAACGTTGACCACAGTGTTCCGCAGTCAGAGGAAGCACTAACCGTGAATGATATGGAAAAAGTCCAACGATTCGAAAGCGGCGATAGAGTGTACGCAGGCTTACAGGTCTACTTTCTTCTCTAAACGATTGGTCAGCGATCTGACGCGAAGTAGCAAAACGTCGACATAGTTGTCTGAAGCGCCTAGCTTGACGCTCTGTGGTATGCCTCGGTGGACCAGTTCCCCTTCACGTTCCTCTACCTTCTTCTATTCTCACACAACACACACGCATTACCATCATTGCAGTACAATCAACACGGCGGCCAATTTCGCGATTGGACAAATTAACATCTCGATAGGAAATAATTCTACACCTGTCAAAGTCATGGTGAGAATTTGGACGTCTTCGAACTCGAGGCATTTTGTTATGCTTAACACTAGTAACTGAAAGGGCAATAACTAAAAATATCTATACTACTCAGCTCTCATCAGAAACTGCTTTCTTTACAAAAAATCTAAGAGATAACATTTTAACAAAGGTAAACAAAAACAAAGATAAAACGTTGACATTGTTGCCACATCATGCTTTAAATATAGGCATTATGTTGCCATAGAAACATAATGTCACTGAGTATACAATTTTTATTTTGACTATAAAGTTTTGAGCAGCATACTAAATCTTGATGATTTCAGGCTATGATGAACTTGGCTGCAGGTAGAAACTGGTATAACTGTACGACAAAACTGATATATTTCTGTCAGATGTTGATACAAGGATATATGGTAAATGTATCTAATATCATGATGCTACCATACATTAACCGAGGAAACTTCGAGAAACTCGCAGAAAAAATCTACTTCATAGCACCTGATATCGAAAATCTATCTGTGCCAGTACTACGGTATCTGATGCAGGACAAAAGAATGTATGATAGGCTTAACTCCGTTTTTGAGGAACTATTTAAAGAGAAAACCTCTGAAATAATGCGAACTGTCAAAGACTTGCCTATATTGACAGTGAAAACTACTGTCAAAGACTTAAACACCCAGAAGAATATTGAATGCAAAATGGACCAAAACTTTTTTAGTATAAAGACATCTCCTGAAGCACAGTGTATGTTTGAATTGAGCATTTTTAGAGAAGGTTCTCACAAGATGAATGTGTACAGTAAGAAACTCAACAAGATGAAGGAGGAGTTTTGGTTTTTGATTTTCATGGAAGGGGAAAATTTGACATTTAGAAAATTCTCTTTTAGTAAAAGAGTGAAGAGGATAGAACTGCCCGTCCAGATGCCAGCTCAAAGAGGTCAGTTTTATATTTGCATGTTACTTTTAGTGGGTTGTGAAATATTTTGTTGGAATAACATGCTTTTTCTTTTAAAAAGCCGTTTTTGACAGAAGATTCGTTTAATTTTATTATAATGTATAGAGTTTATTTACCTATTGTATTTTTATTCTTTTAAAGCCACTAAAATATTATTTCTCTTTAGAATGATTTAATAACGAATGTCTCTTATTTTAGGTGTGCATAACTACAAACTCAATATAATGAGTGACTGCTATATAGGATTCGATCAAATTCTAACTTATAAAATAAAAATCGAGCATTGATCAATGTGATACTTTTTATTTATACATATAAAACTTATTTAATTCAAACCTTTATTTATGAAAGACGTTACAAATATAATTTATATAAAAACTCTTTGTTTAAATTTGCCTCCTAGGATGACACCTTACATTTCTATTCAACTATTATCCAAGTAAAAAGGGCGGTATTAAATAGAAATGGCGTTGATTTTAAGTCACAATCCTGTTTTGTAAAAAATTGTAATAATCAAAAATACCTTTTAATTATTTATATACACCGTGTTTCATTTTAATATCCCCACCTAAATATTTCGAAAATTGCGCCTTCAAGAAAAAAATATTTTCAAATGGAACTTCCTTTTCAACTCGGAATTGCAGAAAATAACATCTTTTACGTCCGAACATGACCTTATCTATGGCCATGACAATCCCTTTCAAGGTCATTTAAAGGTCAAATCAAAACATTGAAAACAATTTACTCTGGGAAACGTGTTCGACAGAACAGTCGTGAGGTTTGTGAGGATAACCCAAATGTTACCTCGACCATGAGCTTCAAGGTCAAGTCAACTTCCAAAGAAAAACTCTCGTTTTTATACTGGAAATGGAAAAATGAGAAAGTTTTACGTCTGAATGTGACCTTGACCTCAAGTGACATTTACACCTGACACGATCTTGACTTTGACGTGAAATTTTCTGCTTTTTCCATTTTCATATAAAAATGAGAGGTTTCCTTTGGAAGTTGACTTGACCGTGAAAGACAGGTCCAAGGTCATGGACAAAGTCACCTTTAGGTGATCTCGTTAAACCTCACAACTATGCTGTCGAAGATTTTTTGTTAGGGCAAATTGATTTTGATATATTGATTTGACCTTAAAATGGCCTTAAATGCAATGGTCATAGCCAAGGTGGTGCTAAGACGTTAAATTTGTTTCCCTTGTCAATTCCGATGTGAAAAAAGAAGGGGTTCATAGTAGAGAAGTATAAATCAAGGAGGCCATAAAGGCAACCTACAATTGTGCTAAATGTCGTCGTCAAGGTAATTGCCAAGGTCACCATCATTTTGTCCTCCTGAAACCCAAAATTTTTGTTTGAAACTTTTTCTAGAATGAACAGTTTCTGAAATACTTATGTGGGGAGATTAAAATGGAACACTGTATACAAAAATGTGATTTCTCTGTAGTTTTGCAATACCATAGTTTGGATAAACCTACTATGAAGCATATATGTATGTACTTCAATCCAATATTAATTCCAGGAATTGGCACATAGCCAATAGGGGGTGTTTATTTTTTTTACGCCAGCGAATGATTTTAATAGCAAAGTCTGCTCTCTGATAATATCGGGAGAGTTTTCAATATAGTATATCATAGGAAAAGCATATCCGTGTAGATTGCAACACTGGGGTGTAAAATGCAGTGACGAGGGGTAAAGTCGCACGTCGAGTCTAGCAACTAAAATGTTTAATTGTAGTATATAAGTGGTTACATATTGTAGAAATAAAACACGTAAAACATTCTTAATGATTTATTATGGTTTACACTACTACTTCTTTACAAATGTATGAATCACAACACAAATTGCAAAAAAGGGATTTTTTACTTCATTTCACATGGTTTTTTCACTGCTTCCTCAAGATCTTTTTCGAAAGTCTTTATTTCACCATCCTGTTTACATTCTTCTTTCAGTTGCTTTAAGAAGCAGTTATTCATCGCTATAAAGTTACTGCAATAGAAAAAAAGATTATTTAAATGAAAATAATCTTTACATACGTCTAGTTTAACGGATGCTATTCCTTTTTTACTATATACAGGGTGTCCCTAAAGATGGGACTATTCTTCCATTTTTTAATTCCAATTGTAAATAAACAGCCAGATTAGCCTACTTTTCACGATAGATGCTGGGCCGAGCTGGCCCATTTAGAATTTTCTGTAACTTAATTGCTGTTGGGAGGAAGATCACAACTTTAAGGACTCTATGTATAATGTTGTGAGATTGACCTCACAGCGTTTTCTAAATAAACTGAAAATTAATTCGTGTGGTACCCGCAAAATTCTGCCTTAGACTCTGGGATTGTTTCAATTCGACTTGTCACTTGTTCACAGCAATCATTATATTTAGCAACACTTTCTTCGCTCTTTAGTTTGGGGAGACATGCTCGGATTTCAGCTAAAAACAATAGATTGCATTATAGCATTGATTAACGTTTTCTACCTGAAGATAGCCAACTCTATACCGTAGTCCGGCGTCAAAAAAGCGATCTGAAGGATACTAGTGCATCTATGCGGCAGTAGCAAAACACAGAATTTAATCTGGAATTTTCGGCCTCTTAGAATTGGGCGTTAATTAACTTATTCCAGTTGAAGATGCCAAATTAAAATAATCATCAGAGAGGCCAAAAAGAAAGATTGAAGATGGTAGCGCCATCGATGAGACTGAAGCAGAACAAAAAAATCTTAAGCATATTGACGCCAATCGCGATTGAAAATAAAACAAATAATATTCCTATTGGTCAATTTAGTAACGTGACAAGAGACAGCATTAATAATTGAAGTTCCTTTCGATTCGCAATTCTTAAAAATTTCTTAATTTCTTGCAATTCTTGCCTGCGAATGTTCTGTCACTACCGCCAAACCTGGGGTTCGCCCCAAAATTGTTTGATTTGTCGTCATTTTCGCTTGCTTTAAAGTGGCGACAGTATCTCTTCCTGTTATCTAAAACGCATAATGAATCAGTAGGTACATATTATAGAAAGGAAATAAAAAACATTTTTCTTTACGATATAGATACATAAATATAAATAAAATGTATGGTTTATACCTATGTACCTACCATAATGTGGCTGATAACGTTTCACTTGTGATGTGATACTTTATCATTAAGGCATCAAAGTCTTTGATGCACATTCTGTGATAGTTAAAAACTTCTTTTCATCTTTTTGTCCCATTTCTTGGACTAAATTATGAAATGCCCCTTGCTGTCTTAAACATTTCAGAAGTACCGATTGTCCAAATTGATCTATTGTTTATTTCTTTTAAGAGTAAATACGCAGCAATTACTCACTTTCTACGCCAAAGAAACAAATTTCGTGTTTCATCTATTATAAAATAAACTATAGAAGAACAATTACATTTTTAGAGTTTACACAAAATTGTAACAAATTAATAACAGCACCCACAGAAATGACAGAATGAACAAACAAGCCTAATAATTAACTGTTCCACCAAAAAATAAAAGAAAATGTTCATAAAAGTTTTGCGAAGTTTTTTACTATTTATCACTAGTCCGTAATTTGAATTTCTCTTCATTGATAATAGACTGCCCATTCCTAGGCCAAACCCTTTTCAATGATTCTCTTTTGGCAAATTTAATAGTTTATTGATTGTATAATTTCACTCGTATTATATCTTTCTTTCTCAGCGATTCAGTATGGTGTTGACGATCGGCAAAAAACTCTACTGTAGTTTTTCTCCGTTAGTTAGTTTTCTATAAAACATATCTTCTTCAAGGCCACTCAAGATGCCTTCTTCTAGAACGTTACGTGTTTTGGCGTGATTCGCTTTTCTGTTTCCGTTGAGGTCGTGGTGCAGGGGTCGTTTCGTCATTTTTCGGACTCTGGGATATTAGGCCCCACGTTGGGCGCCCCAAAATTTGTCACGCCTTTTTTTTACTACCATAATTTTTGGCAACGAGGCAAGTAGACCCTGCCCAGTGACGTGCCCACTACTGGCCACTTTTTGAACAGAGTTGAGGACATCTCGGCCGCGCCCGACAAAGAAGACCTACAGATAAGTTTAACATTTAGGCGCAAAATATCTGTGAATACTTCGGGCGTATACCATGGTAGATGTTTCGCGGGGTTATCTCGAAAAATAATTTTGTCACAATGTAGTCAAGATTTATAACATCCTTTCTTTTTTTTATTACTCGCACTTCAGTAGTGGAGCACATGCGCGTTTTTTATTAATCAATATATTGTGAGATTCATTTAATATCTTGTTTTCTTTGGCTCTCTCTGTGTGTACTGTTACTTAAATTTCGTCATCTCTGTTTTGTGTAGTGGTCAAGCAAAACAAGTTCCGACTAACATCTCGGGGAGTTGAGGCTTAACCCGTCCTAAGTCATTGGCGCTCTTAACCCCCCCCCCTACTCTCTGCCTTGTTGAGCTAGGGCCTAAATTTGCACGCCACTAGACAACTGTTTTGCTTGGACCAACCGTTAGATAGTATTTATCATTGTGTTTTATTAATTAACCAAAAAAAAGGCGTGGCATTTCGTCTATATGAACTAGGCTTTTTTCTTTTCTTGGATTTCTAAATTCACTTTTGTGTCATTCTGTTACCTCATAGATGGCGCTAGTAGGTTTCATCGTTTTTAAACACCAGAATACAGTATATGGTTTTCTGTCTTTAGGTAGAATACGTTAATGATTATAGTGACAAAAAAACTTAAAATGTACAAAAACGTTTGAAAAATGATTATTTATTTTGATTACTTACTTTCTATGATGATTGTATCATGATACAGTAGTCTAATGAGGGATTCAAACAGGTGGAAAATAAAGGGTGGAAGATATTTCAACTTTTCCGGGAGACACTTTTCGAGTTGCTTTATCAAGTCTTTGGAGCAATGTTCCATGTTATTTATATAATCGTCAGCAGTATCAACGAAAATTTTCTTTTTTGAAATGCACGCCTTTGTTTCTTCTAACGTTTTCTGGAAATAATCGATGAACAATTTATTTGTGAAAGGGACGTCTTACTTCGGTATATGGGAAGCTAAATGAGGTAATGTCAAGGTATTGCTGCAAATAATTTACCTCAAGCTTTTCAGCATCATGTCCATTTTCCTTGCAGGTACTTTTCACCTTGAATTCAATATGTGCAATATGTTTAGACGTACCTGAGGCTACCTCGCGTACATGTCTACTGTGATACGCTGAAAAAAGTATTTATTTATTATTCTGTCGCTGATACAGTCATGAAATACTTCAGCGAAATTCCTACTGTTTCAAAATAAATTGTTTGCATAATTTTGCTGGATCTGTGGTTTCAATAGGTAAGGAAAGTCTGATATTTGCAAACATTTCCGAAACGATGTTTTTCTTTTTGGCTATCACTGAAATATACCTAGTGAATATCATGTACAAAACAAGCCGTACGCTGTTAATGCAAAATTACTGATGGAATGGAATACTCAATTTATCCACAGTTAACGAAAATGGAAGTATTTGTCTACAAAGTTATGTAATATTTCAAGCGGAAATTATGAAATTTCGAAAAACTGTTGCCTATCCGTTATCTGGACGAATCTTAGAGAAATCTGTTGCGTAGATAAAAAATTTGAAGTCAGTTTGATGATATGATCCACGGGATATTCCGAGAAATCCACGGCTCGACGGTATTTCTCGATTTTTTGACGAACTCAGTGCTCCAAATTGCCTAATTGTACCACTTCGTTTCAATGGAACCACAGATAATGACAATGTTTCAATGGAACCACAGATAATGACAATGTTTGCCTACAAAGTTTTATGATAATTTGAGGCCCCTAATATGAGATTTCCAGAAATAGTTGCGAATCTGTGATCTGGACGAAGACCGGTCTCCTAGGTACGTTGTTAGCGTTGCTTCCCCATTGAACGTCATTTAATGCTATGACCTACATGGGCGATAAGTTTTTATCTCAAATGCGGCTTCACGGTACTTTTCACTTTTTTGGACAACGTAATTCGAATTTAGCGTCCCACATTAAAAAGTTTCATAATATTCCAAGGTCTCTGATGAGAATATTTCCACAGACTTATTGGTATACTTCCTAATTGTTTTTAATTATAAGATACTTTTTCTCACATTTGAGACTGTACAGCTGCTCTAGCATCAAGTCTGCCAGTGATTCTTCAATTTCAGCTTGAACATGAAATACTCCATGATTCACTGAAAAATACAGTGGATTAATTTATAATTTTTAGAACATTAAACGTTTGACTTACGGAAATAAATAAAAACGACTGCAAATATCGTGAACTTCATCTTCACGGGGCTGTTACTATCTTTCAAATGTATATTTACGTACATCCAATATCTCTGATATGTTTGAGATATCATTGAAATAATGCAGAACCGGTTCAAGATTTTTTATACATCCAAAGTTGGGCTTCGACACAGCACTTTTTCACTATTTTTCTATTATTTCATTTGAGCCACCCGAAAATTGAGAAACGTCACCAGCAAGATCAGTATCGCTCAGCTATGACCATGGAGGTGGAAACTTTCTTGCCTTGGAATGTACAAGATGCGGTGTTATCAAACGACTCAATGATGCAGTGTTGCAGAATTTGTGGCGATCCTGACCTTTCATTTCGACTTAAAATGGAGCGCCGTTAGAATCGATCCGGCATCGATCCTAAATATATTCGACACAATTCACAATTCAACAAAAATGTGTGTATGTTTGTGTAATTCAAAGTAAAACCATTATTTGGGCGTAAAGACTAAACTAACGCATATTTTTAATATGCATCTAAATTCAAGGAACTGGTATAACATATGGCAACGCGGCAGATTGCCGCGTCAGCGTTGCAAGGCAACACGGCGATGAGCTTCGCTATCCGTCTGGCTTCTATCTCTTTCTAACATATTTTAACACTTCTCTCTCGTACTTATTGAACTCAAGCTGTCAGACAAATTTTGTTCACAGTTTAGATATTATATAGGTATTCCTGATCTGTGTTAGCGTTCTGGTAGTAGCCCCAATAAATTCCCATCTATTTATTTAATATAATCACAAAAAGCAGGGGTCACTACAAAGAGTCTGTGGACAAATTCGCCAACGAAGTCGTACGAGACAGAACCTATACAGCTCGCTTAACATTGATGCAGCATAAACACAAACAAAACCAGTGTACTCGCTCAATCATCTCAATATTGTATGATGACTATAAAAAAATGTTTAACAAAGTGTACATTTTCAATTCTGATATCATGAATTTTGCATGAGTGTCTTGAACCGGACCTGAAATTTTGTTTATAAAACCTTTAACCTCCGGCTCTTATAATTGAAAAATTAAACTTGTGGGAAATAAAATCAATAAACATGACTTGTTAAAATTATAATCAATCATGAAAAACCTTTATTTATGTATGATAAGTTAATTCTCGTCAATCTTCTATGTTTGCGCCAGTTTCTGAAACACCAGATAAATTATTTTTTATTAATCTTCCGAGAGCTCTGTTATTTTTAAACCTGCAAATACAATTGCATTTTCTTGTAAAGTAAGAACTTCGAGGTACGCATCTTATGAAATTATAATGTTTGTCACTAGTGATTGCGGCTTTACAGTTAGAAATTGCACACAAACACCAATCCATGGCTAAGTGGATTGTCTAAAACTATAATAGGGTCGAGATCAAGCGTGGGTGACGAGGACACAATCAAGAGCATCTGTAAGGAGAAACAGTTTGATTTTTGCGGTAGATGTGAATTTACTACAGCTTGAAAAAAATTGAAAAATAAACTGAATGAAAAACTGTTCTTTTAAAAAATATATAGATTATTTTATAAAATATGTCTGAAGCTATTTGTTCGGCTAATTCTGATGAAATTTTGTTAATAAGAATGGTCAACCTTTGTGTTAATTTGTTTTGAATTAGACATTTTATAAAGATTACTACTATTCTTCAAAACTCGAAAATTTATTTTTCTGGTATGTACAGCCATATATTGTAAAAGCGTAAAGTATCAACTAATTTGTCGTTAAATTCAAATGACTTCCATATAAAGTTAAGTTTTGTGTTTCCCTGCATCGACAGAAACAGGTAATTGAGGTACCAAATTGCAACATCCTGCAACCAACAATGCACTGCCAGCAGATCTGCCTTGTGGTTCTTTTTTTGGCTGTTGTCTGTTATACCCGGTTCGTGCATTTATCTCACAAAACATTAGTTGATAATCTCACATCAGGATTCATTTTTATACATGAGGTACATTGAAATTTGCCCTAGAAGCCGTTTCAATATAATTATGTTTTTAATTTTCGGTAAAGTAGAGTTACTAAAATGTGAACTTGATTCGTTGCCGCTGTCCGAATCGATGGTCTGAACCGATGTACAGATGATTCACGTCATATTCCATATTTTATACCAGCTCCTATTCCATACACATAGAATTTCAAATAGAAAAGGGATCTCGTTAACGCATCATACACCACTTGTGTTATTACATAAGCATAAGCGCATCCTCATTGAAAAACCCTTTAATCAGGTAGCCATGAACGAAAATACGAAATACAACGTTTGTTGTGAAGTCATTAACGAAATGGTAGGCATGCCGGTATTCAACTACTTGTTGGAAAAAAGAAACGCTGATAGCAGTGGACTAGACGCCGTGTTAACAAACGAACCAATGATGCAATTTTGTAGAATTTGTGGCGATCCCGACCTTTCATTTAGATCTAAAATGGAGCTCCGTTAGGTCCGATCCGGAATCGATCCTAATCAGATTCGACACAATTACAAAATGTGTACGTTCAAAATAAAACCATTATTTGGGCGTAAATAATAAACTAACGCATATTTTAACTATGCATCTTAATTCAAGGAACTGGTGTAACATATTGGCAGCGCGGCAGATTACACGACCTTCTGCGTCACTGTTGCAAGGCAACGTGGTGATGACCTCGCCAAATTTGGACCTCATCGTATATCAACTCTAGAGAAAAGTTCTAAGGCGCATTTTTTGTTCAGAATGGGTACAGTTGCGCCTTGTAGAACTTGGGATTTCACTGTTTTTTCACTTGAAACTTATAGAGGGTAGTCTGATAGATTATTTTAAATCAAAAAAAGTGTGGATGAAGCAGGCTTTTCATGAAAATTTTTTCCCAAACCACAGCATCTTTAGTAGCTATTTCCCCTATTATTTTCACCGCCATCTGCCATATATGATGTCTGTATTGTCTGTGCGTATGTATTATTGAGAGGTGCTTGCCTGCAGTGTTGTAGGATTGGGCTCGGCATTTAGGGAAAAATATGAAAACTGGAAAATTTATATACATATATTAATGACACAAAATAACGAAAAAGAAACAAAAAAAACTAAAATAACACAGCAGTAAATTAAAAAAGGATTAAGGGAATAATTATAGAAAAAAAATTGTGCATTATGAGCTAGTAGTAAAATATATTCTTGAACACATACATAGGTAGGTATGAGAAGTGATCACTCACCACCTCACAGTTCCTGCTTCAAAGCTGGGTATCAAGGATCAAGGTACAGGCTTGCCACCCTTTCTCGGTCTTATATTCTTAATCAATTGAGTGCTGACGGTTCCCCACCAATACAACTACTACTTCATAATGCACAATTTTTTTCCGTAAACATTAGGAATCCCTTTTTAATTTACTACTAAGGTATTTTAGTTTTTTGTTCCTTTTTCGTTATTTTGTTTCATTAATATGTACAGGGTGTCCGCAAAGTTGGGGTTTTCCTTTACACGACGTGTAGATCTTGAAAACATAAGCAATTTTTCTTAGTACCATATACACCAATGTCTTAAGGGAACCGAGATAAAGGGCTCTGCAACATCAAAAATATCTGAATACCGTCCTGTAGCCGCGACATCACCGACTGGTACAAGGTCACTGGCTCAACCCGACGACAGAACTGGGTCGAGGTCAGTGTGTCAGGTCAGTATGTCAGGTCAGTATGCAACCTTCAACCGACGGTTACGGTCACGCGTGTAGAGGTAATCGCGTAGACGAGAATCCCTCAACAAGCACTAGAGACGTGGCTAGAGAAGTGCAAGTATCAAAAACTAAAGTGTGGCAAACGCTGCGTGAAGAGGGGCTGTATCCGTTTCACGTCCAACGTGTACAAGCCCTTCAACCTAACGATTTTCCAGCAAGAGTGCGGTTTTGTGAGTGGTTGTTGCATCAACATGACAATAATCCGGACTTTTTGAAGTGCATATTGGTGACAGACGAATCTACGTTCACGCGTAATGGGGTGAATAACTTTCGCAACACTCATGTTTGGTCAGTAGAAAATCCGAGCGCTGTCCGTCGGGCACATTTTCAACAAACATTTTCGGTGAATGTTTGGGCTGGCATGGTGAACGGTATGCTCATTGGACCATTTATTATCCCAAATCGATTACACGGGATGCAATACCTAGATTTTTACGCAACATTTTGCCTTGTTAGAAGATGTGCCATTAAGTGTAACACAATCAATGTGGTTTCTGCGTCTGCTCGGTAGCGCATCAGCTGATTTCATTTTCTGTTGGAGCGGTATGATTTCGGGCAGAGACGTACTTAGCCCTTCTCGTCAAATGGAAAGTGAGTACTTTTTCCTTTATTTTTTTTACTTGGTCGCCCTCGTTTCACTACTCATTACCTTTGTTATTTCAAGGGTAGTTGTTTCTGAAAAGTAATACCCCAACTTTGCGGACACCCTGTATATATATATATATATAAATTTTCCACCTCTAATGACATATGCTCAGATGTAATATGGAAGGTGGTGGTTGAAATAAAGGTGGAAATAGCTGCTAAAAATAAAGTTTTTTGGGAAAAATTTTTCATGAAAAGCGTCCTTCATCCACACTTTTTTTGTTTTAAAATATTCTATCAGACTACCCTATATAAGTTTCAAGTGAAAAAACAGTGAAGAAGAACAGAAGTTCTACAAGACGCAACAGTACCCAATTTTTTACGCCACTTTGGGTCTGCCCACTTGTAGATTCGTTAAAAGTGGGCCCTCAGAATATGCAAACTTCGGAATTGGAATATTTTTCGGAGCAGATACGCCGATACGACCTGGACCCTGGACTATTGTCTGTGTAATGTGTATCTGTGTTCTGTGCCTGATTACCGGTGCATAGGCGCAAGCGCGTGGGAGGGGCAGGTGCATATGTCGTGGCTGGTCCCACATGATGCTTCCAACGTTGTGTACAACGTTCGGATGAACTTTTTAGCCTCGGACGTTCAACGCATGGTGGCACCAACGTCTATTATCGATGTCAGTGTCGCGCTTGAACCTTTACAACTGAAGGAAAATTTATACGAAATGAACGATGAAACAATTTTTTCGAGCGCCGAAAAATAATTTCAGATGTCTTTAGCGACCAAAACTTAAGGTTGTTAGAAGCCTCAGGAATGTCGAAAAACGAAGTTTAAACGTTTTTTGTTTGTTTTTTGACGATAACTCCGCCACCACTGTACCGGTTTTCAAAAACTGCAGTGCTATTCGTCATTTTCGTAGTAGTAACCTAGGGTCAACATTTCATCAAAATCCTGATAGTACTTTCAGAGTTATCCTTTATTTAATCCTTTTCGTTAGTCATGAAATGCAAGTCAATATATTTCTCACGTAGTCTTGCATTGCAACAGGACATTATAATGAAACAACGGTAAGCACTTGATAATTTATAATTTACTAAAATATATACATATCCTTAGGCCACCTGCGATACGTACAAAATATTAGCAATGTGAAAAAAAGGTGTTATGACACCCTATGCTTTGTATGTATACTAATTTAATTCATTCTCCTCAAAAGTAGTTACGGAACATGCATTATTGGGAATAGGTAGGTATTCAAATCAAAATACTCTCCAGATACCACTACTTCACCACAATCACAGAAAACAAGTAACTAGTATTTTTCGCCGCTACTGGTTCTAACCTAAAACCATCAAACGCATAACATCTCATGCTTCCAACCTTGTAACGTCCTTTGACGCGGGTCAGATTTACCGTCAAGAGTCCGAACGTGCACGTGCCATGTGGCGAACGTTGGACACAACATACAATCCGTCAGCGCTCTCCCACACGATGTGGCGAATGGCCATGTGTCCTACGTTGTAAGGCATTCGCCACATCGTGAGGGACCGATTTTAGCCAAGCCGTAGGTCGTACGTTCTAGTAGCATAAAACACTTTCTGGTTTGCTACCTTGACGTTACACATATAAGTATTTAGGGTGTTTAATGTTCATGTTGTCACTACTGCTACATTGGCAACTCCTGCTGCGCATGCGATTAACTGCTCATTTAAATTACATGAACAAGGCATTAGTCTGTTCTCTGTTGGTGTTTTGTGTTTTTGTTGTCTCTTGTCTCCTTGTCTGTGGGTCAAGAGAAACGGTGGTGCTACATCAGATTCTTTTTGTCTTGATCTATGGATGGGTGAAAATAGTGATATCATAATAAGTTATATGTTTTGCTGGCCTAGACATCAAAGAACGTGATGATTGAATAATAAATTTGTATCTGTAGGACAAATCCTTATTAATGATGTCTTTCCAACAGCAGGGTTACTTTGGAGACATCGTACATTTGAATGTTGGTGGAAAGCAGTAAGCACATTTCCTTTAATTTGTAACTCGTAGGACTACAACAAACTCTTTACAGATTCTCAACATCAAAGCAGACCTTAACATCAATCCCTGATACGTTTTTCACTGCACTGCTTAGTGGTAGAATATCAAGCCTAAGGGATGAGAAAGGTGCTATTTTCATTGATCGTGATCCAAAAATTTTCTCAATAATTCTCAATTATTTGCGTACAAGAGAAATTGAACTGAATGGTATTGATATAAGAACTCTGAGGCATGAGGCTGAATACTACAATATAGCACCTTTAGTGAAGAGGTTGATGTTATGTGAAGATCTAACACAGTCAACATGTGGTGATGTGCTATTTTATGGGTCTCTACCACCACCTGGTATGTGCAAACTTTTTCTAATAATACATTCTATAAAAACCTATTATATAGTAAAATATTTCAGAACTTGAATGTTTATGTTCACTTTCAGTCCCAATTCTTTCATTTACACCCAAAAACTAGGGTCTGAAATTATTTTTCCATCTAAAATGGCTGGTGTAGTTAAGCAAGAGATTTAGCCCACTATTCAGGAGTAAGGACTAGCTACCATTATTTCATTTCAATATATTTTGTCATATGCACAGAGCTTTAAAACTTTCATATTTGAATAAATAAATGATAAAATCAATGATAAAATCAATGATTTACAAAATGCTATTATGAAAATAATTAATAAACAATTATTTTATCTTTTATGCATTTCAAAGCTAATGATTAACTTCTTTACAATGACTCAATATTGATAACAGTAATTTTTTATTCATCATATTTTTATGTAGTAGATAAGTTTTATAATAGAAGAAAATTCTAGAGAGCTTATAGCACGTTTGTCAACAAGTTATTTAAATCCAATATGGGCTCACAGAAATGTGCTGTTATAACTCTGACGTTGCTTATGAATACTTCATGACAAATTATTTTTGTTAATATAAGGTTGTATCAGGAGAATGGGAAGTAGGCATCATATTTTTTTGCAACAATGAGCCTTTGAGTCACATATTCTCAAATAAGAAACCCAATTTGTGCTGTTTGAATGTTCATATAAAATTTCTAAATAGGATTAAATTAATTCCCTTTGAAGTAATAAAAAGATACTATTTTAATTTTAAAGAAAATTGTTTATTCTCCAGCATGATTTCAATCTGAGGACAGATGAACCCTCAACCTCTACCATATTTATTCCTAACATTTTATGTTCTTAGAATTTCTTAACAGTTCTTTTACATCCTATTTAATTTAACTGAAAAAATTATCATTATTTCATGATGATTTCAGTGATCCCCATCCAAGACATAGGCAATAATGGGAGCATTCAGCCTCCTTTTGTGGAGCCAGCTGCAGTGCACCGACCAGGTTCTAGCGTTAGGGTGCCTGAAGATAAACCATCTACCAGTAACTCTGGTACTGGTGATAACTGTGATAATTCTGGGAATCAGGCCCAGCTGCAAGCTGGCAATGGGGGAGCTATAGTGCAGAATAGGCAAGGTATCATATTTCCCGAAGTTAACTATAACTTATTCAAATGTCATATACAACACAAGAAACATGGCTTCTCTATCTTCTAATTCTTGTGGACCTGCTAGCTTATTGTTGTATACTACTCTGTGAACTGGCCAAACTGGGTGTTTTTTGACAGAGTAAATTGTGGATATAATAATTAAGAATAATAATAAGAAAATGAAATCATTTTCTCTTTGTAGATCCTTTGGGCTTGAAGTACCACTGCAAGTGGCTATAACCGGCCGCGTTTTTGTGGTTAGATGTCGCCTTGAAAATTCGAGGATTTCCTACCATTTCATACTACATTGTGTAGGTTGGCTCTTGTTGTGGACTTCGTGTGTGATTTTTTTTCTCACCATATTCGTTTCTTCAGGTTACACCCGTATCCGGATGTATGGGCTTGTGTATCTACTTTTGTAGTTGGATATGTGCATTCATTTCGGGCCTGATGAAGCCAACTAGCAGAAATACGCATCGCTCGGGTTACCTATCATATTTTCTGCTCGAATCCACTTTCCTTCTTTTTGCGGATTTTGCCCATTATTTTGTATGTTTATTCAAATATTTGTTAAGATACTTGAATGTAAACAATAATGGTCATAGACAATTAATCTATATTGAAACAAATGATGGCAATTTGTTTCCAAGAGGAACATAGTTTTTTGGAACTTAATAGTTAAGCATTTATGTCTGAACCAATCTTTCTATCTTCTCCTTGAGATCATCCCACCAGTTGTTATATGAATAGATAATAGCATATAAGTGTTTTTAACTTTTGCAGAGTTGAGATTAGGCATGCTCACAAACTATAGTAGAAGTTCCCAGGATCTACGTGGCCTTGCTAGCAGAGGTCATTCCAGAGCAGCATCTTTAGACCTTCGACATGCCAGAAATTCATCTGCAGATCTCAATAAACTTATCAGGAACGATGTTGGTTTAGTTTTTGGAATGACAGGTATGCTGTGTTAAAACTGATATGAAACTATAATTATTTTTTACTATTTAGAAGAACTGTGATTTGAAAAAATTGGACTTTTTTCAGGACTAGGCTGGGCAGACCCATTAAGGGTACAAATAATTAAAGCGCATCATAACTGGATAGTTGTCGCTTATGCACACTTTGTTGTGTGCTACAGGTATGGTATTTTACATATTATTTATGCAACACCTGACATCATGTGGTTTTCATGCTCAAAGAACTCCATGATCTTTAGGCCAAATCAAACCACATATGTAAGAATTTCAGCCACCACAGTGGTAATAAATTAAAAAAAAAACACTTTTAGAAATAATATTAATTTTAGAACATCAGTTGTATCAGGTGGGTTTGGGATTGATTTTTATTCTTACTACATCAGGCCAAACTTTAGCCTCTTATTAGTTAAATAAAATATTCTTCCTGAGTACTGCTTATCATATGGGAAGTAAAACAATCAGGTTTTCCCACCTGCTAGTTAATTTGATCTAATTTCTTTCAGACTGAAAGACTCAAGTGGGTGGCAACAGGTTTTCGTCAGCCCTTACATTGAAAATGTGATAGAACGTATAGCTATAAATGCCAAGATGGGATCTACAGAAACTTCAAAGATGGTGGCCATCTCCTATGGAAGTCAAGTTAGGTTGTGGGGGATTTCAGATGCTGGATCCAGAACTAACATTGGTATGCTACTTGCATTTCGTCAATCTCAGCGAAAAATTGACATCAGATTTGTAAATTGACTTACCCAAGAAATGTATTGTCAACTTTTTTGAAAATTCTCATTTAAATAGATTTTAAAACTTTTTCAAATATGTATTCCTTTTTGATCTTTTATTGTTACAAGCTAATAAAGCTCTGTATGTTTATATTGATTTCAATCATGGCCATTAAACAAAGCTTTTTGGAGCCCAACTTGTTTTTTTGGAAACATAATGACTATATTATTTAAAGCATGCTGTGGCAAAAATGTCAACGCGTTATCTTTGTTTTTGTTTACCTTTGTTAAACTGTTATCTCTTAGTTTTTGTGAAGAAAGCAGTTACTGAGAGCTGAGTAGTACAGATATTTTTAGTTATTGCCCTTTCATTTACTAGTGTTAAGCATAACAAAATGCCTCGAGCCCGAAGACGTTCAAATTATCACCATGTTAGCGACTTTGAGAGGGGTAGAATTATTGCCTATCGAGATGCGTGTGTATAGAAGAAGGTAGAGGAACACGAAGAAGGTCAACTGGTCCTCCGAGGCGTACCACAGAGCGTCAAGTTGGACTTTTTGATAACGTCCACGGTTAGTGCTTCCTCTGACTGCGGACCACTGTCGTCAGCGTATGAAGTGGAGCAGAGAACGGCAACATTGGGAAGCAAAATGGCATAATGTCATCTTTAGCGATGAATCGCGATTCTTTCTAGGTGCGCACGATGGTCGTAGAAGGGTAAGACGCCCCCGTGGAGAACGGCGTGATATTGGATTTGCTGCTGAGAGGCATGTACACAGGACTGTTGGAGTAATGGTTTGGGGGCTTTTGCCTATGGTAGCCGATCACCCCTTCTTTTTGTTCAAAGCAATATCCGCGTTATGTTCATGATGTCCTACAAACGCACGTCCCCATATTGCTCGTCGTACTACGGACTTTCTTCAAGAAGCAGGCGTTAATGTTTTGCCATGTTCACCGGATTTAAATCCCATCACACATATGAGGGATATGATGCGGAGGAAACTATCCTCCTTGCACCATCCGCCACAGACTCTGCGACAGCTAACCCACGAAGTTCGAGTTGCTTTTGTCGATGCCTACACGTATACAGGAGTGATTCAGCAGCATATTATTTTTTTCCCATTACTTGTCAATAAAATTTAGTGAGAATGTTATCGTTTCATTTTAGATGTAAGAATACCTCATTGCCAAAAAAACAGGTGAAGAAATTGTTTTTTCTGGGTGTAACACTTATAATGTCACTGAGTGTACTATTCGTCAATGTAACTCTTGAAGCTAATACATATTTGAAATTGCTTGTATTTCGATAGTGGTTTGTTTTACAGGTACATTTAATCTGCATGTTCGCGTGGAATACCTATTTTTCATCGGGAGTCAACTGGTAGCACTATCACCTTCTGGAAAATTGGGCGTATGGCATGCCATGACGCAACATTGGCAAACTCAAGATGTCATGCCCATTGCTTCATTTGATACTGCTGGATCTATACTTTTGCTGGGTTGCAACAACGGATGTATCTATTATATAGGTAAGTTTGAACACTGAATCAAAACATCTTATTAACTATCTATCATGCTTTATTTTATTCCCGAATGAGTTATGGTATCATTGTGGGGGAACTCAAGCAGTGCCCAATATATTTTCAAATTACAAAAGAATTAATCACTGAAATTGGGTACCGCGATTCGTGTCGTCAGCACTTCACCAATTTGGAAATAATGACATTGCCTGTGATGTTCATATAGCAACACCTCATTGAAACACACAAAAATAAATCATAGTCTGATACTAACATGTCACACCATACTTATCCAACTAGGACGCGGTCATTATTAAGAGACTACAGTTTCAGGCTGGCAAGAACTGCTGAAAACTCCCTTATTTTATATTAGACGAAAATGTGAATTGCGAAATAATTGTAAAGCCTGGTTTTATTGATGCAAGTTGTTCTACGGGGTATTTAAAACATGGACACATAAAATGGGTACACAATTTTTTGTAGAAAAACTTTATTCGACAACAAAGAATGAGAAAACCCGATTTCTGGGTATTTAGGAGACCTACAAAATGAGACTACGCGTAAAAAGATCCAATTAATAGTAGAAAAGTTATGACCGAAAACCGAGGTAAAGTGCAGGTTTTGGTTGCTAATGTGACGATAATTTCACTCAGCTACTTGAAATTCTCCAAATCCGTAGGCTTCATACTACTAAATAACTACAACAAAATTCGAGTCGATTGGTCAAATAGTTTTTGAGAATTTCGAATTGTTTATCCCAAAACACTTGTCTTCCTGCCATCACTACTAGTTTACTGAGCAATATACAGGGTTCGTTCTAAGGGCATTTTATAGCAAAATACATATACCTTGCCGATATGAATCGCAAACCATTCCGAAAGATAAATGTTTGATAAACTATTATTTTTGAATCCTGAGTGGATGTCCCTTAATTTGTTTAAAAATTCGTAAATATATGCGCGGTTAATTTTTGAACATCATTTTTTTGAAGCTGTTCTCGTGAATATGAACTTACGTGACTATGCTTTCATAGATATGCAGAAGTTTCCGCTAAGGATGAAAGACAACGATCTACTAGTAACAGAATTATATCGTGATCCAAACAACGACCCTGTTACAGCGATTTCAGTGTATCTGACCCCCAAGACAAGTAAGTATTTAGTGTGAATGGTATCACTAGTATGCATACGAGGTTTGTCCGGTTAATACGTATAAAAAATTCGGGGCGTCGTGTCAAAGCGTTGTAGAGGGGTGGCCTGGTGGTTCCCTCTCTGTATGCCATCCCCTTTAAGCTCAGTTCGAGTCGGAGCGCTCTACTAGTAAGTAGGATTTACGCGTGCTTGTTGAAAGTAACCCGTTTTTTAACTGCCTCTGATCTAGGAACAGCAAATCAACATCAAGTTCCTTGCAAAACTAGACAAGAATGATTGTGAGATGTTTGAGTGTTTGGAACAAGTTTACCGAGACAATTCTCTGGAGGAACCAACCGTCAACACGTGGCTGAAAAGGTTTCGGGAACCAGCACGAGCGGCAGCGACCGTTTACATGCTGCCCGCTGTACCAACATTCAGTCCTGTCCTTACCACAGGGACGCGGGTATCTTAACCTAATTTATTCCTTTTTTGGAAAATTATTCGTTTTAAAATACACTTGGACCATGATTGCGTGGAGCAATGATCAAGTATTGAAGTTTTTAGAGCTATATGCGGCTGAAAGATTATTATGGTAGTATTGAAAGACATCCCAATACAAGAGCTTAAGTCGACAAAAAATCGCTAGTGGCAACATTTCGGCCGCTATTAAAAAAGGAAAACGCATCGATTAGATGCGGGAGAGGGGGCAGATGAGGTGTGTCAGCCCATTTGGTTTGCATTTGATGTAATGGAAAGTTTTTTGGAATCAGTTTATGGTAGGTTAGAAGGATGGCTGCATGTAAACAGTCACTTGCTCCAAGAGCTGCCGTGAAATTATTTACGCGAGTGGCAGCGGCAGTGCATGTAAACCCGGTAAAATCGTTTCGAAGCTCTCGACTCCAGAACAGAAAGCAAGGAGGGTTGCTTGCTGTGAGGATTGGTTGGAAGCAGAGGAAAGGGAGCACTTTCTCAACCGGGTCATCACTGAAGACGAGTCTTGATTATACGAATTCCATGCGGAGCTGAAATCTCAAAGCATAAAGTGTAAGCAGAGGAACCGAGAACAAAAAAGACGAATGTGATAACTATGTTGATTGTTTTCTTTTATTCTCGGGCCATCGTTCACCAACGATTTGTCCCTCCCGGACAGACAGTGAACGGAAATTTCTACAGTGAAGTTTTGCTTCGTGTGGCCCGAGTTCGACCGAATTTGGCACAAGGGGGCAGATAGATCCTTCATCACGACAACTCGCCTGCTCACACGTCTTTCGTTGTGCGTGAGTTTTTGGCCCTAAGCTCTATCACCGTGACAGAACACCCGCGTTATTCACTCGATTTAGCCCCTTGCGACTTCTTCGTGTTCCCAAAATGCAAAATGGTGCTTCGGGGACGGCACTAGGGGATGGGGATGCCATCAAGGCTGAAACGACACGGCGAATGAAGAGCCTCACAATTGAAGACTTTCAGCGATCGTATCAATAGTGGAAACGGCGTTGGTAGAACTTCATCTTGTCTCAGGGGGAGTACTTTGAAGAAAACCATATTGAAATACCTGAACAATTGTAAAATAAAGTTAATATTCCAATTTTATACGTATTTTCCGGACAATATCAATATCACATACCCCTTATATCATTCCAGCCAGCTCGAACTTTCCAGACGCTTTAATACATCCATCAGATTGTAATTTATTATCTCCTGTAGTCTGGAACGTTTCGAGATTTCTCACATTACGTAAATCTGGTATCTCTTCCCAGTAACTTAGGCCTTGTGTTTCATGCCAGCATCTGAGAGGGGTCGCGAAGGTAATAAAATATCACACACACAGTTTTTTATCTGGCTTACACGATTTTTTAGCTACTATACATCATACATACGATTTTTTACATGTATATTACACATAAAATTTGGGAGGTAGACAAACTTTTCGGATGGAGAGAAGAACGTAGTCATAGAAATTGAAATATTTGTATGATTTCTTTTCGATTATCCTATTTCATACTAGTGTTACATACTTGAAACACTTCTAATGTTTGATCTAGCGGAATCTCATCATGAATTACCAAATGTCAAAGAAAAAAATCAGCTAAATTCGAATACCTCCATATGAAACTGAACATTACAACATGCATTTTCTATCATTATTCTTTGTTTATCATTCATTGTATCCTAAAATTTTGCTCTCCATCTGACTGTACAGAAAAATATACACAGTTGTTGAATTTGTTTGTCCAGCTGCTTGTTTGGTGATAGTGTTTCGATTTTTTGTTTGCAGAATGGTAGAAATTAAAAATGAATGCACTCAGTGATTGGTTTGGCTGGTATGCCACACAAGACACCAAGCTACCAAATTTTTTCTATATACTCTTTGAGAAAACACGTCGAGTTTTGTGATGCTACTAAAATATCACTAATTTCTTTCTAAAGCATACGATTACTTATTGCACCCCCGAAAATAATTTATCAATTATAATGCTCTGAACAGACGTGCTTTCTCTTCATTAAACTATTATTTTCTTTGATCTATATGCTTCTGTTACCCACTTAGTATCCAAATGCTTTAATTTTTACTTGATAGGCATACTTGGTGTCCTGAAAGTTGGGACTTTCCTTTTCAGAAACGACTATGCTTGAAATAAAAAAGGTAATGTGTGGTGAAACAGTAGTGAAAGAGTAAAAAAACAGAAAAATTACTAACCGTCCATTTGCAGAGAAATTTCAAGTACGACTCAGTCACTTATAAGTAGTTGTCGCCCTTGGTAAAAAGTTTAGGAAGTGTAAACCATCTAGCTGATTCGGAAAAATAATGAGCCTACCATTATCCATGACAGCCCAAAATATTCAAAGAGAGGATTTTTCAATGACCACACATGATTATTTCGGAAGTTACTCATCCCGTTACGCGTGAAGGTTGATTCGTACATGACTAACACGGTCTGCAACAACCACTCACAAAAACGCACACTTGCAGGAAAATCCTCAGCTTGAAGGGCTTGTACAGAAAGGTACAAACCATCGTTACGCAACGTTTGCGACACTTTAGCCTTGAAGATTTGCTTTTATCTAGACCAGGGGTCGGCAACCTTTTGAGACGGAAGAGCCAAAAGTTACAATTTACAAAAACGAACAGTTGCATTTTAAACGAACCAGCATTAATTCCAAATGACTCAATGTTGATCTCCTTTATATTTGTGTTAAGAGGATTTACTATGAACTGGAAAACCGCTACTTGACATCAAAACAGCCGCAGGTTGCCGACCCATGATCTAGGCACCTTTCTAGTGCTTGTTGAAGAATTTTCTTCCACAAGAACTCTCGTTGTCTAGGTCGCCCAATGAATCCTCCTCGACATTCCTGCAAACGACCTATATCCCTAGCTCTTTGCAGAAGGTAAACTTAACGCAGTCCTGAATGATAACATCTGGGAAAGCGATCTGCATACACATGCTAAGGCCCGGTAGCATTTTGAAGACACGCATCATAAATTAAAATCATCATCAAGTTCGATATTGCTATGCGAGTGTTTGTTTTGAACCGATTGGTAAATTAATGTCTTACTTACGCTGCAGGGTCTTAGATGAACACTCTTGTTCTGATCGAGATACAGGAGCGGATTAGATTTGGTTTATGTTAGGTTTGACTGATTTTGCGGAGCCTATCATCTGGGTTAATTTAAGACTTTGATGAATTTGCTACTAGGAAAACCGCTTATTTTTCGAGATCTATACGTCGTGCAGAGAAAAGTTACAACTTCGCGGACACCCTGTATAATAAGAAATATACCAAGTCATTGTCGCTTGTTAGATCGGTGTTATAGTACGAGTATCACTTCGCAAGATCTGGTAACCTAAAAACCAGACAATGTTAAGGAAGAAAACACCTTTTTGTCTTCAGTATCATTTTATGACATTTATACAGCGTGTTCTTTGAGTTAGTTTGGCACTTCTGTGAACTTTTAAAATTGGTGAGACGGACGTGCTGACAAGCCCTAGAGGACGTTGAATTGGTATATTTTAATAAATTAGACTGAAATATTGTATATTATGTTTGTCAATATTTTAATTTTAATTTTTATAATGTAACTAAATATGGATTTCTCAGATCTATGCGGCAATTGGATAGAAATTGCCTATGGTACTACTTCTGGCGCCGTTAGAGTGATTGTCCAACATCCTGAAACTGTGGGTCATGGTCCGCAGCTGTTTCAGACGTTCACTGTTCATCAGAGTAGGGTGACCAAGGTAGGTTTAATTTACAAATTTCATGACCATCTCTTGCAGATCTTGACAATATTTTGGTTATGATGACTCACAATGTGTACTTTAAAAACAAAAAAAAAACGAAATTCACTGCATTTTGGGACGTCAGTTTTGGGGCCTTCCCTCAAACTCATCGACAAACTGACATTAGATTCGTGAGTTTTGGCTGAGATTGCAGATGCGCAAGAATAGGAAACTATCTTCAATAGTATTCATTATAGCTTTGAGATTTCTCCATGCAAATTATACTTGTTCATCCTCATTTTTTACAAGCAAATGAATGTCGGTACACTAGAGAAATTTGGGTCGCTGATTTCCAATGTATAATAAAATTAATGTTTATTTAGCTAAAAGCTACATTATTACATAAATTTGAACATAACAAAGATCACATATCACTTGGATCTTCTAATATATAAAGTCCTTAATTCCTTAATCCTTCAACAAAAAGATTTTTCCAAAGCCTTTTTTGTAGCAATCTTTTTATAACTATTCTTTTTATCTAATTGCTATTTTTCATAAAATATTCTTTGATGTTGTTCAAATATCGGGGCAATTTTTATCAAATACATTACGGTCATATGAAATATTTGTAATATTTAATACTTTGTGTGCATGTTTGCAATTACTTCTCAGCCTTACATGCTTATTTTATGTGACGGCAGCATTGCTCTTCTCAGACCGATATCCAAATCGCCAACATTTGTAGCATTGAAGAACACTAAAGAAATTGTAAAATTTATGACTATTCCATCCCAAATATGTTGACTGTTTTTTTTTTCTCTAGGCTGTACTTATTTTATTTATTGGACTCCAGATAACTTGGCTTCTACTATTACTACTCTTATAATTACGAATTACCTTCACTTCACTATCTCTTCTTGCTTCATGTTTATTTTGCTCTCGAAATTTAGACACACCTTCTTCATTCAGTGAAGCCTCACAAATGTTATTAATTTTAATTTTCGGTTTAACTGTGCCGTTCAATTTTGCTAATGGTATTTCATCTTCTACGTGACTGATTAAACATCCTTGTTTTAATTGTTATTTTATTAAAAAATATGTCTGCAGGATTTAACTTTTCCGTTAGAACATTTTTTGTTCCAGTGCTACTTTTGTTCTTGTCTTTTAGTTTAACTACCAATGCCTCAACTTTATTTTTTCTTATCTGACCACAGGATATTTTTTGCATTCCATTAATTCTGTTAATTTTGAAGATTTCTTCAGTAATTGATCAGTTTTATTTTCATTTTCAACATTTTGACTAAAACGTTTCTTTTCTACATAGTGTTACAGACAGACGTGCCAATATTTCTAGGGTAGAAAGTATCCTCAAAAATAACAAAAAAGCTCCTATAAATATGGGTCCAAAGATGCTCCCCTACCGAGATACATGGTGAAGGAAGTTTTATTTACGAAATTTAAGAAGTCCGTTTTATAAAATACTTTCCAAATTTTCCATAAATTTTGTCTCTCAAGAATTTGTTCTCAGATCACTCCTTAGGGCGAAGCTCTGTATTTTTATTGCTTATGATGTGCTCACTGAACGTCAAAGATCCTAACTCAGTATCTTTACGTACGGACTACAGTAAATACTGATCAAGTGACATGCGCCTGTGTCCGCGTCTTTTGTCAATTATTTATTTTTCAGGTGACTCTGTCTGAGAAATATCTCGTGTCTGTATGCAGTGAGTATAACCACGTGCGAAGTTGGAGAGTGACCAGATTCAGAGGCATGCTGTCGACGCAACCAGGCAGCGCGCCTGAGGCCTCATTCAAAATTGTAGCTCTGGAAGCAGCTACAGCTAGCAACATAGCTGGAAATATTGGTGGATTAGGAGCCTCCGGTTAGTAGTAGTATCGAAATAGTTGCTAATAGCATTGACGTGTTCTATAGGAAGATGGTGAGCTCTTTCTTTCATTTCCCTCGTCTCAGCAATGGCGGCATTTTCCATTTAAAGAAAGATCGCCCTTCAACCTCCCTCGTAATTATTCCTAAGATTTTTTTTCATATAACCTACCCTACACAAATGGCATATTTTAACAGGTGCTAGCTTAGGACATTCAGAGGCAGTAGGACATCTACGAGAAGCTGCTTGTGCTGCCGCTTCGGAATGTGGACCATTCGGAGAACAAGACGACGAACAGGTCTTTGTGCAAAAGGTGGTGCCTGATGCTGATCAGTTGTTTGTTAGATTGGCCAGCAACGGCAAAAGGTAAATTGAATATTTGGCTTAAAACAAGTATAGTTAAAAACACACAAAATCTGGCTAAAGTGATTGAGAAGAATGTAGTATAAATTGTGTTATCAAGACGAATCTAAGAACATTTCAAATGTCCAAATCTATCAAGCTATATATAGCCCGTGAAGTATAAATTTCAAACTCGAATTTTTCCATCAAAATCCATTATTTTGATTTCATAAAATTTTAGCATGCCCATTGTCAAGACGAATCTAACACTCTGTATATGTCAAAATCTGTCAAGTCCTTTGGGCTGTAACCTGTGAAATAGAATTATTCTTGTCCACATATATACATACCTATGCGTGAAAAAAATTACCTTCCTCCTGAGGGTAAAAACGAAATTCCTCAAGTTTCCAATCAGTCCAGTCTATCGCTCCCTTGAAGCTTGTTCCTGTCAGAATTTTATAAGTCTTGGTTCAAGTCTAAGCATAGCAACTTCTTTGGGAGGGTATAATGACTTTTGAGCAATTTGTTTTAGGGAAGCGAAAATATATATCAAGTATCTTTACTTTTTTGCAGGGTATGCGTCATAAAAGCGGTGGATGGCAGTACTGTGAGCGCGTTCTGTGTCCACGAATGCGAAGGTTCCAGTAGGATGGGTTCCAGACCAAGACGTTTCATATTCACTGGCCACTCAAATGGTTCCATTCAAATGTGGGATTTGACAACGGCACTTGATCTCTCTTATAAGACTGATGCGGGTAAGCATATTTAAGTTTGCAAAGTTGCTTTTACTTCCTACGCTAGTGGGCGAGGAACTATTGTAATTTCGAAAATGAGATATTATGGTTTTTGGATGTTCTGACATGTACATCATGAAAAACCATCTCACTCATTTCCGTCGGTCTGTCTGTCTGTCCGCCTATAACTGGGAAAGTACCACTCTGATATCTTTCTTGATAAAACAGTATCTCCGTAGACTTGCTGTGTGACGTAACGGCGACTTTCATACGCCGAGCTTTGTCCAACGTCTAGATGATTGACGGGGCTAGCGTTCTTGAGTTATAGTATCGTGACTGGTACTTATGACATGTGTTAGCACTAATTGTATATGGGCCTGTTTGGCTAATTTGACCCATTTAATTTTTTTTGTTATAATCCTTCATGAACTAAGGACAGCGTTGCGTAGGAAGTCCAGAGTCAACCTACTTGAAGCCTTTTTTTTTGTACCTTAATGAAAAAATCCGACAACTGACTATGGTTTCCGGCATTTTTCGTGTTTTTTTATTTTTTTCTTCTAATTTCAGCATATAACGTAAAAACGGTAGTAGTAGCACTAGTACTTTGTATTCACGCATATGCTTGGTTACACATTTCAAATAATAGATGAGTTATAATATAAATGTGTGGACAATATATAAATATTGAGAAACAAAGGCACCTTCAGATTACAAAATTTTGGTTTGAGTAGATGAATAGAAAGTCTCAAAGTATGAATCTTGAAACATTTGAATGTCAGACAGGAATTCATTGAAAATACTAGGAAGCTTTCACAAAAAGTACTTTTTAATATCAACTGGATATTAGTTTAAAATTTTGGGGTTTCCATCAGTTATTGTAAAAGTTTGTGCAATGATAATTCACTTTACTTTTTATATGTCATTAAGATGAAAATTATTCCTAAATTTTGTATATATGCCCACCTTAATATTTGTTAAATAGATACATTGATAAATTTACGTTATTGTGTGAAGGATGACATAATTAATTGACAAAGCTAATTTAAAACTAAACAATAACAAAATTACAAGGTATAATATGGTTTATTAATCAGAATGTTATATACTTAATGACATTAGAAGTGGTACACCCAGAAAAAATAATTTCTTCAACAAAATTAATAATATGTTGGGCGACCCCGCAGCTGAACTCCGGTATACGTCTAGACATCAACAAAATGAGATGATCGATGTCTGGTTGTGGCACCTCCTTCCAAGCAACTCAAACTTGGATTAGCTGTAGCAGAGTCTGTGGCGGATGGTGCAAAGTGGATAGTCTCATCCCCATCATATCCTACACATATTCGATGTGCTTTAAATCCGGCGAACGGGGTGGCAACGGCAAAACGTTAACGCCTGCTCCTTGAAAAAAAAGTCCAGTAATATGGGGAAGTGCGTTGTTTTGCTGAAAACGGACGTGAGGACGCCGTCTAGATACGGAAGGAAAGTGGTTTGTAGGACATCATTAACAAAACACGCAACAGTAATATTGCCTTGAACAAAGGAAAGGGGTGATCGAATACCATAGGCAATAGCCCCCCAAACCATTACTCCAACAGTCCTGAGTACATGCCTTTCAACAGCAAATCTAATATCACGCCGTTCTCCACGGCGGGCGTCTTACCCTTCTACGACCATCGTGCGTACCTAGTCAGAATCGCGATTCGTCGCTGAAGATGACATTATGTAATTCTGCCTCCCAGTGTTGCCGTTCTCTGCTCCAGTTGAAACGTTGACGACAGCGGTCCGCAGTCGGAGGAAGCACTAATCGTGGACGGTATGAAAAAAGTCCAAACGCTCGAATGCGGCGATAGAGTGTACGCATAGTAACAGGTCTACCTTCTTCTCCAAACCATTGGTCAGCGATCTGACGCGTAGTAGAAAACCATCTCGTAGAGCTAGTTGTCTGAAGCGAATATCTTGACGGCCTGTGGTACTCCTCGGTGGACCAGTTGGCCTTCTTCGTGTTCCTCTACCTTCTTCTAACGACACACGACACACACGCATTACCGTCATTGCATTACAATTGACGGCGGCCAATTTCGCGATAGGACAAACCAATATCTCGATGGGCAATAATTCTACCCCTGTCAAACTCGTTAACGTGGTGAACGTCTTCGAACTCGAGGCATTTTTTTATGCTTAACACTAGTAAATGAAAGGGCAACAACTAAAAATATCTATACTACTTAGCTCTCTGAAACTGCTTTCTTCACAAATACTAAGACATAACATGTTAACAAAGGTAAACAAAAACGAAGATAAAACGTTGACATTTTGCCACAGCATGCTTTAAATAGTCATTATGTTGCCAAAAAATGAGTTTTAGAAATTATTTCTTTTGATTTTTGATAGCATTAGAAAGGTACATTTTCAGACCACTATAAAGTATTCTTCATATTCACGAGTGTTGTTAATTAGACTGCTAATTTAAAATCTTGTTTTCCTAATACTGTGATAACAATTTTGAAAACAGATACACTAAAAGGGAATGCAGAATCTTAATCAAATAAGGCAAATTGATTGCTTGAGGCTGTGCTAAATCCTACATTGTAACTGTGTTCTACATGGTTCGTAAAATCGATTTTTTTTATCAATGGCTAGGTCTAAAAACGTAATCCTTTTTATGAACCATTTCATTACTTAAATTTATTGAATCAAGCATTTAGGAGCCTTAAACTTTGTATTATTTATGTAATTATGTATTTTTTGAATGCTTGTATATCACACACAAATAGGTGTGTTACTTTTTATACATCACTGTGCTTTCATAGGTGTTTGGCTTATTGCAATATAAACTTAAAAGTCACTATTCAAGCAAATTAGTGGAGTTTGGTGTAAATAATAGCTTCGTCTGTTTATAGCAACTTTTTTAGTTTATCTATATTATTGTTGCCACAATCTAAATTTCCAGATAGAAGCACCATGGGTGGTCCAACATCAGAAGAACTGCTTCGTATGCTGGATCAAGTTGAAATAAGCAGCAGTTTGAGCTCAACACCGTGTATGTCACCGTCTCCTTTGCTAGCTGCAGTTCAAGCCTCGGCAGCAAGGCTCAAATCTAGCAATGTGGCGTTTTTGAATCAGCTCCACCAGCAAGACGCTAGTGATAGGTCATCAGGGTCTAACTAGATTAGATTAGATAGATTATTATTTATAACTTTGCCAATCATATCACTGATTCTTTTTTCTCTAAATATGCTTCTTATGAACCTATGAACGAATCATATCAATTTGATGAACAAATTCCAAAAATTCTATAATGGATGAAAATTTGGATTCAGGTAACTGAAATAGCCTTTTTGAAAAACTTTTCGATTTTTTGATGGACCTGTGAATATTATATATAGAAAAATGTCAAGACATTTTTGTAACTTGAACAATGAGCTACAAAAGCTGTTACTGTGATATTTCCATATCTACATTCGCTTATCAAAGAGTCAATTTTCTTCATACATACCTAAATGCGCATAGCCGAGTACAAACAAGCGTTGTGCTTGTTACGGAAAATGACCGTTTTGTTTTTTTAGATCATTTGAAATAGTTTTGCCACGAGATTAACGATTCCGCTTTTCAGGTCTCAACTCATGGGTTGTATAAATAATATTATTTCCAGGAAAATCTCGTTTCTGGGCAATTTTGAATCGCTAAAACCTACTCAAACGTAAAATCAAAAAATACTACAAATATCTTAGGCCCGTATCGTCAGTCGTCCCTACAATTGTAGGGCGCCTTTATGGCCTCCTCGATTGTCATAGTTTTCTACTTCTCCGTGTCAGCGCTCTATTTTGAAGTTATGTCACAAACATCTATTTGCATCAAATTGTGCTTGCTTTTGAGTTATATCATGTTTTATCAGCTTGAAATTTCCTACAATTTAAAAAGAAAACATATCTTCACAATAGGAGAGCGCTGACGCTGACACGGGACGGGTGCAATCTAGAAATTTTTGAAGGAGAGAAAGGAGTATGACAATCAAGGAGGCCATAAACGCGCTCTACAATTGTAGGGACGACTGACGATACGGGCCTAAATCCTCAAATTCTTGCGAAATTATTGTCCAGTAGCTGGGCACGCAACAATGTTACTATGAGCGGTAGAAGTACGCTGTTATTTTGACGTTGCATACATGCCATTTGACCATAGTATATACAGGGTGACAGGTAAATAGGTGTAAAACATTTTAGGAGGTGATAGTACAGCCCCTTTGCTATCGAAATTAGTATATAATACCATAATACCCTATATTCAAAGGTTGAAAAGTTATTGAAGATTTAAGATTTTTTTAAAAACAATCCATATTTCAGAGTAAAAAAGTCGAGAGAGAAAAAAGTTGGCGATTAAACATTTGTTTTTTGTGGTTTTGGGTTATTATTTCAATAATTAACTATTATAAATTAAAAAAGATTCGAAAACAATACCAAACAACGTATTTATTTTCATTAAAAAATGTTCAACTAAGAAAAACAAATAACGTTTTACAGTAAGGTGTTTTACAAAAAAAAACAGTATACAAAAAAACGTACAAACAATTTAAATAATATCCTTGTTTCATAAGGAATCTAAATTGGTATGATAAGTGCACAAAAACTGTGTGAAACTAAACATAATGTATTGTAATACAACAATAGGGAGTAAATTTACCAATGGCTTGTCTCCTATTTTCACAACTCTCTGATTGATAAGAAAGTGTTTTTGTGAAAATAATGTAACTGTAAGCTATGGGATAGTTATTATTTTAAACTACGGTTAAGTTACACGATTAGATTATTTACACAGTTGTAATTGTACTACAAAATAATAAAAACTGACTAAAAGTTACTACAATTGGTAAGTAAAATACAATAATGAAATGAAGGTAAAATTCATTGCAATTGTTGTTCGAACTGACGCCCGCCGTTTCTTATGCAAGCCCGTAGTCTTTTTCTCATGTTGGTACGCGTGATGCGGCCAGTTAGTTGTCCACTGATAGTGTCAGCAGCAGCAATAATTCTTTCTTTCAACTGTGCAAGAGTGTCTATGGGCTCAGCGTACACCAGTGACTTCATGTGCCCCCATAAATAATAGTCACACGGTGTTAAATCTGGGCTCCTCGCTGGCCACTGTGTAGGTCCACCTCGGCCAATCCAGCGACAAGGATATTTCATCTGCATCCTGATATTCAGAGGCAGGTCTTGGAGATACTCCCAGAGTTCGGATCTCAAAAAGTTTTCATAGGATTCGCCATTCAGGTTGTCAGGCAAAAAAACTGGTCCAATTAGATACTTATGAATGATTCCCATCCACACCTTTGCCGAAAATCTTCTTTGATGGGCTCTAGGCTTGGCCATGTGGGGATTTGCCTCTCGTGGGGCCCAATAATGTAAGTTGTGATAATTTGTTGCCCCCTCTTTGTCAAACTTAGACTCGTCGGTCCACAATATTTTAGTTAAATAGTCGTTTTCTTCTTGATCCCGATGAAGCATGTATCGACAAAAATCAATTCTTCTTGCGGGATCTCTTTCTTCTAATACTTGAACCGGTGTGTAATGGAAAGGGTAAAGTCTCGCCGAATGCAAAACGAACCAAACTTTCCACTGAGTTAAACCAAGCTGCTTTGCTATAAGTCGGGTAGACGTCGTCGGGTCTCTGCCGTAGCATTCCAGTATTGCCTCTCGATCTTCGTCGTCAAACAACTGAGGTCTACCAGCATCATGACGTCTCTCATGAACCTATCCACTTTCCTTGACGCGTTGGTACACAGAAGCAAATACTCGATGACTCGGTATTCGCCGATTCGGAAAACGGTTTTCGTATTCTCGCCTGGCTTCAACGGAATTTCCATCACTTAAACCATAACAAAACAGAATATCAGCGTATTCTTCGTTACGGTAACTCGCCATTATTAAAACTGATCAAAAAAGTAAAAGTACGTCCTACCGCGTTAAAGGTTGATATTCTACTAACTAACCTAAGCGTTAGTTCCCTTTCCTTGATCCGTCAGCTGTGTCAATTCATAACACACTTTTTTTATCTCAACTATTTTACTCTGTAATCTGGGTTGTTTTTTAAAAAAATTAAATCTTCCATAACTTTTTAACCTTTGAATAAAGGGTATGGTATTATATACTAATTTTGATAGCAAAGGAGCTGTACTATCACCTCCTAAAATGTTTTACACCTATTTACCTGTCACCCATACATATACAGGGTGACTTCGAAGTTGAGTCATTTATTTTAACAGTGAGTAGATCTGATCAAAAGAAATGTTTTTTTCCTTTACCATTTTTCTGGTAAAATTAAAGTAACAAAGTTATAGCTCTTTGGAAGTTTGAGTACCGCCCTGTCTCAATACTAATATTATGTGCTCGTGTTTGGCGACAACGGATATAATTCGCCTTATCGGTTCATCGCATCGGAAACAAAAAAGCGAAAGAATTTGGAACGATGCTTTTACAATTATTTCATTCAGTTGCATACAGTCAGTGTCAGTCGGTAGTGGATAGTGGTGTCTGTTGCATGCCCTCCCCTGTGAGGTCTTAAGTCACCTGATTCACGAGCCCGTTGTACTTCATTAACAAAGGCACGAGGGGTTGGTTGCGCTCGATTGGGAAACCGATCCACATAAACATGTGCCATTTTTTATTTCGTTTGAGCCACGCAGCAAACACCACTATTCACTCACGCGTTACCGACTGACACATTGACTGAATAAAACCATCGTGATCAGCGTTTCCAATTCTTTCGCTTTTTTGTTTCCGATGCGATGAACCGATAAGGCGGATTATATCCGTTGTCGCCAAACACGAGCACATAATATTATTATTGAGACAGGGCGGTACTCAAACTTCTAAAGGGCTATAACTTTGATACTTTAATTTTACCAGAAAAATGTTAAAGGAAAAAAACATTTCTTTTGATCAGATCTACTCACTGTTAAAATAAATGACTCAACTTCGAAGTCACCCTGTATATACAGGGTGACTTTGAAGTTGAGTCATTAATTTTCAGATAATGATTGTAGAAGGAAGATAAACCAAAATATGTGTGTAAAAATAAAAAAAAAATTAAAAAAAAATTTTACCTTGTTTTATAAAGTATCATCCCGACAAGTATTTCAGTTCGGACCTGTATTTGATCGTGAGGTCTTGGAGCACCGGCATGCAGTCACCTGTGAGGTCTTAAGTCACCTGATTCACGAGCCCGTTGTACTACATTAACAAAGGCACGAGGGGTTGGTTGCACTCGATTGGGAAACCGATCCGCATAAATATGTGCCATTTTTTATTTCGTTTGAGCCACGCAGCAAACACCACTATTCACTCACGCGTTACCGACTGACACAGATTGAATAAAAACATCGTGATCAGCGTTTCAAATTCTTTCGCTTTTTTGTTTCCGATGCGATGAACCGATAAGGCGGAGTATATCCGTTGTCGCCAAACACGAGCACATAATATTATTATTGAGACAGGGCGGTACTCAAACTTCTAAAGGGCTATAACTTTGTTACTTTAATTTTACCACAAAAATGTTAAAGGAAAAAAACATTTCTTTTGATCAGATCTACTCACTGTTAAAATAAATGACTCAACTTCGAAGTCACCCTGTATATATATATATATATAATTTGTCTTGTCATATTTTATATAATTTTAACCATTGTACCATGTATCCAGCTCTCACCATGTTACTGGACGTTTCCCTCATCCTATACGAAAACAACAATTAGCAACATCCTCACATACTACTCTCCTGATGATGATGGCAAAGTCCATTGAAAGCTTGAGAGAATTAAAAAAAGTATAAAGAGTCCTCTTTGCTTAAATTTTGTTGAAGTACCCAACAAAAGGCGGAAGCTTTAATTTTTCACCTATATATGTATATGTTTTTGATATATATTGCTGATCTGCCTAAGGCTGTGAGTTTTTGTGAACTCCAGTCTTTTGCGGATGATACTCAACTGGTCCATTATTTTGATACTGATGATATGGAAATGGCACAGACATCAATAAACCATGATATTCAAAAAGTGTATGACTTCTCGAATAACCACAACCTGTCAATAAATCCTGGTAAATCCAGCCTGTTATTTTTTTGTTCGGATCGTAGGAGAGAAGAAATTAAAAGTCGATTAACTATTAAAATTGGATCTCAAAGACTGTACCCGGTTGACCAGGTTAAAATTCTTGGCGTGGTAATCGATTTCAAACTGAGATTCACCAGTCATGTTAAAAATCTTTTGAAGAAAACCTACTTGAGACTGAGATCATTATATGCCAATAAAGCAATTTTCAATTATAAGTTAAGGAAAAAACTGTGTTCATCTTTGGTTATGCCGATTTTCAACTACTGTGATATTTTATATTATCCGTGTCTCAATGTTGTTACTAGAAATCGGATTCAAATTGTGCAAAACAATTGTGCTAGGTTCATCTGCGGTTTAAGGCGCTTTGACCATGTTTCTGGTAGTCTTATTGAATTAAACTGGATGATAACAAAAAATATTGTCAAATATCATTACCTTGTTTTTATTCATAAACTAATACTTATGTCAAAACCTATATACTTAAGAGAAAAGCTGATCTTTAGGCGAAATATTCATCATAGACATATTAGATTTCCAGATTTGATAACTACACCTATTCACTCCACAACTTTATTCCAGCGTTCTTTCACTTACAGGGCTTCAGTGTTATACAATGCCTTGAGTCCTGAATTCAAAACCATGTCCTTAAATTGCTTCAAGAAAGCTGTCAAATCTCATATTTACTTGGATCCATAGTCTTAATTAGATTGCTATAGATATATTGTTAAATGATTCTTCACTTCCCTTGTGTACATGTAGCAAAGCTTGGTGTAACATGTACGTATGTAATGTGTGTATATGTATGTATGTATGTATATATGTATATTTTGTTTGATATCTGCTACTTAAGAACTTGTTTTTTTTTGCATGGGTGGTTAAGTGTAAGAGTAGCATGTTGCTAAACTTCGCCACCATATGCAACTCTTGTTTCTGTATGAAGTACAGTTTAAATAAAGACGATTATTATTATATATATATATATATATATATATAATAACTAGCACTACAGGCCTAGTAGGCCCAAGGCTTGATTGGCGATTCTTCGCCATTCTTCTCTATTCATTGCTCTTATTTCACAATCATTTATGTTTAATTTTCTGAGGTCATCTTTTACCTCAGTTTCCCACCTCGTCCTGGTTCTGCCTCTGCTTTTCTTTCCTCCTATTGAATGGGTAAGCAGTGCCTTTGGTACTACTATGTTCTGCCATTCTATGCACGTGTCCCAACCATCTCAACATCTGAGCTCTTATGTTGGGCTCTTTAAACAGTTATTTCAACTCATCGTTTCTTCTTCGTGTCCATGAATCATCTAACATTTTTTTTTAGCGCATATATGGCACGATTTCCGGCCATCATTCTTTTTTGGATTCCCTCTCTGTTGCCCGGCTCTGATGTAAATACTGTGTCCAAGTAGTCAAACGTATGTAGTTTTTCAAACTTATATATTTGTCCTTTTGTTGTTGTCATTATCAAGTGCTGTCCTTTAAGTTCTTTATCTGCCCATTCCATGTATTTTGTCTTTTCTCCATTAGTGTACAGTCCTTTGCTCTCGACTTTTTCTTCTAGTCTCTTCACGGTGTCTATAAGTTCAACGTTACTTCTGGCCAGAATAACCAAGTCTTCAGCAAATGCCAGGCACTGATGCTTTCTGTAAAATACTAAACCAGCCCGGTTTATGTTTGCTTCTTGCATAGTTTTCTCGAGCACAATGTTAAATAGCAGTGATGACAGTGGATCTCCCTGACGATAGTATGTATAATATCTACAAATATTAGCAACATTACCACTTACGGACTACAAAATTCTTAAAACAGAATAGTTGCTGCTGTCAGGAATTGATCTCGGTATCTCCAGTCTTCAAGGCAATTTTTAGCAAAAATTGATATTTATTTTTCAAAATTATTTGCAGTAATATGTACTTAATTATATATACACTATGAGGGTTAGGCTTAATGCTAACAGCAATATTCTTTGTGGAATCGGGCCCACACTCGATTTGACCCACAGAGATACTTGGTGTTAAACTAACTCATTTTATAATATATACTATATGTGCATGTGGTTATATTAATGTCATCCAAATAATAAAATGACACTTGCAAAAGAAACTAGAACAAATAAAAATCTATGCTAAATAATAACATGTTTGAAACAAGGAGGTATTAACATATATACATATTATTTACATTAGATTACAGAGATTCTGAAAGAATATACCGATAAATTAGCCCGTGTTTGCTGATTTTACCATCCAAAAGTGATTGTGGTGTATTAACATTCAGTGGACATTTCTCTATTCTGTGGGACTAAAATTTTTGTATGACTTGTAAAATAGTCTTGAATTTAATGTCGTGTTGCTTTAGATTTTGCTTTATCTGATCATTGGCATCCCTACGGGCTGCACTCATAATCATCATCAAAAATTTGTTTTCTATCCTTTCATCAAGTTGTGTATTTGATGTCAAACTGTAAATCTCACAGCCATAAAGTAGACAGGCCTAATAACCTGTTTGTATATTAGTAGCTTGATGGATAGTTTACTAGTTGGGCAAATTAACGGATAAAGAGTATCCAGCATACCCTTAGATTTAAATCTCTCATCTCAATGTGGTTATGAAATGTCAGTCGTTTATCCATCGCTAGGTATCTAGCGATTTTACTTTCTTGAATTCTTGCGTTTTTCACTTTGAGGGGTCTAAAAGTTTTGATTCCATGTTTTGCAGAATTGTCTGTACAGTATAGGACTTCTGTTTTATCCGCATTTATGTTTATTTCATTTTCTTTGAAAAACGGAGTGATTTTTCTATTAATGTGAATGTGTACCTGTCTAGACGCTACCTCAGATTGAGCTGCTGAAGCATAAATACAGGTATTATAGGCATACAGTGCAGTACTGGTTTTTTCAAATTTTGCTAGGTTTGATATGAATAGAATAAAAAATATCTTTGATAATTCGGACACTTGCGGAACACCTGCGTTAATATTAAAACTCCCGTAGTTATTGTTTTTAATTCTCATAGAAAACTTTAATATATTAAAACTCCCGTAGTTATTGTTTTTAATTCTCATAGAAAACTTTTTTGAAGTCAAGTATCAGATTTACTAGATATTAAGGAAAACCAAAGTTTTCTAACTTTTCTATTAGTTTGTCTGTCCAGGCTTTATCAAATGCTTTTTCTATATCGAACAAAGTTGTTACTGTACTTTTGCCATCATTGAACCTTTCCTTAACCATTTGAGGCCGAATTTATTTATTTAAATTAAAAAACAAAATGCGAATACATAATATAAATAGCATTATTTGGTATGGTAAGCGGCAAAACAGTTTTTGTAGTGTTTTATACATAGTCCCACATTACACGATGAACACTCCACTTTGTACGCCTTACTTCCTTTGTGGTGCTACAGTGGGCACATCTCAGCAATGTAGTTCTTTCTGGCATGTGGCATGCCTTAGAATACCGAAGTTCTAACGGAACACACTTTTTGAACCTATTGATACTATAGGTTCCTTGTTTGATGACCTACCTCGTTTGGAAGGAACTACTGCGCCAATGAGGCCCCTGGATACAGCCAAACGAAATGTTTTCAAATTCATTGCTTTTGCTCCGCAATCGAAACAAAATTGACGCGTTGACGATACATGCATCAACAAAGTAAAAGAAAATTCTATGCCACCATTTATGTGACTTACGGTTTAGTTCATACAGGCTTTTTAGCATGTCGAACTTATCGACATAGCCCATATGGGTGTTATATTCGATAACCATTTGGGGACATGCTACTTCATCTCTTCTCCTCAGAACGCGACCCATTGTCACAGGATTTTGGTAATTGCTGAGGAATAATTTCCTCCTCTGAGCCAGTTCCTTCAGGAGTTCCTCAGGGCTCGATCTGCAAAACTGTTTGGCATGTTGTACCACTTATAAAGGTGGATATACAAATTTCTTGCTTCTTCCAGCAATGACGCAAACTTTTCCATATCAATAGCTCAACCACTAGCTAACACTCCTAAGATGATCGCAAATTTCTCGATTCATTCCCTGTCAACCCCTGTGATATCTGAACTTGTTTGTGGATTGTGGAAAAAAATTCTGGCCGTATTGCCATCATTTGAGGAGCCATACTCGGGTTTTGGTTTGTCAACTATTAGAGACAGCTTGGCTCTGAACTCTGCTTGGATTCGTTTTTTGTTTGCTTTATTTATAAAGGTGGATATACAAATTTCTTGCTTCTTCCAGCAATGACGCAAACTTTTCCATATCAATAGCTCAACCACTAGCTAACACTCCTAAGATGATCGCAAATTTCTCGATTCATTCCCTGTCAACCCCTGTGATATCTGAACTTGTTTGTGGATTGTGGAAAAAAATTCTGGCCGTATTGCCATCATTTGAGGAGCCATACTCGGGTTTTGGTTTGTCAACTATTAGATACAGCTTGGCTCTGAACTCTGCTTGGATTCGTTTTTTGTTTGCTTCGACTATAGCTTGGTTTTCAGGCCCACGAACCTGACAAGATTTAATTGGCAGGCGGTATCCAATATGGAGTAAGCATTCAAAAAAACGAATCCAGCAGTGTAAAGTTGACAAACCAAACCGGTAATTGTCTACGTTAGGAGGACGGTTAATCCCTGCTAACGTGTTCATGTCCTTGGCTGTGGCTCCGCAAATGATGCACTTCAAAGTTGAATTTGTCTCTGATAGAACGTTTCCAACACTGCCGTCCAACATTGTTAACATCATATCAACTTCAATTATATAAGAGTGCCCTTCTTTTGTTTTAATCTCAATAGGAATCAAATTTTCAATTTTTGTTATTATTTCATTTTCCGTATTCCGCACTAAATCAGCATTTTCCTTTTTAAATAAAAACTTGATCGGCCTACAATATAAAGTAGATGAAGGGCTCTCATTTTTCCACAATACCTTATTCGTTTCCATATCAATCAATCTGAGTGGCGTCATTGCTACAAGAAACAGAAATTCGTCGGTGTTTTCTAAATCAGAAAATTTCTGCTTATATTGGCTATGCCCAGAACTGCCATCAAATCCCCACTTGCATATCACTAATCCGGCAATCTCTCTCTTCAAAATTTATTATTTTAAGGATACTTTCAGCTGTTTTCTGTAGAAGTTCTTGCAAATCAACTTCTGCAGAAATTTCAGTAATAATAAATTGTGAAGGGAGGATAGCATTTTTTGTTTTCTGTAATTCTTTATAACTAGGAAGGCAGTTCTGGGCCTTACCATTAATAACAGACCTAAGTAGCAAATACTTTCTTACGGATATATCCAAATCTACCATAAGGGCTAAAGCTTCAGCTGTACTAAAACTAAAAATTTGTGGTGAGACCTCACTGTGATTGCTTCCAGAAACGACATTTACAGCAAATTGAAGTTCATTTGCAGATCTGTCTGTGGTTAGTTCGGCTACAAGTCTTCGTTTTGTTTTCTTCGATGCCTCTTCAAATGGCACCCGTGGCCGTCCAACTGAGCGACAAGGAGGTTCTTGTTCCTCATCCGAAGATGTGTTTCTTCAGTATCATTATTTATTCTATATATAATCTTGTCTAACCAATATACCTGATTTTGTAAAAGTCGATTCCGAGATTGTCTTTCTGCCATTTATTTGCCATTTTTAACCCAAACAACTGGCTGCATTTCATAATATTACTTTTAAGATGTTTGGAAGGTGCATCTGTTATATCAATAAGAGATAATATCTTTTCATAAACCACCTGTTTTCTATTTCCTCTCGGTGCTTCTATCCACACATCAATCAAATCTCTATTTCTGACAATAGCACCATGTCCTAAAAAAAATTATATCTCCCTTAGACGTGGCATGACGTGATTTAAACTTTTTATCAAAACTTGCTATGGACAGATAAACAATAAAAAAAAATCGGTAATAGTCACTTTAACTTGAAAAATTATCTAATTATAATTATATTTTAAATAAATCTATACATCAATATAATGTACTTACCAGCCTCATTACCAGCCATATTGGAAAAGTTAAAATATTTAAATATTTCGACACAAAATTTATATCTTTCCTGAGCAATAAAACAGAGAGATTTTTCTCCTTCTTGACAGGTCTCGACATGTCTAACTTTAAAGTTGCTAAAATAGGTAAATCGCAGCCAACTTGATTAAAGTACTATACTTACGTGTTGCAATGACTATTTATCTATCCAATGGTATAATAAAAGCAACTGAATTCGAATGTCAAAAATTATGTTTTTGAGTAATTTTGTCCATTGGGCGCCACACTGTGGGGCGGGCCGATTGTCTCACTGTTTCCAGCAACAATTCTTCAAATGATACAGAACTGGTTCTTGGCGTAGCTATTGGTTCTGGTCTACTTGGTCCTGCTATTGGTATTGGTCTACTTGGCCCTCCTATTGGTTCTGGTCGCGGTTCTAATGCTAGCAGCTGTGTGGTTGGTTTCTCTCTCAAAGGTTGGGGATTTCTCAAACGTTCTTCATGTCTTTGTAGAGCTTCTGGACATATTTAGAGCGGTCGATGACAGATCTATTAAATGGGCATATTCCTCCTCTACAAAAGCCCGATGTTAGTAAAGCTGGATCTGTCTCTTTCCAAATTGTGCTATATATATATATATCTTTTGGCCCTAGTCATCTAGCTAGAATGGAGTTATTATTTTAGTTTTATTAACTTCTGCTTTGGTGAGTTTTTGTTTCGCACTAATGCTTGGAGGTCTTAATAATGATGCGCTTTTTTATGCAGTATAGTTTCTATGTGTTTGAAACCTCTATCTGCCATTATTATGCAGTTTTCTGGAATCACATTAATGAAGTCTGATTTCTCAACAATTTGTACATCAGTTGTACGTCCTCCAAACCCACTAGAAATAAAGTTTATCAGCCCATTAGGAGTACAACTCGCAAGATACTTTATAGTATTACACTTTTTATATTCACTCCATGTTTTAGCCTGATGCAGTGCATTTGAAGGTTTTTCAATTTCAACTTCAAAGCAATCAATAATTGATTGTACGTTACATTGTTGTAATAGGCTTTAAATTGATTTGGTGCTAATTTTTTGATTTTTCAACTGGGAGGCCCAACAATCAACTGTGTCATTACAGGAGCCATTACTACAACAATTTTATTAAAAATTTTAGATATGGCACTTGTGCTTTTACCAAAATCAAAATTCCTATTCTTGAAAACTGATCATTTGTCCTAATTTTTTTCATTGTGATCAAAACAACAATGTAATCCAGTCCACCTTCTTCAACTAATAAATTTACAATATAGAAACAGTCTTCAGGCAAACCTAAGAAAAACCGACTATTGTTCTCTAATTTAGATATTTCTAGTTCCTCTTTTGATGTCTTCAGTCTTGCTCCATTGCTTCCTGATGAAGTGCTCGATAGCTGCGGGGAGGAACTACCACTTGAGCCATTAGTGCTATCACTACAAATCCCTGAGCACTTTTCAACCAACTGTTTTAGTTTGGGATGACTAGTGGCAACAGCCTTTTCTGCAGTATGAGTCTAGTGTGCTGGTTGACACTGTTTTCGCATCAACTTTAACTTGGACTCCTTTGGTTGCTTTCTTCAGGGGTAGCATACTCCAGTTTTGCTGGCAACATTCATCATGATGCAGATCTTTGCGTATACCTGGCTGCGATTCATCAAATAATTTTGCCCTTGGTTTTCTCTTGCAGTGAAGCTTTTTTCCTAATGTTTCTAACATCTCGGCTTTCCTCTTTTTTGATGGTGGACCTAATTGGGACGTACCTAAACTTTGAACTGACTGGTTCCTGTGTGGTTTCACGCCGGGTTTTAGTCGTAACCTCTGCCCAATTGTCTTGTAATATTGCCAGTTTTCTGCATCATCTGCCAACTGAAAATAAACCGAGATTTAATATAATTTGAAAAACTTTAGCTCTGTTAATAAACTTACATCAAAATGATCTTCACCACAGTATAGCATAGTGGTAGGAATGGGACCTTCAACACTTGCAGCCTGGTACCAAAGAATCCTCGTGTCAAGATCTATCGGAACTGATAAGAATATTTTATCAGGCGAATTAATAGTTGTGTTTGAACACACTTTAATACGACACTTTTTTAACGACATTTTGTTGTAATGTTCAAAAGAATTCAATATATAAAGGTTACAAAACGGATAACACAAAATCAACAGCACGAAACAGGGTACGCAACTCTGTCACTGTCAAAAGTCAACGGTTTGATCCTCGTTGAACCACAATGTTGCCAAGTTATGTCGACCTACAGCTATACATACATAATATAGACAGGTACACCATTGAGACAACACTGTTGATCGGAATAAAGAAGCTTTGGTAAGTCGTGAACTTTCATGAAATTCCCTAGTGCATGGCAATAGCGCTGGTGCTTATCCTTGATAAAAATATCGTCACATTCTAATGAGAACCTTTAAAAAAATCGATTCCTATTGGATGATTTTTTCGGATGGACAAACATGAAGTTTAAATGAACCCACTTTGGTGGTATGAATTTCAAATGTATTTTTTCAGAAAATGAGTGAAAAAAGCGCGTGCAAAGTGTATACCAATTGATAAATGGTGTAAACAATCGATGTCAGCCATCAATAGGACAATATCACCAAGTTGGAAAATACCCCATTGATCCATCTTCATTGTGCACTCTGACACTTCCATTTGTTAGTGATATAACTTTGAACTTTATTCTGTGTTGGGGTCCAAAAATCACATGAGGTTGGCGTCCTCCGACAGCTTCAATCTCACAGTTAAAGATGGTATTTGTAATCTCTGACGTCATATTAGCTTGTGATGCAGTATCCCAAATTACACAGACCAGACAGATTTATTCATCTATTTCATGTGGTCGAGCACAATACATTGTTCCGTCGCGCATTCTAAATATTAGGGTAATAATATTCTGATTTGCTTTTCCAACCCTGGCGTATGGCATCGCTGCGACTTCAGAAAATGTCACCGAGGATACAACTTTATTGTAGTGATCTTTATCGTGCTCTTCTCTGTACGGTGTTAGCACTGCTGCCCATCTTTCTTATAATTCGGATGGCTGTGTAGTATTCATAATTTTATAGCTGATCCATTTCACACTAACTGGATGTCCTGGGAAGGAGTATGACCCACTTGTGGTAACGGGATCAATGGAGAATTTTGGAGCAAACTAGCTGGTGTTGCACCAAACATGCAATAAGCACCTCTGTTGTATGTTGTGCTATTAGCTAATGCTGCAATAATGTTGAAAGCAACATCAAATAACGTTCAACTAGTTAATCCGGCTATGGGTAAAGAAGTTAAAATCAACCTAGTCTACCTTAAGTAATTGATCAATCCAGTAGGCGTTCGAGTGACAGACAAGTTTACTCTACTATTAGTTCTTGAAGTTATTCGCCTTCTTCTGAGCGATTTCTTAGCAGCATAATTCCTCGGCATCTTAATTTAAAATTTACAAAGTTTATAATGGATAGAAGTATAATGAATGTAATTAAAATAATTTGATATATATATATATACGGTGTATCTTCAGATTTGTTGCTAATGTGTTCTTCGATTTTAATAATTTCTTTCAATATCCCTTCAGGTACTATTTCGGACATGGATCGTCGCTGATTCTGTCTACTTAACAAAGCTAGAATGACTGTTCCGGATTACGTTGGAACAGATTTATTTTAAAAATGTAAATAACTAAGTGTCTACGCTGGGCTGAAATCAAGACCCAAAAATCGCCAGTCTTGATGTGGTGTCGCTATATATCTGGATATGATAAGTCAACACTGCAACATATCTCTAGAATCTTTCACTAACATTATAACATTTCTCTTTCATAATAACTACTTCTTTTTCAACAACAAAATATATTCTCAGACACATGGTTGTCCTATGGGATCTGTTCTATCACCAATTTTGTCAGAATATGTTATGGATGATCTGCTTGATACTGTTATTTCGAGTATTTCAAGTAACATATAAAAAAAAAGTAACATATAAAAATTGTTGATTTTCCCTAATGCTAATTCACAAATATGTTTCTATATCGATAATGGGTCTTTTACACTTAATCTATATGTTATCAGTGAAATATACCCTATGGCACATAAATATTCCCAATTTGCTGTGGTGGGAGTACGATGGTGGGACCTCCAAACTCTGTTCCATTTTCTTCACAAATTCTGTGACTGCATTACTATTTATTGACTCTAGAATCTCAGGACCGATTGATGCCATTCCTCTTGTAGTTATGACACTTGACTGATTTTGATGAGCCCATTTCGTCACTTCAATGCAGAACTAGTCTATGTCAAAAAATGCAGTATTACAGGAGAGAGTTTTTTCTGATGTACATGCTTATAAAATTGAATATGTCGATCAAACTTATCTCACAGAGTTAAAAAAAATATCTCTAAAGCGAGTGAAAATTTTGCTTATTTACAAAATACAGAAAATTTGTGGACTTGAGATACTTGACGCTTTCATAACTATCCTAAGTGTCATAGTTGTAGTTAGGTTTGGCGATATCATCTGGAGATAGGTTAGTTCTGGAGTGAGCAAGTTAACCTCTTAAGGTCCACATTTAAATAACGCTTGAGAAAAAAGATATTAGAATAGATATAAAAAACACATTTTATTCGAAAAATACTTTATTTTTTCTTTAGCAAAAAAAATAAGTCAACGTTCCGGTTTTGGAACAAAGGTCAATCATCTTAAATATGAAATTCACCAAAACAGTTCCTTTTCTTATTTATACATAAGTATACATTAAGGTACACCGGGGCAAGTGTGACCCAAAATTTCAATAGTTCAACTTTTTCGCGTTGTATTTCCTATTTTTAATTATGATATTCACTGAAATTTTGAGAGTATAGTCTTAAGTATATGTAGAAACGAAATCTACAAACACAAAACAAAATCAGTATAGATTTTTTTCTAGACATTATTTTTTTCATGTTAGAATAATGGTTTACACTTCCCCAGCAAATTGGGGCAAGTGTAAATACGCTGTCTGAATTACTACAAAAGTGTTGAGACTTGATTGGGGCTAGTGTAAATAAAAGAAGAGACTAAATATAATCAGATTTTTTTACTAGGAAAAATCACTTAGGATATATTTTGCTCAAATGTGATGTTGAAATGGAAGTGTCCTCTTCTGTGAATATCTGGGGCAGGCAAACAGTGTTGTATTTCATCTCTTCTTATAACTGAGACATCTGGAGTATCTGGCCAATGAAATTGTGATGAAGATGCCGAGCGTCTTGCAAATTTTGCTTCTAAACATGGCTCTACTTCTGTTACTTGCCCTACATAAAATTTAAATGATTTTTTAGTAGCAAATTTTACTAGAATCCAGTCCCCTATTTTCAGTTCTTGAGGATCTTTCTCCATGTATTTCACGAATTCTTCTTCTTCACGCAAATCATTTACTTCATCGTCTAAGTCAAAATCATCATCTGAAGTATTGACTTCCATTTCTTCAAAACTATCTTCATCTGTGTCTTCTTCGTATACTTGCTTTCTTTTCAATTTTTTACCATCTTTCTTAGTTGTCGACTTCTCTGGTTTTTTAATTTTGTTTGCTTTCTCGTTCAATTTAGCAACTGCTTCCAAGGATGTAATAACTTCGGCACCTATACATACTCTCTTTCTGATCGATTTCGCTGGTTTTGGCATCTGTTTTAGCTGTTCTAAGAGAATGCCCTCAAAACTTTTTGTGTTGTTAACTGGCGGATTCTGGTGTTCTGAACTGGTCGATGGCATTTGCGGATTTATTGAATTTACTGACGATGTCTGCGGAGTTATTGGTGGTACTGTTGAAGTGGATGGCAAATTAAAACGCTCTTCTAATGTTGATCGTAAATTTGGTTGCGCTACTTGTGCTTCTTCCGGATTGTTATTTTTGCAGTTTGAATCACACCACCTTTTATATGCTTCTGGATCGTAATGTTCAACGGGAATGACCTCATTATTAAAAGGATATATCCCCCCTTTCTCAAATCCTTCGATAAGTAACGAAGGGTTTACTTGTGACCAGATTTTTGATAAAATGGTACAAAACAAAGGTTTTGGTAGTTTCGTACCATAGTTTTGTCTCTGCCATTTTATGAGCTCTGCATCCCATGCCATTTTTGATGACTTAAAAACACATAAATCCATAGGTTGTAGCAGATGGCTGGAATGAGGCGGAAGTTTCACTATTATCACATCATTAGCTATTGCCTTTTCTATCAAAGAAATACTAATGTGAGACGTGTGACCATCATAAATTAATACAGTAGGTCTGTCTTTGCCAATATTTGGTAAAAAATTGTTTTCAAAATATTTTTGAAAGGTTTCCGTTTCCATCCACCCATTTTTAGTGGCTGAATAAGTCATTCCCGGGTATTCCTCAGTTGGAATCCAACTATTCCATATGTGTTTACCCTTGAACACTACGAGTGAAGGAAGTTTTTCACCTGCAGCGTTTCCCCCAAGGAGAACTGTTATATTCTCTCGTCCTGGACCACTTGTTGTCCTATGGGCTGCTCTACCCTTCTCTCCAACTTTTATCCGGGATGGATCCAGGCAGAAACCGGTTTCATCAATATTATAAATTTGCGATGCTGGGATATTTTCAATATGCTGTTTGAGGATATTGAAGTAATCATACATAACAAATGGATCCATAGACCTCTTTCGAGCCACTTCCACAGATTGCGGTTTTTTCTGGCTTAAATGAAATGCTTTCGTGAATCTGACGAAATAATCATTGCCAGGAACTCCATTCTTGAAAGGGGTTACTATATTATTTTCTTTCACATACCGCCCAATTAGTTGAAGAACTTCTCTCTTTGATAGTCCCATACCCCATTTTTCGAGTATTTTAATACTGTTGGAAAATTTTTGTTCTACATCATAAGGCAGAGCTGGTGCCCTACCCCCCGTATTACTTTTTAAACCCCGTTTACCCTTTACATGAGTAAATAAAGTAGCTTTGGGTATTTTGTACAATAATGCAGCTCTATATAATGTTAGAGTACCTCTTTGCACAGCTTGTACTGCCTCTTTCAAATCGTTTTTGCTATAGGCTGGAGGAGCTTTCTTACGTATGTAATTCCGGACCATGTTCTGAAAACAACGGGAAAGTGTAAACGTAATAGAATTATTGGGGCAAGTGTAACCTACCATATTTCATACTTGCCCCAAGGGAGTTTTTTTTGGGGCAAGTGTAAACCACAACATTTAAAATAAATTCTTTAAAATTCAGAAAAGATAAGTTTATTTACTAATAGATAATACCTTTAATGGAGTGCTTACCAGAAATTACGATGAAAAGTCGTCAAAGTTTTAATACAAAGAGATTTTTATAAGAGACTACAGAACTACGTCGTCAACTGTAAATGCAAACACACTAAGTAACGAAATGTGATGAAGCGTTCGTTTTGCTAGCGCGCAAGACATCTATTGCGATGCTTAGCCGGTATCATAATAAACCTACTTGGCCATAGATGGCGCCATTATGATAGAATTTAAGACCACAAATTGGCATAGGTTACACTTGCCCCGTATTTACACTTACCCCGGTGTACCTTACATTTGATGCAGGAAAAAAATGTTTTCAGTCCGCAACCTGGCTTTTTGCATCTTTGTCTTTATTCTTTTTCACAAGGGAAGTGACCTATTTGGTCAGTTCGCACGTCAAACTGAGGTATGGGCTTTGTTTGGCTTTTTTTCTTCAAAATTTCTTTCAATACTTCTACTTGGTCTTCCTCGTTTTCGTGTATTTTCACTCTTCCCCAAAAGGCATAATCCCTCAGCAATCCAGGCAGTAACTATAACCAAGTCAATGAAGTGAAAAAATATTTTCAAGTAGCATTTTCTACTTCTTAAGGCGCAATTCCACTGAGGCAACAGTGAACGACATGCGGCATGCTACATGTTTCCTAGTGTCGCCTCTTGTTGACGTTCGACAATGTTGTCCAAAAGTCTATTAATGCCGCATGCGGATTTTGTTTCCCTATGTGGCATGTGCTTTGTCGTACATGAGTGTTTATCGACGTCTAGTAAAAAACTCAAAAGCTCAAACGCAAACCATTTGCCTTTCGTGAGAGGAGATGAGCCACTTTTCTTTGACTGTAGCTTTTTTCTTTCACGATGGAACGCGGAACGTAGATTTTTGATTTTATTTTTCACTTCAATCACGGTACATTCGTATTTCGTCGCTATTTGTTTTAACTTATCATTTTTAAGTCTGTTGTCTTTATAAGCAGCAATTTTATTATTCCATAATTCTGGAGAATTGTGATAATCTTCAATAAACAAAGTTGTTTTCTCTATAGTCCACTCCATGTCGCAAACTACATGTAGCACCGAACCGATGGCTATCGGATAAAAGCCGACATCGTTCGACACGCTGAATCTTGTAGAAAGCTGACGCATGCGTCTGGAAAACAGTGGTCAACATGTGGCATGCGGCATTGTCGCATGCCACATGTTGCTTCATGTTGTTCCAATTGAAAGACTGAGTGTAGCATGCGTCATTGTCGCATGCTACATGTTGCCTAAATGTTGCCTCAGTGGAAATGCGCCTTTAGTGTTATCCTATAATATTATATAAGCCCATCTAGCAAATCTACTCCAACCATAAAAAGATTATATTCTTTTACCATATTTGGACGTTGGATATTTATTTTTGTTTTTTATTTTCTGACAAAACGTTCAACTGTGTCAATAGGATGTGATCTGTAAAACCAACAAACAAATTCGCTGGCGTCTGAGCTGTCCTCACTGCTGTCCGCAAACGGAATATGAGAACACTTGTGGCTTACCTCTTATTCGAAAAATATGTTCGGGAAGTACATTTTCCTTGTCTGGCGAAGAGTGAAATTTGTTTAAAAGTGGTGCGTTTTTCTCTGCTTTTTAGCTGTATGATGCAGTATTCCAATTTCATCATTCATTTCAGTCGAAGCGATGTCATTTGGCTATTTATTTGAATGATATTGACATCTTCAATATCTGATGGAACAGCGTTTTGTTCAACAATTTGCAATATTATATTGGGATCATCTGTTAGAATCTCTTGATTCCCCCACTCTTGATTTTGTTGTATGTTTGCCAATTGCACCATTAATTTACCCCTATACATTTTGCTGCAATGAACACAACCATGATTATAGTATGAGACATCCAGTAAAATGGAATTTATTTTCATCGCACATTATTATTACAGCCGCGCGGCAATTTTGTATGATTGATCAACTGTGAAAAAAGCCAGAAAATAGTATACAGGGTTTGTCCGGAAAGTAATGAGCTCTATTTTTTATTTCATCATTTATTGATCATTTGAGTAAATAAACTCAATATTCTTCGAAGTAGCACCCTCCTGCATCGATACACTTTTGCCAGCGTGATTTCCAAGCCGCGTATGCTCCCTGGAACTCCTCGACTGAGATGCTGTTCAGGGAGGCCGTCGAAGTAGCTTCAATGTTCTCTAGGGTGTCCAGATGCTGTCTCTTGAGGCCCCTTTTTAGTCGAGGAAACAAAAAGAAGTCCGCTGGAGCCAGATCGGGACTGTACGGTGGCTGGGGCACCGTCGTGACACCGATCCGAGTCAAGTAGGCGACGGTAACAAAGGCGGTATGGGACGGTGCGTTGTCGTGGTGGAGTTTCCATGAAGATCGAATTTCTCTTCGAACGCGGGCAACCCTGTGTTTCAGTCTTTGAAGAACTTCTTTGTAAAATTGAGCATTGACGGTCTGGCCAGGGAGTACAAACTCGTGGTGCACGATTCCCTTAGCATCGAAGAAGACAATGGCCATGGATTTGATCTTGGACTTGCTCATTCGAGCTTTCTTCGGGCGTGGCGACGCGGACGTGTGCCATTCTGCGCTCTGCCGCTTTGTCTCTGGGTCGTACTCGAAAATCCATGTCTCATCTCCCGTTATTACATTGTCTAGGAAATTTGGATCATCCGCACACAACTGTTTCAGTTCCTCACACACAGCGACACGATGGAGTTTTTGAACGTCGGTCAAAACTCTGGGCACAAGTTTTGCGCATGGCTAAGTCTTCCGACACAATTTCGTGAACAGTGGTCTTTGGCAAGTGCAAAAGGTCAAGCGGACACTCAGTCGACGGTCTGTGCTGAGAATTTCTCGCACACGGGTCACATTGTCATCTGTTCGTGATGTCGATGGACGTCCTGAACGCATTTCGTCATCGACCTCCTCTCGCCCTTCCCGGAACGACTTGTGCCACTTTTTTATTTGTGAATATGACAGGCAGGCATCCCCAAACGCTGTTTGAAGCAAATCCAATGTCTCCTTCGGTGTTTTGTTTAGTTTCACACAAAACTTTATCGCGTATCTTTGCTCTAAAGTTTTTTCCATCGTAACTTCGACGATGTCGCAAAACAAGGGCTAACAAAAATCAGCGTACACACTCTCCAACTGGCAAGTGTACCACTGTAAAGCTGAAGGTTCCCCCCACCCATCCCAACTGGTCGCATTGCGCTACGTTGCCAAGCTGCGTCACAAATAAATGAAGCTCATTACTTTCCGGACACACCGTGTACATCGATTCGGCAAATGAATTCATTGATTAACGAGAAAGTGTTGGTTACCAAATACCACTTTGGTAGAGCGCGTAACTCCAAAGTACGCAGTCTATTTTACAACGAAGAGCAAGTAACTCCAACAGTAATAATTGGATGTAAAAAAATAAAATCATAGCTGAAATATGATTGAAATTATTTGACCTATCATAAGTGTATCATCATATCAAATAAAATCTCAATTAATCACCTGGCAAATTTCCGCTAAATACCCACGTTAAATCGGCACACACATTTAGGTTATGTAAATGCGCGGCAAATCCTGGACTTACACGTTTTTCTTGTTGAATAAACTTGCCAGGGAGATACGCGATAGTCATGCATCCGCATTTCTTACGCAAAAATCTATAATGATCCTTAATACGCCCACAGTCAGTATATTCGATGGTTGTCTAATCGCTGCCCTAGAATTACATAGTCTTATGTTACAATTATTCGAACTCGAGAAAATCAATATTAAAGAAATTGAGGTTTATATCTACTTAAATTTGAACATCTTTTGGTTCTTACTGTGATTTTTACATCTTTGTAAGTAAAAGGTACATGGTATATAAAGGAAGTCGTCACACTTTTTTTTATTGGTCTTTATTTTAGATAAACAAAAATACATAGGACTCCGTTACTGTCAAATAAGTTTAAAAATTAAGGATATTGGCAAACATAGGACTTCAAAACTTGAAATTAAATAAAAATAACCCAAATTCTTAAAGTTAAGACAAAACAAACTAAAACTTAGTTAATACAAGGGAGTATCAAATCCATCAAATACTTATACTCGAAATCTTATTTTTTATTTTTATCTAATCTACTAAAAACAGTTTCATAGAAAGTCACATCATTTTTTGGCATCCACTTGAACATTGATTTTATTGCATCTACTTTGTGTTGTGCAAGTACCACTGCATAATCATTTTTCCTCAGTATTTCGGGAAATAATATATCGCCTCTTTCTGCAGTGACGTGGGATTGACGTCGGCCAATTCTTTGTCTTAAATTCAAAGATCTATATTCAGCCTCAGAAAAAGAGAGCCGATACCTTATCTCGTAGAACGATTTGTTAAATTCTAAGGCTACCACCTTTGAAAATGGGACAGACTTATAATTCATTTTAACCGAATAGTAATTAAAATCAAAAAAATCCTGTTCTCTCATTTGAAGAATGTTATAAGGTTTTTTAGAATTCACCTTTAAAAGGATCCGAATCAAAGAAATGGGAGATGAGTATTCAGATTTACGCAGAGTGCGCTCAATTGCGCTATGCACGGAATCGACTTCCTGGATGCATGAGTGCCCTGGTACGGAAAATTTCATTGTTATTTTCTTTAAGCTCGAACTGACTTGTAAAAGATGGGCAATAGCATAACTCATTAAGCTGTTCCGATTTTGTGGGACGCAGCTATCGCTCCACAAAATCAGCTCATCCAATAGAGGACAATCTTCTGTAACCCTTCTTAGAATTTTGTAGACAGCGCTTGCGATGTCATTACCAGCACGACTATGAACAGCTTCTGACCAAACTGCACAATAAACTTTTCGGTCAATTGAAAGATGTGCGGTCATTTTGTAAACATTAAGCTTAGACTTGTAAAAAAAATTCTTTACTCCTCCCTTTGGGCAAGTTAGAACATTTTCTAGGTCAAAATATTCAGAATTGGTATGCCACTTTCTTTGTCTGCTTTCTTCTCTTCTCTCATAAGGTTCTTTTCTTTAATATGTCTCTCATATTCATATCTCTTTTCATCACTAAGGTTATTTTCTTTTTTCTTTAAATCTACCTCGGCACAAAGATCACATAAATCTTTTACTGGCTTAATAAAAGAGTAATTGAACTCTGTACAGAAAATTTCACGGTATTTGTGAAATTTTACAGGGCTTAAACCCTTTTCTGCTACAAATTCTTCATATAGCTCATACATTTTCTTAATTGACAGTTCACCTTCTAGGTATTGCCTTTGGGAGTGTGTGTTCTTTATTGATAGAAAAAGTGTCATTATTGCTGTTGTGTAGAGCTTAGTTGTTGTTGGATCATTTTGGTGCTATTATGAAAGAGATAATTTGTATAAGGACATCTAGATCACATGACCGCAATAGTGAAAGCATCGCAGTTGGCTGGTTTGGCATATTTCGTAAAATTTTACGGGTTTTGCATCTGTGTGACGGATGTATATATGCTCCAGCTGTAGTTATTTTTCAAACGTAATTTTCAATGGGGTTAAGCGACTTTTGCATCTGGACGACCTAAAGTTGTAAGTTCCACCGTTATCTCAGTTAAGATTTTTTTTGCGTATAGCGGCTTTTGCATCTAGGCTTGTAATTTAAAGATGTTTAAAAAACAAAAGAATATTTCATGGACAGTAAAAATTCTTAGAGATGCAAATTGTTTTTCTACAAGAGGATTTTGCTGATGATTTTGAAAGGATTTATGGCCCCTAAAATAGCACTCGTTGTTTGCTCACGTTGAAATATATTTTTCCACCAGCAATTTTAATATACGTATATTCACGTTAAATTCATCTTTACATCTGCTGTAATTTTCAATGATTATCGAGCTTGGTAAAAAACCATTTTATCAATTAGGTGACTCAAAAATCCCGCACACATTCATTTAATTGAGAGCTTGAAGAGAATTGGTATAATCTCGTAAACGAACGTAGATATATAAAAATATCGTATAGACAACTTTTAAAGCTTATTTATCAAGCTATAAAATTGTATTTACAACAACTCTTTTCTAAATATATTTACAAGACCTTAAAAAAAAATTAAAATTCGAAGTTTTTCAAAAATGTTTGTTCCTACCTACGCTAATACGCCTAATAACCTAAATCTAGATTTTTATCCATTATGGAATGTTTGTTCAAGTATTCATTCACCGGGCTTACGGCATTTAATAGTTTTCTCGATGTTGCTAGGATCTATGGAACAAAATGAAAAGGCAACACTATTTTTTTATCTATTTTGCTCAATATCTTGCTTGTCACTACTAAAGGTGATACTCACTGTTATTTTCCACACTTTTTTAAATTAGGTGAAAATTGTTATAGCTTTAGTTCCTATATTAAACGTTGTATTTCTCTTGCATTTATTCTTATAGCAAAAAAATTTAATATTCTCGATATGAATATTTCATGTGATACACTATATTAAAGATTTTATTCAACACTTTTTATTATTTCCGACATCCACCCAACAATTTTGAAAAACCATTTATACTTATGTGACACTTTCCAAATAAAATGAATTTTATTGTATAGGTAATCGGTAGTAAAACAAAAACATTAAATATGTAGCCATATATTTTTAAATAATGTACACAGTACAATACAGTGCTAGCTATATACTAAGGATCTTCGTCAGTACGTCTAATAAAGCCCGACATAAACTTATCCTAAACTTAAACAACATGAATTAGTAATAATTATTTATTATAGAAAAAGGACAATATGTTACAAATATGATATACAGACATCAGTCATATTGTATCCAACGCACCCAACGTACTTTTTTTGTTCTCCTTTTAAATTTCCTTTTCTGAATAAATAAATAAGACCCATTATTTGGAATTCAAAAGGGTAACCAATATTATTGATATTTAGTTGCCACCATTTCAAATAGAAAATAATGTATTTGTCCAAAGTTTTATAGAGCTTGTAGGTATAGGGATAAAAATGTCCAAAAATAAATAAAATGATCAAGGGGAATATGATTGTCCCCAGTTATTGATTTCATAAGAGGCAAGATTTAATCTTAATAGGGATAGTACAAAAACATTTCTTAGACTATGTATGTTCAGAAGAGCTGCCCATGTCAAAGACTGTATGCATAGTCGATTCTTGGGGTCCTCTCATCCTGAGGAAACCTTATTTGAATGGGCAGATTGGAGTGGGATTTGTCAAATATTATCTTTAAGAAAAAGGTGGAAGTTTTCGGTCTGAGGTCTCGCTATTACCTTCATTATTTGACAACTTTCCTGTTTCTCCCAACTGTCAAGACAAATTCTTAGTTTTCACTACAAAGAGGTTCCAAGTGGAGAGTTCCCATGGCATCTAGACCGAAGATTAGATTCTAATAGGATCAAATATTTGAGAAAATTGACATAATTTAAGTATTGGGCAGCTCATCAACTATAGCTATTAAATATGTGGGTGATTATGGCACCGAAAAACTTCCCTCATTTCTCCTGAATCAAGGGTTCCTTATTTAACAACTGTGAAATAATATTGTTTGAAAGCTCTGGGTTACATAACACTTTTGCTTAATAAATATATACAGGAACACTCATCATAAAACGACCAAATAAAAAAATCCAAAAAATACTGATATTTTACAGCGGATACTAGCTAGTACCACCCATTAGATACAAGGTGATCTGCAAATGAGCAACATATTCTAGCGAAAGAACACAAGAAGTGCAGCAAGATGTTTACACGGATTTTGAACAACCTAAAATTAATATCGGGTTTTCCAATAGGGACTTGATAACTTTGAACTTTCACTGTGAATGCACTTTTAAATCAATTAAACATTTTTATCATGTACACCACCGAACAACGCTTACAAATAATTAAAATTTACTACCGAAATTCCGAGTTGGCGACTGCAACTTTAAGAGCGTTAGTAAAAAAAAAAACTGAGTGTACATATTCGCTGCAGGGTGTTCCCGTGCCAGTGGGACAACGGGTTGGTCGAAGTGCCGAGAATACTGCTGCCGTTCGAGCTTCCGTCGCAAACTAACAGAACACGGCGTTCTCAAGAATTGGGCATCGCTCAGGCCACACTATGGCGAATTTTGCGAAGAGATCTTGGCCTGCACCCTTATAATAAGATCAAGTTAACTCAAGAACTAAAGCCGTTCGATCATACGAACCAACGTACGTTCTCGAATTGGGCTCTAGAAATGTTGCAAGAAAATGGCCAATTTCATCGCAAAATCATCTTCAGTGATGAGGAGCATCTTTGGCTAAACGGCTTCGTCAACAACAGAATATGCATTATTGGTCAGATGAAAACCCTCAAGTGCTTCAAGAAACACCACTTCATCCACAAAAAATAACTGCATGGTGTGGTTTTCATGCCGGTGGCGTCATTGGGCTGTTTTTTTTTCCGTCAACGGAGATCGCTACAGAGACATGTTGCAACGTTATTTTTTTGGTCAATTGAATGTGGTTTCAACAAGTCTGTGCCACAAGCCACACAGCGGGTGAAACCAGGGCCGTATGCTCCGCTGTTCGATTTTCGTCCGCCGGCGCGCATGACGTCACGCGGAGAGTGATTATCATTTGAGTTGATATGGATAACGTGAATATTTTCACCTACAGGCTAAACGGCTGGACGGATTTTCACATATGAGGTGTCGTTGGATTCGTCTTAGCGATGCGAGTGACACTAGCTACATTGAAATTTTATAAAAAACAAAATGTGGGTTTTAATAAGAGATTTCAACCCTGTAATTCCTATTTCACAGGCTATAGCTTAAACGGCTTATAGCTCCGCAATAGAGCGTATCGTAATAACAAGATAGCTCCATTTTTCTACATTACCTATATTCAGGTGCATTCAGTATATTCTCGTTAATGATGCGATTAGTGGAATGTCTGGAGTATCCTCTGACTCTACGCTGCAATAGATACTCTGAGTATGCGCCTTCGTTTCGCCCCAACATATATGACCTTATTCTATACTTAAACTCTAGAGGACTTGTATGGTCATGAAACCATCTTTTGCCCTAATTACTCCGAAAAATGTTTCTATCACATATTGATTAAGACGCCTTGTTAACAGGTATTGGACGCTGAAGCGTCGTTCCAGATCCTCTAGAGCATTTTCTAGCAAACCCTTTTTACATTGACTTTGTCTTATCTTTTTGTGAGATGTAGCCATTTTTTGCTAAAGTTTGGGTCTTGAGGAAAACCGTGGAACTTCATGCCTTTGCAAAGATTCCGTTTACACTGATTGTCGGAATTACAACAGCACACCGCAATATCCTATCTTCACTGTATGTGTATCGTGGGGTGTAACAATCGACGTATTGAATCAAAATTCGGTGAACGTCTTATATCGAGAAATGGTCCTGTCGAATGGCCGCCTAGATCGTGACTTAACATCTTTAGACTTTTTTTGTGGGGCTACATTAAATCATTGGTCTATGCCAACAAGCCGGCGTCGTTAGAGGAGCTCAGAGCCAATATTGAACGAGATATAGTAGCGACTGTTTCTGTCGAAATGTGTGGCCGAGTCATTAAAACTTGGGTTCAACGAATCGATCGCTGCGAACGTGCCCGTGGTGGACATATGAACGAGGTCGAATTTTCGAGATATCTCAAATGGGTTGCGTTTTATTTAAAAAGAAAGTTGTCAAGTCCTTAATGGAAAACCCTTTATAATATAATTATAAGTTTCTTTCGGTCGCATCTGCCAGTCCTCTTGTTTTTAACAGTTTAATTGTTACATACTAGTGCATATTACAGATCACCTAGTATTCATTTATTATTGTATAGACAATTTTTGCACAACACTCAAAAGTCCACAATCACACTTTACTATTTACAATGGGCTATTTTTTTGTTTTAAAGCTATAAATCAATTTACGCCATCGCGTACAATTGAAATCAGGGTGGAAAATAATACGTCAGAACATATTTTTGTGCATTTATCTAGAACTTTCTGTACCCAAATGACATTTTTAATAGAGCTACGACGTCCTGTAAGCTCTATAGAAGAGTTCTTGATAGTGATGAAGAACTGCCTAATGTCAATACGTATTTTTTTTTAATGAGCATACTCGAAAATTGTTGATATATCCGAAAAACGTTTATAATTTACATTTAATTATATTCGACCGATATACGATTGAACATAACTAGAGGTAAGTCTGGGACTTAGGCAGAGTAATTTGCTATGAAATCAAAAATTACTGGCATTAATAGTATCGTAGAGATTGTAGTAACAAACATAAAAAAAAGACTTCGTAGCTTCACCTCGAATTTTCAAGTTTGATCAGTCGTCAAAATTTGCTACAAGGGTTATTTACCCTCAAGGATGAAGTCTAAATATGGGTGTTAACTCGAAATGTTCTTGCTGATCTCAAAAGTTTTTGAGTACCATTGATACCGCTGATACCATTAACTGATTCAAACCCAGCCTAAAAAAAATTGCAAGTAGTCACGTTAAGCGGAGATCGTCGAGACAGCATGTTATAGCGCGACTATTTTGCTGTTTAGCTTCACTTGCATACCCTACTAACTAAACAAAAATAAATAGAATTAAAAAATAACTATCATAACAATGAACTAAACGTAGGAGTATAAACTTAAACAAAAAACCATTAACATCCGTTACTGTACAAAGCTAATCTTAACAAAAAAGGAATACATTAAGCCAGTTACCATAGATAAGAAATGCCTGAAATAGATTAAAGGCATGTATGTGCTCACATTTACTTTGATCATAAATAATGAACTAACGTTATCAAATTGGTAGATTCAACAAATGACTCCAGTATACTTTCAACTTGCTATTCTGCTATTCATGAAAACAAACGAGTAGAATAACCCGCAGAAAGTGGGGTTTTATCTTTCTGGCAGCTTTTGATGTTTATACAATTTTGGTAAAATAACTTGTTCCTAGGTTCTTCATATCATTAAATGTTTTATCACAGAACTACATTTATCTTTAGTGATGAGACTGGTGGACGATGTTACTGTTAAATAGTACTATTTTAAAAAAATGTAGAATCCTGCATAATTTGTCAGTTATTCTATTCTTTCGTTTTCAAGCATATTTACCCTACTGATAGAATCTATGAACAAAATGATAGTGTTAACTCAATGTAAGAACAGATTTACAGCCTTAGGCCGTTTCTAAAAATTTAATTGCACAATGCATAGATTCCATACCTACTTGAATAGTTTTTTATAAAATACGTGGCATGAAATGAGAAACTGTTAAAACAATGTGAAAACTATATACTATTTTTTATGACAATTCGTTTCTAATACAAATTCGAGGCATTTAAATAATAAGCGTTCATAAAAATTCACTAAGGTTAAAGAATTATGCAATTTCACTTTTTGACCCCAGTCACGCATATTTAGTTTTGTCATGGATACAACCTGTTCAATTTTTTTTATCACAGTCAAATTCATTTAGAACGGTAGTTTTACATTTTCAAATACGATTTTCACAGCAGATATGAAAAGTATGCACTCATAGGATTGTTTAGAAGTGACTGAAATCTGCTGGGTCAATCTATTTCATTAAAAGTCACGGATCGCTTGATTTCTCAATAAGATTGTTACAAATTATCGAACAATCTGCTCTGAACAGTCTCAAACTGTCAACATCTTTTGTTAGATTCAAACTTAAAGTAAATCTTTAGTCACTGTTTTATACAAAAAGCATTTCCACTTCGAAGTTGAGTCATTTATTTTAACAGTGAGTAGATCTGATCAAAAGAAATATTTTTTCCTTTACCATTTTTCTGGTAAAATTAAAGTAACAAAGTTATAGCCCTTTGGAAGTTTGAGTACCGCCCTGTCTCAATAATAATATTATGTGCTCATGTTTGGCGACAACGGATATAATCCGCCGTATCGGTTCATCGCATCGGAAACAAAAAAGCGAAAGAATTTGGAACGATGTTTTTACAATTATTTTATTCATTTGTATACAGTCAGTGTCAGTGAATAGTGGTGTATGTTGCGTGGCTCAAACGAAATAAAAAATGGCACATGTTTATGCGGATCGGTTTCCCAATCGAGTGCAACCAACCCCTCGTGCCTTTGTTAATGTAGTACAACGGGCTCGTGAATCAGGTGACTTAAGACCTCACAGGGGACCTCACGATCAAATACAGGTCCGCACTGAAATACTTGTCGGGAAGATACTTTACAAAACAAGGTAAACATTTTTTTTTAATTTTTTCTTTATTTTCACACACATATTTTGGTTTATCTTCCTTCTACAATCATTATCTGAAAATTAATGACTCAACTTCAAAGTCACCCTGTATAAATGTATCCACACAGTAATAATAAGTTAGTGAAAAAACTGCAAATACAAAGGGTACTATAAAAGTTTTGCAATATGACTTAACGAACGGACTCAGGAGGCTGCATGTTACTGTTACATATTGACAGTCTAAAGTGAGGACTATGGCCACTTAGTGAGACAAGGGCGGTTTTTTACGGTATAACTTTACGCTTGCATTAAAGAATGATTGTTTTTTTTATACCAAAGCAGCTGCGCAGGCAGAAGCCTAAACGTCGGGACACCGCGGATGCTATGATGATCCCAAAGGAGCGGTCGTATCGGCCAATTCTGGATGTACGAAGTTCGACACGGTTAGGATGGAACGCCAAAGTCAGGCGGGTCTGTCTGGCAGGCACATCGCGCGGCTGCATCATGGAAGAGAGCTCTGAGGAGCAAAGCCCGTTGGTGGTGGTGGTGGTGTGTGTGTCTGTTAGAGAGTCGTCGATCAGTCGGACAGCATCGAGCATAAAAAATGTAGTCGGGGCGGCAGCACCCCAAACGTGTGAGCAATACTCGAGGCTAGGCCTTATCTGGGCCTTGTATAGCGAGATAAGGTCATGCGGGGAAAAGTACTTCTTAGCCCTAAACAAATAGCCTAGCTTTTTGCCAGCAGCTGCCGCTATTGACGAGATGATGAATGGCTCTTTGGCAGAACTCGGCCAGCGCTAGGATGCTATTTGTTCGTCAAGGTACAGTACTGTGTTTTGAAAGCATTAAACTGTACAAGATTGTTGCGTCCCCAATCAGTGATAACCTCCAGGTCTCTCGTCACAGAGGAAGTCGTCGCTAGTCTTCTTTTTTCCAGCTCAGCGGCAGAGATCGGCTTGTCACTCTGAATTCCTATATGTAGCTGTCATCAGCGAAGCTGCGGATTGGGTTGGGCGTGCAGTAAAGGAGATCGTTGATATGTAAGAGAAACAGTGTCGGAGCCAAGACCGATCCGTGGGGAACACCCGCGATGACGTTGTATGATGAAGAGGAGAACCCGTCAATTACGACGGATATCTTGCGGCCAGAGATAAAGTCAGCCACCCATCTGCAAAGTTTTTCTGGGAGGCCGTAGGATGGAAGTTTGCTGATCGAACGCACCATAAGACTGGATGAGTTTACTCCACAATGGCGTGACATAAGCTAGGAGTTCCCCTGAGGATCGCTGGTGCCGGAAACCATACTGCCTGTCGTTAATCAAGTTGTGACGTTCGAGGTCGTCCAGAAGCTCGCGATTTATGCATCTCTCATCACCTTACTTATAACAGAAAGAAGAGTTAGAGGCCTGTAGTTGTAAGGGTCGGTCTTAAATCCCTTTTTTGGGATGGTATGGACATGAACAAATTTCCAGTTTTCTGGGAAGGTGCTGGATTAATAAGATATCTAGAAAAGACGCGAAAGAACTGGAGCAAGCTCCGCTGCTGCACACCTCTTCAGTACAATGACAGGAATCAAGTCTGGACCAGAAGCTTTGTTGATGTCGAGCGACAAGAGCACTCGTCTTACGGTCTTATGACTGAATGTTACCTCCCGCATAGTGTAGGGAACCCTTTGAATTGATGGCACTTGGGCGTGGGGGGGGGGGGACGTCCATGGTGGAGTTGGCAGCAAAGATCTTAGCAAGCACTTCTGCCTTGGCCTTTGAGTCGGATACAATTGTTCCATTCTGACACGTAAGTGGTGGAAGTACTTTTCAATCTGCTTGGCCAGCGTCCAGAAAGACCGACTGCCATTGCGCTGCGACATTACCCTGTGCCTAAATTTTATATCGTGCTGGTTTTTGGCATTGCGAACCGCTTCGTTATATTTGTTTCTAGACTCGACGTCGGCTTGTCTGTTCTGTGCAATGAGGTTTTGTAAGTAGGTTCTGTGTGCCTTGATCTTATGCGGGCGAGCAGTGTCACACGATTTGTTAAACCAGCTGTTGGACCCTGGTTTAGGCACTTTCACTGTATAAGGGATGTATTCCTCCATTCCGACGTGGATAATTTCGGTTATCGAAGAACAGACAGCCGACGCATCGACGTCAGTGAAACAGACATCTCTCCAAGGAAAGGTAGAAAAGAAGTCTCTGAGCCCTTCCCAGTCGGCATGTCCGTATACCCAAATTTTGAGTCGTGTGCGAGTTTCTGCTGCTACAGCGGGTTCTGACCGAAACCTAACCTCCACAACACCGTGGTCTGAGTTACCCGGGGGTAACAGGACAGCAGTGCTGTAAGGGATAGGATGCGTAGTCAGAAAGAGACCCAGCAGGCTACTGGTACGTGACGAGACGCGGGGGAAAACAGTAGGGCTTGTCACTAGCTGGGTCAGCCCTTGAGTTACGCCCTTTTCACATGATCCGGCGCAAGCCTGACAAGCGCGGCGCTTCTGTATTTAGAGTGTTGGTGGTAGTTATTTGAAATTGACACAGCGCGGAAGAAGAGAAAGTACTAGCCATGTTCTTGTTATGGAGAGGGCGTATAAGAAGAAATAGGCGGTTTTGGATCACCCATTACTTCAAAATCGACATACCTCTGGGTCCTTCAAAGTTTTGTTCAATTCATTGCGGAACAGTGAGGAAATATTCCTTTCGTACTTTCGTATGCCAATCAAATCATTTGATGAACTAAATGCGACATATCGGGAAAGTGTTCTGGAGGCTGCTTTGAAGCCGTGTGCAGACCGCATTTCGGCCGCAGACCATGGTCATTTCAACAATACTAGGCATCGTCTCACACAGCGCGAATGAACCAAGAATGGCTGAAAAACAACGTTCAGAACTTAGTTCCGACCACACAATGGCTCTAGAATTAACCCGACGCGAATCCAATGGATTATTCTCTCATGGCCATTTTGGAGAGCAAGGTCTGAGCTAAGAAATACACCAGCCTCGAGACACTGAAGAAAGCCATTCTTCGTTAGTGGGCCAAAATATCGTCAAGTCACATTCGGGCAGCTTTTGATTCGTTTTTGGACCGTCTCAATGCTATAGTCAAGGCAAAAGTCATATTGAGCCAAAGTGACTTTTTTCTGCATTTTCAAATAATTTCATACATTCTGTACTTTAGAATAAATAAAAATCATTTTCCAAGCCAAATTTAGGGCATTTTGGAGAGGTTACACATCGAGTGCCAGGCCCAGTAGAGGTTGGGCCGTGCAGCGCGCGCCGGACCGAATCCCAATAACAACAATAGCCCTTCGCAGAGTAATCCGGCGTAGAGGCCGCATTTATTTACAGCGCGCGCCGGATATTGTGTGGAAAGGCTCATCTACTCTCATAGCTCAACGCCGCATCCAGCGCGCGCCGGATCGTGTGAAAGGTGCGTAAGAGCGAATACTTCAACTGCACGACCTGCTGCATCGGACTTGTTTGAGCCAAACCAAAGCTCATTATGGGCATTGAAATCACCGAGGAAAACTACCTCTGAAGCGACTATATTCAGGTGGTACAGAGAAGTCCAAAGAGGCAATTTCACTCCGGAGGACGTTGAGAGGGGAGGACGGCCGCGAAAGTCAATAACAGAGGTGAGTTTGAAACCTGGATCCTGATAGGAATAAATAGTTTCAGCGAACCGTCAAGATGGAAAAGCAATATACCGCAGACGAAATTCGCAAGATCGCACCCGGATACAGGGGTAAACCTCAGAACTTTGATATCAATAAGATTAAGAGTAAGGGGAACCCAAATGCATCCAAAGGCAGCGACAAATCAATGAATAATGCTCAAGATAAGAGTAAGGGGCCATCAAAGCCAGACTTACCAGCACCAACCCAACTAGCAGAAGAAAGCAACGCCGCAGATGAACGACGATCTTGCTTCCAACGCAATATTTGGGCCAGAAATGTCCCTGATGCCGAAGAAGCCAGAACAACGTTTTAGCGCGAACTTCGCAAAGGTTGTAGACGTGTCATCCGAGCTATATTCAACGTATTTAGCCGATGAGAAGCAACTAGAGCGCATGATAACGAAAGAAGAGCTAAGTTACCTTAGCACATTCTATCTATGGTCTAGACTGCTTGACAAGCTAAAAACAAAAGCAGTCCATTGTCAACCGACGAGAAAGAATTGAACAAAGCGGTGAAAGATGTTATTTTTAACATCCCACAGCCGTTGTTTATTTACCTTAGTAACATTGGCAATTACACCGACAGCATGGGAAAAGAAACTCAACTTGAGATTCCTCCCTTGCCCGTCCACGTTGTTCAGGGATTTGGTGGATATCACTCATCTAGTGTCACCGTCGCCATGCATAACCTTTTCGACGAAATAGCAGGTGATATGGTAATGGCATTAGCTTCGAGAGATGAAGAGCCGATACCTAACATCCGCGTAGACAAGCCCGAGGGCACTGAGTTTACGAGCAACCTAGTTGGCAAACTATCATCAATTGGTACTCGCAGGCCAGAGTTTCCTCAAATGCTTGCAGGCTACGGGATCACAGCGACCGCTTTCCGGGAGTTTATTTATGGAACGCGCTTCTGAAATACGTCGTGTCACTTTCCGACATTGTTGGGAAGTTGTCTTCATTTAAGATTGAAAAAGTGCAATTCTGTAACATGACTGCCAAAGGAGGTGAAGCGCAAGTGGTTACCTCGAAGCCAAGCGAGAAGGGCGAACGGTTGACGAAGACCGGAGAGTGACATACCAACAGATAGAGGACATGATACTATAACTCGAGAAGACGCGCAGCCTGCGACCGTTGACGGACTTTCAGTGACGTCACTGCGAGACCTAGCTCTGTCGACTGTCACTTGAAACAGTAGTGAGGTTAGATTTGTTTTTCGAAGTCTTGTTTGTGGTGTTGTATGGTTTTGTATTTGTTCACAATTTTGTTACTGTGAGTGAAGGTGCATCTTGTCGCTGAAATTTGAGTTGTATGTACGTTTTATGATGTATTGTGCAATATTTGGTTCCTGCAGCAGTAACAAGAAGACGAGCAAACATTATATAAAATGTCGTTTTTTTACATTCCTCAAAAACAAGGACATTCGTGCAAAATGGGTACATAAATGTCGTCAACAAAATAAATTTAAGATTAGAACTGCTAGAATATGTAAACAGCATTTTACGGACGATGATTTTCTGGATAGAGAAAATATTAGAATTACCAAAGGATAGATGGACACTGAAACCAGATGCTGTTTGTTCCTTCATTAAATCTTCCAAAATATGGTGATGAAATTGAATCTTCTGCACAAGATATGCGAAAATCAAAAATTTTTACCTTGATTAGTCCAAGTATTTTTATGGTTTTTAAGATTTGAAATGTTTCATGCTTTTTTAGGTCTCGGCATGAAATTTATGAAACACCAATTGAAGTATCAGAAACCAGAAGAAAAATTGATATAAATGCGGGCACATCATCACAATCAGAGGAAAGAAGAATTGAAGTTTCTACACAAACAAGGTTTGTTTTTAAAAAATGTCTGCTTCGTGCTTATTTTTTGCACTTCACAAACGATTTTTTAGGCCAGATTTACTCTTGGAAAAAATAAAATATCTTCAAGATGACAACTTGAGACTGCGGCAAGGAAGCCTCATGAAGTTTTTTTAACAAAATGCTATGCCCAAGATCAAATTTTACAAACCTTCAATGGGGATACGCTAAAAGCTCTCAGACAAATATCTAGAATCTTTGCTCAGGTCTTCGGAACATATAGATTTGACTAAGGATACTAAACTTTTATTTTTAAATGTAAAATGTATTTCAAAATTAGGCTTTTAAATAAAAACATGAGAGAACAATACAAACTACGCAAAAGGAAATATGTAAAGGTGTGTACATAACTTTGCCTTGTAAATAAATATTTTTTTAATAAAGGCTATCACTATTTTTACTCTCATTTTTTTCCTTCCTTAGCAAATTCGATTACATTTATTTTTAACATCTTGGCATCTATTAAATGATTGACCTCAAAGTAAAATGTTGTAGAGTCAAATTAATGGAAAATTTATTTCTGTATGATAATGGTCCGCCATTCCATATCGCCTTGTCGCTTGGCCTAACATACCAACCGTCGTGTCGTGCCGCGTCGTAGGTCTCGCAGTGACGTCATACGCAAAGCGGTGCGAAATTGTAACGCGAAGTGAGTCTATCTTCTCGAGTTATAGTATCATGGATAGCGGAGACCTTACACCTTCATGCACCAGCAATTCATTCAATTCTGCATGACGATTTACACATAACGAAACTTTTGTTTTCTCTGGGTACCGCATAAACTGACGGAAGAGTAGAAGACTCGTCGTACGACTTGGTGTCGAAAGATGCTGAAAATGGCACAAAACAAATTTTGGGTCTTTGATGATGAGGTCACACCCGTAGCTGTCAGAAAATCCCGATGTTAAAAAAATGATTGGTGTATTTTTCAAATCGAGCGGGATTGTGGAGCGTGTCGTCGTTTTGGACAGTCACAGCTAAGTGGTACACAGAACAGTGTCTGCCTAAAGTCATAAAGTCTGTGAAAAACTTGCGGCCGAAGTCAAGAATGGACACTTGGTACCTCCACCATGACAACGCTCCAGCAACTTGGCAGCGCTGGTTTAAGGACTGGTTTTGGCGGATGGTGAAGTGTAGTGAATGTGGTGGAAATTACTTTGAACGAAGTCAATGAATAAACCTGTATTGCAAAACTTTTACAGTACCCTTTGAACACTAATTGATGACAGAACATTACATCCGTATTTGCAGCTATTTTTTGTGATTTGATTGTTGATCAAATGTGATGGTCTATCAAAGCTATCCAAAGGCCACTGGATAGCTTTGATAGATGTGAATCGCTCCACCATAAGGAAAAGTGGAGCGATTCGCACGAAAACGTCAATAAACATTCAACAATGAAGACGGAAATAGACAGCCATATGTCAAGCATTTTCGAATGACATTTTCGCGGGACAAGTGCTTGGACTTTTAACAGGCAAAAAACTGAATCTGTAGTTCGAAAAAATCTGGTTTCATTTCGGGGCCAGCAAAATCTTTGCCAAGTTTCGGCTCATATCAAATGTCACTTTAAAGTCACTCACAATACCTAGTGATTGGTAGATATTACATTCTATAATAACAATATCTGCTTAATCCGAATTAAAAGTTATCCCGGACAATCACCGTATTCAACGGCGGATACTTTCGGAAACAGAATTACATCGCAACGATGCCAATCCATGTCAGAATGTGCGATTTTAAATGTTTATCTTCACATCAGCGACTATAGACAGACTAAACCTGTTTCTTTCACACTCACACACAACTTCCACTCTAATATAAGAAACATAGAACATTGAAACACTCTTTTAATCACCAAATGTTCGTATACACACGTGAGCACAGAATGTCAATTCGCGAGAGGCGTTTTTCTCCTTCACTCTATTCGGGTTTCACTGTATACAGTTTCGCTAACCTGTTGTAGAAAATAATACATTATAAATCGGTTTCAACGTATCCGGAGATGGCAAATCGAGAGCGACAGCAGTCCAGCAAGTGTGATATAGTGTAAGTCCCATGGCTGCTAGACATTGCTTATTTTTTGAAAGACAAAACGTAGAGCAATGACAGGCGTTTACGAGGTCTAAATTAAGTGATGAGACTGGCAACGTAGCGTTCGATCTGCCAACGCTGGAGGCTCCGGGCCATACGTAATGTGATTATGAAACATGTTGAGCCATTTGCTAAGCTGCCTAAAAACAAATAATTGTATAGATACTCTAGAATATAAGTAATCAACGTGAAATGTCCAATTTGTATAAAACATTTTTTTGTCATTCAGAATATAAGCGATGTCTGCCAGCCCTGGGATCTTATGCTAATATTGCAGTCATCGCTTTAAGTTTTAATTTTTCATGTGTATACATACATACATACTCTTTGAGCAAAATTTTATAAATTTTAGCCTTGTATTCAAAATACAAGCATAGTTTTTCTAAACCCAGAAGAGTTATTATACAGAATGTCCCAGAATATACCACATAAAATAAAACAAGCCCTTTGAAGGCTCTCTCTAAACAACGCCATTAAAAACTTCCTCAAGTTGTTTGAGAAAAATCGATTTCCATTAGGGTCCTTCAGGAACCTATATCTCGGGAGCCTCTAGGAGCCTCTTTGGGGTTTGCCTTACATATCCTGGGACACACTGTTTATTTTATGGTGGATTTTAGCATAATCAGATCTTAATTGTGTTACGGATATAGACCTTTCGCTGTGATGAAACGTGTGCCATTTAGTTGACCATGAGTGTGTGGGATTCCATGGGAGCGGCGGAATCGTACAGGGTATCCGTGTCCTGCGTCGGCTCGCCCTGTAATTGGCATTGGTTCGTCAACGTACCGGCACCACAATCACAGAAAAATCTGAAATTAAAATAAGTTCCTTTAGTCATCGTACAGGTGAAAATCGTATATAGGGTGTTCCGTATTTAAATGGTAGGAAGTATGAACTGGGGCCTTTTCATATCTGAAGATAAAAAAGTTGTAAATTCTGTTTTGATTGATATACAGGAAGATTTATCTTTAATACCACACTCTCAGGCACTATAGAACCGATTTTGTTGAAATTTTGCACGACAACATAGTTACTTAGTAGTGAAGTAATACTAGATGGACGATTAAAAAATCCAGAGCCGGTCTGGATTTTTTCACTTGTTTGTTTTATATTTAAATAAATAAAAAAAATAACTAGAAAACCAAAAGAGGCGCAACTAACCTATTTTGCCCATTAATTAGGACCAGTAATTGGCTTTTTTATAAATAGTCAAAGATTCCATTATATATATAAGAAAGGGAGAAATAGAGTCCGGCCCTGGATTTTCTCACCGTCCGTCGAGTTTTACCTTACTCATCGGGAACTGTTATCGTGTTTGACGGCAGGGGGCGTTCCTGAGGGAAGTTGGTGTTATCATCGTGTGCTGTCATCTATCAAACGACGGCACAACAAATTCCGGACTGATTGATAGGTTAGTTTGGATTTGTCAGCCATCCGAGTAACACGTGTTTCGTGATTTTAGCTAAGATGGAAAAAGAGCAGTAACGTTCGGTAATTCGATTTTTGTTTTTGAATGGGAAAAAATGCGACGAGATAAAAGTAAAGTTGGATGCTGTTTATGGGGACACTTCGCCATCTATGACCACAGTTAGATATTGGTTCAACAAATTTAAACTTGGCGAACATCCGTTTTTGATGAGGATCGACCAGGTCGCCCGGCAGACGAGGTTACCGAGGAAATCATTCAAAAAGTCCACGATATGATTCTCGCTGATCGACGAATGAAAGTGCGCGAAGTAACAGAGGCCGTAGGTGTGTCGGCCGGAACTGCAATGAATATTTCACATAAGTTGGAGATGAAAAAAATGTCGGTCCGATGGGTGCCGCGATTCCTCACTTCGAAACAGTGTTTGGTGCAATTTAAGCGAAATCCGAAGGAGTTTTTGCGTCGAGATGTCTCCGTTGATGGAACCTGGATTCATCATTACACACCAGAAACTAAGCAACAATCAAAACAATGAATCTCTCCCGGTGAATCTGCTCCAAAGAAGGCGAAGACGGTCCCATCGGCCGGAAAGGCCGTGGCGACGATTTTTTGGGATGCGCACGGCGTCATCCTCATGGATTTTTTAGAAAAAGGAAGAACGATCACTGGACAATACTACAGTGAGTTATTGGACCGCTTCGACAAAAAATTGGAGACATGGCCACATTTGCCGAAAAAGGTGCTCCTACACCCCCCCCCGTATTCACCCGATCTGGCCCCCTGTGACTTTTTCTTGTTCCCTAACAAACGAGTCATCGCTGAGACAGAGGCGTATTTTGGCGAGTTCGATATATCCTATTTTTTGAGGGGCTAAAAAACTGGCAGGAACGTTGGGGATAATGTATCTATCTGAAAGGGGACTATTTTGTAACATATTTTTTTTTTTGATAAAACGGTACCTTTATACAGGGTAATTATTGAAGCGAACTCGTGAAGTGCTTGATATAGGTGATTTGAGGTGTTTAGATAAATCAGACTAAAAGCAACTGCTCTAGTATTTATAAGTGCAGGACAGTAAGACAATATGAAAGCGCGATGATTGCGTAAATACCATTCCAATATGTTTTTTTTACACCGAAGCAGCCACGCAGGCAGAAGCCCAAATGCTAGGATACCTCGGCTGCTATGAGGAGCTTAAAGAAACTTTGTTAATACGATTTTTCAACTGCCTAAGGTTAGTAGAACTGGGAATAGGCTCCTCATGTAGAATATTCCTCAAACTCGAGACCAAGGAGCAGTCGTATCGGCCAGTTTTGAATCTTTGAAACGGTAAGGATTGGAGGCTTGAGTCAAGCGGGTCTGTCTGACAGGTACATCATGCGGCAGCATCATGGAGGAGAGCGGTAGCAGAGAGCTAGATCGCCGACGGCCAGCCGGTGCCCAAGGGTCTCGAGACTGCCCGTTAGAGAAGAATCATCGATCAGTCGGACAGCCCTCTTCCGAACAGCATCGAGCATGGATAATGTAGTCGGGGAGGCAGCACCTCAACATGTGAGCAGTTCTCGAGGCTAGGTCTTATTAAGCTAGAAGGAAACGGCAATGCATGGGTAAATAGTGAGGATTTGTGTGCTAATAATATGTGTTGGTGAAAATTTCATTGGATTCTTGTCTCAAATACACTCACTTCAGATTCAAAGCTAGAAATTAGTTGCGCGTCCACTTTTTCTTATTCATTCTGGAAATTACACATGCAAATTTGATGAATTTCAAAAATGAGAGATAAGAAAAGAAAATCTTTGGTTGGTGGAGGCACAGCTGAGAAAATATGCTACAGACAGCAAAGGAATATTTTTATGAACGTGAAAAGGTTATTACATTACTTTTTATTTCCAGTCTAATTTAAATTTTATAGAAATTTATTTTGCGACGTCAACAGAAAATAGAAATCACCTCCTAGATGTGAGGCATTGCGAAAATGTTTGATGTGTGATGCGTCATTACCAATTTTTCTGTGATGTGGGTTAATTGCACACAACGTGGGCGCGTTGGCGATTTCCCGTAATGCTCCTTAAAATTTTTGAAAACACAAAACAACGGGAAAAATCGTAATTTATAACTTTGAACATAACCTGTCTTCAGAAAGGACAACATACCATATGAATGGCCCGTATATATATATATATATATATACTAAGTGACATATAAATCCGAACACCCAGTTTAAATGGTTTTATTTTAATAAAAGTTGGTGAATGTATTTATCTTACTGTAAATAACAAGTGAAAAAATTTTCAGCCTTATCAGTTGGACATTCCGGTTTTTATACAGCTTTTTTTTTAATTCACTAACGCTCTAAAAATGAATATTTCAGCCGCAGTAAAGAATCAACGTTGGCGGATTTTGGTTCTTGACATCCTTTACGCTCGGTTACGATGCCTAGAGTACGGAGACCTGTACGATTTTGTCAACTTAGTGAGTTTGATAGGGGCCGTATAGTGGGACTTCGGGAAGCTGGACTTTCTTTTCGGGCAATTGCAGTTAGAGTGCAAAGAAGTGTAGACACTGTGGTTAGGCCGTACGCAAAGAGCAAGGGGCACTGGACGCCGCCGTAGAACAACAGACCTTGAAGATCGCCGCCTAAGATTATTGGCCTTAAGGGACCGTTTCTCTACTACCAGGTCCATTGCAAATGACTGGTTTGCAGAACACGGAAGACCTATTGGCATGCCAAGTTTTGGCTTGTTTTCATACCGGCCACACTGGGTCCTCCCTTTAACTCGAGAACACCGACGTAATCGCCTTGAGTGGTGCAGACAACAGTCACTCTGGGATCAGGAATGGAACAGTATTGTCTCTAGTGGCGAGTCTCAATTTTGTTTAGGCATGCACGATGGTCGTGCCAGGGTAAGAAGGCGACGTGGTGAAAGGAGGAATCCACAGTTTTTTGTTGAAAGACATGTTCATCACACTGTTGGAGTTATGGTTTGGGGTGCTATAGCTTATGGTTCCAGGTCACCTTTAATCTTCATCAGAGGTAACATGAACGCGCAGCGTTATATCCACGAAGTTCTAGAACCCCATCTTTTACCCTATCTTGACACCCTGCCAGATCCAACTTTCCAACAAGATAATGCCCGATCACATGTTGCAAGAGTCACAATAGACTTCTTTCAACATAATGATGTCACATTGTTACCATGGCCACCAAGATCTCCCGACTTATCCCCAATTGAGCACGTGTGGGATATGATGGGTAGGAGATTGCTCAATTTGCAACGTCCTCCTCAGACTCTAGAAGCACTTCGAGAGGAGTTGGTGGTTGCCTGGAATGAGATACCACAGGAGGACACATTGACCACCTGATCAGAAGCATGCCTAGGCGCGTTGAAGAATGCGTAGCACATCAGGGTGCATCCACACATTATTAAAGGTCAAAGGGCTTTAAAGCAGTGCAATCATTTTGAAATTTTTATCATTTACTTATTATGCTTCATTAAGTACTTATACAAAATTTTATTAAAATAAAACTATTTAAACTGGGTGCTCGGATTTATATGTCACTTAGTATATATATATATATAAGAATAATTTTCTCACACAGCAAATATCACTGATTTTATACACATCCATATCCAGATGCGATCGTAGTGAGCAAACGTGGAATGACTGTTTGCACTCTAAAAACTACCTAGTCTGCAAGATGACATTTTATAGGTTTTTTTGACGTTTTATAGGGTTTTTACAAAATAAGCCGCTTTTTGGTGAAATATATGCTTTAATTCTGAACGGCTCATCTCGCAATACTGTACGCCACCCATCAGCCCGTCACTATCATCTACTAGTATAATGGCCTCACCGGGCAGTTTAAAAGCAGTCTGTCACGATACAAAATTTTTTCATAGTTCGGTATCAAATTTTGTTAAAAAAAAAAACGCGTAACTGAATTTGGTTCACAATTTTTTACCAATTAAAATCCTGTCCGCCACGTAAAGACATTTTTGTAAGAAATTTGGTATGAAATCATGCGCAGTCGATAGTCAACTTCGAACTGTCATGTCAAAGTCATTCTAACCGCGTTGCGACTGCAGCAGCAGCGATCTACATTGTAGCTGTCCACTTCATGAAGAACGTAACGAAACCGCAAAAGAATTTTGTGTCCAAACTCGATTTGGGAAAGGGCCAGGGGCATACAGTAGCGGATGGAAGTTTGGAAACAATTCTTAGAAATTTTAAAAATTGCGCTAATTTTTTATTCTCCATTATTAAGGACTATTTTTTTTTCATATAGTTTGCTTACAGTCTTGAGGATACAAATGACAATTTGTGTTTGCTGTGGTACTACAGACTAGCATTGAAATACCTTCATATTATTTTATGATCAAAAATGAAACCACAAAAATATGCAAACATATTATTTTTTATTACAAAATTAAATAAAAAACAAAAAATACAGTGTAGCTAATATTTGGTAACACTGACTGACATCTGCTGCTCATAGAAGACACCAATTTTTCACAGACGTCTGTTGGGATATTTTGCCAAATATTTTTTACATAATCAAATAAATCGTTCTTATTTTTAAAAGTTTTTCATGTCAGTTGTCTTTGAATATGCTCCCAGACATGTTCTATAGGGTTTAGGTCCGGGGATTGCGAAGGCCATTAACATTTTTTAGTCTTAACCAGTTCTATACGAATTTTGAGGAATGATTGGGGTCATTACCTTGGTAGAATATCCATTTTAAAGGCATTTCTACTTCAGCAAAAGGGAGCATGTGTTCACTAATAATATCTTTGTAAAGTTTTTGATTCATTTTCCCAACAATATGGATTGGATGGACCCGTTCCAGAACTAGAAAAACATCCCCAAACCATGATGTTGCTTCTACCGTGCTTAACTGTTGGCAACTGATACTTTTTGTCGAATCTTTTCCGTATTGGTCGCTTTTGCACTGGACGTCTACCAAGAAGTCCAAAATCCACCAAGCGTATCTGCACTGTTATAACAGATATATTCTCGGCACCCTCTTCTACAATTCTTTTGAACATCTGTGTGGCCGGCATTCGCAGATCTTCATGAGACAAACGTTTAATGTAGCGATCCAAAACATAATCGGTTTTATTCGGTCTTCCGCACCTGGGCCGCGTTGCTGTTGATCCGTATTCTTGATATTTACTTATAATTTTCGAAATCGTCCCTTTGTTCATTTTGAATCTTTGAGAAATGTCAATATTTCTGACACCACTTCTAAATAATTCAATGACTTTGTTTCTTAAATCTTTTGAAAATTACCGCCCGCAATATCACAGTATCGCAGAACGAATAAATACGGCAAAACTGAAATGTTTCCATACTTTTGTCGCTACAAAAACTGTGGTGTTTAAAAAACGCGTATTTTTATTTTCAGAGAATTTGAATATTGATAAGATAAACCCTATTAGTAATGGAGCCAAATGTAGACTTTAATATTTATATTATCTGTTCCTTCACAATTTTAATTTAAGTAGATGAAATAGTTCATAATAATGTTAATATATTTCCAAACTTTTGTCCGCTACTGTAAGTGTGCTCCATATGCTGGATAATGAACTTCTAGTGGAGGATTCACTGGCTTATACCTAATTAGTTCTAAAGTTATTCTGATTTTATCCAACGCAGCTTGTCCGGCGTTTTTATAGGCCTTGCCTTTAAAGTTTTTAGACTATCTATAACATGTTCCCTTACCTGTCATGCCTGATGAACTCGACATCGTGGCCCGCATGGCAGGTCTTGATGCAATTGACGCAGATGGCATTGCGATCGGTGGTGTTGCACGTCTGGCAGCGGTAGAAGTCGTGCATTGGGAAGGAGGTGTACGAGGAGATCTTGTAAAGGCATTGACCGTTAGACACCGCCTTCTCGACGGCGTCTTGGTTGTTAAAGATCTTGTTACCGCGCACTATTGGTTGCACGCCGCTAGCCAGGCACAGACCGCCGAAACGGTTATTGAAAATCTGGAATAGAAATAATATGTAACGTTATTATTTTGAAAAACATGTTCCTGATCCAACATTTTTTTTGGCCATAAATATGAAACTGACCTGGTTGAATTCCAGTGTGGCTGTGGCGTTGTTAGTTATCTCAACTCCTGCAGCTAAACCATCGAAGATCCGATTCCGCCGCAGAATTGGATGACTCTGTGTGGATATCAGCACACCAGCTTGGGCGTTGCGAAATATGTCATTTTCTTCCAAGATTCCCTGCAAGAAAAATATTTCACATAATGTTTTGCTTACTGGTAATATTTTATCATTAATCGTTAATCTTCTTATTCTAACCTGCTCAAGCACTGCATACTGCGCATTGGTCGATAAGATCGTCAAATATGGACAAGGAGAGTTGAAAATATGTAAAAATCTACTATAAAGGTTTTTTCCTCATTTCGAGTTCAAAACATACCAATAATTCTCCTCAATTTCTTTAAAGCAGTGTGCTAGTGGGACGTCAGCGTTTAAGAACTAGACAGTTTCGGATTTTCAACAGACCCTATTTTCCTCTCCAAATCATATCTATGTAATAGATCACAGTACATATTTTATAATGGCTACATTCCAACAAGTACAACATATGATCAGGCATCCACAAGGGTCAAATTTGGGTCCACTTCTGTTTAACCTATTCATGATATGTATAGTGTAATCGCATAAAAAAGGTTGTTTTATGCAGATGATTTGAAAATATTTTCCAAAGTAATCACTATGGATGATGGTATTGATCTAAAAAGAGCACTCAATAGTATTTATGAATAGAATGTTAACAATAAGTTGTCACTAATACTGTTACTTTTTCTAGGAAAAAAGTACCTTCAAAGTTCAACTACAGCATTCATGACACATTTTTAGAATCTTGCCCCTCCAAAAAAAGATTTAGGCGAGTTGTTCAATCCCAGATCAACCTCATCGACCATATTGAAACATAAGAAAAACTAGAGAGAATTCAGAAACAGTTTTTGAAATACACGGTATTTTAAAAAACATCATATTGATCTACAACAAGGTAAATAATACCAAGTTAAGTTACCATGATTAAATTTTTATGACATGTATAGTATGGAGTTCAGACATACACTGACTTCGATATTATTTTTATATAAACATATGCATGGTGACGTTGATTGTTCAGAGCTTGTGTCTCGAATTAGATTGGATGTGCCACAGTTTAATTCCACACACTACTTTTAACTGTCCTGCTGCTAAAACGAATCTCATGCTAAAGTCACCCTCATCAATAATGCTTATAAACTATAATCTCACAACATGATGATGATTTCAATTGTAGTGTTAAAGACTTAAGTACTACTGTGAGTCTATATTTCGCTCTGTAAATGGATTTAATCTGTTCTGCAACAAATGTCATTATTATTAGTTAGATTCTGCTTCACGTTTCTGAATATAGAATAATACTAACCTTTCCACCATTGAAGATACAAATACCACCATCTCTCCCGTCGAAAATCTTGTTCCTCTTTAACGTCGGATTGGAGTCTGTCTTGATCCAGACGCCGGCCATGGCATTGTCAAAGATTTCGTTCTGTTCCAGTAGTCCAAGACCGCCATTATAGACGAGTACTCCGCCATTTTGGCCTCCCCAAATTTTGTTTCCCCTGATCACAGGATTGCTCCCGGTGCGGATCTGTACCCCGGAGTAGAGGTGGTTGAAGATGTCGTTGTCCTCCAGCTTGCCTGAAAAGAGGCAGTGTATGTGTACTGAAAGTGCCCAAGTATGGTTGTATTAAAAATAAAAAAAATTAAGTGCGCAGAAAGATTGCATTTATTGGTGATTTCCTTTACGCGACATCACGGCGAATGATCATTTCAAGTATAAGCAAATTTTCATAGCAAGACATACAGCAAAGACAACCGAGATATTCAAGTTCCGATTCTAATATTTTTTTGACTGCGTCCGCTTTCTTCTTAGATGCAGGTGATTTACTGAGGATCTTTGGATATTTGCTGATCTGATTTCTGTAAACTCCAGTTTCAGATGACGACAATCTTAACACAGGATAACCGTACGAGTACAGCACGTCGCAACAACTGCGGGTCTAAACACGCAAAATTTCTAATCCCCAATATTTTGGACATGAGCATTTACTCGTATCCATGAATTATTTGCTTGCAAGTATGAGGTAATCATTATTCATATTAAATGAAGCAAATGATTTTACTTCTACCTTTTGCTCCGAGCATTCGCTTTTCTTTCTACCTTATGCTTATAAGCATTTACTTAATTTTTATTCATATATCAAATCCGGTGAAAAGATGCAACAATAAGCATTATCTAACTAGCGGACTGTTCACAAATCGGATTTCCTAAAAACATGCAACAATCTAACTGATAAGATGTAAGTTTACAGCGAGTGCTTTCAAGATGCTGCTAATGCTACGAGAGGGTATTCGCACTGTTTTCCTCGACGTTTCATCCCGCGCCGCGTAGGTATGTTTATCTCGTACATAGGCCGTTTTGCAGGAACTCGAAGTGAGACCTGTTAAAGACTTAAGACAACTCCGTAGATTGAGAAAAACGTTAATAAACCCGTAATTGAAGCTTATCAGTAGAACAGTGGCTACTTTTCTTATTTTTTGTCTTGTACCTCTATAAAAGGGTTGCAATGAAGCACATGTTTTATGTGTTCAAGTGGATCGATATACTTACCATGACCATTATCATAAAAGTAGACTCCGACCTGTTTACCGGAATGTATCCGATTCCTTCGGAGCACTGGCGTGCTGCCAGTGGTGATCCACACTCCAGCCAATGTATTAGCGTACACTTCGTTCTCCTCGATGAGCCCTTGGCCCTTTTCGTGGACGTATATGCCGCCATGTTGGCCATGATGGATCTTGTTGTGCCGCACGATAGGATCGCTATTTGTACGAATCTGGAAAAAAAATCATTTACATGGTTATATTACGCTTTAAAACAACAATTTTTTGAATGAACCCTCTTTAAAGTAACCAATTTGTATTTTCCCGCGATAACGAAGCTGCAGTTATGATGATTGTCCTCCTATTATCTGTCATCATTGGAATCATTAATGACATTGAATAGTTGATATAAGCGATTTCCAGACCCGACAGCTGGAGGTATTGTCTTTTTCACGAGTATCCATTACTATAAAATAACAGCTGATTAGTATTATTTCAAAATTCTCAATATCGACAAGAGTCTATTATTTAGAAGTTCCTTAGCATACAAAAAGAAACGTTACGAGCAAAATGGCTGCTAATGATCATAACCACATTTCAAGTTAGGTAGGAATAAATAAGATAAACATTTTTATTTTTTGACTATGTTAATCATCTCTACTTTTTAGAATTTAAAACTCTATGAGATTTTAAAAGGAAATAACAACAATTCAAAATGTGTCGCAGTATATGACTGAATTGATAAAGGTTCGATTTCCTGAATCAGGTCTGAACATAACTCAGGTAATTCTTACAAGTTAGAAATTAGAAAAATGTAAGTGAAATATGCAACTATTGCAGGAAGTCATGAAATGTACTCAATTGGAACAATGCAATGTACCGGGGTGGGCCAACTGTTGAGAACACTGCAAAACATCCGGTGAAACGAAAACGTCGCCTGGAAGCTGATAGCGCTTGTGGGAGGGGAGAGGGAAATAAGAAATGTGGTTTATTTAATTTTTTAACTATTAACGGTTGTGCTGAAGACGTGGGAATCTGCTCTTGAATCAGTCACTCATGTGCACAACGTCAAATATACACACAAGCTCATCATGGCAGCTGGGAGCTTCGAAGGTATGTCATTGAAAATCGTTAGTCATTCAACCTGTGCTCAAATTAGGAACAAAATAGCGGAAGACTTTGGTTTTTCTTAATGCTAGCGATACTTGAAACTATTGAGGAACGCATCTGACAGCTTTTAGCTGATCGTCGGTCATTCATCACAGCTGTCATCAGTGTTGCCGAGTGGAAAAAGACGAAATCGGTACTGTCGTGGTTATTTAGTAGGACAAAATCGGTGGAGGAAAAAACTCAGGGTCATCGCAATGGATCAAGCGCATTTGGATCACGCAGCGTCGTCTATAAAAACTGATATTTTTCCTGGAAAAATATTAACTTCTTTATTACAACTTGTACAATGAGGAAACTGGTCACTCTTCAAACTCCTTTACAACCATCCTGGAAACCCCTTTTCCCATAGTTATTCAAAAGATTGTGAGTGTTTTTCTGTTTTACCTCTGAACTTGAAACCTCATCATCTGACATTTTAATTCAATATATAACCAAAATCAGATGAGCTTTGGTTTCCTTATGGCTTGTCCGATGATCTACGGTGATCTACCAGTCTGTACTTATTGTATGCATAAAAACCAATACACGGACAGTATGGGATGCGCCTACATACGAGTAATTATAGGCAATCCAAATCTACGTCCCTCGGGTGTCCAACTGCCAAAGTGTGCCTCATTTTACTTTGTTGGTATGGGGCATGAAACTAAATGGGCTACGACACATAATGCATTTTTTAGCTTCATTTTTGATTAGTGATCTTTTTCAGTAAAAAAATATGTAATTATCTGAATTATTTTAAAAGATCGAGGAAAATAAGGACGTTTTCGGTATTTCGGTACTCATTTCGGTGGAAAAATCAGTACGTTCGGCAACACTGGCTGTCATAAATGTTCATAACCTCGAATACTTTGTCGTTTCGAGCAACTTTAAACTCCTGTTTATTGATTAAAAGCACCGTTGAATAAAATAAAAAGATTGCTATGACATTTTTAACAATGTACTCACATTCTACATATAAATATATTTTTTTGGATCTTATTTATTACGCATTTTTTGTTACAAATGCCGTCACTCACGCGGGCTGTAAAGGTGCCTGGTGTAAATAATATATTGTCGAAATTCGTATGGGGCAGTTAAAAAAATAATTCAACAGTTTAGAAATGTTAAATTTAAAAACTCACCTGTATGCCAGCGAGTGCGTTTCCGTAAATGTTGTTGTGTTCGATGAGGCCGCGGCCCTCCCCGAATATGTACACGCCGCCTTGATGTCCGTTGTAAATCTCGTTGCGCCGAATCGTCGGATTACTGTTCGATGTTATCCACACGCCGGCAAAGTTATTTGAGTGAATCTAGAACAAGATATAATACAATAATCACTTGAATGGAATAGTGTTGTAAAGGGTGTCTCAACAAGAGCGCCGGATTTGAATTTGCCGCATTTTATTTTTTGTACAAATGGTATGGTGTTTACTTGATGGCAGCTGTCATGTGCAGACCACGCGATTAGACGTCATGGAGAAGTATTCAAACGAGCAAGGTTTTATTATTCAGAAAACTCGCTACAAAAATGGAGAAAATTAGGCGAAAACAGTTCGCAAATTACGTACAATTGAGTCGACAGTTCGCCGTTTAATTACAAAATTTGAGACAAAATTCACGTTGCCGTCCTGGTCGGACCCTCGAAAATATAGTCGCAGTGCGGACAAGTGTGGCCGAGAATCCAGGCACTTCCATTCAGCATCGTGGCCAAGAATTGAACCTTACCAGACCCACTCTGCAACGGATGTTGACAAAAGGTCTGTGCTAGCATGCGTACAGTGTTCAACTAACGCAAGGACTCAAGCCAACAGACCATGCGCAGCGCTGTGAATTCGTTGATTGGGCGCTGGAGCACCACCAAATTGATACGGATTTCTCGACGACAATCATTTTCTCTAATGAGGCACATTTTCAACAGAACGGGTACGTCAATAAGCAGACCTGCTGAATTTGAGGTTCTGAAAACCAGGGTATAATAATCGAACAACCAATGCATCCGCCGCGAGTTAGCATTTCGTGCGCATTGTGGAGTGGCGGAGTGATTGGACCGATTTCCCCGAAAATGCAGTTGGAACTGCGGGAACTGTTAATGGTGTGCGATATCGCGAAATGTTAACCGAGTTTTTGTGGCCCCAGTTGGATCGAACTGATGTGGAAGATATGTTCTTCCAACAAGACGGTGCGACCTGAAACACAGCACACGAAACAATGGTGTTATTGCGGACCAAGTTTCCCGACAGTGTCATCTCTCGGTTTGGCGATCAAAATTGGCCACCAACATCGTGCGATCTAACGCCAATGGACCTCTTCCTCAGGGCCTATGTGAAGGAAACGGTGTATGCGAACAAGCCACAAACAGTTAACCGCCTTAAAGAAGAGATACGGCGCATTATCGACGAAATTTAGCCACAAATGTGCGAAAACGTTATCCAGAATTTCTAGAAAAGACTGACTCTGTGCCAGAGGTTTCGTGGTGGCCATTTACCGGATCTCCTATTTCACGTTTAATCGCAACTACTCCTCTTCATGTTGAAATATAAATACACGCTTAATTCGAAAAGAAATTGTTTTTCTTGAAAATCAAATCCGGCGCTCTTATTGAGACACCCTTTAAAAAGCAATAGGCGCATCGTTGTAATATTCAGGCGGAAGCACATATCAACCCTCTATAAAAATAAGACCGCGCAAAGCGTCATCTATCACCACAATTGACCACTGCGGAGAGAGCATATCTGATATTCATAAGGACTGTAAAGATCTCAGTTCACGTTTGATAGCCCAGTCACCACGTGACAGCTAAATTGCTGACGATTCTAGCTGTATAGTAGATGTGGTCTACTTGCCACTGAATAAACTAAACATGACGCTTTCGTCCGCCCGACCAATAGACAGCCAACCATGGACGGTTGTTTCGTGCTTCTTGGCTACTCATCAGCATGGTCTAAGCATCGCAACTATCCTCTATATCGGAGCAATCAAAAATAAAACTTCTTAGATCACACCAAAGCATTTCAAAAAATAGGCTAACGCTTCCTAGACCTTTTGCTGTCTTACCGTCTTCTTTTTTGGCTTGACATTGTCTGGGTCACGAGACCTGATAAGCTTACAAACTGATAATATGGCACAAGAAAGAAGATTGCAAAGACCAGTCTCCAGCAATGCTTGACATCATGAATATTAATCATAGGCCGTTTTTTAAAGATTAATAAAAGTTTTTCAGGTTAACTATTTAAATTTTATACTGAAAAACTTACTAACCTTATTATCTATAAATTGCCCCAAACCGTTCTCGTGTACGTATATTCCGCCAGTTTGGCCGTGATGTATTTCACAGTGTACCACCGTGGGATTCGCGCCAGCTTTCACCTCAAAGCCAGCAATTCGATTGTTGTGGATGTCATTTGCCTCAAAATATCCCTGTAACAAACAATAAAATTAATGGGCCCGTTCACAAAAAATATTATGGTAATTTAATGGATTTGGCAGAGAGACAGGTAGTCATGGGGACTAAAATTAGACAGAGATAGACTACTCCAATTTAAAGAGGCAAAATGAGGTTTAGCCACGTGTTCACCAGCAGTGAATCATTAAGGATTATTTTTGTTCAAATTTACTTTTGTTTAGATTTATATTTATTCATGTTGGGGATATTTATCATCCATTTGCAAACTATCAAATCTTATTTTCATTCAATGTGTTAGTTGTATCAGGAAAAAATGTATGCAAGCGATTCATTGGAGCGATCATAAAAGGTATTCGACATTGTGATGATGCCTTCAAGTTCATTAGTGGATGAATAAATGAACGAATATAGAAATTATAAGCATATCGGCAACCATGAGGGCATATAGGCCGCATAAACCGGCCCTTATGCACCACTACATTCCCTAAGCCTCAAGCTCCGCCCTTTTAGCAAAGTTGAGCATAGCCCTGAGTCCCAGCTCATGGTCTGGAAAATAGTGGTGTATCCGCCGAGAGGCAGTGAGAACCTAGCTCTATGCTCAAAGCCCCAGCGGCAGAGCCCTCTTCAGTAACCGAGACGTCCGTGTACCAGAATTGCCCACTTCCTTCAAAGTCCTTCCGGCTTCCGGAGTCCCACTCTGCCCTCGTCCGATACTCCACATCAAACGATAAAGCGATATTTAGGGGTGATCAGATCACCTCTGCTCAGAAGGACCGTATCCTCCACTTTCAATTCGAGTCAGATGGCAGTGTGACCCTTAACAGGATTCAAAAAGGTCCAGCTGCCTGAGTCGATGTACGACTACTCTCGCCTCACCGCGGATCACTGGATGCAACGATGGGAGAGCTTCCATTGCACTGAATGGCGTTCTCCGAACTGCGCTTGTAATACTGGTACAAGCCAAATGCTGAATTTTGTTGAGTTTGGCCTTAGTTGTGCCGGTTACAATGCAAGGCCACCAAACCAAGGAGCCATACAAAAGAGATGAACGTACTCTCGTCGTATAGAGCCAGTGCAGCACATTGAGTTTAAGCACCCACCTCACTCCAATAACAAGTCTGCAAGCCCACATTGCGCCCTGCATAATCTCGGAAACTATGCTTAAGTCGTCAGCGTAGGTTTCAGTGGACCCACAGCAAATAATATTCTTTGAAGCTTCATTAGATGTTAGATCAAACGAGATCATTAAAATTAGTGCTGCGACAAATACCTTCTTGTAGTGTGCAACATATTAAAAGTTCTGTTCGTACAGCAGACGCAAAGTTGTCAGAGACCGTGTCCAAGATCCCGCCACACAAATTCCGTTCATTCTGCTACGCCATATACAAGAAATTCACACGGCAGGATCCCAGACACAGACAGCGACAAGTCACCGATCACTGTACGAACAAACCTTATATTGAACAATAAACCAGTTACTTCAATCAGATCATTATAAACATATCAGTTTTGAAATACTTTCTAGAAACATAGCAACATTCCATGGATGTTTCTCCAGCCTTCCGTGCCTTGGTTTGACTGTTCGCTCACTCATCAAATAGATAGCCAGTAATGTTACACCAAATTTAAAAGAACAATGTCAATGGAGGCGACCAGCAAACTTCAAAACGCACTGTCCTCTCGTGGTATACATACGTCCTATTTGGTAACACCACGTACACAATTCTTAACAATACGTAACGGATACTTACCAATCCGTTATCAAAAGTGAATATCCCAACGTCTCTGCCGTGATGTATGTGATTCCTGCGCATGATGGGATTCGCGTAGTTCTTCACCCAAATGCCAGCCAGCGCGTTACGGCTGATTTCGTTGTCTTCGTACGTGCCTTGCGCGTAATCTGTCACGTACAAACCGACGTTCTCGCAGTCGCTGATGTCGCAGTGCCGTATCACCGGGTTCGCGCCGACGCCGCTCACGCATACTGCTGCACCAACTGCATGGAACAGAAGAAAATATTTTAAAGAATGGCGCCGGCTAGGTTCAGTCTGGTCTTCCCACACAACACGGTCGTCAGTTCATAAATTGTTATGTTCGGCACCAGTTATCCCGTCTGAGAACAGTTATCAAGTCAGTCAAACAGGCTCATACACTTAGTCCATATTCCCCACCCATTTGACAATGCAATCTAGAAATGTCTTCCCCGTCCTACTGACCATCTGCCAGGTAGTATCTTCGTATCTGCTCCGAAAAATATTCTGATTCGGATTGTTTGTATATAATCTTATTTCAAAATGATTTCTTTTAACGGATCTGAATGTTGCCAGACACAAAATTACGTCAAAAATTGTTTGAACATTTTTTTTAAGTACATTGCAAAAATGGTCCAGTATAGTCCGGGCAATATTTTCACATCTTATGGAAAAATATTCTGGATTTTTTGCATAATCCTATTCATTTTGAACCAAAATGCATGTTGCCAGGACCAAATTTGCGTCAAAAAATGTTTGTATATAATCTTATTTCAAAATGATTTCTTCTAACGGATCTGATTATTGCCAGACACAAAATTTCGTAAAAATTGTTTGAATATTTTTTTTAAGCACATTGCAAAAATGGTCCAGTATAGTCCGGACAATATTTTCACATCTTATGGAAAAATATTCTGGATTTTTTGCATAATTCTATTCATTTTGAACCAAAATGCATGTTGCCAGGACCAAATTTCCGTCAAAAAATTGAAAAAAGTTTTTTTTTAAAGAATTCCATTTGATACTTTATAGTATTAAAAAATAACTTCCAAACAACCACTAGGTTCGTAATTTTTTATTCAAATCACAAAATTAAATTGACAGCTATTTGATTACTTTCAAAGTTTCCTTAGCAACGCAGGTCTAATTGTCCCCTATAAGTACAACATAGCCTACTAATTTAAAAATTCAAATTTCACATTGTTAATTTTCTGACTTAAATATTGTAATAATATAATTTTTCAATATTAAGTCGTAGTTTTTCCCGTCACAGAAAAAAAATGTGTATTATACACGGGCAAAATACTAGATTTTAGCTTTCGGTTTTAGTACTTTTTTCCCTTGTATAATAAATAACTATTCTATTTCGAAAACTATAAACTTTAGAGAGAAGTTCTAAAGCACCTTTTTTGTCCTAAATAACCTAATTTTTTTTGGAAAACTTGTGTCGCTTCCAAATGTAAAAGTTTTGTTTTTGTAATTTATTTTTCTAGTAGGTGCTTTTATATTTGTAGGAGCGTAAATAAGTAAATGAATAACTGTTTAATAGGTGCGTAGAATTACGGGTTAAGCGTATAAATATACTAACGCCGAAAAATTGAGATATACCCTCTCCCAGCCCCTACAACCCGTGACCCCCAATTTTAAACCTATAAATATTTTCTGAAAATTTCAGTTTGCGGACTCGATTTACCCAGGAAATAAATCCTTGACCCGACCACAGGAAATTTTCTCACAACATTTTCCGGCGCAAAATTACCATTCCCTCTAACGTTGCTACAAGAATAAGACCCTCGGAACACTTAGAAAATCAGTACTTACAACTTGAAATCGGGTCACCTCGGGTGGTGACTCGTAAGAAACAAAAGCGTATTGCGATTTTCTAGATAACTTGCATTATGACCGCTTACAAATTAAGCGAATGTATTGATCTACTCACCGACTGACGTGCTCCTTATGATGCAATGGTCGATCGTCGGACTGCAATTCTCGCCCACCTCCAAACAATAGTGTTTGTGATGAGGCACCGTTGAAGTGACGTCCGGAGAAAACTTCAACGTCAAATGGCCTGCGTACGCGTTCTTAGCGCCCTCTACGAACATCACCGTCGACTCGCTTTCGCGCTCCAAAATCACAGATTCGGCTACGTTGCCGGGTGCCGCACCTGCAAAACAGATTAGTAGAGTTATGAAGGCCTCTCTAGCTTTTTCAGACGCACTATTTCAAGTAGGTATATTAAAAATGCAAATAAAATGAGGAGATTCAGACCCGGATTCTCCATGTCAAAAATGGTTACAATGTCAGCCTCATAGGTTATTTTGGTGTTTATTTAGGTTTACGCTACAATGTTACATTAAAATGAACATAAAATTCTGATATTACTTGGATCTAAAATATAAAGAGCTTAATTTCCTGTTGAATACTGTTACGTCTTATATTGTCATTTTTAGTGGTATATTTATTATTTGTATAAATGATATCTCTGACATTTTAGAACACTGCAAAATTCAAATATTTGCGGACAATACACATATATATAGCACATAAGCATTTGGACACTGCTTTAGAACTGTTAAATAGTGATATTAAAAAAATTATGAATTGGTTAATCTCAATAAACCTAATTTAAACGCTAATAAAACAAAATGTACGTCAATAGGAAAAAATTTAGGTGACAATACAATTAGGCTAATGATTAATGATGAAAAAATTGAAGTAGTCGAATCATTTAAATATCTTGGTATATATGTGGATAGTAAGCTACTGTTTCACGAACATTACGAATACATTATTTCAAAAATATCGAAAAAGATAAATTACTTCTATAGTTTCCCATAATCTTAGTATGTATTCCAAAAAAATTGGGTATAACACTATAATTCTTCCCAATTTTTTATATTGTTCAACCATCTTGTTTACAGCAAATGAAAACATATTTTCAAAACTTCAAATTCTACAAAATAAAGCTAAGAGAATCATTTTACATAAAAACAAATATGCTAGGATTAAGTCTATGTTAGAAGAACTGCAGTGGTTGGATGTGAAAAATTTCATATATTACTTAGTTCTCGTTTTCATATTCAAATTAAAAAATCATTTATTACCACCACATTTAGAGCACTTCACAAAATCAAATAGTCATCATAACTAGAGGCAGTATAGATTCTCATCTGCAAAATTGTAATAGTAGCATAACTAGTAAATCTATATTTCAAAAGGGAGTATTTAAATTTAATAAATTGAATAATGATATTAATCAAAGTTCGAATTTAAAAATTTTTAAGGTGAAATTAAAAAATCACTTTATGAATAATCAAAATACATAGTGACGTAATTTTAATTTTAATAGACAAGAATGTAAAATCACAGAAAATGGATTGAAGAAAAATATGTAACTGAATCATTTTACAAAATTGACATTGTAGCATTAATGCTAAATAAATCTTCAACAACAACAACAACAACAACCATTATAGTGGTAAACCATTATAAGTTCTTAAAGCTTCAGCAAAAAGAGATTTTTCAAATGTCCTAGTTTTGATACTCTCAATAAAATAATTGTCTTTTGATCTTATGTCATATTACGAAAGCATACCAGATCCCTTCAACATACACTTGCTCAAGTTGGCACTTATTGTTTATAATTTTACAGGATAAAATCAAGTTTGCCTCTTCTATGATTTTCTGCACTGTTAAAAAATTTAAATTTTTTCTCATGACTACTGAACAAGAAATCAGGAATAATGAGCAATAACTGAAGTGTAGACATAATTTGGATGAAATTTTGCCGATATATTCTGCTTTGACACTCACATAGCAAACTTTCTATCCCATAGACACACAGGAATACACAATTAAAAACTAGATTTTAGTTAATGTAACATCTGAAACATCCTATTTAATTGTATTCTTCAATGTAAACGTTTCGGCCCCAACGGTAACCTTCAGTACAAAATTGACAATTTTTTGGGCAATGTATCTTATTTGTATGTTGCAGACATTTATGAATCTTAAACGCGAGAAATAGTACTTCGACGTATAGAGGGAACCATTTTGTTTGGAGTTATACTGGGTTTGCACCAAAAACGTACAAAAAATGAGTTTAACGTACCAATTAAAGCAATATCGGAGTCGATGACAAGGAACTCTCCACGGTATGTACCAGCGTGAAGGAAAATCAGAGCACCTTGAGAGGAACTCTCATTGGAGTGGTTACTACAGGATCCAGACACTGAGCCTGTCGTGCTGTTGGATCCGCTTCTCTCATCTGCATAGTCCAAAGCACCCTGAAATTTATAAAACACAAATCAATCAGAAACGTATATGCTTGTCGGCCAAAGTGACATACGAATGATAAAAGTGAGACGCCAAAACGCGTGTTTGGATTACCAATACTAGCGTTCCAGCATGTCAAATTTGATGCAACCATTGAACAACTATTTATTATATTAATATTGGTAAGATTAATAGTTCAACTGCCACCTCAAATGCGGTGACGTGATTGTTGTTCATCAAATTTGAACTGTTTTTGCCCTAAATTCGAGTTGTTGCTGTTGTTACAATTGTTATATGAAACACTCGTGGAAAACAGATGACTGTTTATAGTTCAACTTACTTAATTAAGAATGCAGTAAATAAAGTTACAGTAAGATTTACAAAAAGTCGCAAAATCTTCAATGACGGACACTGACTGTTAATTCTTCACAGAACTCCCACAAAACTCATGGAGCACAAAACACTGAAAACAGAACTCAGAATATCATTTTGTTTGTCGTTTTTTTGTTACTCGTGGTAACGAGAGCAAACATAAAATTATCTGCTAAACTTACGACAAAAATTTAGCGTTGTTTGGGACAAGTGTAGAGTAGCTAACTGCTAATTAGAATCTTTTATTCAAAAGTGTGAACACATGGTTTTCTGAGAATAGTTCGGGTGGGTTGAATAAATTCAAAACTGATGCACCATTATTTAGAACTAAACAGTAAAGTCGTTAAGCCACAATGTATCGATATAGATCAGGGCTGTCCAAGGGCCATTTCAAAAAAAAAAAATGCAGTTTGGAGGGCCGCATTATAAAATCTTTCTATACAACATTATTACCGAGTTTTAATAGGTATATATGGTATACATATATGTATACATGACCCGTGAAGCGGGCTGCAAGAAAGGAGTTCGCGGGTCGTATGTTGGACAGCCCTGATATAGACGATCATCAACTGCAGTTGGGTGAAAGTGTGAGGTTTTTAAGCATGTACAGTAGCGGACAGAAGTTTGGAAACATTCTTAGTAATTTTTAATTTAAGGTGCGCTAGTTTTTTTATTTATTAAGGACTATTTTTTCTCATATAGTTTGCTTACAGTCTTGAGGATACATATGACAATTTGCGTTTGCTGTGGTACTACAGACTGGCATTAAAATGCCTTCATATTATTTTAGGACCAAAAATGAGACGTCAAAAGCATACAAATATTTTTTATTACAAAACTAAATACAATAACTCTACAAAAAGATTTAAAGAATACTGTGTAGCTAATATTTGGTAACACTGACTGACATCTGCTGCTCATAGAAGACACCAATTTTTTACAGATGCCTTTTGGGATATTTTGCCAAATATGTTTTACATAATCAAATAAATCGTTCCTTTTTTTTAAAGTTGTCTTTTGAGATCCTCCTAGAGATGTTCTATAGGGTTTAGGTCCGCTGATTGCAAAGACCATGAAAGAAAATTAACATTTTTTTGCCTTAAAAAGTCCTTTACGAATGTTGAGGTATGCTTAGGGTCATTATCTTGCTGGAATGGCCATCGTAAAGGCATTTCTTCTTCAGTAAAAGGGAGCATGTGTTCACTAAGAATATCTTTGTAAAGTTTTTGATCCATTTTTTCAACAATTTTAACAATAATTGGACCCGTTCCAGAGCTAGAAAAACAGCCCCAAACCATGATGTTGAGGCTTTGGCACTGGACGCCTAACAAAAAAGTCAAAATCCACCAAGCGTCTCTGCACTGTTCTGACAGAAAGATACTCGGCGCCCTCTTCTACGATACTTTTGAAAATCTGTGTGACTGGCATTCGAGGATCTTCACGGGACGAACGTTTAATGTAGCGATCCAAAACATAATCGTTTTTTTTTCGGTCTTCTGCACCTGGGCCGCTTTGCTGTTGATCCGTTTTCTTGATATTTACTAATAATTTTCGAAATAGTCCCTCCCTTTGTTCATTTTTAATCTTTGTGAAATGTCAACATTTCTGACATCACTTCTAAATAATTCAATTACTTTGTCACTTGAATCTTTGGCAAATTCTTTTACTTTTGCCAATCTCACTGATGTTAATATTTACCGCACGATATATCAGAGAATCGCAGAACGGATAAATACTGCAAAACTGAAATATTTCCATACTCCTGTCATTACAACAACTGTGGGATTTAAAAAAGCCTGTGTTTGTATTTTCAGAGAATTTGAATATTGATAAGATAAACCTTGTATTAGTATGGGAGACAAAGGTAGGCTTCAATATTTATATTATCTGATCCTCCACAATTTTTATTTAGGTATATGAAATAGTTCATAATAATGTTAATATTTGTTTTCAAACTTTTGTCCGCTACTGTATATTGATGAATTTGTAGATTGGACAACACATGTATTCAAACTGCTGAAGATGATTAATTCCATTTGTTATGGTTTTAGGGTAACATCAAGATATGTAAATAATTCGAGTATGAAAATATTGTACTATGCTAATTTTGAAAGTGTTCTAAAGTATGGGATATTTTTAGGAGACGCAATAGTTAGTTGTTCAAAAAAGAGCAGTACGTCTGATGAAATGACTAAATTTCAATGAAACGTGCAGGGGAGTTTTTGCAACTGAAATCTATGCGTATGCCTTATATTTTTTCAAAAGTATAAATTTATTTGAGCTTGAGACGCAAACTGTTTATGATACTCAACATTCCATGTTAATTATCCAATAAATTCTTTTAATAATCTACCAAATGAAATTAAGATCACAAATAGTTTAATATTATAATAACTTCATTTCCAAGATCGATGGATTACACGTATTATATTAACGACATATCCCAACAGTTGCATTCAATGTTTCATCAAGCTGTATTACATGACATTATAACTTATCTAGGATAATAACTCACCTGTACTGTATTGAAGTATACTAAGTTCCTCCCTTTGAAGGTGATGTCTTGATAACCTAACCTAACGTGTATTCCCCTATAGAGTTGTCGGAAGGACTCCTTCCAAGGATTCGCCAGCTCCGATTCTTCGGGACTGACAAATTCAAAACGGCACGGCGAGGGGTTGAACAACGGTAGGTCGTACTCGTATACGCTCTGGTACAACCGTTTCCTGAAAAAATAGAAAAAGTCATGAAAAAAAATAGTTTTTCAATAAAAATATAAATATACTTTTAACCACCATCATGTCCCGCGCTACGATCGGAAATACAGAAACAGTATCAAATGATGTAAAAATGAGAACACTGTATCTCAATAATGACAAATGATAATTCCATAACGTACCATTGTGAGCACCACGATGGACATTCCCAACTTATTTTATAAATACTTTAAAATATCTAGTTGCTTGCTTTCAAACGATAAATTCAAATTAATGAGTGGAACAGACTGCCAATTTGGTTTTGACTCGTCTATCCAGTGGGAGTAAGGTACAAATATTCTCCTTCTGCTAACATTGAAAGTCATTTTCCAATGTTATAGCTATTATTGGGGTATTCAAGGATAGCCAGATTACTTACTACTACTAATTTTAGTGGAGGCGCAAGCAGGCTTCCGCAAAAAAAAATATTCCACAGAAACGGCTTTCTAATTGGATACTAGACTCAGAAAAAGTTGTCATAGCAGTATTTTTAGATTTAAAGAGGGTATTTGAAACGACTGATAGAGATATTTTGTTTGGTAAATTGAAGGCATATGGCATATCAGGAAGTGTTTTAGATTTGTTTAAAAATTATTTGTGTAAAAGGATGCAAGTTACAAAAGTTTGCGTCACTATTTCATCAAAAATGAAAATACGTTGGTTGTTCTATAGGGCAGTATCCTGGGACTTCTTTTTATTCTATACATAAACCATTTACCTGCCGTAGTAAAAAAATGCAAAATTAATATTTTCGCCTATGACACTATGACTTATATAGGTACTAAAAATATTCAGACTGTTATCTCTTATATTAATGAAGACTTGAAACTTGTTCCAAAATAGTTAGCACCTAACAGACTCGAATTAAATACAAGTAAAACGAAAGCTATGTTAATCGGAAAAAACAATGTACAAATGTTCAATTAAATATTGATGGAGAAGTTACTGAGTTCATAGAAAATTGTAAATACCTTGGAGTTTTAGCTGACTCTCGATTAATTTTTGATATTATGAAAAAGTTATAAATAACATTAGTAGTATAGTGGAATATCTATCAAGAGTTTCTGGATGTCTGAGTTTATACAGCAGGAAAATTATCTATAATACTATCATTCTTCCAAATTTCTTGTACTGTTCGACTATTATACATTTAGACAATTAGACAAATGCTAAGCAAATTGAAATGGCTCAATGTACATTTTTTTCTCAAATATCTTGTAATGATATTCATTTATACAGTAAGAAATATATATTTTCAGCAAGTCTAACTAATTTAACATCATAAAATGCCGACCATCATTTACATAATACCAGAAATAAAGATGACTTCCATTTAATGACCAAAAAGTATAACATATGCTACAAATCTGTATTCCAGCAAGGGTTGATTGAATATACTAAATTATATACCGAGATAAAAGTCCAACAAAGTTTGACAAAATTCAAAGTAAAATTGCGGAATCACCTGTGAAATCTACAATAATTATGGCTTAAATTTACTAATTGCAAGTTGTTTACGATTATTCTGTTTATGTAGCCAAACGTGCTAAATAAATCTTTCTTCTACTACTTATTTATCAATCATTTTCAAATATTTTGAAATACAAAGTTCAGTTCAGTGGTCAAAATGACAATGAAATTGACAGGAAATACATATATATAACACACACTCTTCAAGATCTAAATACAAACATTTCTTTAATTTTATTGTCGGGTAAATTCAAACACTCAACGATTCAAGTTACTTTTCGTAAAATAAATGTCAAAACTTACCATAATTCCGTGTCGTTTGCTATAGCATTGAATCGTTTGCAGACTTGGCTGACACGACACAAATCTTGTTCTAATAAATAATTGAAAATAGTAAGAAGAACCTCGTCCGGAAGTTCGTACTGTAGGTAGTGAGCTGCTGTATTTGTGCAACCTAAAAACGAAAACATAATATTATCTCACCAATAAGAATAGGAGCTCAGAAAAAAATAAACGACTAGTTTCTTGCACAGAGTGTTTAAAAAAACAGTGACTATATGTCTGGGGCATAAGGCAGTTGAAAAAAGGACATGAAACATTCACATGAACATAGCTCCTAAAATGCCTTACAAATATTCAGGCTGTTGAAGTTATAATTGTTTCGATAGATGTGATATATACACGCGCAAAATCGAGGTCTGTTTATGCTAAAAATTCATAGTTTCTATATGAAATTATGGACTGAAAATCGTACCAACCATAAATGTTTATTAGTGTAAAATTGTGAAATTTAATTTGAAACTGTAGTGCATCAACGTAAAGATATATCTGCATTCTTCATAAATTAATTTGGAGCATTTCGCCTTTTTTGCGGCGTTTGTGTTTTTTGCACTTCCAACTGTTTATCTTTGGATCCATAGGCGCACGCACAGATATTTCCCAAGTAATGATATAATGAGCCGCTGGATATGTGGAAAAGATGCAGATCAGGATCGAGATGTGATTACATGTGATCAAAAAAGGTATCTGCATGAGTTGTTCAACAGAGGTTTGTGTACTGCAAACTGCAACTAAAGAGAGGTAGAGTTCTAAAATTAATACAGGGTGGTCCATAAGTCCTTTGAAATTTCAAATTTGAATAAAATTTAACGGGTGAGCGTGAGCGGCGCGGGCGAGGTGGGGGCAGTATCTTCAGTGTCTGGGAATTCAGTCGCCATAGAGTGTTTCACTGGAGCGGATCGTGCTTTTTGTGTGCGCGCGTTTTATCAAAATAATGATTCGGCAACCATCGCGCGGCGTAAATATCGAGAATACCATAATTTACACAATTTTACAAAGTGTCCAACAGCTCAAACGATTAAGAACTGGGTTGCTAAGTTCGAAGAGACTGGTTCGACGTTAGATAAACAGCGGTGGGGTCGACCAAGGACAACTCGTATTGAAGAAAACATCAACATTGTGGCACAGTCTGTTCGTCAAAATCCTACCCAGTCTACTCGTAAGCGTTCCAGTGCACTAAACGTACTCAGAACATCTTTACAGCGGATTTTAAGGAAAGATTTACGTCTGCACGCTTACAAAATTCAGTTAGTGCAGGATTTAAAAGATAATGACGCTATTCAGAGACTAAACTTTGCGAATGAAATGTTGAATCGATTTTCTTCGCTCAATAATGTGTTGTTCTCGGACGAGGCTCACTTCCATTTAAACGGGCATGTAAATAAACAAAATTGCCGTTATTGGAGCCCCGAAAATCCAAGGCGTAAGCATCAGAAGCCCTTAAATAGCCCTAAAGTTACAGTCTGGGCTGCTATGTCAGCGCATGGCATCGTAGGCCCTTATTTTTTTGAGGACGACAGAGGTCGCGCATTAACTGTTACTTCGGAGCGGTATGTAGCAATGATAGAAGAGTTTTTGACACCAGCGTTGCAGAATTTTCCAGGCTATAATACGCAGACCTGGTTTCAACAGGACGGAGCAACTGCCCACACCTCCAACACTTCTATGCCCGTCGTCTGTCAACTTTTTCCCAGCAAAGTAATTTCTCGAAGAGGAGACATTTCCTGGCCACCACGTAGTCCAGATTTGACCCCAATGGACTTCTTTTTATGGGGCTACCTCAAGAGTAAAGTGTACGACACAACTCCGCGATCAGTTGATGTCCTGAAAGAAAATATCCGAAAAGAAATGGCAAGCATTACAGTGTTGACTTGCCGCGCAGTCATCGACAATTTTAGACGTCGTTTATATGAGTGCCGTGATCGTAATGGATTGCATTTAGACGATGTGATTTTTAAAACATAATTCCCATTCAATAAAGATGATAACAAAATATAATAATTCTTCATAATGTAACTAGTTTGGTTTTATTCCTTTTTTTCCAGCTCAAAGGACTTATGGGCCACCCTGTATATGAGGCATGTAAATGGGAGCCAGCTATGCAGCTATTGGATTAAAAACTTGAATCAATGGAGTGTATCGACAAAAAATGATTTGAAGGGAAAAATAAACGAAAACCGTAGCATTTGGAGTCGAAAATATTGAAGATGGAAGAAATGGATTAGTTATTATTAACTGTAAATGTAAATAATAGCAAACGAGAAGATTGAAGAAGCTGTTGAAAACCAGTTAGGGAGTACATTCAGCGTGGAAGACGCTAAGGAAGAAGAATGATGATGAGAAAAACAAGTACTCTAAAAGAAACAAACTGAAATACAGGATGATGATGGAATTTTTTTTTTGGTGTAGTGGCTAAGGTCAAACAACGAGAAAAGAACAATAAAGGAAATATTATTTCAACAGCGGATACTAATCTAAAATAAAACATCTGCAGGATGGAGAAACTGAATATTCAGTGGAGAACATATGTTGTGCATGAACACCTCAGTGTACTAAGATGTTACAAATTACAAATGCTGGAGCCTGAGACTAAACAAGTGGCAAGGAAGTTGGAAAATGTTGACCCTTGTAGAAAAGAAAATTACCAGAAGGTACTTTTTGGAACATTTATTGTATTTTGGAATAAGGTATTCAATTTTACATGAATCGCTTCTCGGGAGTTTTTTGTCAGACTACTCCTTCTGTAGAAAAATCAATATGAATACTTAAGGCGAAATCCATATAGAAGAACTTGAATCCATTTTACTTTGAAAAAACACTAAAGTTAGTGAAGTATGACAATGAAAATTGTATACTGTGTATTAGAGGGGTAATCTTATTTGACTATAGTGTTATTTGAACAATATTCATATGTTGCCTCTATTTATTCTCACAAGTGTATCTTGGTAATGAGAGATTTGTGCTAGGCACTCTTTTCGTTATTTTTGGATAAACTTTCTACTCTAGAAATATTGCCACGTTTTTCTTAATCACTTTGTATACAGCGACTAACTGTCAAAGAAAAGGGGTTCAGGTCACATAATATATAAAGATGATAGATACATAAATAAAATTAGGCATGTAACACAGTTCTTCGCGCCTCTTTATCAAGTAACCAAACGTTTGTGATCCTCGTGTGTCGAAAAGGCGGCAGAAATGAATAATCATTATCCGATTACTATGACTTTTGAACCGGCGTGTATACAGAGGTGAGGCAACACCACTATTCAAACCATACCAACGTTATATGGGTGAAAGTGCAAAAAGAAAGTAACCCGCTAATGGAGGGTAAGCTGGAAAGCTAGAAAAAGATGACGCTAGTTAGGTTGGCGGTCCTATCTAAGATTATAAACAGCTTACCTTTCTACAGCAAGTAGCAACTCATTACCTAGTAACATTAAAAAAACATATTGACAAGTTGTGGTTTTTTGTATGATATTGATTCATACTTTTCCACTATGTTGAATAGTTCCTTTGTACAAAAAAAGCTATACTATGAGTATGACTGTTAATGATTATGACGATGATTCAAGCCAAGAATGAAAGAAAAGAAACAGTTTTTGACTATGTTAACCGTCTCTACTTTCTGAATACGGTCCTGAGTTTCGCCTGATTCATTATTTCCAACAGTACAGACATTTAACACAAAGATATCATGTACTGATCAGCTGATCACATCAATAGACGTCAAAACGTAATGAAATATCGCATACTGCATCAAAACAGTCAAAATCATGCAGGGGACGGAATGCAACACTGTCTGTTTGACCTTCAACCATACTAGCGTCGTCTAAAAGGAGAAAAAATAGTCATTGCTGTCATTAAGTTGTACCAAGAAGATTGGACACAGAAGGGTAAACTGCCGTTAAGAAGCTTTTTATTATGTAAAAAACCTATAAAACGTAAAAAAAAAACAAATATGTTGTAGACTAGGTAGTTTTTAGAGTGCAGTCATTCCACGTTTGCTCACTAGACTCACTAAGTGTCCATCTATGTAGGAATGGCTCAACTACACGCATTGTTGGCAGCATATGTTTTGTGAAGCCGAGTAGTCTGTAGTTTTCATCTCTGAGAAGACAGTTGGTTGAATAGCAAGATCGCATCTGGCTGATTATGTGTATTGGTCTGCATGTGTATAAAACCAGTGATATTTGCTGTGTGAGGAAATCATTACTGAATATGCTGCCAATGAAGTATATCTATTAGCTGTGCCCGACGGGTTATTTATAGGTTGTCCTTTCTGCAGACAAGTTATAAATTACGATTTTATACGTTTTTTTTTTGTGTTTTCAAAAACTTTAAGGAGAATCACGGGAAATCACCACCGCGTCCGCGTTGTGTAATTACTGTTAGCATATGACTTTTAATTCGACAGTGTACAGTGGATGTAATTATTTCTTATCTCTTATCTTTTGAAATTCTGCAAATTTGGATATGTAATTTCCAGAATTAATGAAAAAAAAGTGGATGCGCAAGTAATATCTTTTGAATCTCAAGTAAGTGTATTTGAGACAAGAATCCAATGGAATTATCATCAACACATATTATTAGCACACAAATCCTCACTATGCACCTATGCATTGCCGTTTTCTTCTAGCTATAGTATACAACTTATAGCTTAGACCTCCAGTAATGCCATCTCTGAAGCAGATTTTACATCACATCAAACACCACCACCAAACATTGACAACACATACAACTACAAAACGAGTTCACAAAGTGTCCATCAGCTAGTGCCAAGTTAACATCTTGTAGAAAAACCTACATAATTGTCACAAAAAACTAACACAATGTCAAAAAAAATTGACATAGTGTCACCTTTCAAAATACATAACACCCGTGGGGGTCTAGGAAATGTAACAAAACTTTTCTAGAAAGTGTCTAGATTCGCTGATGACTATTTAAATCAAGAATTCTAATATTTTCAAGTGGGAGGCGTACTTGTATTGAATAGACTAATGGCAGCTGTCCACGGAATTAGCCAATAAATCCCATTTAGTTACCAAGACAAATGGGTAGTTATTCAAATCCTGCATGTACCAAATCTAGGAACCTACATAAAATAGCTCATGCTCTTATTGATAGGAACCCTCCTCCGATTATTATGGAGGAGGGTTCCTAGTGTTAAATGAAGTGGAAGTTATTCACACGTTTTTAAAATCCAACAAAGTATCGACTACGGATATCTTATCAAGAGTTTATGAAATCATTAATGGTCATTACTGTAGGTCTAAATCTGTTGTCTGAACCCTAGGCCTATTCTCGTCACTTTTGGCTTTACCCTCCCGTTTCCAGTCTTTTTGATTTGAACAGTACACTTACTCTCATAGGACGCGGAACATGTCCTCCTGGGACGTTTCCTAGCTGGCAACATAGCAGCATAGCCTTGATGCTGGCCCGCAGCTGCCGCCGCCGCCGCTGCTGCAGCTGCTGCAACGGCGCCTCCGCCGGCCGTCGGCGAAGCTGGAGATCCGCCCGCTGTCGCAGCACTGGTACTAGGACCTACACGAAATATGTAATATATTATATCAAGATTGAGAAATATGTCATAACGATCGATGCTGTCAAACAGCAAAATAGTAAGATACATTTCCTCAAGTATGGAAGGCCCATCTTTTAAAACAGGCGATAAATCTATTATCCCCAATTACCGTGCCATATCCATTCTGTCAAACGTCTAAAAATCATAGTGTACAATCGAATATACCCTGCGGTTCGTACCAGTATCATTCGATGCCAACGTTGTAGTCGACGGTTGCAAGGATTTTTCGGTACTCGGTAAATTTTTGTTTTTCGGTATTCGGAAGTTGAAACTATTTTCCAAAGTGAGCCTATGTTGGCTTTAAGCTACAGTTGCCAATAGTGAATATAATCATTGCCCCGAATATTGTTTTTTTTTGTTAGTTTAAAAGCCATAAACAGGCTTTGGCATCTGTGGAATGCAGCCAGTTTTCGGTGCTGTGTTGTCACGTCCTGCTCGAATTTCCCAATAACATGAGAACAAACAGACGAATTCGCGCTCTGCAAGTACGCCGTGTGAATGTGCGAATTTCGCCCAAATCCTATCTGAGGTGAAAAAGAAATTGGATGTATGCTACAAGATCATCAGTGGCCAAAACGCCAAGATCGAGGAGCTCAGTACTTTGCCGAACTGAACAAGAAACTGGACGAGCCGGAATGTGCGAAAAAGGAAGCAATTGCTGTCAGGAGTATACTTTGGATAAAAGTTAAAGTCAACAAACAAAACTTTACAGTCGGTGTTGTTTATAATCCGGCTAATGTTGATTATCGCACTTTAGCAAATTTGGAAGAAACCCTCAACAATTTTTATGCCGAATCTGCTAATGTAATATCCATGGGAGATTTTAATGTCAATTTTTTTAGCAATAGCGGACCTGAATACGTATTTTTATCAAACATGTTGAAAGACTTGCGTATGCAACAAGTTATCGAGCAAGAAACTAGAGTCTGTGGTAATAGTCGTAGCCTGATTGACCTTGTCCTTGTAAGCAATAGTGTTAATATTATAAAAAGTGGAACCATAAACCTTCCTTCTACATCAGATCACCTTTTTATTTACTTCTGTATAGAGTGTCTGCAATCCACCACTTCTACTAAATATGTTTCTACACGTGATTTACAAAACATAGATAAAATTCTGCTGGTTGAAGTTGCTTCTATGTTATATTGGCTGGGAGTGGTTCACCTTGGCGATATTGACCTAAAGGTTCAATACTTCCATGATCTAATTCAATGTATACTTGATATATGTGCTCCCTATAAAACGAAAAAGATCAATAAAGTTCGTCTTCCCTGGATTACGTCAAACATCAAATTTATGATACGGTGGATAAGTGGATATATTATAAACAGCTACGGAACCTGGTAACTGCTTCTATAAGACGGGAAAAAAAACCTATATTGAGCATCATCTTAAGATAAGTAAGTCTTCTCGGGAATGGTGGGGGTCAATCAAACAACTTGGCATTCATGGGACACATAACAATGATGAATTTGTAAACTCAATCGGAGCGGATTCATTAAATGATTTTTTCGTAAATGCTGTGCCTGAGAAGCCCATTGATGAGAGTACATATAACCATTATCTAGAGATCTAGACAATACTATCCCTACTGTTACTGAGCCGCTCAAGCTTCACCTTGGTACTGAAGAAAAAATTCTTGAAATTTTTAATGAAATCAAGCCGCACGCAACAGACCTTGATGGGCTTAATATTGATATATTTTCATACGATCTACCTTTTTGTGTGAAAGCTCTTATTAATTTTTCGTTAGAATATGGATGCGTACCAAAAAAATGGAAAGCAGCTAGAGTGAGACCCATACCTAAACATGATAATCCACAAACTCCAGGACACTATAGACCTATTAGCGTTCTACCGCTTTTATCTAAAATACTTGAGAGAATTGTTCATGAACAAATGTTAGCGTACATTGAAATAAATAAGTTAATCCCGAATAGACAATCAGGATTCCGAAAAAACCACAGCACTGTTACAGTTTTAACTGATCTTTGCGACGACTATCTGAGCGCTATTGATGGTTCTTGTAACAACAGCTGTTTTTATTGATTTGAGTAAAGCATTTGACTGTTTGAATCGTAGAATGCTTCTAGCAAAGTTACATTACTTTGAATTTGCTCATGAATCAGTTACCTGGTTCCAGAGCTACCTAACTGGAAGCGTTCAGAGGGTCAAAGTTGGGCATTGTTTTTCTGATGAAAAGGAACTGGCTAAAGGTGTCCCTCAGGGATCAATTTTGGGCCCGATTTTATGCACGTTGTATGTCTCAAACCTAGTTAACTCCATCAAGTTCTGCCGTGTGCACTCATATGCTGATGATACTCAGATTTACCTTTCGTATACTCCCTCTGTGTATATCGAAGCAAACAGAATGTTAGCTGCCGATTTAAACAACTTATGCAACTGGTTCGAGAACCACGGCCTATGCATTAATTCGAAAAAATCTGCTGTCATTACGTTCAAATCCCAACACAGTAATTTTGATAGTAATCTAATGAATCTATGTATCGAAAATGAAACACTAGCTCATAAATCGACAGTACGCAATTTGGGGATCATATTTGATTAATATCTAACGTTCCACGATAATGTCACAAAAATCGTTCAGAACTCTTACGCGAAACTTAAAACACTTTACAGTTATAAATCTGTTCTACCACAAAAAACGAAAATTAGACTCTCTGATTTTGAGTAAACTGCAATATGGTGATTCAGTTTTCGGTCCATGCCTGACACAGGCTGAGACGTACAGGACTCAAAAGGTTCGAAATAGTTGTTTTAGGTATTCTCTAGGTGTAGCAAGAAGAGAGAGAATTTCTAATAATTTAAGAGAAATAAATTGGCTTACGATGCGGCAGAGACGGATGGTTCACTTAATGACACTGGTCCACACTACGCTGATGACAAAAACGCCAATATATCTTAATAGTAAGCTTAGTTTAAGGTGTGAACAGCGTTGCGTTAACCTACGATAAAACTGCTCAATTTAGGAAGTCATTTTTTTTTATATCGCACCCAACGTATACTACAATAGATTGCCATCAAGTGTAAAAACACTTTCCAAATTTAATTTCGCAAAGAAGGTCAAGCAATTCGTTTTGGATAACATTATTTCAATTTTTGAATAAATTTTAAGTGTCTGTTGTATCAGGCTGTTAATATGTATCTTGTACTAACCTATTCATCCTTTTTTTATATCAAGCTTTCTTTCAATGTGTTTATTTAGTGAGCGCCTTGTTAGTGTGTGTTCGTGACATTTACATTTTCTTTTAATTTGTTTTTTCAATAAAAGTTTACTGAATTTTTTTGTGTAGTCCTGGTTGGTGGTAAGAGCAGCTTCATAGCTGATACCCCCCAGCTAAAATAAAGGCAACATGGATTTATGTGTAAAAGATCAATAGAACCAATCTGGTACTTTTTACAGAAGAACTATTCTGGAAATTCTGGATGAGGGTGGACAAGTAGGTGTAATCTAAACTAACTTTTCAAACGCTTTTAATAGAGTCGATCATCATATTCTTCTTAAAAAACTGATAATTTTGTTTTTTCGAAGAATTTGATAGAATTTTGTAAATTACTTAAATAACTGTCACAGGTCATGTTCAACCAACGTCATTTATGGTGTGCTAATAATAGATTGTCACTGAATGTTGCAAATTGTAAATAAATCTTATTTGATTACAGCATTGATGGTATTTTTTGGAGCATAATTAACCGGTAAGGAACTATCTATCTATTCTATTCGTAAATCAGTTTCATTAATCATATTGATAACAAAATTGCTGAAGCATAGAAAATGTATGGATCGTGAGAAATTGTCGATCGCTTAATAGCAAACCAGCAGAGAAATGTCTATTTTTTTTGTACGTTCCAAACTGGGGTAGTGTCCGAATGTCTGGAACCCATACTATCAGTGTCATAAGGAAAATGTTTCAAAAGTACCACGTATATCCAGAACTGTTTGTTAAGCTGCTTGACATTGACTGTTTGGAGCTCAGATGGACACTGTCACCCCTTTCATTCCTTTTTAAATTGATGTATGATGTTATTGATTGTCCAGATCTTTTATCACATATTAAAATTTTTCCCAATTTAACTCTAGACAATCTACTGTTGTTAGGGCAAATTTAAGGTTGAAATCACCATTATGAGTAATGTGTTCATATTATATTGAGGTATTGCAGCATGTAGACATATTTAATTCTGAACTGAAGGAACTAAAGTATGCTGCTAAGAATATGTCACAAAATACCTGTGGATAGTGTAGTTTTTTATTTTATATTGCTCCGTAAAGGAATTCTATATGTTGGACAATAAATGCTATCATTAGTTTACAAATTTTTGCTTTCATAATTTAACAATTTGAGGTCGCTGAAAACCAGTTATAACTTGAAATCTCGAAAACGATGCGCGTGATTGCTTTGAAGTGTGTTATTTTCGAAAAGCACACATATTCCCTTTATGGCAATATATGATTTGTGTACAATCGATTTCGTAGTGTTCCCAAAATAGTCGTTAAAAATACAACAACAACAATAAATTTTTTCCAACTAAGAAATTATCTAAGCTTGAAGATAGTTTTGTCACCTACATATCAAGCACAAGTTTGCCTAGAAAATGTGGTAGTTATGACGTGTTATGTAAATGAAGGCAATTTAATTGTTTGGTTCTTAATGAATACTATCCTGAACAAAAGTGAATAATTTTTTCCTGTGGATTGAGCCTTGCTAGGTTACTGTCCTGAGGGCCACTATAATTAAATTTAATGTTCATTTTATATGAAAATCTGTACCGACCATTTACTATTTCAAACACTGTACAGGAGGAACTCTTGTATTGTGTGTCGGTAAAATGCTGGACGATGCTCAACTGTGGAGTGTGTCGACGTGTTTCAGTTTGTTTTATTCGTAACATTTAGCATCATTTATAATTGTTAACTGTTACTTTTGTTTTTGTGTTTATTTCCATGTTCTGATGATATCTGTGTTATGATATGAGAAAATACACCGAAATGTGCAAGCATGCAACGGATAAGTTCTGTTTTTTTTTTGTTTGTATACATTCAAAGACAGAGCCCGAAAAAAGATGACTACAAACATCTTAGTAGCTTACGAGCAATATTTTGATTTCAGAGCAAAAGATTTAGAGAAAACGTGGACTTTTTCCCTCCGAATTTGGGTGCTGACAGTGATAAACAACGCGAGCAATTTCAGCAAGACATTGCTGCGATTGAAAAGCGTTATGAGGAGTTTTGGGATCAAGACATGAAATACTGTAAAATCGCATGTGTTCACCACGCGACATAACTTCCACAGTTTTTGTCCGATTCAGATAAACTTGGGCTTGTTATGTAGGTGACAAAATTATCTTTAAGCTTACATAATTTATGTTAGCATAAAAAAAATGTTGCTCAGAAAAAACTCAATAAACCCCGATATATTTCCAAAAAGCTTTAAAAGTGTCTTTTTTCAACATTCAAGGGATATTTTGCAAACACTACGAATTTAATTGACACAAATCATATATTGCCAAGGAAATGTCCAAGATTTTAGGTAATAACTGCACTATAGCACAAACACACGTTTTTTGCTAAAAACTCGTAAACGGTTATTTGAAAAATAAATGAGTAATTTTCGTTTTCAGCGACCTCAAACAAATCCCGCAACTTACCTAGTCCCCCGCTTGTGCTTCCCCCTCCTCCGGCACTGACCCCACCTCCACCAGCAAGATCCGGCCCACCCCCGCCGCCTCCAGCATGTTGGGGCGACTTCCTCCTCAAATCGTATGGAGAATGGTGTGCCGCCATGACAGCCGGTCCACCCCCCGCCGCGGGTCCCGGTCCCGCTCCTGGGCCGACACCACCTCCATTAGCATTAGAAGGGGCGGGTGCCAGTGCCTGTGGGGCGGCAACGGCACCAGAAGCGGCGGCTGCTGCGGCGCCTGATGATGAGGCCGCACCGCCCCCTGCTGGCTGCTGTACGGGGCAGGACGGCTCGCATGGTTCTGCTAGGGACAATAGAGACATGTCAAAATTATTTGATAATAGACACATTCAAATACAATAAAAATAGCAGTAGTCTTTATTTGCAAATACAAATGCAAGACCATCAATATGCTAAGCAATACTATTTCAACAGTCATCTCTGTATTAATCCCACAAACATTTTCAACTTACTGTTAGAATATTATTCATTTACTTATTTATTCATATATTTCAACTCAACCGATTCTTATTTTAATATGCAACTACTGTGTAGTATTTCTCCATTATTTTTGTGTCTGTCATACGTTTCATATGTACACTACCGCTCAAATATTTTGGGACAGTAACTTTTTTTAACAGAACTTAAAATAAATCAGGCTTATATGACAGTGATAGATTATTACCATCTATGATACGACTACTCAAGCTAAAGATGTATAAGATTCAGTAAAACACCACTTAAAAGGGAATAAACGTAAACATCTTTAGAGACGCTGATATTTTTATTAGTTCATTGCAGTCATAAATCGGCCGATTTCCTTCCGCTGCTTACTTTTTTTTTGTACTGTATATTATGTTCCGCGTAATGTGATACATAAGCATTCTGGGTATCAATGAAACAAAGTAAAAATTGTACATAGTTTAGTATAAACTACTAGTCCATGTGCTAGGGTCAGATTTTTTCAAAATAATGAAAAATGGTAAAGACGGGTAACGTTTCACTTGGAAAACGGGGTGCAGTATGTACCTTACGTGATGAGGGATTGCCAATTCGAGCGATTGCTGAAAAGCTGCATGTAGGACGGAACACTGCGTCTCAAATTTTGAATAAAAAGAGAGAAACAGGAAGTATCGTAGATCGTCCACGCTCTTGAAGACGCAGAGTTACAACTGTTCTGAGGATAGGTGTATAGTAATAACAAATAAGCGAAATAGACATTTAACTTCGCCTGAACTCACACACCGCTTGAACAGAACGAGGGAGAACCCTGTCCGCGTCCACAGTAAAACGCCGCTTACAAAGGGCTAACCTTAGAGGATGTGTAGCAGCATGCAAACCACTCCTGCGACCTATACATAAACTTAACCGGTTAGCATGGCCTCGAAAACACAAGGATTGGACCAGTGATGGTTGGAACCGAGTCCTTTGGTGGGATGAATCCAAATTCGAACGACAGTTTGTACGCCGCCAACCCTGTTAAACATGGAGGTGGGAGTGTAATCGTTTGGGGCTGTTTTGCTGGAAATCGAACAGGAGATTTGGTTCGTATTGAGGGTATAATGCAAAAAGAGCAGAATTTGGAAAATTTTGGAAAACCACGCTGTTCCCTCAGGACAAAGAATTGTTGGGACCACTTTCGAATTTCAGCAACACAACGACCCTGAGCATTCATCTTGACTATGCCGCAATTATTTGGAACAGCAGCAAGAACTTGGTGCAATGAAAATCACGACATGGCCTTCCCAGTCCCCAGATTTGCCTCCTACAGAGTATTAGTGGGTTGAATTGGACAGACAGGTGAAGCCACAAGAGCCTACTAGTGCAGGAAGCCTGGGTATCCTTATTACCAACTATTCTTGAAAATTTGATATGTCAGATGAGTCGTGTCTGTCATTCAGTTATTCGGGCTCGTGGTGGACATTTCGATGAATCACGAATTTGAAGTAAATTTTTATAGAACTAAGTTACCAACTAACAGAGTTTTAGTGGAAAATAGTTCCTTTCTTATTTTTTTGATTTGGTTTGATTTCCCTCAAAAAAATCTGCTGTCCCAAAATTTTTGAGCAGTAGTGAATATTGTTTTTATTTACCTATTTTTGCTTTTTGATATTTTTCATTATAGAGTATCTTAACCATTGACATGTTCTATGTCATGATAAATGATCTTACAGAACCATTAAGGATTATTATAGAAATGCTGTAAGCCACTTGTGATACAAATAGCATCCCAAACAAAATTAATAGTAAAATCTTGCTCTATTACATATTGTCTTGAGAAAATCATCGATTGTATATCGTTCTATATTTGGTAATATTTTGTATAGTTTTTTTTAAATGCACACAGTTTTACAGATACTTTGTATTTTTGATCAGTTATTTTTTATTTTATTATTACCTATTATTATTTTTATAAGTAAATCAGTGTTATTAATTCTATTGTATTGTAACTTAATTCATACTTATTATTCATCATATATTAAATGGTGGAATATCAGGTGCTAAGTCTTGCGAAAGAATTTACCTTATCAAGTTCAATAAAGATGATGATTATTATTATTAGCTCATTCTTTTGTTGATGCAATTTCCTTTTTGTGTTGGTACATTTCTACTTTATATAAATGAGAAAGAGTGGATGTTTGTTATGCAATCACTCCAAAATGGCTGAACACATTTAGAAGAAATTTGGTACAGAGATAGACTATAGTCTGGAATAGTACATTATGCTACCTTTTATCCTGGGAAATAACTATGAATTATCACATGCAGCCCAAGAATGTAATGAAGTTTGACAATAAGTGTCTGGCACAGAAGCACTCAAGCATTTTGGAGAATTTTTATTAATCTTTGGGCTGTTGGGGGCCTCCATCAAGCTGGGACCCTCAGTAAGTAGCCCTTTGTGACACAGGATACAGAATTGAATTGTCAATAAGTAGTTATTTACAATAACAGATATGTCACAATCTTTTCTTCATATTCATATAAAACCAAAATGTATAGGTACAAATTACCAAATATTTTTTTTGAGAAATATAAGAAATTTATTCCCCTAAATTTAATATGTGAAACCAAAGTAATTTATGAAAATTGTTGCAAATTGGTTTCAGCAGAATACACTTCAAGCAAATTTTTGCAGCACCTTTTGTAAAGCAACTAGGAATGCCATTTTCATAAATGCTGTATTGTGAGCATACATACACAATGTCTTTATTGTTTTATTATGATAAAATAACAGCTGTTCATCTAGTAATATTTCAAAATTCTCCATATCCACAAGTAACACATAATTCGGACAGGTCCTTCAACACCAGGTAGATAGAGCCATACTTGGTTGTTTTTTTTTTGTACACTACAGATTCATTTTGTACTTGCTAACAATTATTTGAGATAAACAGTTAATTACTTTGTTAATCATCTCTACTTTTTAGAAACACCATGTAAAATTACAGCTACTGTTGACTTACCCTATAATCAATAAATTCCAGATATACTATAATAATTTTGCAACACATTTTTCTATGTATTATCCATATACTGTATTGTCAAAATTCCCAGTCAGTTAAAGTATCTTGATATGTAAACAAAAGCTCTCAATAAGGTCCACTTTTACCAGATTTACACCTGATTCATTATTGCCAATGGTACAGACTAATATGAAGAATGTCACTTGCTGAAACCTGTTCAACTCAACACATAATGATACTTATGAAATAGGGTTTACTGTGGTATTTATATGCCAGAAGTGCATTAGATAAATTGAGATAATAATAATAATAATTTTTATTGGAATGTATATACATAAAAATATAAAAACGACAACATTCCAAAAGGAAAGAGGATTGGCAGGGCCATTTTTCACCTCCCCCTAAAAAGTTAACTACATGAGCGTTTTTTAAGATCAACAGAATGATTAGTATTCACAACAAATATTATGCACAACACAGTATATAATACAATATAGTCTGAGTGTTAATGGAGGGTAGTGTAGCAAGCGCCATAAATTTAATTTGTGGTTTCAAATCTTTGCAGCTGTAGTAGCATTTTTTCCAACTCATTTCTAAAGTTTTGGATGGAAGGTGCTTCAAAAAGTTCTAAATGATCATTCAGTGGATATGGTGCCATGTAAGTAAAACATTTTTTGAATTTTGATTTTTTTTTTATACTCGAATTACCACGAAGGCCTAAGGCCTAAGCACCCATTGGGTACCGTGGGGCTATAGAGGGATACATGGGAAAGGGGGAACGCCACACAGACTCACGGGAACACGTGTGCATGCAACATGCACACATTCTGGCTCCACCTACGAGATCCGCCGGGTAGTACCTCTGCGTTCGACAGTCAGAGACCATCTACCACCTACGAAATTTGTGCTTCATTTCTTCCGTAAAAAAATTATGATATACTGTAGCACCACAGCCTAGATGAGTGAGGATTAGTGCATTGGTAAGTCTTAATTTTATATCACTGATTAAAACATGTTTGTATCTCCAAAGTGACATATTTACAAAAGCACACTCAAAGTTTATTATGGTTCTCAAAACTTGAATTTGTGTCCAATAAAATGCCTAAATTCTTAGCCTCCTCTACAATTTCAACAGATGTATCACCTGAAACAATGGCTGTACTCATCAATCCTATTTTGAAATATTTAACCTAGAACCAATGCAGCAAGCTTTAGTTTTTGTGGGATTCAGTTTCAAACAATAATTTTTGGAATAGTTTGCAATCATTTCTAGATTTACATTTAATTCTTTAATCATTAAATTAACTTCATTTGGCTTGCAAGCTTCATACATTTGTACATCATCAGAATATAGATGTATATTCCAATCATGTGATATAAAATTTAATAAATCAGATGTATAGAATGTAAATAGTAATGGACCTAATACACTTCCTTGCGGAACTCCAGAAATTACATTTTGTAAAGTGGACATTTTGTTAAATATCTTTGTGCATTGGGATCTGCCAGTCAGGTAGTTGTTGAACCACAGTAAGGCATTACTAGACAAACCATAATATTGTAGCTTTTTACATAATACTTCATGGTTGTCAAATGCCTTACTGTAATCTAACATCACCAATACGGTCACCATACCATCATCCATGAACTTGACTATATCGCTAGTTACTTTTATAAGCACTGTGGATGTGTTGTGTAGTTTTCTGAATCCTAACTGTATATGTATATATATATATATAATGAATGTATATGTCTCAAAATTTCAAGTAATTATCTTGAATATTATTTTGGCTCTATAAGATTATTCAGAGATGGCCCCCAACATGCTAACAGCAATCAGGATTGACATAAATCATGGTTTTTGTTTGTTTTTGTTTTATTATTACTCTAAATACCCTATGAACTTTCATGAAAAAAAATCAAGTTTGAGCTAAATACTGATTTTTATCAAAAATTCACTTGATATAAATCAATCATTTAAATAATGGTTAAATCAAATTATTTAAATCAATCAACCCTGACAGCAAAAATTACTTTTTGAAGACTTGCAGACATTTTCAATATTTATTGAATAATCTAAGCAAAATTTTTGTCCAATGAAAAAATCCATTCATAATTTATTCATTCCTGATTTTTTGCTCTGGGATGTCACAAGTATTATATATTTATACTTGTGACAAAAAATATATAAATGACTCTTACCAATATGACAAAAAGTTAATGTTTATAATGTATGGATTGTTTTGATAACTTTTTTGAATCACTTATAGTCAAGTTCAAATGAAAGGAAAAGCATTATTAAATCTTACTACTAATTACAGTAAATTCAGAGAAACCTTCCGTTATGGAAATTAACATTTTTGATGTCCAAAATATGTTAGCTCAATTATAAAAAATGGAGATCAAATAATTATACATCAAGAATATAGGTATAGTTATTAGAAAATGTCTTGTCTTTCTATCTCAGTTATTAAGATATTTCAAATAGCTATTATATCACTTATTCAAGCTTGTTGTATTAAACCACAAACTACTGTTTTTAATGCAATGAAGCCTGTAAAGATTTTTGGACAATAAAATTACTCAACTTTCTCGTTAAAATGTTACATAAAAAGCTGAAAACAATATGCTGTGAACTTCCTGGAAGTTACTTGATTGCTAATATTGAAGTAGCCAGTTTCTAAATGATTTCCTGGGTAGGATCTTCATACATATTGATTATAGATATCAAGTGGAGTTTGAAGTTCCAGAATTGATGGAAAATTATGAATATACATTACATCCTAATCAGAGTAACACCAGTTAGCAAGTTAAGTACCGAGTTATCATTTTACACCAGATCAATGCTTCTAAAAACAAAGAACTTTCACATGTGGGAGAATGTAGAGCAATTAATTTGATAAATTCGAGAGATTCTTGCAAAGAAATTACATCATGCTTGGATTAAATTCGTAATGATTTGCTCGACGATCCCAAACGTAACGCATCGAAGTTTTTTATTTTGGTTTCCAAATGTCAACAATACAACTGGTCAATAAAATCACTCCCATATAACATCCATATTACGTTCGTGTGCATTTTGTAATAAGAAGACACTCATGTTATCAATGTTTTTACCCACAAGCTCACATTCTGGACGATTTTTACACTCATATCTTTATCTGTCTAGCTATGTAGGCAGCCCTGTTATTTTAATGTATATTTATGGGATGACATTTTCTTTGACAAATAAAAAAGGTTCGACTCGCGATACGAAATCTAGCGTAATACTCATTGGAGACTCCCAATTCGAAGTGAATATCATACTTTTCCCCGAGTTTGTCGTGGGAACATAATGTTTTTTGAGGTCGACCGTCCCTGCTACATTAATTTTCAGACCATATTCACATACCAGAAGTCGTCCTAGATGGTGTGGGTATCCTGTTGGCTCCTTTCCTTCGGGACCTCCTCACGTACGACCTAGAGGCCGTGAAAGAGGCGCTTGGCATTTTAGAACGTTTCACTACACTTTTATTTTGAAGTTCTAAACAAAGGAAACACTACCACTACCGTCAGCTGCCATTTTGAGTGGAGTACTTTTCCAAGAAGGTGTGATATGCGCAGGCTCGTTACATTGACCAATCAGAAAACAATGCGCTGTCGTCAAATTCACCACAGTTGCTGCATATTTGCCACTTTCGTGTGGCTGACTTCGAACCTGCCCGTTATAATGAATATTGAGTTCTCCATATCAAAAATGACGTGATTTTTTTACGCAATCGATTTGTGTGTCAATATTAATGACACAATTTCTAAAATTATCAAATTCGTAGCACTTGTACTCTAACAAAAAATTTAAAATGGGTTACAAACATGGGAGCCTACAGGAATTTTTCTCAAGAGGGCTGATCATCGGAGAGAGATACCTTTTTATGAAAGTGTCTGCCCCAAAAAGCTTTTGAAAAGTAGGAGGTCGCAAATTCTCTCAACGTCCAACCTGGATCATGAATGGACGTTTGTTCATTCTAAAGCTCCAGTGAGCACAAAAAATAATACAGGAAAACCACTGCAATGACAATGGAAAATACAGCTTGATGTCAAGTAACATTACGTATTTTTATGTGTAATATTAATTGCAGATTCCCAGGCTGTAGGCATGTACTGCGGATGTAAATTTTTATAATGGGTGGCCAATCTTGATTTTTTTAACAGTAAAGGATGCAGTATAAGTTAAGGCTAGCTCTAGGGGATTATTTCAATAAACAACAAAAGCCATATGTTACGCCATGTCTTAGAAATATCAACAATTCAAGCTAAATATATTCTACTATAGTAAATAGAATCTGAAAGAGAATGAAATGACTCAAATCATACTGAGAAATTATTTTACAGGAAGTGACAACCTTGCGAAGTTGCCATCCAGTGCGCCACCAATTTGGTCACGTGACCGGCAAAATGTCAAAATGGAACAGGATTTCAATGAACTTTTCAAGTGTTTTAAATCGGTTTTCGTTTGTTTTTTTATATCGGTAGCGTATCTGGCGAGTTTGCACATATGGAACAGTCCTTACAGTCGGTGAGTTTCTTTTATTCAGGCTTTTTCTGAGCACTTATTTCATATTGCAGGTGTAAAATTCCTCTACAGTTTGACAGATGTACCTTTCGTCCCCCACACAGTGCGTAACCGCAGCGGTGTTGCCAAACGTTTTAATTTTTATATGAAACCAATTTATATGGTTGATGTCTGTAACTAAAAAACAAAGAAATGCTTGATTTGATACATGCCAGCCTTTTGAGAGAACACGAATTTTTTTTATTACCTTTTGAGACGTTTAGGATGAATTTGATGTAGTAAATATATTTTCACATTTAAAAATAAATCGACTCGGCGCGCGGCGATTGCTACGATTAAGCCAAGAAGCAGAGGGCATATCGACATTTTGATTGGTATTCTTAGGGCCGTATCGTCATTCGTTCCTACAATTGTAGGGCGCGTTTATGGCCTCCTTGATTGTCATACTTCTTTCCCTCCTTCAAAAATTTCTAGATTACACTTGTCCCGTGTTAGCGTCAGCGCTCTTCTATTGTGAAGATATGTTTTCTTTTTAAATTGTAGGAAATTTCAGGCTGATAAAACATGATATAACTCAAAAGCAAGCACAATTTGATGCAAATAGATGTTTGTGACATAACCTCAAAATAGAGTTCTGACACAGAGAAGTAGAAAACTATGACAATCAAGGAGGCCATAAAGGCGCCCTACATTTGTAGGACGGCTTTATGGCCTCCTTGATTGTGATAGTTTTCTACTTGTACGTGGTAGCTCTCTATTTTAAGGTTATGTCACAAATATCTATTTGCATCTAATTGTTCATGCTTTCGATTTATATAATGTTTTATCAGCCTGAAATTTCCTACAATTCAGAAAGAAAATATAACTTCACAATAGGAGCCATTTCGTCGGTGGTTCCTACAATTGTAGGAATTGTGATTTTCATAGTTTTTCCTATCCTTCAGAAAGGTATTTCTAGATTTCTAATGTTTCGTGTCAGCGCTGTATTTTGAGGTTATGTTACCAATATTTATTTGCATCAACTGTTCTTGCTTTTTACCTATATCATCTGATATATCAGCCTGACATTTCTTACAATTCAAAAAGAACGCATAGCTTCGCAATAGGAGAGCGCTGACACGGAACAGTAGAAATCTAGAAATAGCCCAGCCTTTATGAAGGAGAGAAAAGACTAAGAAAATCAAGGAGGTCAATTATAGGAACGACTAACGATGCGGCTCTTGAAGAATAAAAAAATTTTCCGCGATCACGGTATTTGTAGTACCTAGTACCTACCTATAGTCATGCGTAGTCTTCGAAACAAAAACTATATTTTCCTAAATTTACATATCGAAAGGTTTGATGATATATTCATCTATTCTAAACAAAGGAAAAAGCCATTTCCATATAGTGGATTATTTTCAATTTTGTTCATTACAATTCTTGTCCTGTAAAATCGTACTGACGAAACAATGATCACCCCAAAAGACAGGTACTTTTCAATTTTTCGGAGGTGGGTATAGGTATGTATGTATCCAAAAAAAATCTATTTCACGGGCTACAGGCCAAACGGCTTGATGGATTTTGACATATGAAGGGTCGTTGGTTTCTTCCTAGCTGTACGGGTGATACTGGCTATATCAAAATTATAAATATAGTGCGGATTTTACTTAAAAAAAAACATCAACCTAGAAATTCCTATTAACACGGCTTGATGGATTTTGACATGTGAGCATTGTGAGCTGTTGTTGGATTCGTTTTAGAAGTGCGAGTGACCCTGAGTATACCAAATTTCATAAAATGGCGGATTTTAATAAAAAAATCGATATTGTCATTCCTGTTTGACGTTTTAAACTTGGAACGGCCGGTGGATTTTGACATATGAGACGCCTATAGATTTCTCTTGATAGCATAATTAAATGTTCATTCTTAAGTTACTGCCACTAGTGGCTTGTATTTTTTGTAAATGTACTTGTACCACTTGGCAACACAGCATCGCACCGAATTTCTCATTTCACCATTCAGGGGCATTTACAAAACTGGTATGCGGCGCTGGTATACCGTGGGAATCGAAATAAAACTGTATAATATTCACCCTTTGGATACTGGCCAGTTCCTAATCTTTATGCATATTGGGGAAATGAGAATGCACCCTGAAATGCATACCTACATACTGATAAAATAATGGGTCATGTGAGAGGGTTGAATATGTATGCCTATTATACCTCCTCACATTCTTAGTTGACCTTTATTTTAGGTAGGAACAAATTTGAAATAAACTACTATTCAATATTTAAACAATGCGAGTTGGGGGGTTTTCGTGAATTTTCTGAATTTTATATCAGCTTGGCGTTGGAATTAGGTATCTTATGGGACCAACGGCCCCAAATTGGACCACACATTCAGATTTTTTTTTATAGTGATGGCTTTCGAATCAGTGCCCCAGTGAACTAAATTATCCCTAGTGTTCCGTTCTATTATAGCGCCCTATATCCTTTTATAATAATCCTTCTGAAAAAATGAGGGTTGCATTCTATAAACAGGGTCTATTTTCTTCCAGTACAAATCCACAAAACGCGGAACAAAACTGCGCATTTACCTAAACCTCCTTTATATGCAATCGACATCTATGTAAACTCAGTGTCACACGTTTTTTAGTTTTGTCTCACCGCCATGCACATTTTCTCGTCTGCGGATGCAGCCTTTCAGTGAATACGCCAGTACATACCTACAGTGAATTTAGCTTTTCCGTGTGGGCTTTCAGTGAGTACGAAAGAGGAGTGTGCAAGACGTATGTTAGAAAGAGTGCGCCTTATAAACTTCGTCACTACGTTGCCTGGCACCGCTTCTCTCTTTTGTACACATTGAAAGCCAAGACCGGAAAAGTAAAACAATTTCACTGTATAGAGTTTGGACTTGGAGGATCTGGATAGTTCTCATCTGTCGAAAATCATACCAAGGATGTTTTCTTTTCATACACGTAGGTAATTTATTTTAATAAGAGAATTTGTTCCAGAGATCATCCGTCGACTATAAAGAAAAGATTCCTAAGTGCATTCTTGATGCTTTTTGTCTCGCCAGTGATTTTATATTTAGGTTTAGATAAACAAATAACAGATAAAGTAAGTGAAATAAAATGGTTTTTCATTCTCATGGTTCTATGACGGAAAATATGACAGATGACGTCGTACACTCGATACGATTGCGCGTGGCAGCGTCTTACAGCGCGAGTCGAGTTCTCAGAGTTTCTAAACATTCGCACAGAAATTCATTGTAATTTTCAGCATTGATTAATCTAGATAGCCAACCATATACATAGTGGCGCCCAAAAATTAATTTTCGGGCTTCTCTAATGCCTATTTTAGTTGGGTATTTTCAGGTGGAACAGATTAAGCAATGCTTGAAGATACACAATTAAAATTGCCACTAGAGAGGCCAAACAAATGTTGGAAGATCCTAGCGCCATCTATGAGACAAGCAGAGCCAAACACGCCAACTTTTTTGCATTGAATAAAAAGTTAATTTTGTAGAAGGTTGCGTACTTCGCAACAAATTAGTGATGTCCGAAATATGTATATATGGAAATTGGAAATATTGAGCTTTAATACGCAATTGATTTTTCGATCAGTTAGTCTCAGTTGCACCATGACCATAGGAAGGATGTTATCTTTTTTTATTAGTTCGCCCGATTTTCGCCATGTCCAACTGTTATTATCTTATGGTAGAAGCCTTATAGAGCATTTAAGCAATAGTTAAGCCAATACTTCTGTATATCTCGAGATCTATTAATCTACGAAGTACAAAATTAACCTTTATTCCAACGCCTTATACGTAGAAATTGTAAAAATGTGAGTTCTATTAGAAAAAAAAGACTTTTTAGGTTTTCAAAAATCTATTTTTTTTTCATTTTTTAATTACCTTGTACTGCTTGTTATCCAAATTTGGAACAATATCTACTAAAGTCGGTCACCTACTATACGAAAACCGTTACAAATCGTATGGCAAAGATGAAAGTACGAGACAAAATTGTTATAAATTATTGGCCTGCATTTGTATTTTTTTCACAAAATTTGCGATATCGACAAAAACAATGAGGTATTGGTCTAATCATATTAGACGAAAATACCCCTGGCTTGCGAAATAATTGTAAAGTCTGGTTTTATTGATGCACGTTGTTCAAGGGGGTATTTAAAACATGGATGCATAAAATGGGTACACCAATTTTTGTGGGAAAACTTTTTATTTACAACAAAGAATGAGAATACCCGTTTTTGGGGATTGGAAGTGTTGGCAGAAACGGAAAAACTCTTCAAATAAGATTTTTAGGAATTTATGAGACCTACAGAATGAGATCATGCGTAAAAATTTATTACTAGTAGCAAAAAAGTTATGGCCGAAAACCAAGGCAAAGTGCAGGTTTTGGCACTTGTTGCTAATTTGACGATAAATTCACGCAGCTACTTGAAATTCTTCAAAGCCGTAGGCTTCATACTTCACAATAACCACAAGATTGGAGTCGATTGGTTAAGTAGTTTTTGAGAATTTCTAATTGTTTATCCCAAAACACCTGTCTTCCGGCCATCACGTTAACCATAACATCCATCTAATTTTAGCTCCTGTCCAGGATAGCGAAGTTATTCTAGCCATTAGTCAGCTAAAGGATAAGATGACTTCGGGTCCTGATGGTATTCCTTCGTTCCTTGTAAAGGACTATGCTAGAGCTTTTTCTCCTGTACTTACTCTCTTATTCAACATGTGCTTAAAATCCAATATATTCCCGAATATATGGAAGGTGTCCAAAGTTTGTCCGGTCTTCAAAAATTGAGAAAAATCAGATGTCGAGAATTATCGTCCAATTTCTCTTATATGCATTTTTGCGAAAGTCTATGAAATAATCTTGTACAATCGCTTGTATCCTTCAATAAAAAATCAAATATCACAAAAACAGCACGGTTTTGTCAGCAACCGATCTACAGTCACCAATTTGGTTATTTTAACCCAATATATTTCTGAAGCTCTAGATGATAACTGCCAAGTTGATGTGATCTATACGGATTTTTCAAAGGCATTTGACAAAATTGATCATGGGGTTTTGTTGATGAAACTTGGTCACTTTGGTCTCTCACTTAGCGCTATAACATTCTTCAGGTCGTATTTGTCAGAGCGAAAACAATTTGTTGAATATAATGTCTTCAAATCTGAAACCTACTTAGCCCCATCTGGTGTTCCCCATGGGTCCAACTTGGGACCATTGTTATTTTTATTATTCATAAATGATCTTTGTGAAAGTATGAATGGTCAACAGTTATGCTTTGCAGATGATATGAAGATATATTCATCAATCAGTGACGTGCAGGATTGCTTAGATTTACAGATGCAGTTAAGTAGTGTTAGGATTTGGTGCGATCTCAATAAATTACATCTAAATATAAGTAAGTGCAGAGTAGTTAGCTATAGCAGAAAGAAAAATGTTCGTGTATTCAACTATAATATCGATGGTGTGGTGCTGGAAAGAAGCGATATAGTCAAAGATTTGGGTATTATATATGACCATAAATTAACATTTACTACTCATATTTCGCGGAAAGTTTCGGAAGCCTTTAAGTCTTACGGTTTCATTGTCAGGAACTGTATATTTGATATTTGATAATAATTTGATAACTTAAGGGCCTTAAAAGTCTTATATTTTACATATGTACGTATAAAACTAGAATATGCGAGTGTTGTATGGAATCCGTATTACCAGACTTATATTAATGATATTGAGAGGGCCCAAAGAAAATTTCTAAAGTTTCTATACTTCAAATCTGAAGGAGTTTACCCTGAGCAAGGCATTAGCAATATGGAACTATGTGAGCGTTTTGAAATTCATATACTAAGTGACATATAAATCCGAACACCCAATTTAAATAGTTTTATTTTAATAAAATTTTGTATAAGTACTTAATGAAGCATAATAAGTAAATGATAAAAATTTCAAAATGATTGCACTGCTTTAAAGCCCTTTGACCTTTAATAATGTGTGGATGCACCCTGATGTGCTACGCATTCTCCAACGCGCCTAGGCATGCTTCTGATCAGGTGGTCAATGTCCTCCTGTGGTATCTCAGTCCAGGCAACCACCAACTCACTCCTCTCGAAGTGCTTCTAGAGTCTGAGGAGGACGTTGCAAATTGAGCAATCTCCTACTCATCATATCCCACACGTGCTCAATTGGGGATAAGTCGAGAGATCTTGGTGGCCATGGTAACAATGTGACATCATTATGTTGAAAGAAGTCTATTGTGACTCTTGCAACATGTGGTCGGGCATTATCTTGTTGGAAAGTTGGATCTGCCAGGGTGTCAAGATAGGGTAAAAGATGGGGTTCTAGAACTTCGTGGATATAACGCTGCGCGTTCATGTTACCTCTGATGAAGATTGAAGGTGACCTGGAACCATAAGCTATAGCATCCCAAACCATAACTCCAACAGTGTGATGAACATGTCTTTCAACAAAAAACTGTGGATTCCTCCTTTCACCACGTCGCCTTCTAACCCTGGCACGACCATCGTGCATGCCTAAACAAAATCGAGACTCGTCCTGATCCCAGAGTGACCGTTGTCTGCACCACTCAAGGCGATTACGTCGGTGTTTTCGAGTTAAAGGGAGGACCCAGTGTGGCCGGTATGAAAACAAGGAAAAACTTCTCATTCGTCGGTAAACAGGTCTCCGTACTCTAGGCATCGTAACCGATCGTAAAGGATGTCAAGAACCAAAATCCGCCAACGTTGATTCTTTACTGCGGCTGAAATATTCATTTTTAGAGCGTTAGTGAATTAAAAAAAAACAGTATAAAAACCGGAATGTCCAACTGATAAGGCTGAACATTTTTTCACTTGTTATTTACAGTAAGATAAATACATTCACCAACTTTTATTAAAATAAAACCATTTAAACTGGGTGTTCGGATTTATATGTCACTTAGTATAGTTTAGAATGCAGAAGGAAAGTTTCATCTGCCATATTCCTTTTTAAACTGCTAAATAGCATTATTGACTCCCCATTCATTTTGGCACAGATTAATTTCAAGGTTCCTTCGTTCTCTTCACGCAACTATGTAACTTTTAAGCAATCAAGGGCTAGGACCAATGTGTTAGTCAAATCTCCTACATATGTTATGTGTAAACATCTAAATTGTATTAGCTGTCATTGTGATATATTTTCTTGTTCGCTTAACTCAGTAGTTAGAATGGCTTATTTGTATTTGAAATAACTTTTTTTTTTAACACCTCTGAATATTATTTAATTGTGCTTATGTAATTGTCCTATAAATGGGGTAACTGTTGGACAATAAACGCTATTATTATTATTATTATTATCACATGTAGTTCACTGAGCAATATACAGGGTTCGTTCAAAGGGCATTTCATAGCAAAATACACGAGTTTACCTTGCCGACATGAATCACAAGAAAGAAAAGAAAGATAATTGTTATTTTTATGCAACAAACGAAGGGTTACGTTCCCATAAGAGTATAAAGCAATTTCTTCATAACAAAAGGTGATCGACACATCTGCTTTGTTTTAAAATGTGTATAATAACGTATGTTTTTCGAATATCGAAGCGAATCTGTTCAGTTACTCACCTATACGGAATATTTGAATTTGTTTCGAAGAAAAAACGTAACCCTTCGCTTTTCGCATAAAAATAACAATTATCTTTCAGAATGGTTTGTGATTCACATCGGTAAGGTAAATTCGTGTATTTTGCTATAAAATGTCATTTGAACGAATCCTGTATATTGCTCAGTAAACTAGTAGTGATAGCTGAAAGACAGGTGTTTTGGGATATACAATTAGAAATTCTCAAAAACTACTTTACCAATCGACTCCAATTTTGTTGTTGTGGTTATTTAGAAGTACGAAGCCTACACGGATTTGAAGAATTTCAAGTAGCTGCGTGAAATTAAGTGCCAAAACCTGCATTTTGCCTTGATTTCCGGCCATAACTTTTTTACTATTAGTGGTGAATTTTTACGTGTGATCTTATTCTGTAGGTCTCATAAATACCTAAAAATCTTATTTGAAGAGATTTTTCGTTCCTGCCAACACTTACAATCCTCAAAAACGGCTTTTCTCATCCTTTGTTGTCAAATTAAAAGTTTTCCCACAAACATTCGCGAACCCATTTTATGTATCCATGTTTTAAATACCCCTTTGAACAACTTGCATCAATAAAACTCAACTTTACAATTATTTCGGAGAAATTTGCTAATATGTTTAGACTATATAGGATGTTATATATGTATTTAGAATCTCGCGTAGAATATAAAAATTGAATTATATACAGGGCGTTCTATTTAATAAATTAAAGTTGGTGCCTACTTCCAGTAGAACCATAAATGTTACCACTTTGATAGAACTTTAGCCTAACCCCAAATTTTCGTAATATATACTTATATATGTATACTTTTCGAGTAATCGCGCTTACCTTTGAAACTGGAGTGGCGTGCAAAGTCTTGTGGTAAATCACCTGGAACCATTATATCGTGTATAAGCAGATGTGCGTCTTTTCCGTGTTAATTCAGATAAAAATCGTCATGTTGAAAAATGTGTGATGTCACTGTCATATTTTTTGATAGAGCAATCTCCAACAGACTTTCTGTTTCTGTTTTAGGTTAATTTACTCGAAGTATTAGGATTGAGAACTCAAGGACTATGTCAGGCAATTTTTATGCCGCTTTTTTTGACGATGATTCTATTTCTGGGGCCCATTTCAATGGAATTGTACAGTGGCCTCTCAAAAGTTTACACAGGTAAAAGAGGTAAACACTACAACTTACACTTAACACAAGCAGTACACTACTTTCAACACTTGTTTTTGTTTACCTATCAGCTTGTTACCTACAAATTAGAAACGAAACTTTTTCTGAAAGCCCGCATTGTATGCCGTGGCATTTTTGAGAAATTTAAAACAGTGTCGACCCACATGAATTGACCACTCATTTTCAATTGGTTTATCAGTTGAGCTACATTGACAGGCATCTTATTATTTGATTCTAGCGTCGGTATTAGGTGCATTCTATTGAACACGATAATACAATTTCCAGATTGCGCTCGCTGTAACTATTTCTTACACATGTATTTTACCTAGCAAAATTATACAGTGCTTTTCAGAATGCTATTTTTTTAATGGGTCAATTTTTAGCTTTCAAATTATGAGTTTGAATACTATTTTTTAACGTGGAAGGGATAGGCGCCGTATTTAAATATTTTTTAAATTGAATGATGGTCACGTGATATCTCATATTGGGGCGCTTTAAAACCTAGAATATAAAATGCCTGTCTTCAAAATTGCTTATATCGCTCAACAACCAACTTTAAAACGACATAGTATGACATATCAATATTATTTTCGTGAAGAGATCCATCTGAATATAAAATATTGAACATTCCACTTAAAAAGGCTGAACTCTGACAGCTTGTCAGTTCATACTTTGGGAAATTGGTCAATTTATACTCTACGGTTATGTAGCTTCTTCAAAAAGAGGTATCACTAGACAAACCATTGCATTTAAAAAAATGTTTACGTTAAAATAGAGTATACACATATCAATTTCATCAAATCAAATATCAACTTGCTAAGTTCAAAAATAGAGTCATCATCCCAAATCTCTGCTTGCTATCTTGACCCTTTGAAAAAATAAGTGGGTTGGGGGACCTTCTGAAAAGCAGCGTATAAAGTCAATTTTTTAATATCTAATTTCAGAGGAAATGTACTGGTACTCGAATCTCACAAACTTGAGATGGTTACGTAACCATGTTGTAGCCCCTTTATCAGAAGAGTTCACATTCAGATGTTGTATGCTGCCCCTGTTGATACAGTGTTTTTCTCCTACTGTTGCCATATTGATGTGTCCGTTGTTTTTCGGAGTAGGTAAGGCATAATAGGGAAGTGAAAATGACTATCATTTCGAAGATGTTAAAGAACAAATACTCATACCTAATCATATTGAAGAGTCAAAAACTAAATTTCAAATTACGTTTCGACACCTTTACCCATCATTATGTAAAGGTTCAAGGTTCAGTTTGATTAACAAGATTCGGCTCAATAAGGTAGTCATAAGACCAGCCATGACTTGCACTTGTGCGGCTTGGTGTTTTATTGCCAACACACACATGCGAAATTTGCAGGTTCTGCAAATACGTCAATTACTGACGCTTCATGGTATGTCTCTAACAAAACTCTTTACAGGGACCTCAATGTCCCTCACCTGAAGGACTACATCCAGCAACAGGCGACGCGGCGCTACAGCCAAGCGGAATTGTAGAGCAACCCTCTGTTGCGCGAGTCAGTGGACTACACAGTCGAGCAAGTTCGCACAAAAGGCCGCGGCTTGAACTTTAGTCAAAATTATTTCGTATTTAGAACAACTAAAATTGGAGCATTTTGACAAAATCCTTAGAAAAATCAAATATTTTTAGACCATATCAAAATCTGTCAAACGATTTTAACAATGCCTAAGCGTTCCCAGTCCTAAAAGATTCTCTTCCTCCTCTTCCCTCTCGTTCTTCCTTCTCTCCTCTCCCCCTCTTCTTTCTTTAAAGTTGCCTGTTTTCTGGGTTTAAATACCTGATTTACAAGCTGACACTATGACTCAAGAGCTAAGCTCCCACGGACTACTCTGACAACCAACGATGACTTGAGAACAAATACTCAAAGCTTTTATCAAAGTATTTATTATTGTTGATATCATTTTTTATGCTTGAAACTACAAACTAACACATCCTTACAAAGTATCTGAAGCAAGTTGTTGGACTGTATAATTGTTTTTTTCAGCCCATTTTCATTTGATGTTAGAAAGGATACACCATCTAGGGATGTCGTTTAGTCAAGCTCTAACAATTTCTTGTAAGTATTTTCTAAACTTTGTTGAATGCTAACGAATGTTCTATAAAGTGTCCTAAACCGGACCTCACCTCCAAAACAGACTCCTGATCTCATTGGCTTTACTCATTCAGATGTTAAAGTGTTTTATTGGATAAATAAGCTTTTGATTTTAGTTGCGCAAACAAGATCCCTCTCAGTTGCCTGAATCTGGCACCAACTCATCTTTTGAAACTACTTTTTAAGTTCGAAAAGGATTAATACCATCGTTACAGACTGATACAAAGATGTCACTTGCTGATCAGCTGTTCACCTCAGTAGACTCTAAAACGTGATAGAAACCCGTGAAATATTGTTTATGTTTGATTGTGTTTTGATGTTGGATCTTCGGCAATTGAAAGTAGTTTTTGGATATTAAAACCGTGTGTTCTGAAGGTTAAACTAAAACCAAAATTATAGATAAGAGATGTCACGGGGAATATTGCATTTGTTTAGGTTGATCGTTTGAATCAACTGCAGTTGATTGGATACAATTGCCTTGCAGACAAAGCAATGCCGTCTTGTAACTGCAAGAGCTTTCATTCAAAAGTCTCACGGACTGTAAAACAGTTTTAAGCTAAACACTATGTATCTCTTTTAAACACATACGTATATTCTGTATCTTTGCTTGAGAATAAAGTCTTAATTAATTATTTATCCGGTTTTGGCTCTTATTTTTTAGTCAGGCATATTCAATAATTTATTTTGGAGATTATTTTTAATTATAATTTTCGACTATAATTTGTAAAGTGTAAAGTAGATGATGCCCAACACTACAAAGTAAATGTCGCACATATTTTCATATATATATATATATATATATATATTGTTCGTCGACTATGTGTTCCCTTTCACTGTCGTTTAAGAACAATTTCAGCAACAATCTTGCCGACTTAGTAAGTAATTATTTTTCCTCCTAATTGTTTATTGTTGCTTTTTTTCAAAAATTGTTTTTTAGCTCCAAACGATGATGGCATAGACCATCGAAAGCTCGAGTTCAAGTTGTAAGAGTGTACTTATGCAAAACTTTGCCTTCTACCCAAATAAATTCAAGATAATTTTATCCTAACAGTTAAGAGGCAATTAACTATGAACACTATATATATATATATATATATATATATAGTATCAAAATTGGAAAGCAGACTTGTGGCACTCGAAAAGTACGATTGAATCAGTATCCTACTCTAAAATCTAAATTACTTTGCAGGTTTCCAATTTGCGTACACGACAATATTCGGCATGTACTCTGCGTACCTGTTTTACCGTACGGGGCATTTTGCGTCAATTTTCATAGCGCACGCGTACTGCAACCACATGGGATTCCCCGAGATCATGGAGATAACTACGTACAAGCGTCATAAGAAAATAATAGTGACCAGTTTGTTCTTTATTGGGTTTGTCGCTTGGTGTTTGCTGTTGAAGCCTCTTACAGAGCCGAGTTGGTACTACCATGATCCTTCGTGGTATAAAGTTGCAGTTTGAAACTAATTTTACAAGTGTTATTTGATCGACTGCGTAAATGTGGACTCTGGTTATCAGGAACTGTTGAAGATATGTGCCATATATCAAGAACTAGACTAAACTTTCGGCTTTGCTCGCCAGGAAGTAGTGTAAAGTATAGGTAATTCGTTTCGCATTAGTGTGAAGGAGATTGGTTTCGGAGTAAGAAATGCAATATTCACAGTAATGCAATAGTTACTTTGGCAATTAAACTCTTATATCCATCATTTTAATGCAACAATAAAATAGCTTCAAAGTTTTCATATTTTATATTATCAACAAAAAGTAAGGAGTTCATTCGAAAATTTATCTGATCCTGAAATGACCTTGTAGGTCTTAGTCAGGTTCATTGGCAAGTATATACTTGAAATTGTCTGCAATTTGCATTTCTGGAATTAAAAATAGATGTTTCCAGTTTAAAACTCATTTGACCTTCAAATGACCTTGAGACTCCGATAGTCAAGTTCAACATAAAATTTCTTCCTTTTTTTAATTCCCGGTGTCACGAATAGGGGTTTCCATTTAAGAAAACTGTCTTGACCGTCAAATGAGCTTGAACTTAACAGTCAAGGTCATGTTCAAGGCCACCATTAGATGACTCTTCAAACATAACAACTTTATTCACGACATTTTTTTAGGAACCGTATTTTTCGAGATTTTTTGTCCTTTTCCTACTGCCCGGACACCCTCAAATACCCATGGAGGTCATGGTCAAGGTCATAGACAAAAATATACTTAAACGTAAAAAATTCTGCTATTTACGTTTCTTGAGTAAAAAATGTGGATTTCATTTAAGAAAACTGTATTTGTCTTCAAATGATCTTGAAGGTCATAGTCAAGGTCACGTTCAGGATTCCCAATGGATGAATCTCTTCAAATCTCACAACTGGGATATTTCACGTGGAGCGGACAGCGAAAAAAGTTGTAAAAGTGTGTTTATATTGGTCCTGGACATATAGTAGGTGTGATAGAGAATTTACGATTTTTTTTATTGTGGCACGTTCACTTGCTAAGTTAGAGGCTTTTTCGAATTGGAAGGTATATTGGAAATTAGGATAGCGTTTTATATAGGAAGCTTGCTGTACTTTTTGATAAAAAAACATATGAAAATAACTTAAGGTGCTAAACTGAAAGTAACAATTTTATACCAAAATTTGGGCAACTTCGAATTTTTTTATTTTCGATTTTTTTACTCCAAAATGTAGCGTAAGGTGTGTTTAAAATACATCAGAAGTTTTGAAATGATATGCACATTAATTAAGGATGTACCTATTTTTGTGTACAACATACATGTCACCCTGGGTATAACGTTAGGCGCTTATTTAGGTCAACTGGTCTAAAGTGTGTTTAAAATAAACTAGAAGCTTTAAAATGGGAAGCGCATTCACTAATGAGAGATATTTTTATGTACATATATGTCGCACTGGGTATCACCTTAGCCGCTTGTTTGTTAGATATTTTGCGGACAAGGCATTAAGTAAAACTACATTAATGTTGAAAGGAACATTTTATTTTATAACCTTTATAATTTTCTTTGCTCGCTAATGCTACTAACCACATAGCATTCTGTCGTGGGGATGCATGCATGAAATTGCTTTGTCCCTGGGATTGTTCTAGCTCGATTAGATCTGGGTTCCAGGAAAATTCTTTCATGCTGGAAGTCTTTTTTCGAGCAGCAAGAAATCTATGCTTGTTTCAAACCTGACTTTGACTATTAGTATAGTTGTCAAGGCGAAATATTTGTCACTAATCACTTAGGGTTACTTTCCAGACCATCGCATGGTCCCCTGCTATATGAGTGACAAAGTAATTCAGCATTGGTGATAAAATCATCCTTATAATGGAATAGATAAAATATCTCGCAAACCAGTCAACCCAAACAAGCGCCTAACGTCATATCCACGGCGACATGTATGTACATACCTCCTTTATTAATGCGCATACCATTTCAAAACTTCTGATGTATTTTAAACACACTTTAAGGTGTTCATTCTGGAGTAAGAAATCGAAAATAAAAAAATGCGAAGTTGCCCAAATTTTCTTTTAAAATGGTTACTTCCGGATTAGCGTCTTGAATTTTGAAACAACATCCTTTTTCGTAGCCCACTTCACGTGAAATGCCCCACAACAACATTTTTCCGTAGGAACCGTATTTTTCGAGGTGTTTTGATTTATCCATACTTTTTTTACACCCAGTATATTTTCGCGGATAAAACCATGTATGTAACCTACCAAGGGTTTCAATTAGTAAGTTTTTACGTCTCTACGTATGACAAACTGGACAGATATGTACATTTATATACCTATATAGATAAATAGTTTGTTTTCACATATTAGAGTTATTTTTTAACCCGACATACCATATTGCCTTAACTTAAATCAATTTCCTGAAAATTGTCAGTTTGATATCCTTTTAATCAAATATTTATTTTTTTGCAATTGCGATGAGAATGTCACAATTATTTACCGTTTTCAGTACCTTTCATAGCAATAAAGTTCGTCAAACTGATACAGTCGGGGAATTAATATCTTCGCATCTGGTGGGAAAAATATCCTCAACGAATCTGCATGTTACCAGGACAAAATGTGCCTCAAAAATATTCGATTTTACAATACTCAGAGTGAGTGCGAGAGAGATGCAACATGTAGAAGTCTCCTGAAAGGCTTTGGGATTTTGTTAATGGATGTTTAAAGACTATTCGGAAACAGTCGCGACATTAAATTGTCATTTTTAAATATCGTTTTTCGAGATCGAAAATGGCACATTTTGCATTTTTTCAAATATTGTATCGCTTATATCTCAAAAGCTTTTAACGCACCCTTTTGCTTAGTATGTCCCAAAAACCGTAGCGAAAAAAAACAATTTTTGAAATTTGTTTAAAAAAACTGTTTAAAAATTTCAGATTCATTAAAACTTTTTGAATGAGATTATGCAAAAAATCCGAAGGAGAATTTTTTTTCCAGATTCGAAGATAATGCCTGGACTAATAATCTTCATGGAATCATCAATTTTCCTCTACGTGTTTAATATTTTTTCAAAATCTGCTTATGTTTCTTTAGGTGATTGCTTTTTGACTTGCGTTTTGAAGACACAGCTTCAAATCGTACGCATTTTATACAATCTTTGTGAAGCCGGCAACTTTTGTAGTTGTGATGCTAGAACTTCCTGCGAAATTTTCACATACTCAATAGAGTTAACAGTGCCGTACTTGTGCATTAACTTTTAAAGACATGCAGGCCAATTATCTCTTTAGTTGCAGCTGGGGTAAGTTGTGTTGCTTCGGATTTAAAGCTTCTGCATCACGGGCTGCATGTGATGCATTTTTTCACATACAACGCGCATTGTAATGTACTTACTTTTCCAAGAAACAAGCTAGTCGTAACACCCCTTGTCACTTACCGCAAAGCAAATGTTCTTGAGAGTATTCAAACCAAATGTTAACGAACTTGTGGTATTATCAAACGTAATATTTCTTGTTCACGTTTATCAGATTGTATTACCTACAGATCGATATAAATCTTTTAAGGACTGATAGTGCATTCCAGTTGGAGCCACATGTACATTTGTACAAAGTCGAACCGTTTTTGAGTTACGCGCAATTTTGTAACATCCTAGGTAAAGGCCAAAATCATGAGATAAACCAGCGCTTCTTCAAATAATGAAGAGGAACTCTTTTTTGTATTACATTTCTCATTCATCTTGTTATATAGTCTTCCTATACAAATAAGAGTTCTCAAGCTATTGAAAATGGCGTTTACGTTATAAAAAATTATATTTTGCTGAACGGTTCGATCTTGCAGGGCATCATGTGGAATTTCAGAAAATGTAAACCATTATTGCTTGTGGATCTTTCCGTCATTGTTTCGTGTTGCTGTAGCAGAAGTCAATTTATTAAAAGTGGACCGGTTCCACAATATATTGTGAGCTTTTCTGAAGATTCGATGGGTGGATACGGCGACTACGCCATTAAGAAAGATTGAAAAACTGGAATCTAATGCATGGAAATAAAATTTACATTTTCAATAACATTACAAAGGTTCAGACCAAGCGACACACCTCAGAAGAACAAATAGCCAACAAAGATTTGGTACTTCAAAAAGTTATTGTTATAAAGCCTCGTATGACATACCATAAGAAACAGCAAAAGTGAAAGTTTTCTTAAATGGTTTTAATTCACTCTGCTGCTAAACTTTTTTGTCGTCAGAGAATCCACAATGCACAGTAAAATCGAACCATTCAGGAAACTAAAATACTTTTTTATAACGTGTACTCCATCTTTCAGTAACTTAATGCTTGTATAGAAAGATAAACGAGACAAATAACAGAGCAAACGAGTTGATCTTCATTACTGAACAATCGATTGTTTGTCGTACGATTTTGGCTTTTCATTTTTTCAATTCCACCAAATTTCTCTTAAACTCTGTATTAGGGTATATGTGGCTTAATGTATTGCGAGTGGTCTGTGCTATTAGCCTTCAAAACATTTTGCATAATGATATTTATTGTATTCCATTCTAGCTCAATATATTTCTGACAATATAGAATAAGGGTATTTTGCTTGTATATAGAGAATATTTTTACTGTTTTGTGACTTATTAGAATAAATTTTAAATCCATTGTACATTACTAAAAATGCCCTAAAAAAGTAAACTGTATCCGTTTGATATATTGAAATATGTCATATTTGTTGAACATTTCAATAAAAATGGTCAAAAAATATGTTTTAATCTTCCTTAATATTGTTAAATCGTCTTGATATTATGTAATTTTTTATACAATAAATTGTTTTAACACATTTTTTACTTCTTATTCGCGCTTTTTACCTGTGGAATAGTCGAATTCACCACATCGAATTACCTAAGTATACCAAATTTCGTTCTCATGAAGCCTCAGATGACAAAAAAAAGAATTCTTTTATGATTTCTTTTATATAAAAACCGTTGCTCATCTGTGATCTACAAGAAACTGGTCTCGTGAGTAAATCGGGTGCGTAGATTCCGAATCTGATGTGACTCACGAAAGACCCTGAACGACCCATTTCTCATCAAGGGCGGATTCAGCATTTGTGTCTAGGGGATCACAGGATTTATGTTCAGGAGGATATTCATTTCCTGGTTTTAATACAGTAGATAGCCTGAGTTTCAGAATGATTCATTTTAATCAGCCACTGATCCGCCCATTCCAATACCTTATCCACTGCTCTTTGCAGCCTGCCATGAACCAGATACCCAGAGATAAAAATTGCATAAACGATTGGTCCAAGAACCGAACCCTGAGCGACACCGGCTCTGATGACCAGCTGCTCACAAGGGCAGTACCAGCATTTGTGTAAGTTGAAGGTCACGATATAATGAACCATTCTGGGGTTTTAGAGTAAAACAGCCTTGCTATTTTGGCACAGTTTTATAAATCGTGGAACCGATACCGACTACAGGCCCCCCTTGTTGAAAATTTGTCAACTTTCATAACAGATCCGTCATCAGCGACCTAAAAACTTACAGATATTTTTTTCTTAAAAACGGTTGATATTATCGGAATGAAGCATTAATAAATTTTTTGAAACAACCGCAGGTAGCATTAGCTAGATGTAGATGGAACAGTCAACACTATCGAGGTTCGTTTCTGAATTCTTGGCCCATGTTTGACAAACATCCTGTACATGACTAAACTAAGACAACCATCATGCTACGTTGCAAACAAAAAGTGTCAAAAATATGAAGTAGTATACATATATGTCCAACAGGCGCAGCGGCGTTATAATCAAGCGGAATCGCACAGCAACCCTCTGTTGCGTGAGTCAGTAGACCACACAGTCGAGCAAGTTCGCAAACATTCCAGGCCGCGCCTCGCACTGTGATCAAAATTAAATTGTAAATTCAGACCAGCCAAAATTATTTCAGTATACAAAACCGATCAAAACTATTTTTTGGAGTTACAAAATAATTCGAGTAGTCAAAGCAATAATGCTTAAGCTATTTCAAATGATTTACTTCTTATCTTTGCTCTATTTCTTGCTCCCTTTCTTTCCTTCTTTCCCTTTTCCCCTTAAACATGTTTGGTATCTTACCTGACAGACTAATAGACCGACGAGACTTTTAACTAAGAGCAAAGGTCCACCGGACCGCTCTGACGAATAATGACGAATAGTACATATATGTTTATGTTTAACTCTTACGGTTAGATAAATATGATAAATTACTACTTACCATCTCCTTCCAAGCAAATGAAACAACTTTTTTATAATTTTGTCCTACAAAAAGTATTTTTATCAAATTCTCACAGCCTTAGATGCGCGCGCGAAAATATTATATTCCTGTCCGAAAGTCTGAATTTTCAATTAACTACCTTAATCACAGAACACATGAGGCTCAATTTCCAATAGTGCACTAACGGAAATGCAGTGCTACCAACCCGAAAAATGCAGAATCACTATTTTATTTATATTTGCGTCAAGCTGAACGGATAGGAAAAATTGGTCATTTGTACCAAAAAGTCTTTATTTTATTAAATTTAGCAAAGAGTTTCGAAAGTCATAAACATTACTGGTCAACTAGATACACCTATCACCCCCCTGGATCCGCGCTTGTTTCCCATCCCATCTCAAATTCGCCCTACGACTAGGATTGCCATTCGCCTGGCTTTAGCCGGAAATGTTTGGCTCTTTCCGGTTCTATCCAGCCTAATTTTTATGTATCCGATCTGTGCAGCTTCTGGTAGGCTTTTTGGTCGACGTGGTATTCGCAAAATCGCTGATCAAGGGGGTCATGGTGGTCATGACCCCCCTCTGGTTGAATCTAGTTGACCGGTGATATTTATGACCTTGGGATCTCTTTGATAAATTTAATAGAATACAGACTTTTGCCAATATGTAATGGATACAACTGGTAAATCACCGGATTTAGTGAAAAATCACCAGACCTCGCAACCCTGCTCAATTTGTAAGCGCATCGTTAAAAGCGTGGAGATAAGAGGGTTGCGTAAGTCTGGTTGCCTATACAGTCAGCTTGACACAAATAGAAATAAAATAGTGATTCTGGTTTTTCGGCTTGGTAGCACTGCATGTCCGTTTGTGCATTATTGGAAATAAACAAAAAAAGAAAAAGACATGTCTTCGTTGCGAAGTACCGGGTTACTCATCACTTTCTCGCATTTACCCTTTCCGCAATCATACATCTTCTTTGATATGCTCTCAATTCCTCTGCGACATGCACATTCACCAATTACGGTCCCCAGTCTAAATCTATACAAGTAGTTGTCTGTTCACTAATCCTTGGCCCCTCTATAACATGGAATGCACCGCTCGAATTTTGATGAAATTTTTACACAAAAATGCTATTATGCCAAGAACGAAATAGCTTTGTAGTTTTTGAAACTTGGTTCAGTGTCGGCGGGTAAAAAGACCAAAGAATTTTAAAAAAATCGCTCAAACTTCATTTTGACGTTTCAGAGGACCCTGATCATTTATAAAACATTTTTTAGGAGTAAAAAATTCGGGGAGGTGTCATCTCAAATTTTTTGATGTTAGTATACTTAAATGATTATACTCTCCCAACTTCGATATTAGACATATTCCACACATAGATTTCCCCATACGTTTCTCCTAAAACTTTAAATAGGAAGGTTCGCCATTTTTTGATTGTTACTCAAATCGAGAGATTTTGTTATTAAAAAACGATAAAAAAAATTGAGAAAAAGTATTGATATTTACGCCGACTAAAAGCATTTCAAAATCAAGGATCGGCGCGAGGCTGGAAAACGTACCTGTGCGATGTCAGTAGCCAGATACACCCCGCGTGCGATGTCAGTAGCCAGATACACCCCGCTAGCTGGCCCGCTACATTTACCATTTTCACAACAGCGCCCCAGTAATCGGTTTGGAGTAATTGGAGCTGGTAGCGATAGATTATTGTTAAATTCTGTGAACTTTGACGGTGTTAATGTCGAACAGAAAGTGGTGTTTTGTGCCAAAATGTACAAGTACAACACCACAAAAAAATTTTTTGAGTGTTCCAAAAGCTGCCGCACCACGTAAAAGGTGGTTTGACGCAGCTCGACGGGATGTAAAAACAGTTTCTTCCACGTCGACCATGTACTGCTGCGAAGATCATTTTGACCTGGAAAAAGATATGAAAAACTATCTTCAATGCAAGATGAGCCCGGATGAATCCTAATATTGCACATCATAAATTTGCATGTCAACTGGGTAGACAATTAAGCTCTACGAAACGAGTGTTCAGCTAAAAAAGGGCAAGGCAGAAAGACATCGACAAATATTTGCAGCCAGCGGCGGCACGCCGGGCGGGACCCTCAACCGAAAAGTCCGAGCCTGAAGGCGTGGAAGTTATTGAGGAGGAGCATGATGAACTGCCTGAACCTTTAACAGTGAAAGTTCAGTCACAGGTATGTGAATAGGCATGTCAAACCAAACAGGTACATTTTAGAAGCAAGTCAGTTCAAATCTCGCAAAAACGGAATATAATGGATGTTGCTGTATCCCCAATAAGAATTCCTGCGCTTGCTAAACAGATTTCAGAGCGGTCAAAAAAACGTTTGCAAGTGGAAAGTGAACGGGCAAATCTTGACGGTCCCGCAATAACAGAAACATCCGAATCTGATTCGTATGAAGCCAGTGGAAGCAGTACTGAAAGTACTGACAGCGAAGCTGACCAGCTTAGGTACTGCCGAGATCGAAGAGAGCAGTATAAGGGATTTATTTATCAATGTTGTAGAAAAGAACCTCAGACTGTATACTGGCTTTAAAAACATTTAGGCAGAGCTTATTGAAATATTACACAAACGAACTGGTTTGCATTATTTGCCAAAAACTCGTACATCATTTCCACATTCACATGGGGTAAATTTCGCGAATCAGCTTTCTAATAACCTTGGAGCACTGTGCTAGCACAAATAAATAAAGTACACAAACGTCGGTCCCAGTTTATATAAATTCCTATTCGTATACTCTTCACTCCGTATACAAGACAATACAAGATACAAGTACTCTATGAGGGCGACATCACTTGTCTGGCTACTGACGTCACGCGGTCTGGTCTCGCGTACAGGTACGTTTTCTAGCCTCGCGTCGATCCTTGATTTTAAAATGCTTTCCGTCGACTTACATATTAATATTTTGCACTCAAATTTCTTTGACGGTTTTTCAATAACAAAATCCCTCGATTTTAATTAAAATAAGAGAAATGCGAAAAATGTCGAACCTTCCTATTATAGAAAAATGCTTTCGGTACGCGTCACTGCTTCTGCTGACGGGGTCACCGGTAAGCGTGCCGGTCCTGGTAGGTGTTCTGGCCTTATTGTCGCGTCTGCCGCCAGGTATCAGGGAGGATCGGAGTTACCAGATGGACACCGGTAGAGCGCGGAAAGAATGTATGTCTAGAGACTAACTGTGTAGGCCGGTTTGACTGACTTGATCTGTTTAATTTCCCTGTTATACAGGGTGGGGCAAAAGTCACGAAGGGATTTGAAAAATTAATAACTTTTTTAAATTTATTTTGTTTTCATTTTTTTTTTCAGGACCGTGTAAAATAAATCCTGGAGATTAATTATGGAGCGTTACAACCTCAATCAACGAACCAAACTTATAGAATTTTATTTTGAATATCACCATTCAATAATTCAAACTCAACGAGCATATCGTCGTCATTTCAATTTGCGGAATTCGCCCTCTGAATCAATGATTCGACGCTTAGTGGCACGATTTCAGCAACAAGGCACAGTTATGGATCTCCCACGAAG